GAGAAGTGAAGGAGAAGTGAAGGAGAAGTGAAGGAGAAGTGAAGGAGAAGTGAAGGAGTGCCGATTGAATTATGTCTGACCTCGCTCTATTACTACCTATGTACATACATGTACATGCATAACAGCCCTCTGCCACTCCTCAAGTAAGCCCCAACTTCGCAAACCACAGCGGATTCCCCTCCGTCGCAAGCCACGCAATGCCTAGACAGTATTAGCAATCAGCCACACACCTCACAAGACGAAGGGGAAAGTCACATACCAGCATAAACAACAAGCTTCGTTACCACCTCAACATCATAATGCGTCCGCGGCTTCTCCAGCGCCGAAAGCATGCGATGATCCTCCTTATCCCGCGCCGCATCCTTCGCCCTCGAAGCCTCATCGCTAACATGAATAGCAGGCATCGGAGGCGCAAGCAAGTCGCCTTTCTGCCGCCCATCCGATCGCGCCAGCGCAGGCGGAGCAGAAGACGACTTCCCGTCGGAGGAGGCGCCACCGTCTTCGGCGACGCTGGAGTCCGATTTCGTGCCGGGGGGACTGCGACTGCTGCGCGAGCGGGATTTGTTGCGTTCGTGTTGCCGGTTGGCGAGGAGTTCGCGGGCGTCGGCTTCGGATTGCGGGCCGACGGAGATGCGGCGGCGGCGGGGGTGGCGGAAGGAAGAGGAGAGCATGGAGGGGATGTCGGAGGCGGAGGGGAGAACGTTGTCGTCTTTGCGGAGCGGGGGGACGGCTTTGTAGTCTCTGTCGAAGGGGTGTTAGCAAAGTGGACAGCTGTGGTGGAGTTGAGAGTAGATAGACTGACCTTGCTTGCAAAAAGTAGCGACGAGGCATGTTGACGCCCCAATGGTCGATGAAGCGGAAGATGGAAGGGAGGGATTTAAGCAAGAAGGGCTTCATGATGGCGCGCCAGAGGAAGATGGCGATGACGCCGCCGACGAGGCGCGCGGCCGCTTTGAAGATGTCGGTGTTGGCGTACTCGTATAGTGGCGCGAGGGACTGCAGAGGTACAGAGCTCCCGGATAGACCTTGGCTTTTGGCGAGATGCCAGGTGCCGATCGATGTGCCCATCAATACACCTAGAAATGCCACGCTGTCGTCGAAGCAGGGGCAATTATCCGCAGGCTCGGGGTGGAATCTGACGGCTAGAGCGAGGACGGCAACCACGAGTGCTGGGTGGAGCCACGAGCCTTCGATCAGCCAGATGTCGATAGCGTTTCCATAGCGGATTCGGAACCAGGCAACGGCAGCGCCCAGAGTGGCACCGGTGGGGATGTCGAAGAAGCCGTGCATGCCGCAGTAGACGCGGCCCAGAGCTATGGAAGTGGCGTAGAAGTAATATCCGAGCCGTGCAAGCTCGTATGTCAAGGGGGAGAAGTCTGCCTTGGCAAGATGCAGCTGATATAGGCCAAATACCGCCACCGAAACGGCATTGGTCGTGTGAGTTGAAGGAAAGCCATACTCCAACGCCGCCGAGCCGGACATGGTGATACGCTGCAGTGGTGGTGAGAGTGGGCGTGGTAAGCAGACCAAGTCCTTAAGAGCACCGCTTAGCGACACGCCTAGAGCGAGCATGTGCGTGAGCGCGATTCCGAGGTCAGGGTGCCCGCACCAGAAGCAGATGGGCAAGAAGGTCATGAAGAAAGTGTGCGTGCCAAGATTGGCGGTGAAGGCAAAGTAAGAGTCGAGGAAGGGCGAGCGGCAGAGCTCCTGCAGGCGAGCGAGATACGGAGTCTCCCAGCGCACAATGGGAATGAGCCGGGTACGGAGTTTGTAGCGCCATGGAGGCAGTCTGCGCTCGTAGTGTGAGAGGGCGCGCAGGCCGGCATCGGGGTCGCGGTTGGGAGAGGGGGAGAAGCGGCGGAGGTGTGACGCCAGTTGGGCATCATTGGCAGCCGAGTCGGACATTGCACGAGAGCATCACCCGGGCTTATCGTGCAATGGATGGGAGATTCAGGGAGCCTGGGATGCCCGGTCCTGCGTTGCTACCGAGGCCTGGGGAAGGTCTTCATCTCAGAGTCCAGGAGTGCTTATTATCCGGCAGTGTTCCAAGGAGGGGATGGGTGTTGGGCGTGTAGATTGAGAGACGACGAATATCGAAGGGGATGTCGTCGAGGGTCAAGCTTCGTCTCTAGCCTCGGAAGTTCTTGGCGAGATTCCGAGGATGCGCGACTGAACTCGACTGTATTGTCACTGTCGATTCTTTGCTTAGAGTGTATCTGACCTGGCGTTACTCACATCGATTCAACTTCTATTCGAATCATTGAATAGCGATTGTTGAAATATGGGAGAACAATAGAGCCTCAGGCACCAAACATGTGATCGGCACGTGCAAGGGATTAGAGTTTGGCGTTGCTCGAGCAACGGCCGAGTGTTGTCCATCTTCATGTTCCCCCAATCCTCACCCCTCGTTGGCTGTGCCGCACATCAATTCTCCGACGCAGCATTCCAACCACGCAAGAAACTTATTCATCAAATAAGAGGCAGCCGAAAAGAAAGAGATAGGAGAAGCAGAACTTTCCTTCCCAGCCAGCTCTCTACATTCCACCCCCCTCCACACAGCCATGTCCGTGCAGGCCGTGCAGAACTACGACCACCTCCGCCGCCAAAACAGCTCGCGATCCTTCCTCGACCACCGCAGCGACAGCAGCCAGCGGCACTCCACCCGCGCCTCCGACGGCACAATCAACACCACCGCCAGCTCGAGCGCGCGCACAAACATCACCGCGCCGCCGGAGTACAGCAAGAAGTTTGTCGTCGTGGGCGATGGAGGCTGTGGGAAGACGTGTTTGTTGATCAGCTACTCAAAGGGTGTATTCCCTGAGGTGAGCACTTCCTCCGTTGGACGGGGCTGCTGGTCATCTGGTGCTCATTAATGTGTGCAGAAATATGTGCCTACCGTCTTCGAAAACTACATTACTCATGTCGAGCACAAGCCTTCGGGGAAGATGGTGGAGCTTGCGCTGTGGGATACCGCCGGACAAGAGGAATACGACCGATTGAGACCGCTGTCCTACCCTGAGACCGACTTGCTGTTTGTCTGTTTTGCAATCGACTGTCCCAACTCGCTGGAGAATGTGCTTGACAAAGTATGACATCCCCTACTCTCCCAAGCAGACACATGCACTGACCTCAACACCAGTGGTACCCAGAAGTTCTCCATTTCTGCCCCACCACCCCCATGATCCTCTGCGGCCTGAAATCCGACCTCCGCACCAAACGCACCTGCATCGAGCTCCTCAAAACCCAGGGCCTGACGCCCGTCACACAACAACAAGGCCGAGCCGTGGCGGATCGCATGGGCGCCATGTACATGGAGTGCTCGTCGAAAGAGATGACGGGCGTGCACGACATCTTCGACACCGCCATCGACATTGCCGTGCGCGGCCGCGATGATGATGTTGTGTACGCAGGAGGGGCGGGCAAGAGTGGTGGTGTCGGTGGAAAAGGCGCGCCAGTGAAGCGGAAGAAGCGGAGTAATTGCAAGATTCTCTGATCCTTTTCGCGCATGCATCTCTATCGTTTTTGCTTCCTTCACTCGCTTGCTGGCTTGTCTGAGACTCGCTCGTTGACAGTTGAGTGGCACTCCTTTAGGCGACGCGATTGACGCCACCCCCACGGTCATCAGGCACATCGGGTGCATGCGGTTCTTTTTGCGGGAAATGCGGCAGTACTTTATCGCCGGGCTCGTTCGTCGGCGTTGAGAGGGCAGGCGCGGGAAATATAGGTTGGAAGGCGTTGCAGGCTGAGACGGGCTGGATAGGTCACGGCTGTTGAATGAAATGCATCCATGTCATCTTCATGGTTCCGAATGGCGAGTGTCGGATCAGGCCTGCTCATCTGTCGCAGCCTCTTTGCTCTCCCTCGCTGTCGCGCTCTCGGGATCCTTGGCCATGACGTTCTCGAATTGGGACCAGAGACCCTCTACTTGGCCGAACTCATTGCCGACCTGGATATCTTGATCAGTATACGTGCTTGTATCATGCTTCACGTGCTTCACGCACTGCAATGACACCCTCTAGACTGCGATTCAGTTTGTTGATGTTCTGGAGCACGTTCTCGAGGCTCTGTCGCCGCGTGATTAGCGATGGCCATGCGCGTCCGTCAAGGGTGGAAAGTGGGGGCTCACATTGGCAACATCGGTCAAGAGGAGCTCGCGTTGCTGTTCGAAATAGCTCTTCTCGCCTGTGGAGACGGTGTTGGAGCTGGCCATGGTGAGATTTTAGATGGTGAGGTTGAAGCAGTGGAGGAGAGGGACATTGGCGCACGCGCCTGAACGTGTTGTGCTGCTTGACTCGGGATTCGGCGTGAGCCTCGGCATCTGACTCGCGTTCAGTCCTTCCATCTTCGCCAGCCTAGCTGCTCTCACTCCTCTCCTCTATTATTGCAATGTTCATGTCGTCGCATTGAATGCGTGCGAGTCCATTACAGCATCAACTCGGCCGAGCTTCCCATCATGGAGTTCATGACATCGCTCCAAGGCGGCCTAGACGATCAAAAACCCTCACTCTTCGAACTCCTCTCCGAGCAACAACTCGCATCTCTCATCCCGCCCTCCCTTCGATACCTACTCGCAGTCGCAACGCACAGAAGACCCCGCTACCTCCTCCGCGTCCTCAATTCCTTCGACGAACTCTACGCTCTCCTCTCCCTCGCGGTCGAGCGCTACTACCTCCGCTCCTATGGCGGCGGCTTCACCGAAAACTTCTATGGCCTCAAGCGGGAGCGCGTGCTACGCATTACAGGCGGGGAAGCGAAGAGGGCGCGGCTGGGCGCGCCGCATGAGATGAGAGAGACGTTGAAGCTGCGTCGCGGCGATGTGTGGAGGAATCTCGCCGTCATGGTCCTCTTGCCGTACGTGAAGAGGAAGCTGGACGAGTCGTATGATGTTCATGCCGCTTCGGTCAATATGTTGGGCCCGACATACAGAGATCGAGAGCAGTACCCTGTCGATGGCACTGTGCGGCAACGCATCATGTGGCTGTACAAATGGTTCTTGCGGACGGTGTATCCCAGCGTGAACGCGGCGTACTACTTCTCGCTTCTCGCATTCAACCTGGCATACCTCTTTGACGGTTCCAAATACCACTCTCCATGGCTCTGGTTGATCGGCACACGCATGCGACGGATGAACGAAGCAGACAGCCGAGCCAGAGCGCTCGCCGCACAGCCCAAACCCGCCGCCTCCACACCTGGCGCTCGCCCGGGCCAGACCAACTCCATCTTCAGCCCGCGCGTCATGACCCAGACGATCTACCCCAGGCTGCTCTCGAGTCTGAGTATCCTCCTACCCACTTCCATCTTCGCGCTCAAATTCCTCGAGTGGTGGCACGCCTCGGACTTTGCGCGGCAACTATCGCGCAAAGCAAACGAAGGCCTCGAACTCCCGCCCCCCATCATCTCCGGCCTGCCATCGCCTCCCAAAGCAAAGCGAAACAGTCAAGCAGCAGACGACAACGAGAGCAACGAAAAGCCCGCCTCTCGTCGCGACTCCGGCATCGAGCAACCGCCCATCTCATCCAAAACTCATCTCCCCATCCTCACCGTGCCTGCCCCAACGTCCGCCTCTTCTGCCGATTCCTCCAATACAGCAGCCGTCTGTCCAATCTGTCTAGGAGAAATGGTGAACCCCACCGCAGCCCAGACGGGCTTCGTATATTGCTACACCTGCATCTACAAGTGGGTGGATGGCTCGCATCCGCGACAGGAGGCTTTCATGGAAGGGTCGGCGGTGGGCGAGAAGGAGGAGGATCAAGGGTCGACGGAGGAGAGTGGTGGCGGTGAGAGTCGGGTGGGGAAGTGGGAGAGTGGGGTTGGGAGGGATGCGGTCACGGGGAGGAGGGTTCTGGGTGGCACTAGTGGGTTGAGGAGGGTGATGGTGTAGAGGGTCTCATCGATGACCCCACTCTGGCTGGACGAATGTATGGCGACGAAGGATGGCATCGACGCTGATTCATGTTTCCCTCGGCCCTGGGCCGCGAAGCTACACCAATGGAGCACGCACGCGAAATCAGCGTTGGGCCGGGCTACCCAGATCTCTCCACCTGGCGGAAATCAGAAATGCTGCGCTTCCCTCGGAGAGCTCTTGACTGCGTCCAATGCGCACATGCCGTGATCTGGAAGCAAGCTCCACCTGCCCTCGTATACAGCGGTCAGCCTCCATGAGGCCCTCCTCGAACCTGGCGTGGACCGCCTCGAACCCGAGACCACCATCGGCACGCCAACACGGCAGCAACAGCCGTGTCCTCGAAGCCTGCGGTGAAGCAAATGCAGTGCGCGTGTATGCGCAAAACGTGCGAGCGCTCTGGCGTGAGGCGCTTGTATGTAGCAGGGCTGGGAATCCGCCAAGCGCCAGCCGCATCTGCCTTCACCGACTTTCGCTCAAGCTTCACGCTGCCAACGCCCATACACTTTCACGACACCGCAGCGTCAAAACGCGGTGAGCAGAGCTCGCTAGTTGACGATTGACCCGAGGTTACACTCTCCAGAGTTTCCTCACTTCGTGACGAAGTGGAGAGCTGTCCATCTTGCTGCTTACACCCACCGCTCTGGCTTGCCTATGTAAGGTATATAGAGCTACACCCCAATTCGAATGCGCGACAGCGATAACGTCTCGCTCTTGCGCGCTGCCTTCTCAAGTCTGTCGATACCATGGCTCGCGGCCGCTACGATATCCCGCATCATCAGTCCAAACCCATCTATGGCCCTCCACGCCCACCGCTGTCCTCACCGTTGACAACGAGGACTAAGTCCTCACCGACAGTCTCGCGGTCGAATGAACCAGCCAGCCATTCTGCCGAAGGGCCGAAGCGCGTTACGATGTCTTCGTCGCGTTCACCCGATGGAGCTGAGTCGCGGGACGAGATGAAAGCAAGAGTCTAGACGTCGGGATTGGCGTCGACGGTGGTGCAAACTGTCGTCTGTAGACGCACCCTTCCCGCAGCAACGGGGAAATCGACGGTTTACGGTCTCATTGCAAACAATGGGGCGGCGAGTGCACACTATAGCACACAAGCTATGTTTGGATTATGATGCAATGCCGTGGTGGTCCGTTGTTGGGGGCTGGTGTTGGGCTGTTGGGAGGGAGAGTGTTGGAGAGGTCATGTAGGCTAGATAACAGGCTGAACACGAGACCTTTCATCACCAATACGCGTTGGTCGCGACCATGTCTTCTTGGTATCAATGCTCCTTGGTTTAGCTGTGCGCCAGACTACACCATGGCGGAGCAGACTGGACGGTGCGATGTCTGTTTCTGCACTGTCTACTCCGGAAAGGTGCATGACAACTCATATGAGACCGTCACGCACTAGATGCTAAGAATGACGAAAGTGAGGATGGCATTTGGTCAATGGCAACAAGAGCGTTCGCAGACGTTGTCTTCGTCGCCGCCACGTGCGTAGGGGAGACGTCTTGCATGCGTGCCATCCATTCTATAATTGGACTTGTCTTAGGCTGTAGGGCAGAAGGCGGATCGTATGTCCAGCATAAGTAATGCTAACAATACGAGGCTGATGACAAAGGGTGTGGTCAACTGGGTCGTTCACAACTCTGATCTGTCATCCGCAAGACGTCATGGCAACGACAACGTGACGGTCCCGAGCTGGCGGAAGTTGTCGGAGCGATGTTTTGAGAAACGTCCAAGACTGTACTGATGCAATGGATACGCGCGGGAAATGTTGATCGAGGTCATCCCCGGCCTCCGAAGCCGTGTGTATGAAGGTACCGACCAGGATCAAGGCTGACATCCGGGGACACGCATCTTATTGTCGGACCGCTCACTCATGATCTGTTGGCGAACCTGTGGTAAATGCCGGGAAATACTATTCCCCCACAAGCCGGTGGCAGACGGGTGTTGCGGGTAAGGAGGACAATGTAGTCAGCCGCCGGTGCTGACAAGAGATGTGTGTACAATATACACTACTCAGAGCCTGCACACCGCGACTCTCCGATGCAACCTCAGCGATAGACGACGGCAAGTTTCCGCGAGACACCAGCACCGTGTAATTCTTACCCAGCCATGCACACGTCGAGAATCGGCAATGCGACACGTCCATTCGTCGGCGGTAGGCATCGAATGCATCATGCACCCAGTCCGCGGGCCGGGAATACGCGAAAGGAGGACGCATGCCTGTCTCGCGTCTGGCCCGAACGCTCGTCGCTTGCAACGAGCAGCGGACCGAGTCTGTCTGCTCCCCGGGTCAACGATTAATTCGTTCGGACGGCAAAAACAGCTGCAGCGCGCAGTACGTACCCGCTCGCCGGCGGTCGGGATCTCGCAGACCGCCCTTTCTCCACGCTTTCCCCACGATCTGCGCGAGTGGGCCCGCCGGGCTGATGGAATCAGGCTGAACCGGGTGAAGTCGCGGAAGAAAACCGAAACCTGGGGCCCGGCGGACTGTCATCAGAAGATGATGACAGCATCGTCTATTTTTCCCGCCCTCGGGGGCTGTTTCGAGTTTCTTCCGGCGGGACGCGCGCAAACGCGGAAGGTGGAGGATGTGCGATGCATGTCGGTCGGCTCAGGACGGCGGTGTGGAAGGAAAACCCGAGTCGACTGGTATAAACATGCATGCATCCACCCTGCACTGTACATAGGTACCTTGTTCTTTTCCTGACCTATCGACGATTCGGCATCGGCTCGGCTGGGACTGATTGGGCTGCATGTGTCATACAGCCTGTTTTGGACGGTGTTTGCTTCCGCGTTCACCCTACGCCCTCGGGTTGCGATACGTGTGCATGTGCTTACACCGTTGCGACGTGTCGCGCTCCCCCCGGCCGCGTGTGTTGACTCCCGGGTGTCGAGCTACATAAAGGCGACGGTGTTGCCGCGCGCCTCCTTTGTCGAGTCACTGCTGCTGATCGACTTCCTACTCTGAGAGTCTTTACTTTCACGAGACGATACGATATCGTGCAAAGAAAGTCGAGACAATGTCTTTCACATCGAGCCCTGGCTTTACGCCTTTGGCCTCACCAGCGACCTCCGTCTGCTCCGCGCCACGATCCATACAATCCGTTACCAGCACGCGCAACGCAACTTCGGCGCCGATAGCCATCTACCATACACCTTCTCCCACCACCAACTCGGCATCGCATGAATACTCGTCATCGATGCTCAACAAGTCGAACAGCACTTCACGACCAAGCGCTTATGTCAGCGACGAAGACCTGCTCGGCGATGATGAAGTGGAATGCCTCCGCGAGGCCCCTCCACCACCACGCACGGCAGAACACTGGACGGCCGGTGTTGCGCGGCCCCTGCTGCCGCCGGTGGTGATGTCGAAGCCCCGTGTGACTTTCCATCATGGCCATGGAAGGCGCAGATCGTCGGTGTTGAGCATTAAGAAGCGGGGGTGAAGCCGTCGACGAAAGGATGGATTCGACTTACTATTGCCTTGTTGCATGATGCGACTGGAAGTGACGACTACCGACGACAATCAGCCATACGGATTGCCTCTGGCGATGCCGATGCTGACATCCAACACGTCGACGAAGACGTCAAAGTAGCCACAGACATGCGTGCACAGCACCTCATCAGGCTGGACTGCCGAGCGCTCGATCCGACCGATCTGCAGGGGCTGGCCGCATGTCTACTCGAGCAACACAGTCAACGAGGCCGAGAAGGAATGAGGACACGCGATTGCCAGGGCGAGACCAACGCGCAAGAACTCCCAAAGAAGGACAAGGATCACCGCCTCACCGCCCTATATGGCGCCACAATCACAAACGGGTTTCGCTGCGGTCCGCACCTTGGGGAATCTCGGAATGCGTGCTACGGACCCGGGAAGGCCGGGCCAGGGAGGTGTTCGAGAAGTCCTTGAATGCATGATGGATGCAGCGCGGTGCTCCCGCCTGCCTTTTGCAAGGATGCAATTCTTCTATTGGGCGCTGGGGATGAGTAGAAGGAAAAGGAACAAGGTGTGCGAGGCGGGCGGCTCCAGGTGATGGACCGGCAGATCGGCGGGGCTTGCAGAAAGTTTAAACCACCTCAGCGCGTAGAGACTTGATGTGAATGGACTTCTCGTTCCTCTACCCAAACTCATTCTTGGCTCGTCGCTCGTATGCTGTCTGCTGTGTTTTATGCATATGGTAAGATGAGTGTGTTGTGCAGGATGCATCTCGAAGACGTGGTGATACAGCAGAGTCATGGCTGGTATGGCGGGTTAATGAAGACGCGTGCAGCAAGCAGGCACACAAGAACGGCAGTCGCTTTTCATGCAGACCGGGCACAAGTATCCAGTACGGTCCCCGGCGGCGCCTGGGATAGCCCGGAATGTATTGCCGTCGTCACATCTGATAGGAGCTCAAGGGCCATCAACATGTTCCGCGTGTGACAACGTGACCGCTGTCATGAGAGGCGCAATGCGTGGGAACAGGCCAGCCAGCAAGGGCCCGGCGTCCCAAGGCGTTGGAAAGTGCGCGTGTTCGGACGGGCGCACAAGCATGAGGTCTGCGAATGTTGACCGCCACCGTCATCTCGAGTCGCACACGGTCTCCGAACGGGCCACCCTCCCCAAGCCCAGATGAGATCCACATCGGTGTTGTTTCGAGAAACGGCCGACCAATTTACCCTCACCACGCCAGACAGGCAAAGATGAACAGATTGAACGATGGTTGAATGATTGACGACCGAGCAACACCAACCGGGCGGCGTCAGGCTCGGTGGATGTATTTTTGGGCGGCATTTAGAGTTTGCGCCGTCGCCCCGGCTCCGACCTATCAGCTTCCGCCCGCACTCGCCCACCTCATCTGCTCTGCAGCTCGCTCGTCCAATGCTCATGCCCGACCAACCACCCCGATCACTGTGCATGTGAGACAGAGGGGATGGCGGATGATCGTTGTCCACCCAGCACGCCCTCAAAATCTCGCTTTTCCACCGCCCGCCAACGAATGGTAAGCCCGTTTCTCTCCCTCGGCCCTCCACTGGGCCTCCTTTCCTTCACCCATCTCCTACCTCCATTCCAGCATATCCCCTCGTCATCCCTGCTGCTACTGCTTCTCTTCCTGCGTCTGAGTTGGCTGGGTTGGGACCAGAGTGCTGTTGTCGAGCTAGCTTGTTCCCTGACAGCTAGCCGCCGGCCCTTCCCAACTACTCCGTCACCGCGCTGCTACCCGCACTCTCCTACCTCCTCACTACGTACCTCAACGCCTCCAACATCTTTTGCCTATGCTGTTGGCAGCCGGCATCTCCTCGCTCGTTGCCCACTGCACACCCACGCATCTCGCCTCCACACGAGCGGTTGCATGTGCCACCACCACTACTGTACTCCCCCGGCACCCCAATTCGTGAACGGCGGGGCCTTAAGCGCGAGGCCTGTTGGACTCTCCCACCCGGCCACACAAGCTTTCCTCTTTTAGCGCGCATGCGACGGGTACGTATCACCTTTGTCCTCCAGAGCACTACATAGTCCTTCCGCCCTGCTCCTGCTCCAAGCGGAACCAAAGCCTCGACCCTCCCCCGCACTCACGCCGCACCCCGCTGGTCGGGTATCCATGGCCATCATCACCACCGCCGCCTTCTCCACCGCCAGTACTAACCCTGCTCGCCCATAGTCATCATGGCGTCTTCGTCCGGAGGCGGCCTTTCGAGGAAGCAGTCCCTATCCTCCACCGGCAAGCGCTCGCTCGGCAAACTCTCCTCCGCCAGCCATCGACAGACTCCACCGCCCACGACCCTCACGCCCGACAACAGCGATGCGCCCTTTGAGCCGTGTGCAGCGACCGCTTCCTTCCTGCTCTATGCGCAGCGAAACCGCGTGCTCGTTGTCCACCAAGACACCCTTGCGATAGAAAGGCGCTTCGACCTCCATCGGGAGGATGTGGTGTGGATCGCAGTGGATAATGTGAGCGAAAGAGGTCAGGGCCGGTTGGCTGTCAGCTATGACGCTGGCAATACCGCGATCGTCTGGGATATATTGACCGGTGGGGAGATTGCGCGCTTCTCCGCATATGAGAGTATCAGAGCCGCCAGTTTCATCCGCAACGGCAACATTGCATTTGGTGAGTTGATGTATAAGATCTTTGTTGATCGCCGCGCATCGCTAATGAATACGGCGCAGGTAATGACCACGGCAATATCATCTTGTTTGAGCCGTCAACCTCGGAACATGTCTCGGCGCGGACGATTTACGATGCCATCACGGCCATTGCGCCGTCTGCTGATTGTCGAACATTTGCGATTGGGTGGGTAAGCTCGAATACCGCGTTGAGACAGGACTGACACAACGATGCAGATACTCGAACGGATCTATCCTCATCGCAACCCTTCAGCCTTCATTCACCATAATACACACTCTGACCACCACCCGAGCTCCCTCACGAATAACTGGTCTTTCCTGGCATGGCTCATCCTCCAAGCAAAAGACCGACATGCTCGCAACCCAAACTGTGGACGGGGATCTTCGGGTCTGGAGCATCCCCAAAGCCCCGCTTCACGAACCGCCAGTCATCATTCGAGTCCTGCAGCGCGCAGAAAGCCAAATGCCAAGTCTTTGCTGGTTTGCGTGGTCGAAGAATGGGCGAATCGTCCAGTTCGCGGACGGGTAAGCGTGTTCGTTTGTTAGGTCGTGCGCAGACTGACTGCTAACCTGCAAATCCAGCGAAACCCGAGCTTGGGACGTGCGAACCAAAAAGGTGTCATGGGAATACGTTCCAACTGTCGAAGGTGTGACGGGGATAACAAACTATGGACCCGGCGCCACATTGTTCACTCTCAGTCGCGATCACGGTGTGCAGCAGTACGACATCAACCCGATGGGCCAGCCGAGCCTCGTTGCAAGTGCGAAGCATGTGCCTTCGAATACGCCGCCAACACCACCCCTGATTCTCGACGACCGCGCAAATTTGTACTCTCGAAGTCGTGGTGGACGCGGCGATACTCCCAGTCTGCCTGCAGTGTCGGATACCGGAGAGAGCAGTACAGATGACGGATTACCCAGATCACCTCGCCTCAGACTCGGCAGACTGGAAAGTCTTGACCCTCTGGATGACGAGCTTCGAGATGTAGTCATGCCCCTAAGTCCCAACTCGAGTCGGACCTCCTCCGTGAGCTCCAAATCATCCGGTGGCCGTCGACGGGATCGGAGGTATCTCTACGACAGACCGGATTCCTCTCGAGCCCCTAGTACTACCGGCCCATCAACGGAATTCTCCCTCGGCACTCCGTCGTTGAAGCAAGGCCACGATAGCATGTCCATCAAATCCGTGTCTTCACTGCACTCCAACTCGCGCTACCGATCTTCACAGCTGCGTAATCAGGTGCTTCGAAGCTCGGAGGAGTCAAGACACACTACCAACGTCGACCTCTTCCCACACGCTCGGGCACGGCTAAAAGACGTTCCGTTTCGGACGCCGCATTACGGCAACGTCGCGAGGACGCCGGAACTCCTCCAGCGCGAGATGTTGAGCGTCCTGTTCGGATGGAATGACACGGCTCGCAGCTTGATCCGCGACGAGATGTCAAGGCATAAGTCGGGCTCGGTAGTGCCAATATTCCTGGCCAAGTGGCTTGGAGAAGTACCGAGCTCGACGATGCCCACATCAAGCTCGGACATAGGAGCCACGACTGAATGGATGATGCTCGCGCTGAACGGTCTCAGCGGTATGACCACGCAGAAGACGGTGGGGGAGACTTTCGCTCAGCGCTTGCTGGAGAGGGGTGAAGTGCACCCCGCCGTGGCCATTCTGCTCGGGTTGGGCGAGTTCAACGATGCGATTGAGATTTACGTCGCGCAGAAATGCTGGCTGGAGGCCGTCCTCCTCACCTGTATTACCTGCCCAACGGACTGGCAGAGGATTTCTCATCTGATCCGGAAGTGGGGCGAGACTGCGGTGCAGGGAGGGCAAGCGGAGTTGGCAGTCCGCTGCTTCTCCTGCAACAGCATCGAGACATCGGAGCCCTGGTTTTCCCCCCGAGCACAAGATGCGGCTTACACTGCGCAACAAGAGCGTCTGACGCGGCCGCCAAGCGCGGGACCGCCACTCACCAGTCCGCCACTTTCTCCTCCCTCGCGATCTGGCTCACAAAGACTGGCACAGAAGAATGCTTCTCTCAAGCTCATCACCAGCTTCGGAGACAAAGGCGTACCGCTGAGCATGGACGTCCCGACACCGATGAACGCTATGGGTGTGACGCCCATCGCGCAGTCTGCTCTCCCATTCTCCGCCCTGAGTCCCGGGGGCCAGGACGTGTGGCAGCAGACTCGAGTCCGCGGGTTCCGAGACCCTTCTTCTGCGAGGACTGCTACTCCGGGCGGGTTTGGCAAGACCAGACTTCCATCGAGGAGCGACATTGAGCGGGCTAAGCAAGAAGCAGCTAACATCAATACTCCGATTACAGCTGCGCGTGACGCGCCTCCGCAGCTACCAACAGCCAACAGCCGCAGGACGTCATCTCTCGGCAGTCTCAGCTTGGGTGATCTAGCGACCGCTCGAAAGACGTCCCAGTACAGCGACCGTCTGGCACCCGACACTGCAAGTCAAAATTCTGGCCACCTGCCTTCGCCTTCTGCCGGAGCATTCACTCGCTTTCAAGGAGATCCCCACACTCGCCGGACTACATCCCAAGAGCGCAAACCCGATGGATTGGCTGTACAGATTGTGGAGACACGATACATCAGTACGAGCTCCGGCCATCATGCGGGTTCCACGCATTCCAGCAGGGCAAATCCCATAAGTCCCGCGAGTACCTCGAAGAGTGCTAAAGCCCGATCCATCGATGAATATCTCGCCGGCGTGGACGAGGCTCGCGAGCAAGCGCGCGAACGACGAACGCACAGCAAGCACCGAGATGGAAGTCGGAAGCGCGATGGCAGTCGCAGCAGTGCGAATCGCCGGCGTGAACCTTCGGAACCTCGCGGTCGGCATCATCAGGTACAATACATCCGGCCTGCCAAGCGCTCTCCTTCCTCCCCTGTGCCCATGTCACCGGAGGAGATTCTGTTGGCGACTCAAGCTGCGAAGTCGAGGCTTGCCGTGCCGGAACCTGCAACGTCGGAGGATGAGAATTTCTACAAGGTTGCGTCGCCCATTGATGGCCCGCAAAAGGCTGACGGCAATCAAGAAAAATTGGAGGCGCGGGTGATGGCCGATGCGGAATATGAAGCCAGTCGCGGGAAGAGCGCAGGCCCGGCACGCTCGCGAGCTGACAGCGCTCGAGGCCGTGCTACAGATCGCAGGGCGAATTCTCAGGGCCGTTCACCTTCTCTGCCGCTCCTGAGGCCAGCAGAATCCCAAACAGGCCATGAGCAAGATGAGACGAACAGCGATGGACGACGAGTGCGTCTCCGGGCTGGCAGTCAGACGGTCGGTGGGGAAGGCTGGGAACCGCCGGCCAGATCTTCTAGTCGGAAACCTGCTCACATCGACGATCCTATGGGTGTGAATGCATCCACAGTGAGCCACAACAGCAGCTTGCCGGATAAGTCCTTGGCTGGATCGACACTATCTACAGCAACGGACAACAGCACTTCGAGGCCTCGAGGCCTGACTAAAGCCCTCGCACAAAAGGAGCTTGAAGAGCGTCGTTTGTCGCTGGCCCGTCGACCGTCTGCGCCTGCGATTCCCCTGCCAGGTGAAGCATCGACTTTGTTAGTGCGGCCATCCATGTCGCCGAGGTCGAATACAGACATTGGCAATGCACTCACACGATCGCAGACCGTTGATCCGGACCAGATGTCTCGCTATGGTAGGAACGCCGCCCCGATTGGCCTTCCCTCGACGCCACGAGCCATGCGACATCCAAGGTATATGGCTGGAGATCCGAATGAGCGTGAAGGCACCCCTCCCGTGCCAGACGTCCCCGACAGCGCCAGCAATCTCTCCTCGCTGGGAAGCAGTCTGAGCCATGTGTCCAACTCGCTCTATGCGCCCTCCAACCTGACATCCAATGTGACATCGAACCTCACCTCCCACCTTACATCGAATGCATCGTACCTTGCATCCCACCTCAGCTACGATACCAGCTCCATGCTCTCCTCGAATCTATCCTCGAATCCTCACATCTACGACGAGGACAACATCGCTCCATTGCTTCCTTCCACCGTCTACAATCAGAAGGCGCCTCTGCGCGCGGCGTCCGCTCCCCCGGAGAAGTCGAGCGTGCATCCAGCGTACAACCCCAAACTCCCACCGTCCACTCGCAAGACTTCCTACGTTCGGAAGATACTGCCGCCCGACACTCAAGGGGCCAATGCAGCGGCCGTGACCAGTATCGATGAAACACTGGCCGGCGCCGGAGATCAACAGGTCGTTTTCATCACCAACGATTCAGACGCCCCTCCCATTCTCCCCGAACTCCAACATCTCGCCGATCCGCCGCCGCCTCCTCCGCCGCCTCCACCGAAGCAACGCCTCCCTCCACTCAACACGCAATACAACAGCTCTGGTGTTATCAATATCGCTATTGACGACAATCAACCTAGCTCTGCCGTCGAGCCTGGACCACCGCCACCGCCACCCCTCACCCTCCCATCAACCACTTACCCCCACCCAATGGACCGCGCAATGACCACGTCTCCATCCGGACCACTTGAGCGCGCCACAACCGCATCGCCCAACACCCACCGCCGCGGCCGCGGCTCCGTAACCGGCTCCGTGACCGACGCCTTCGGCTCCCGCTTCCGCGACTTCAGCGAGCGCATGCGGAGCACTTCCCGCAACCGCACGAACAAGTCGCCAGCGGAGTACAGAGCGCCGACCCTGCCGTACGAAAGCGTGGTGCCGCCTATGCCGTCTTCGTCCTCCGCTGCGTATCAGCAGCATCAGCGGAGGGAGAGCGAGAGGGCGAAGAGTCCGTATGAGCAGGCTATGGCTATGCAGCAGCAGCAGCAGCAGAGACTGCCGGCCGTGGACGGCACTATGGTCTTGAAGGAACATTCTATCCCGCCTTCGACCTTGCCGCGCAGTTCGAGTGCGCAGGGATATGGACAGGTGAAGGGTGGCGGGGCGAAGGAGAAGGAGTTGAGGGCGAATATGCCGCCTGAGACTTTGCAGCAGGGTGTTTATACTGGGGAGGAGGCGGGGTTTCTGTGAGATGTGGGATTTGAGGAGATGTTAGAAGAGTCTGACGTACTGGGTTGCTCGCTGTTGAAGGGTCATTCAGTGCACTAAGTCTGGCTGGCGGCATTCTGTCATCGACTTTAGTCGAGGCGAACATCAAGGATCAGAGAGGGCAAGGCTTCAGAGCCTGTACGGCTTCTTTTCGGTAGTTGGAGAAGTTGTATTGTACCAACCTGATCACCGTGGATCTTTCAGCTCTTATTAGATATCTGTTTGTGCATTCACTTCAGAACCCGTCGGGACTTGGAGGGGTACGGCATGTGACAATACAAGAGTGAGAAAAAACATCAAAAAGTGAACGTCGCCGCCCACAGCTGATCCCCCGGCCCTCTCACTCAAGAGAGGACACTCCACAAGCCCCCCGCCGACACAATTATGTGCAAGCGGTGGATCAGCGCCTAATTCATTTCGTTCGAACTCGCGTTCTCGGCGAAATATTACAAACCCTTTGGATTCGACGCATTGAGGTACTAGATTTGGTCTTTGACCACTTGTTCCCTCAAGGTGGTTATGCAGGGCTGGTGAATGTTTATATGTTGACGTTTCCTGCTCGGTGGAACTTCGGAGGTTTCACGTGAAGAACGGGATGCATGCGCGAGAGTCCTCTCCTTGCTCACCAGACATAGCGCGTCAACCGATTGGTAGGAGGCTGAGGAGGCCGAATCGGGCAGGTAGATTTACTTCCGGCTCGGCCCACCTGGCGAACCCTAAGCTCCTAACCCTAGCAACTGCCTCCATCTTCGACGACACTTTCCAACAAAAGGTAGCCACGACAACCCCAACACCCCCACCGGCTCCCGCGGTCAACATGCCGCCAAAGATCGTAGCGAAGCCCGCCGACCGCACAGGCGGAGTCTTGCCGGTCAACGCAGCAGCGCGAGCGAAAGCAAACCGAGCACCTGCGATCCGATTGAAGCTCGAAGTGCGCCGTCTCCCTCCCGGTCTGACGCTGGTGGAGTTTGAAGAGATCTTGGGAGAAGAATGGAAACTGGGCAACGGCAAGGTGGACTGGAGGGAATATCGACAGGGCAAGCTGCGGCCTGCTGGTTCGGGCAAGGTGCTCGAGCAGAGCCGGTGCTATTTGCATGTGGTGAATGAGGCATGCGTCAAGGAGTTCGAGACGCGCTTTCTGGATGTCGCGTTCCAGGATAAGGCGGGGACGTGGAAGAGCGCGGAGTTGAAGAACCTTTCCCCTGCTCTGGGCTTTGCGCCGAACCAGCGCACGCCGCTGCAGCATCCCAAACAAAAGGCGGATGTGCGGCAGGGGACGATTGATCAGGATCCGGATTTCATGTTGTTTCTCGAGGCGGAGACACAGCCGATTGTCAAGCCGCCTTCGCTTGATACTGTTGGGTTGGAGAAGGCGGGCGAGAAGAAGGAGATCAAGACTACACCGCTCATTGAGGATTTGAGGGAGAGGAAGGCGAATAAGGCGAGAGCTGCGCAGGCTAAGGCGGAGAAGGATAGGAAGGGTGCGAAGGGCAAAGAGTCTGCTGGCAAAGACGGCGGGAAAGACGGACAGCAGGGGAAAGTCGAACAAGCAGCCAAGGATGCGGTAAAGGTATTGAACAAGCAGGCTGGCAAGCAGCAGCAACAACAGACACCACAGGGGAAGGGCGCTTCTCCGACGAAAGGAAGGAAAGCAGCGGCTATGGCTACAAAACAACAGCAGGCTACCTCGTCCCAAGCCACGCCAGCTGCACCAGCTTCTGCCTCGCCGCGGACGGGTCCGAATACAAGACAGAGAGGCAACGCAGAGGGCATTAAGAAGATGCTTCAAAAGGATCTCGGGATCAAGCCGAAACCTTCGCAGACACAAAGCCCAACATCGGCTACTTCAGCAACACCAGCATCAGCAACAACACAGACCGGCCCAACCACATCCACCGCTGCATCAACATCCACACCCACGCCCTCGGACTCCAAACAACAACCACAACAACCAACCCAACCCCAAACAAAAGCCTACCTCAAACACGCCAACCCCTCGCAGGGCATGACAGAAATGCTCATCCAACAAGCCCTATCCAACGCTTTCGGCGAAGTGCTCAGCGTGACCATCGATCCGCGCAAGGGAACCGCCATCGCCACTTTCAAATCCCCTGAAGGCCTGAAGAAGGCGCTCGAGGCGAAGCATGTGCCTGTTGCGGGTGGGGCGGTGGAGGTTTTGGAGTTCAGGGATAGGGGTGGTGCGGCGGGGTCTGGGGGTGGGAGAGGAGGGTTCAGAGGGGGGAGGGGTGGGAGGGGTGGTGGACGGGGTGGTGGGGCGCAGAATGCGGCGGCGGGGGCGAGTGCAGTTGGAGGGGCTTCGGGAGGGGCTGCGGCTTCGTAGGACGGTGGAAATGCACGCTGATTCATTCGGCCATGATTGGGCGTGCACGTGCTACCAAGCTTTGGTCATGTGAAAAAGTGGAGACGCGCACTTCTCATCTCTCAACTTCCTTCTCCTTCCAACCACGGCTTTTTCTGTCCATGCACGACTTGATGGGAAGCCGCGACATCATGGCGGAACACGACGCAGTGGAAGGCCACGACTCGAACAAAGACTGCGACTCAAACAAAGACCGCGACTCGGACAAAGGCCATGACTCGACTGAAAGCAGCCCAGTGACTCGCAAGAAGCAGCACAGGGCAGGGAGGAAGAAGAAGACGTTGAAGAAGTGGATGCAATCGTATGTATCGCCGCACCTCGATGCTGAATTGCAACATCACTGACACGCGAGTCCTCGCCTGCCAGTCTCCCACAAGAGCTCTTCGATAAGATCTACGACCTCACGTTCAAGCTACCGGCCCCAGGTGTTCGCGAAATCGACGAGGAGTACACACCACCGGTCATGCTTCAAATTTCGACAGAGACGAGGGATGCGTTCGCCAAAGCATACTACGGCAACGGATCGCAGTTTCGCGTCAAACAAGCCATCGCAAAGAAATGGTTGACATCTCTTCTCCACAGACCTACGGATCTCACCCTCATACTCAAACTCGTCGTTCGTTTGCCCGAGTCGCTCATTCCCTCCTCATGGTATTCCTCCACTGCCCTTCATTGGGGTGTCCTGGAATTCTGCACCGGGAAAGGTTGGGAAGAATTCCTTCAGGAAGTTGCGCGAACTGGAGAAGAGGAAGATTTGATATGATATAAGTCCAGCCTTTTCGACTAGAGGTACCATGCTACGCCCAATACCAGCGCTCGCGCCTACCTCAGGGCAGTCCTTCCCCTGTTGGAACTACGATTCGACCAAGGCGTTCAGACTGTTGACAGAAGATCTGATCTCGGGGCGGAGGTTCTCGTTCAACGGAGACAATAACCAGAAGGTGGATAGTGAGGTGATAGCCTGGGCGGAGGGACTCGTGGGGACGTGGAGATACGTGGTTCACTTTGCAGACAGTGACCTTGTGTCACGCGTCAGACAAAACATGATCATTTGAAATAGTGGGGCTTATATGTGCTTTCTCTCTCACCTTCTTCTCACTCACTTCTTGCTCATTCTCTTCTTGCTCCGTCACTCACCTTCTCTCCCTCTCTCTCCCCCTAACTTCTCACTCGCCGACACTTTCTCGGACACCATCACTCTCAAGATGGACAAGAACAAAATGGACCCCGAGGAGCAGAACAAGATGCTGGAGGATGGACTGTACTCGTGCGTAGCGTCGAATACACTCACCCCTGAAAGCTCCAAGTCTCGTGTGCTAACCTTCCCCATCTACCAGCCTGCCCCAAGAGCTCTTCAACGAAATCCGCAAGCTCGTCTTCGAAGCACCTTCAGGAACCCGAGTCATCGACAAGGACTACAAGCCGCCAAGCTCACTGCAAGTGTCGAAGGAGACGCGAGAGGTCTTCGCCAAGACGTACTACGGCAACGGATCTGTGTTTGAAATCGAGAAGGCCGTCGCAGAGAAATGGATTGACACCATACCTATCAAGCACACCGATCTCATCCAAGAAGTGAAGATTGTGGGCCCTGGATATGAAGCACCAGTGGAGCACGGGTACACGGACGGCAGGTTGGTACGCGCACCACCCATGCACCACGAGTTTCCAGGCCGTGAATGGTTCGTCGAAGCAGCAGCACGGGTGGTGTATGATGAACAGCACGGCTCCAAGTCACGCATCCCGACCAAGGTAGCCAAGAGGCTGGGCTACGACGAGAGAGCGTCCTCGGTCGGCCGGCACACTTTCAGGTGCCTTAACGCACCTCCCATAACCCCGTCCCTGGCTATATTTGGCTTGGGGTTTCGGCACCATCTTCGCAGTATCGATCGGAGTGGTTAGAAAGGGCAGATTTGGTCCTCGCGAAACTTACAGCGGCTTTTCGCAACTGAGCACAACCACGGTCATGCGGTGGAAAAACACATTTCCGCTCAGAGATAGAACGACTTTGCATGCTCTGGGGAGAGAGGGATTGGAAATTGCGACACCAGAGCGAGGATGGCGAACGATGCATCTTACAGCCCGACACCGAATGCACCACTGCTGCTGGGCCTTCATTTTTGTGAGCCACAGCAAGTCTCGACCGACGAGATTTCTCCCATTTGTTCCATCGGCAGAGCATAAGGTACTCTGTCTTGCACACTTCACAACGAAGCTTGTGGCGTCCGGCATGATCGAGCAACGTCGTAAAGATCGCGACGCTGGTTGTGGACGACACACCCCGCCCAGCCGCTGCGAAGGGACAACATGATGCTTCACATTCCACCCTGCATATCAGCTTTCGGTCAGCCAGATGACGGCCTACAGGGTATTTGATAAAATGTCGCGACTCGGCGCCGTCGAGTAAGTATCGACATATCACCTTCTCTGATTGCTCCATTCTATTGTCTCGCAACTTGAAGTCTTTCGGTCTTCACCATGCGTGAGAGGTTCCCGGAACTCCAAACTCCTCGCTAAATATGTCATGCCTCGTTCCTCGTACCTCAAAGACCGACGAAGATCACCCCAACGTCTTCATCTTCTTTTTCTTGGTCTTATCCGTACTCCCCTTCTTCTGAAAGTCCCGCCAACTATCAATTCTCTTCTCCCTCGTCTTCTCCCAATCCTGCTCATGCTCTCTCTTCCGCTTCCGCTCCTCCAACTCTTGCTCTTCCTTCCTTTGCTGCCGCCCCTCCTCCTGCATCTGCGCCTTCATCTGCCGTCGCCGCCGCTCCTCCATGTCCGCCAGCACAACCTTGATCATCTCCTTCCACGCTTTGATGAAGTTGACATCGGGATCTTTAACCTCCTCGCTGTCGACGGTGAGTTTGCGTTCGCGGATCAACAGCATGCGGGCGTCGGCGATGGCTTCGTCGAGGTTCGCGCGCTTCTTTTCCTCGAGCAGGGTTTGGTAGGCGATTGCTAATCGGTCGAAGGCGTCGGGTGCTTTGGGGTTGGAGGACTTGTCTGGATGGATGAGGAGGGATTTCTTGCGGTAGACTTTCTTGATGTCTTCGTCGGGCACGCCGGGTTGGAGGTCGAGGACATCGTAGGCGTTGGCACGGAAAGCTTTCAGGATGCGTTCGATTTCCGAGTCCTGCTGTTGTGTTAGTCTAGCTCGAGGCAAGCGGCTGTTTGCGGGCAAGGCACCTTGTCGAACTCTTTGGACTCTTTGTCCAGCTCTGCGAGGAGGTCGGCATCGTCCTCCGCTTGCTCTTCACGTAGCTTGTCGAGGTTCTTCTCGGGTTCGCCCATGATGTCGAATGAGGCCTTACGAACGGGGAAGGATAAGCACAAAAGAGTGCAGGTCGACGGGCTGCGGTCAGGTTGGACGGCATCTCAATTGGGTTAGGCTGCGGGTCCAGCCGGGCGGGTGCTTCCCCTTCCAGCCTTCCACACGCACACTTTTTCTTCACTCCCTTCACCAATGACCTCGAGCAGTGCCGTCTGCCATTCAAAGCAGCCCAGGATGAGCAGCACCATGATCCAAAATCTACACGCTCTTAACATCCTCCAAGAGCCAGATGTCATGTGGAATGGCTAGCCACCGATCTGTTGTGCTTGAAGAAGTGCAGCTTGTCCCGTTCATCCAGCATCTTCTGGACTGCCACGTCCAGTCATGTACTCTGATCGTATGCTCGACGCGGGAGTCATTCATGACAGGACTCTCCTCTGCCGTTGCCAAGCAAGGCCGTCCCGTTCACAACACAGAGGCTAATGGTTCATCTGCTGCAACCGATACGTCTACACATCAGCTCTCCAACTCGCCTTGGAGCATCCCGACTCTTCGTCTACTAGCGTCTTCTCGCACTATCAAGCTGGCATTCTGTCCGGATGTCCCTCACTTACGCGCGTATCTAGCCTCCTACGCTTGCACACAGTCGATGAAAGCAGACGAGGGCGCGACAGCTACTAACTCGACTTCCTCACCCTCGCTTATAGCGATACTGAACCCTCTCCAGCTTCACAGGCCCACCTCGGCGTTCTCCGCGCAAGGGCTGAATCGAACTTTCGCCGTTGCGATCGAGGCTGCTTATCACTCTGGAAGACGGCTGATCTTCGCTGAATGTGCTGTGGGTGATGGCAACGAGGCCGCCCACGATACCGACACTGAGGAAGAGGCGCTTGCGCTGGCCCATTCGCCCTCAACCAATCCTTGGGATGAAGAAGTCTCGATTCTGAATGTCACCACCAAGACCTTCAGCGCCGGGGAAAGGGGATGGGTCGGACGTACAGTCAAAGTGCGCACGATTGCCGAGCGGTGGTGCGAAGTCCAGAAGCTGCCTGCAACGGACCTCTGGTAATACGCCATCACGGGACCATCACTTGCAAGAGCCCAATCAGCCAAGTGGCAAAGGTACGCAACTTCCGTCTTTTCACGCACACCCCATCCAATGATGAATTCTCTTCACACAGACCTGTTCTGAACAGCCATGTGGAACACTTATTATTCAAGCTCAACAGTCTGATCTTGCCCCTCCTGCTTTAACATCTTTTGCTCTTTCCACCCGCTGAAGAATGCCATCTTTCTAACATTCTTCTCGGCTCACAGGTATATCCGAATCAGAGAAGCGCAGCCTCTTCGCGCCCGCATTTGCAGAGATACCTCGCAAAGTCGGAATATATCTCTAGAGATCTGAAAACATCAAAGATCACACACCGACTCTGCTCAATCTTTCCCACGCCATTTACTCTCTCCCGCGTATCACGAATGAGACGAGCGCAGCTTCTACACGCCTTTTGCTGTCCCCCGGTGTTACGAATCACGCAAGAGCAGCGTCTTCGCCCACACTTTGACGGAGATGCGGCGAACAGTAAGATAAGTTACGTAGAAAAACTTTCATTGCCAAAACTAAACACTTTGCCTCTGTGTATCCATCTCCAGCCCCTCCCCACCCTTTCCATACCACCAAGAACTCATAAGCGCAGCTTGTGCACCGACCTCTCCGACGAAGATGCGGTGAGCAGCCATAAAAGCGACGCAGAAAGCCACCCATTACCAAAACTAAACCGTCTGCCATTTCGTATCCATCTCCATCCCCCCTTTTCCCTCCTCCCACACCTCCAGGATACCCCTACGCCACCCATACGTCATCGCCAATACGAAGCTCAGATGCAGTATCTCACTTCCCTTGCCACCAAGCAGTCGAAGTAGTCATGTTGGCGCGTCTAGCGCTCGCCAACGACTCCGGCACGATAGTGGTGATGAGCTTGGTGGCCGTGGTGGTCGGCATCGTCAGCTCCTCCTCCCAGACGCGTTCGGCCCACTCGGGGATGGTGGTCATGGTGGCCACCCACTCCGATCGGATCTCCCTCCACCACACTTCGGAGCTCTCCGGGGGCGGCAGGGTGCGGGGGGGAGTGTCGGTGTATGTTGCGATGGCTGAGCCGGGTTCTGGATAGATGGATGGATGTTAGTGTGGAGGTTGGGGGTTGGGGGATGGGGTTGCGTTTGACGCACGCCACATTGAATGCCACCAGTCCAGCGTTGTTGATTCTTTTTTGTGCTTGCCGTGCTTGCCGTGCTTGTGCTTGTTGTTGTTGGCTTGGACGAGCAAGATGGCTGATAGGAGGAGGATGAGGATGGTCAGGCGCGCCATGATTGTTGGTTGTTGGAGGATTGAGAGCAGGTGATGGATTGGAGTAGAGATGAAAGTAGCTGAAAAGATGAGGAGAGAAGAGAGCACTTATTTATATTCAGGAGGAGAAATTGACTCTCGTTCCTTATCACAGCGATGTCGCCAAGCTCCCTACCATTTTCGCTCATTATACGGTGCGTGATCAATCCAATAAAGGTTCCACGTGGTGGCAAGAAATGAAAGGTGGCGGAGTGACAGACTGCAGAGCCCGGGCACTGGTGCCATGTCTCTGCGTCGAAATCGTAGCTATTTGGTCCCACCTTTGAATGGCAAATCCTTACGCAGATCCAGTCGGGCACGCGCGAATGTCATGTACATGTAGGTGGCGACTGATTAGAGCAGTGTGGTAGACTGGGCAATATGGAGCTCAGTGTGCGGGTTGCGAACCATGTAGGGAAGCTAGTCGACACAGGCTCGAAAGTATTGGCGGGAGGATCGATGGCGATTTCGCCTCTCTGCATGCTCTGACATTTGGACTGGTACAACGGAAATCGGATGTCCTCAAAAGACATGTCCAGCGCGAGAAGGCGAGCCGTCGGGGGGGGCAGATTCTGACAGCAGCTCGCTCCAAATGAATACATCTGAGCCAAAATCGAAAGTGTGCGTGCTGGAAAGGCTCAACTTGTGGATCCTTGACCTTGACATCGAGAATACTGGTCGAACCACAGTTGCAAGAAGGGTAGAGGTGAGAGAGGTGAGGTCGAAATATTGAAGCCTGGACTGTGTGTTGGCAGATTCACGCTAGCCGCATGCGGCCAATTTGTCCTCCACTCTCCTCGGTCGCCTCTTACCACACCGCTGAGCATCTTCCTCTGTACAACCCTCCAAAGGGGCCCACCCCGACCTCGTGCAGTCATACGGCGCAGCATGCAAAGCAAAAGTCTCTCCTGACGGGAAGAATTGGCTCGATAGCCAGATCCCTTCATCGAACCACGGGGACGCGTGGCTGCCCCCGTGGATCTCAAAGCATCGTCTGGAATGTCACAGCACCCTTGTATGCCTCGAGAGACAAGCTGCGCATGTAGACGGTACCTTGCGATAGGCGCCGGCGCTACGGACATATCACGCTATCTACAGCGGCCTGTTGAAGTATAACCCCGGGACGAGCTGAGTGGGCGCTTATCTCGTTTCAGCCCGACCATGTCGCTACATGACGAACGTGCTCCGAATGTACATACGAACGCTGTTTGATGGCGAACCCATCATCAGTCACTATATATGGTTCTCGAGCGACGACTTTACGGGTTTGCTGATCAATCGCTCGGAGCGCCGTCGAAAATGTCGATGAGAGATCTTCTTCAGGCATATCAACACCCAACTGTGCCGCCTGCATACCGCTGAAACACGTAGAAGAAACCCGCGAGCTCCAGGCCGAGCAGCTTATGACTTCAATTCGAGGACAGCCCCAGGGGTTTGGCCCTGTAAGCGCCGCCTCAGCGATGCAGTAAGTGCTAGGAGAATTTGAGGAGGTGCAATACTCTCATATTTCATTCTTTGCGGCACCTTCCTGATGTCCATCTGCCTTGTTCGACCGTGAGGCCGACACTATGTGCTCCATCATTTGCTTGAGGGCACGGTTATCATCATTGCTGTGGCTCTTCCCCATCATTTGTTGCAATGCGTTTACCGCCTCTTCGAACGCGTCTCGATTCGCCAACACGAACTGTTCGGTTGTGCTTCCGTACGGTACTCAATACGAGTGGCGCTTCTCAGCTGGTACAACCCGCAGACCAGTTGCAACTAACTCTGCGGGAACACAAATCACCAATATAACCTTCACGACCAGCATCTTCGCAACAGACGGGAAATGGGAGTTCCAAACGACGCAGACTGTCGTGTCAGTCCAACTCTTCCTTGCACTCGGTCGCGAGAGCTAACAGCAACAGCACGTTTCCAACGGCATTTCTTGTAGATGCTGATCAGTATGCATGGGCCACGGGACCGGCAACGACAACCACGCAGTTCTTTCCCACCGTATACCCGCACGCTCAGTTATCGAACTTTGATTGGGCTGCCATCGCGCCCTCGGGCGACCTTGGTGGCCTCCTCTTCACCCTCGCCCCGACTGTCACCAGCCTCAACGGTATCGGTTACTATCGATCGTTATATCCAAGCATCGGACCTATACAAACTTGCCAGCCAGCAACACCTCTACAAATCTTCGATCAGCCTCCAGGAGTGCTTAACGTTGGCACTCTTGAGCTGCCAACTTTCTCGGTGGGCACTCCAACAACTTCCGGTCAGAGCTCCTCTCTTGAGGCCAATCTCACCGTAACCCTCGGCTCAACTCACGTCAGCCTCACCACTGTTGCATTGTCGGGAACATCGACGAGTGATGAATACGCTGGAGCTACCACAGCCAGCCACTCAAGCGCAGTCGGCTTTGCTACGCCTTCTCCAACGACTCGCATCGCAAGTGCTACCGCCGCTTCCTCCGATCAGACGTTCTGGCCCCCGACGGACCACTCCAACCGTCCAACACCTTTTCAGCCCTCAGAAACAGCAGGAATATATATCAATGGCCACCCGCTACCATTCAACAGCACCATCACGCTAGGCACGGGGCCAACACTCACGGCGATTGCTCTGGAGACAAACAGCGCAGGCCGCACCGTGCTGTATGGCAACATTACGACGACAGGTCCTACTTCTATTCCCTTGCTGAGTTCCAGCATCACCGGCAATCCGACCTCGCCGTCTGTCCGGTTGCCGAGTATTGTGTCGAGTCTAACGCCGACAATTGTATACACGAATGACACGTCGAAGGGAAGGAGCTTGCGAGCGGATATACGACTGCTAGCTTTGCTATTGCCAGTACTGGCGTGGTGACGGGTACAGTGACGTTTAGTCTCTTTTGTTCTCGATTTAGGCGACATGGCTTCTCTGCGGAGCCTCTGTGGCAGCATGTAGCTATGAGTACACAGTTTCATTTCTAGTACAGAGGTTCTATAGCACTTGGCCGCCGTAGTAAACATTCCTTACATCCACCATCTTCCTCCCTCTCCCTCGTGCGACGTCTTCGGGTATGCGTTGTTTGGTGAGTGCTTGGAAAGCAGCCTTGACCACGTTCATTTTATTACGTGACCGAGGGGTACGGGCGGCCAGATCGCTTATACCCGCAGCGCGTGCGAGTTCGAAGATGAGGGACTGGCAGCGATTGCCGAAGCCTGTAAGGTTTTAGCCAAAAGCAATCTCGGGCGCGAAGCACCTCGTGAAGTGACCTACCGGGAGGACGCGAGCTGAGCTGGACAATTGTCGCTCCCACTTTCCCTTCCACCTCGCCATAGATGGTGCGCTCTTCGTACCGTGCAACCGGCTTCATGTTACGGATGGCGTTCATCATGGCCTGCCGTCTCCCGTCTTCCGTCTCCGCAGCCTTTCCCTCTCCAATTCCCACCATGCCATCCTCATTCCCGGCAATGGTAAGGAAGTATATGGATTGAATTTTCCCCATTCGAGTCTGGTTCACTACGCGATGGGAGACGAGGTTCTTCACGCGGATTCGTTTGATCTCATCCAGGCTCAGGCCGGTTTGCTGGCTCAGACGAAGCATAGGGAGATCCACCTCTTCTTTCTCTTCCTCCACCGGCGTCGCTTCGAGGCCACGCTTCTTCGATCCTGGATTGCGTCCCTCTTGCAGCCCGCGTTGCGCTTGCTCGATGTCTTCGGCGGTCAGAGGTCGGTCTAGGATAGGTCGCATTGTGGCAAAGTCGTCGAGGTACTTGATGCGCATGGGATCGGTTCGCATCCGGCCTTGCTGCGCCATGTCCACCGCACTGACCGCCTTTTCTCCCGCTTCGATGATCTTCATCTGCTCTGATGTGTATTTGAGCGATAGTAGCTTCTTCTCTCGCGGCGTGTACTCGGAGTAGCCTGCTTCACTGAGCTCGGAGGCTTTCACACTGGGGAAACGTTTGCGGGCTTGAGAAGAGGAGGAGGCGTGGAATTGCCGGCGTATCGGGGGATGCTGGGCGGCATGTCTGAGGCGACAGACGAGGCATTGAAAGGATTTGGTGGTCGACATGGCGAACGCGGCGCTCCTTGGACGCCTTTGATGGTCGCGTGCGCGAGCAGGTGGTGGAGGAGGATGAAGTGAAGAAGGTCTCGGCACTTTTCCGCAAGTGGAATCGAGATGAAGATGAGGCTTGGCGTGGTCGTCGACGTAATGAAATCTTTCCTACGAGGCGCATTCTCACTACACACACAACAAGAAAGACATGGCTCTTCGAGGCGGTCTTGCGAAGACACTCGGATGTTATGGGTGCCAGCAATGGATCTTGCGATCCTTCATCGCCGTTGCTGCGCCCTCCGCAGCCTTGACTCCGTCCATCCGAACCTCCCCTCCTCAGCGACACTTTTCCCGCACGAGACATCTACGGAACGAACATGAGAGGAGTGCAGAAGGAGGAGACGAGCATCCACTCAATACAATCAATGATGCAACCGCTGCAGGACCGGAAGCGATACCTGCGACACCAGAAAAGAAGCAGGGAACTTACGTTCCGTGGTATCTCCAGGTACAACAACCGCTTCCTCCGTCACAGAGTCCGCCAGCCCATCGCCAAAAGATCCCCGATCTCCCTCCAAATCCTCCAGAGCTCTTGAATCCGCTACTCCAACATGTGTCCGTGGAACTGGGCATGGACGACCTCTCACTCCTCGACCTCCGCTCCCTCGATCCACCTCCTGGATTGGGCGCCAATCTCTTGATGATCATCGGCACGGCAAGATCAGAGAAACACTTGCATGTCTCGGCAGATCGGCTGTGTAGATGGCTGAGGAGCGAGTATAAACTTACGCCGTATGCGGACGGGCTGCTTGGGCGGAACGAGCTGAAGCTAAAGTTGAGAAGAAAGGCGAAAAGAGTGCGATTGATGAGTGCTGTAGGAGCACAAGACACGGCAGATACAGACGTTGACGACGGCATTCGTACGGGCTGGGTGTGTGTGAACGTGGGCGAAGTCAAAGGCGGTCAGTTGCCAGCGAAGAGTCAGGAGGCGTTGGAGAGGCCAGACATTGTCGGATTCGGCTCGCGGACCGAAGGCTCGAACGTGGTGGTGCAACTGCTTACAGAGGAGAAGAGGGGAGAAATTGACCTCGAGAGGTTGTGGACTGATGAACTCGAGCGATCCGAGAAGCGGCAGCAGAAGCTGCAGGCTTCCGAGAGGAAGGAAGCAGAAGCGCTGGAGTCGGGAGATTCTGCAACGCCAACTCAGCCTGCGAATGCAGACAACATCCAGCGAAGGTCGTCCGATGTCTCCGCCGACTTCGCCTCAACCTCCGGCCCTGCTCAACAACTCCGTGCCTACCACACTTCAGCGAGACGGATGTCGGCGTTGGCAGAAGCTTCCTCCTCCCCTGCGGCCAGCGACCTACCTGCGCTCTCTCTCCAAAAACACCTATCGGCACTCAAACAGCTTCCATCGAAGCGAGCCCTCGAAGCCTTAGGGACCAACTTCATGAGTGAATTTCAGCGGCTCGACCATGACGATCATCAGATCCGCAGCTTAGGTTCCGGAGAAGAGGTCGCCGAGCCCCCATTTGTGAACAGCTTTTACTCTGCCATGCCTGCCTTTCCCGGGTCAGAACATTGGCACCAGCACATCGAGCTGCTGGCCCACGGGCGCCAGCTCGGCCACGAATCTCTTCACAGCCACGTTCTTGTCGCGCAACTCCAGCATATGCAGGCAGGCGGCGTCATCCCCGAAGAGCGGACCTTCAAGGTCGTCCTGCGCTCCATCTTGGCGCCGCTTGGAAAGGTGATGCCGTACGACGGGATGGATAATGTTCCTAGCACCCCCAAGGTGCAGCTGGTCCTCTCGGTGCTCGAGGACATGGAGAATTGTGGCTACGATCCCGTCTCCTCGGAAGTTCTCGAAACCCTTTTCCAAGCTTTTGTCGGGCTTCCCTCGCACCCATCCCAGACGTACAAACTGCAGACCCTGCTCTCTGCACTCGATGCTTCCCGTATAAAGCGGCTCCTGTTGGGTTCGAGTCCGAATTGGGAGGCATTCTGGCGCATCTGGCGCTCCTACCCCAGTCGCTTCATGTCCCGCACGAGCGAGCAGTATACGCTTCTGTTTGAAGCTATCGGGGAAGGCAAGCTAAGGAATTCGCTGGACGAAGCGAGGCAGATCTTAAGGACGACGCTTGAGGAGATGGAGATGGAAGAGCCGGCTGTCAACGTCCAAGACGATGTCAGTCTAGCGAAGGCGGTCCAAAAAGCGATCGAGGTTGTAGTACCGAAGGTTGGAGATGCAAATGGCGAAAGGGAATGGAAGGTTTGGTGGGAAATGTGTCGGAGAGGTGGCGCTGCCGCAGATGCTACCACGTGAGCTGGTCGTTTGAGCACTCCTAAGCAGGGCGCAATGCTGAGCAGGGCAATCTGACCATTTGCGGAGCCTGACCCGGACACCTTCCCACCCATACCCCGGGGATCACCGGCAAGTTCGCGATTGGAGGCCTACTCACGCAGGTACGCGGTGCTCGTGGAGATCTTGGACGTTTCAGTCTACATCCGTGCGCAGCGGCCACGCACGTCTACGAATGCCGCCATCCCCAATGCGCTCATCGTGGACGATGACCGAGGGTCGCATCGATGCTGGGATGAACCCGGTGAGCACGCCGCCACCCCCTCGAGCTCTCCCGCCTCGAGCTCAGCGACAGGAGTCTGCTGCGCTCGCACTCCCCTCCAGGAATAGACGCGCGAACGCTGGCGCCCTTGACTCGGCAGCCCTCTCGCTCGCTGGACCCTGCACCAAGCCTGACCAAGCCTGACAGCGGCACAGCAGCCGGAGCAGGAGCCTGCTCCGATCGCTGAGGGATGCCCATCCTGTCAGCCTTTCTCGGTACGCTGCAAGGATCATCGCGAGGCGACGGCCGAGGGGCGCACGAGGTCAGATCTCGAGCACGTGTGGCTCGATGCTTCTGGACAGGCAGACAAGTACGATACAGGCCGTACCGTTGGTGTACAAGAAGTATAGCATAAGGACCTAGTCCACGTTCCAACCACGCGTATACAGTAGACATCACTTCCAAAGTCTCCACGTCGTCCAGCCTTGTGGTGGCCCCGGTGATCACTCGCTGTGGATCTACGACGGCTTTCCACGCGCTTCTCACCGCCACGCGTGCCTCGCACGGTTGTCCAATGCTAGTTATACCCGCGGGTGGCCATTGACCTATTTGTCAACCGGGGTGGAAAAAGAAAACCATGATGGTTGGCCGAATAGCCATTAAGGTGATGAGACCAGAAGGCACGGTGTTATAAGAGCCACTCCATTTCCCTCCCCGACCTTTTTTGCTAGCATCCACCCTCCACTACCACGTTACCACCCCAACTCCCTCTACTCCACGCCTAGATCCACTTGGACTCACCCTTCCCTTCGGCCGTCAGAAGCCACCACTCGAGCGCACAGCAAGCCACCAACATTTCTTACGAACGCGGAAAGTAAGAGCTATCCATGACAAAGAAAAACCGCACCTGCGCGTAGATCACTGTTGGCGGACGAACGGCGCCGAGCTCGTCGGACGGGCAGCTTCTTGGTCGAGTCGCGTAGCTCGACTGCCCTCTCGAGCAGAGGGGCAAAGGATTTCGCACCAGCGGCAGCAGGGATTACGTTTACTAGTGGGGGGCTGAACGGATTCCGCAAAAGATCACACACGTTCAAACTCGTGCAGGAGGAGTCTGGAGCTCGATCTTTGCGGCTGCTGCTGCTGCCGCGACGGAATTCCTCGCCACCGAGAGACATGCACAAGATGCCAATGCACAGACAGGCGGACACTCTTGCACGGCCCTGCCACGCAAGTCGCCAAACGTGGGATTCTGGTTGGACGCTTTTAGCTTTTGATGGGCGTCGCGGGCGGAGCCTGCTCCGCAATCCCCAGAAAAAGGGTCCTCCGCATCTCCACAAGCCGAGCAAAATTGTCTTTGGCTGAGGCAGAACACCAGGACAAGCGCTCGCACGGAAGGAAACGACGCCGGATCATGCGGCATCTAAGAGGCTGTTCCCATGAAATTGCTCACGGCGCCAATCCGTAAGCGTGGGCGGCAGGGGAAACAAGGTGCTGAGGATGAGCGCGCCGCCAACATCACGAGAGCTCTCGTTGCCCCGCACCTGTTACACCTCCACACAGCCCACCCGCGTTTCGATGGAAACTAGGGTAGCTCTCCCATCTCACCCTCTGTTTCCGTGGAGCCGAGCGTGGCCCTAGTCCAATGATCCTCACGCGCGTCTTCATGCCCTGCATGCCGCCGCAGAACTCTGCTCGACACTAATCGCGTCAAGGCTTGGTTCTCGACCCGGCATTTGCTGCGAATGCAACCATGTTCGGGTACATGGATGGGGGACTGTTAGCGTCCAGAGCTCACCTGCTGTCCGCGGCCTGGTGCTAAGATTGCGCCTCGCGACCCGGCGGCCCGGACATCGTACATGCAGCCTAGCTTCGATAATCGCGGACCCCGGAGAGGAGGATGGGGACCATCTGGCCGAAAGGGACGCTCAACCCCTCCTTTGCGATGGGTCGACGTGGGGCACGCTTCGAGACGGCGAATCTCTCATAAGTAGGTCGGGCCAATGCTCTCCCTCTCGTGCCTTTCTTCTTTCCTCAAGATCCTATTTTCACGTCAGTTCGAAAACAGTCTACTTTCCCCCATACACCTTTCCAAATCCAGAATCCAACAACCCCACCCAAGATGTCCGTCCCAAAGACCCAGATGGCCATGGTGTGCGAGAAGTCCGGCGGCCCTGTGGTTTACAAGGAGATCCCCGTCGAGGAGCCCAAGGCCGACGAGATCTTGATCAACGTCAAGTACTCCGGTGTGTGCCACACTGACTTGCACGCCGTCAACGGCGACTGGCCCCTGCCCACCAAGCTCCCGCTCGTCGGTGGCCACGAGGGTGCCGGTGTTGTTGTTGCCAAGGGCAGCTTGGTCGACGACTGGGAGATGTAAGACGACCCTCATGGCGATTGCCTTTTGCAAGTTGTGCTAATGTTTTCCTGCAGCGGTGAGGGCGCTGGCATCAAGTGGATCAACGGCTCTTGCTTGCAGTGCGACTTCTGCCAACAGGCCGGTACGTCGATGAGCTCCAAGAGACAATGAGATCCACTTACTGACGTCCAACAGATGAGCCTCTTTGCGCGAAGGCCCTCCTCTCCGGATACACTGTTGATGGGTCCTTCCAGCAATACGCCATTGCGAAGGCCGCACACGCCGCCCGCATTCCCAAGGACGTCGCCCTGGACGCCATCTCCCCCATCCTGTGCGCCGGTATCACCGTCTACAAGGGCCTGAAGGAGTCTGGTGCCAAGCCCGGCCAGACCGTCTGCATTGTCGGTGGTGGTGGTGGTCTCGGATCCATTGCCCAGCAGTACGCCAAGGCCATGGGCCTCCGAACAATCGCCATCGATGCCGGTGAGGAGAAGCGAAAGATGTGCTTGGAGCAACTCGGCTCCTACGCCTTCATCGACTACTCCACCAGCAAGAACGTCATCAAGGATGTCCAGGCCGCCACTGAGGACGGTCTCGGCCCGCACGCCGTCATCCTCGTCGCCACCAGCGAGAAGCCCTTCCAGCAGGCCGCCGAAGTAAGTTTACTACCCATACATTCTTTTGATGATCATTCGCTAACTCCTGTTGCAGTACGTCCGGTAAGAGATCGTGGAGAGATCAAGTTCAGCTGCTTCGAGATCGATCGCAAAGATCGCTTGATCAGAGCAATGGATTTCTTCTACCCCCGAAGAGATGTAAAGCACTTGCTAACCCTGTGTAACCAGCCCGAGGGGAACTGTTGTGTTCATCGGTCTCCCGGCCGGTGCCAAGGTGGTCGCCCCCGTCTTCGAGTCCGTCGTGAAGATGATCACCATCCGTGCCTCGTACGTCGGCAACCGCAAGGACAGCTCCGAAGCCATCGACTTCTTCCGCCGCGGCCTCATCAAGGCCCCCTTCAAGGTTGTCGGTCTGTCCGAGCTCCAGAAGGTGTACGACCTCATGCACGAGGCGAAGATTGCCGGTCGTTACGTCCTCGACACCTCGAAGTAAGCGTCGGGTTCAAACAATGGAGGTTCTGTGCCAGGGCGAACGGGAGCCGTCGCGGTTGTATGCAGCCAGTGGTAGATAGTCCCCAGTATCAAGACGCGCACTCGGATCATTTCTCCAGATACCGTTTATCACGTCAAGAGCGAGTTGTATGATCTGTCACCTGCGCAGATGGCACGCACAAGTCTAGATCATGATTCGTGATCCTGTTTGTGACAAGGTCTGCGACAGTGTGAAAGCGGTGTGTGGGAAGTCGACGGATGTGGTTCTCCGGGAACAGCCACGGACCAATCGGCAGCCACGCGAGAGGACGTGGCCACGGCGCGGGCCGGGAGCCGCCCCGCCACGTCCAGCCACGTCTCAGGAGTCGCGCTAGAGTTTGAGCTCCTTCGCGGTGCACCCCAGCGATTGAACGATCCCAATCTGCTCGGGAAAGGGCAGAAGCATCACACCCCGTCGTTCGGCAATGCTGGAACCGGGCGTTTACTCAAGCGGTGCCCAGCCATCAGCGCCGAGACGAGGACTGCTCGCGTAACACAAGGTCTCAGGTTGGACACTCAATTATGGTGTCGTCTGGCCACACCATAGTGGAGACCCTCGTGTTACACCTTGTCAAGATGGCGAGGCGAAACGGCAAAATGTCAGAGGCCGAAACCCTAGCCTAACGGTTGACGTGCACGGCTTCGTTTGTTCCTTTCGTTTATTATCTAACCTGGCATCTGCACCTTTCCTTCTCACGGTAACAGATACTTTCTTTTCTTTCTTTCAACTTTCCTCGTTGTGCCGCCGATCGAATCCAATCTCTTCCATTCGTTATCTCCCTGGTGGTTGATAGTCTTTCTTTGATCTGAGAGCAACTCTTCGATAGAGGCTCATCACCATCATTCGCATCACCAGAAGCCGACGCTCCTTTGCAATCACCAGCACGATCTCTTTCAACAATCCTTGCCCGCGTCGACCACCATGCATTCGACGCATCTTTTCCTAGTCATTGCCATCATCGGCACGCTCGCGCTGGCCGCACCAACACGTCGCTCACATAACGGGCCGGGCAAACACTCCTTCCGCATTCATCACAAAGGCCGGCCGACGCTATCAGCACACGAGGCGCTAGCGCACGCATACCGCAAACATGGATGGGATTTCAAGTGGGATTCCAGCAGCTCTCTTCAGTCGACTGGCGATGCGAACGAATCTGACAACTCCACCACGGGGAGCTCCGGCGGAGGCGAAGTGACCGCGACACCCGTGCAGCATGATTCTGCCTACATTGCTCCGGTCAACATTGGCGGCCAGGTCTTGAATCTCGACTTCGACACTGGCTCCTCCGACCTATGGGTATTCAGCACCGAGCTTGCGCAGGGCGCCGGTGCCGGGCACACTTTGTTCGACGCGTCGAAGAGCAGCAGCTTCGTCGACTACCAGGGCGCCACATGGTCGACGCATTATGGCGATGACAGCTCTGCCTCTGGTAGTGTTGGCTTCGATACGGTCTCTATCGGCGGCGCAACAGTTGAGAAGCAATGCGTGGAGCTCGCTGAGCAGACCAAAGGCTTCGAATCGCTCCGAAAGAGCGACGGCCTGGTTGGGCTCGCATTCTCCTCACTGAACCAAGTCAAACCACAACCGCAAAACACGTTCTGGGAGAATCTTCTCCCTCAACTCGATCAGCCCGTCTTTACCGCCGATCTGGACGAGAAAGCGACGGGCAGCTACGAATTCGGCACCATCGATACCAGCAAGTTCACCGGCGATATTCAGTATGCCGATCTTGCCAGCAACATCGGATACTGGCTAGTCGATTCGCAAACTTACAGCATTGGCGGCAGTCAAAGAGAATGTCAGCTGTGCAACCCGGCCGTCATCGACACCGGCACCTCTCTCCTCCTTGCCGACGAAGATGTCGTCACGGCATACTACAAAGAAGTCGAGGGCGCGCAGTATTCTCAGTCCACCGGCATGTTCAGCTACCCATGCTCTTCCGAACTTCCCGATCTGGGCCTGGCGATTGGGAGCGGATACACCGCTGTACTGAAGGGTTCGGGTCTCACGTATGTCAAGGAGAACGGACAGTGTATAGGTGGACTCCAAGTGGGTGCGACCACATCCGGATCCGTGCAAATTTTTGGCGATGTGTTCTTCAAGCAATTCTTTGTGGTCTTCGACGGCGGCAATTCGCGAGTCGGTGTTGCACCGAAGTCAGCATCGACATGAGTGTTGTGAACAATACGCAAAGTCGAGTCTGAAACGCTTGCTTGCAGAAGTAGTGTCAAAAACTGATCTCGCTTTCCATTCATCTCGCCTTCCACACTCTCTTTGTAAGTCGTGGAAGTGACCATTCTATGGCTACGACTCTCCGCTGCTTGTACCTGCCTCTGCAAGGCTGGTGCGTCAGGAGACGGTTCACAGTCATGCCATCCATAGCGCATGCTAGCCTCGTAGCCGCGGCGCGCAACATCCTCCACGCCATGCGGGAATTCCTGCATCCCATGCTCGCGAGCTTAGCACCTTGCACTCTCTTGCAAGGCCCAAATGACTTATAGGTGCCCTGCACACCCACAAAGCCACGCCGTTGCACTCCAGCGAGATGGCACCACCCACCACGAGCGCAGACACAGCACACACCTCGAAAGTGCCGTTCAAGCAAAGACAAACCCCCATCACCCCCTCTGCGCCCCATCATCCCCCAAAATCTCCTGCTGCAGCACAATACTATACACGCTCGCCTTGAGCAAAGTGAAAACGGTAGTCGTCTTGCGCTCCAATCCCCTCAGCGCGTCCAGAATCTCCGCCGAGGGATTAGAGGCCAATTCCGACAGGATGCCGGATAGCTGCGCGGTGTTAGTTAGCTGGGCCTCGCTCGAGGAGGTGAGGGGAAGATGGGGGAAAGGGGACGGACATCGTCTAGATTGCCGACGAGTTTGGCGTACTCGTCTAGCACTTCTTGTTCGAGGGGGGAGAGGCTTGCTTCATCGTCTAGGGTGGTGGGGGGTGGGCGCGTGGAGGCGGAGGCGGAAAGGTCCATTTGGCTGGTGAGAGATGCGATTTGATGAGATCTTCGAGTAGGTTGTTCGGTGTGTTGGTATTTTGCGCCGCGCATTCGGTGTGAAGTGGATGGTAGGCTCTATGCCGTTGGTTCTCAGCGGTTGTTGGTCCGACGTGTCGCGAGGGCAGGTGAAGACGCGAATGGTGACTAAGCACCACAAGCCGACCAATCACGTACGCAGGAAGCAGCTTCAGGTGGTAGATGAACTTCACAATGACAACCCTCAGAAAGACAAGAAACAAAAGAGGGCATCGTCAAAGTGCAAACGAGCATATCATTGATCTCATCACCACGGCGTACGTCCGGACCAGCCACCACTCATCTCTAAAGAAAGGACACCGTAATAGCCAACAAGCGCAAAACGCCCCGTTCCCCCATGGGCGACCGTCCGGACACAAATAACAATAGCTTTTTCCCCTTGTTCACGCGCCGCGGTAACAGAGACATGAAAGGACCTTGCCAATCCACATCGCGTTCATGGTCATGGCCCGCCCCCTCGTCTCGTCCTCCCTCACCCAAAATGGTGTGGTTGACTTTCCCTCGCACTACCGATGCCCATTGCTGTGCTCCATATCGACATGCCCGTGTTGATCGCCATCATGATGCAGCGTAACGCTATTGAACTCCTCGAACGGATCCGCGATTTCCCCGCCCGGCGTATCAAGCCCACTGTCGAGCGGTACGCCCTTCATCTTACTCGCGGGTATGCTCCACCCTTTATTCTTGCCCGCGACCGGCGAGCCGAGATCGACGGAATGCGATTCCTTGACGTTGCGGAAGTTGATGGTGTCGATGCCGCGGCCTTGGTTGGGGATGATGGGCGGTTTTTGGTGGCGGAGGAGAGCCCAGGAGGTGGAGCGGAAGAAGGGCTGGGCTTTGACGTCTGAGGCGCCCGCGCGCGATCCTAGTCGTCGAAGTTCGTCTTTGATGAGGAGCTTGCGGATGAGACTCTTGCATAGGCTGAAAGATGCGGTCGTTAGCAAGCCGTGACCCATACGCAGGCATCAAGGTGGAGGCGAGACTCACTTGGAGATATTGGGATAGCCCGAGCCTTCAGGGAAAGGCACCTCATCCTTCAAAATGTTCGCAAATGTCGCGTTCCTGTTCTTGCCCTTGAAAGGCGTCGTGCCGTACAGCATTTCGTAGATGAGGATGCCGAGAGTCCACCAATCGACTGCACTCGTGTGCCCGCAGCCTTTGATAACTTCAGGAGCAATATATTCCTCCGTCCCCACGAAGCTGTTTGTTCGGAAGTTCGCAATGCAGCTCTTGGTGTCTATCGTGGGCATGTTGTTCGGACTGGGGTTAGAAGTGATGCCTCCGGTATGTGGACGCGATGAGTTGGAGGTGCTTGCAGCGAGGAGCACGGCTGGAGCACCGCCTGGATCGGATTGCTTGGACAGATCAAAGTCCGAAAGCATGATATGGCCGGATTGGTGGAGAAGGATGTCTGGTAGGTATGTTAGCATGTCGACGGAAGACTTCTGCGTGACCTCGAGACACATACTCTCCGGCTTGAGATCTCTATAGATGAAGCCCATGAGGTGCAGGTATTCTAACGCGGCGGTGACTTCTGCGGCGTAGAAGCGAGCGGCATCCTCGTCCACACACTTGTTTGGCCGCGTCTGCAACGCGCGGAAGAACTCTCCACCGCTGCAGTACTCCATGCAGAGATAGAGATGGTCTTCGGATTGAAATGAGTGGTAAAGAGTAACGATGAAGGGGTGGTTGGAGGTTGCCAGAATCTCCTGCTCAGCGAGGGCGCGTTTGATCTTGTTCCGCTTGATCATCTCCTTTTTCGAGAGGACTGTACGATGGTCAGTACTGCCGGTACCTCATTCTCCTGCTGCATATCCAACTCACCCTTCATGGCGTATAGCCGTGAACTCTTCTTCTCCCGCACCAAATAAACCTTGCCCACGTCCCCCTTGCCAATCATCTTAATCTTGTCGAAGCTGCCCGGGCCAACCTCGACATTGCCCACCTTGATGCTGTTGCTGCTGTATGTTCTCCGGAATGCCACAGCGTTCCTGATCTTTCCCGGACTCAACTCGCCATTGATGCCAGGGATGCCAGGCACAGGCAAGAGGTCCTGCTTTAGCGGCTGGGGCATCGGCTCGGCCACGGAAGGCGCAGAGGTGTTGCCGTGTGCGCCGAGCTTGCTGCTGGGTTTGGTGGGGGAGTCGAGCTCGGCGGTCTGTGGTCTGCTGTCGCTGCTTCCATTGCTCTTTCCTTTGAACAGTCCCTGGGCATTGGGGGCGCTGGCGACACGACGTAGTTTGCGCGCCAGTTCATCGATGCCAGTGGCACCAGCGCCAGCGTCCTTGGCCTTCGCCGCCTTCTTCAGTGCTTGTGGGGTGTCGGGAGGAGAGGGAGGGACGCTGGTGTCGTCGTGGTGCCGCAATGCCGGAGGGCCTTGATGCTGAAAGTAAGGATTGGCCTGGGCGGTGGGACTGACGGCATCGTCCAAAGCGGTGCCCTCGGAGGCGACGGTGGTGCTCCGGTTGCGGCCAAAGTAGTGAGGGATGAAGCGAGAGGTGCGCAGGCTGCCCTTCAGCGGCGGCACCGGGTCAGCGGGGGGCGGGGTGCTAGCGGCGTGGTCGTCGGTGGATTCGGTGTCCTTGTGCAGCGAGCCCGTCTCCGACTGCGGCTGGGAGGAGGCGGGGTCGTGGGACTTGGAGGTGGAGGTGATGCGGAAGAAGTTCTTGAGTTTCTGGCCCTTCTTCGCCGCGACGTGGTGGTTGGGGTGGAGCGGGGCGAGGGCGGGCGTCTTCTTCTCGGAGTGAGGCATGCTGGAGTGACGCTTGGCCGCGAGCGCCGCCATGTACCCGTCGTCGGCACCCGCACAGGAGAGAGGGAGGCGATCAATGGGTAGGAGGGATGTGGTGGGTGAGGTGGTGGTGGTGGTGGGAGGTAAGAGAGAGGCGGACTCCCTATGGCGATACCGTAACGTTACTGCCGATCCGAACCCTTGGCCGGCGAACGATCCGCTCTAGAACGAACGGCGGGCGGAACCCTGAGGTTGATGTTGCGTCGCTCGGCTTTACATGCCGTGATCTGCATTCACGCCACGCCGCTGCCACCGCCTTTTTCGCTACGCCTTTGTTCAATGGCGATGGAGGCCGGCGAGATGAAATACGTGGACATTTGAATGAAGGATGGCCGGCAGTCTCCTGGAATGAAGCCGTTACGAGTGACGCAAGCGAGCCTCCTGCAACCACCAGACCCCACCGCGTCCGTTTGGCCTGACTAATCCATCACTCATCACGGCATTAACATCGGGGGCAAGATTGATGTGAAATCAAGAAGGCAAGCAATCTTGGAAGTAATCCCCGCAAGGCCGCGCAAGCACTCCTCGTCACGTGGATTTACATATTGCATTGTCATTGTCTGCTCTCAATCACCCTCCTAGTCGAGCATCTCGATTTCACGTCTTCACAGTCCCTGCCGGCCGGAAGACCAGGTACAGCACGAAGACGATCAGAACCCCCCCAAGCCCCTTCCACAATGCCCCGTGACTGACCTCGTTCGGGAGCAGCCATTCACGGCAATCAAAGTCCGCCTCGGTTTGTGACTCCACATCACTCGAAGTCCCCGGAACGCAGATGTATCTAGGAAAGTCGAGGACCTGCGTCGGCTCAGCCACGATCGTGTCGCCGTTCTCGCCCTCGTCCTCGTCCTCGTCATCGTCGTCGTCGTCGCGGATGCTCTGTTCCCTCAGCCACGACTTGGTGATGCTAGCGTTCATCGTCCCGTAGCCTTCCGACTGTTGCGTCGACCACAAGATCGGCTCTCGGTCGCTCGGACCTGGCGTTGCGGCCCTCGGCCGTGTCGACCCCGGGGGCAACGCAACCGTCTCTCTCGCCGTCCTCCGTACGCTGGAAGATGCTTGGCCGTCAGGCGAGCGTGTGCGTTGCTGTTCGGTGGGAAGAATGACCACTTTGCCCGAAGGCATGATGAGTTTGCCTGGACTGCGATGATTCCCTGTATTGGACGGGGGATGGTAGATGGGGGCAAACCTGACGCTTCGCTGTTCTTGCTGCGTGTCTTCCAGAAAGGCTTGGCCATCGTCTAGCTGTGTGCTGTCGTGACGTTGTGCGGGTCCCATGGGATGGTCGTAGTCGGGTCTCTTTCCCTTGGCAATGTTGCTCATCCCATCATCACCCTTTCCTCATACACACTCTCTGCATCGCTCTCCATGTGTTCCTCGTCGTACTCCTCCCGTCTCCTATCCCTCGATTGCTCCGTGCTGTCCATCGGTTTGAGGTCAGTCAATGTGTGCGACAAGCACGCCACGGCCATGCAACACACGACCAAAGCCAAGTGTAGAAAGGCCAGAAGCATGGTGGAGAGTGTCGAGCAGGAAAGGAGAGAAAGAGCTCAGCATTTCTGCAGGTGTGTGGCATCTGCTGACCATTGCCCTCCATACTCGCGGACGACGCCAAGTCTGATAGCGCAACGACCCACTCTCCTGTTCATGAAGAGCATTCCTCTCCTCTGTCACAAAGCAGTGAGAACTCCCTCACAAGTCCTGGCTCGGTTGTCCGCAAGCTCAGGACCGCTTTTCCCATAAAGACAGAACGCCGAAGAGGGTGTATGGCTTGCCAGCCATCCCTTTCTGCCCGAGACCTAATCCCACGCCAGCTCATCCTGCCCAAACCCTGTCCCCAATCCTTCGGCGCCCTGCCGAAAGACCACAAAAGCAGAAGGGGTATCCTCGCTATCTCGTGCTGTAAATCCAGTAATCATCAGGATCGTCGTCCCGCATTCTTTCCAGCTGTCTCATCACGATCACAGCACGTGTTCGCGATGGTGCCCAATGAGTAGGCCAGGAGAGGCGATTTCGTCTGTCTCGAGGCGTCCCGCTAGAGAACGGCCTCCATTGAATCATAACCTTATCTGTTCCTCAACAGTGCTCATTCGATCAGAACCTTTCGCTGTCCCTGGATGATCGCGATGCCGAGAGCCCGCAGGCCAGCCGGATCATGAGCACGAATGATACTTGCCGCCGGAAGCATGGGATTGTCGGGGCTGATGTGAGCGGCGTCTTTGGCCGCTTGCTCAATCGCCTCCATTTCCTCTTTGCAGCCTGCGTGGTCGAATGGGCACACCACAATTGGCTGCCGGAGGAGAATGTCTCGTGCGGATGACAACTTCGCCTGCGTGAATGAGGAGTTAGTGGAACAGATGGTGGCGTAGAAGACGAAGGGGACACCGACCTTGACTGTGAGATAGTACTCAATCTTGTACAGTGTGCCCGTGGTTGTGAACCCCGCCACGGCGTACATGGGAAACTCTTTCTTCCCTCGTGGCAACACGCCCTCACTATCCCTTAGCTCGCGTGCAGGGAAGACCAAGCCCAGATTTGTAAAGTAGCCGGCCTCGGGCATTTTGACGCCAACACTCTGCTGATGCTTCGCCAACGTCTTGGTCTTCCGCACCGGCTCGTCGCCCTCGTGGTTATAGATGATCTCCTCGTCGATGCCGACTGTAATGGATTGTATCGTCACCTTTTTCGCCCTGCCCAACCAGTCGGGATTCGGTGAGAGCTTGATGTACACCGACACCGGGTCGAGTGGTCCATAACTCCATCTGGGCAGACTGATGCCGAGCGTGACGAGATGATCCGTCACTCTCTCCGCGCTTTCCGGCCGATTGTACATGCCGAATGTGCTCAGGGTGTCGTATCTCGATATCGGTACGGGGAAGGGGTACTTCCTCTGCTCTTGCGGGCCTTGTTGTACGGTGACGACGATTTCATAGAACGTCTCCGCCGATCGCTTGTCCAGTTGTAGACTCGCCGGCGGCACTCGCCTTGCAATCTCCTCTCCTCCTCTTCCATACGGGATGAAGATGACAAAAGGCAGATCCATGCATAATATCGGCTCCGACTCTCTGCCCGCGTGACATCGGTACAGAAGCATCTCCTTGCCCACAATGTCGGTAATTTCCTTCCGCGGTGATGAGAGCTGAGAGCGTAAGAGGGAGTCGGCGGAGGGATTGATGGATTCGCGGCGCTGTAGGGAGACGGTGACGAGGGATATGTTGACAGGAGCCGACACGCCCGCCGAGGGGCGAATCTCGACTCGGCCTTCTATTCGCGGGAGGGTGGCTGATATGCCGGGATAGCCAACCTGTTTGCCTTGAGTTAGACGCCGTCGCATACATCTGCTCCCGCCCATGCTTACCAGAAAGTTGCTATTCGGAGGGCCAGAGACCCGAACAAAGGCTGCCATGCCTTATCCGTGCCTGGTTGTCTCCCATGCACCGGGGCATTCCTTCCTCGGGGTGTTGGTAAAGCACAATGTGTCTTCCTCCCGCAGCTCCTCCCGGGTGAGGCTCTTCGTGCCAGGGGGTGGAGGGTATGTGCGCGACTAGCGTTGTGCGATCATACGGGCGGGGAGTATCGAAGGGGAAAGGCTGACGAAGGCTGCATGTGCTCGCGGAGGTACAGGCTGTTAGGTACAGATATCCATGCACGCCGGAGCCGCTGGCGCCAATCTCGTCTCTCGTCCGTGATGGGCTGAAAGTCTCGGGAAGGGAAGTCTCGGGATCGAATGATGCGATGTCTGTCTAGTAATGCGCCTGGAGGGAGTGTGTCAGGGCTGAAGGGTCGACGTCAAGCAGTGGATGGTACATGCACAATGAGCCTGGCACGCCTGGGCAACCGCATCATGTGCCGTCGCTCCTTCTTAGGGTTGCGATCGGTGGAAGCTTAATAAACGCGGCCCCGCAGGCCGGTGAGTTTCCCGAGAACCTTAAGATTTGCTGGCATTCCATCTTCACACCATCCATGACAACCGCATAGGTAGGCCGAGCAAAGATGTCGGTGACGCTTCACACGACCCAAGGCGACGTGAAGTTGGAGCTGTTCTGCCAGTCCACGCCAAAGACGAGCTACAACTTCCTGGCTCTGTGTGCGAGCGGGGCATACGATGGCTCTCCATTTCATCGATGCATCCCCGGCTTCATGGTGCAAGGCGGCTCGCCAGCGGCAGGATCTACCAAAGACAGCGAGTCCGTGTACGGCGGGATGTTTGAAGACGAAACCAAGTCTTCTCTGAAACATCACGCACGCGGGATTCTCAGCATGGCGAACAAAGGCCCACGCACCAACGGCAGCCAGTTCTTCTTGACATTCGCCGCCGCCCCGCACCTGGACGGCAAGAACACTGTTTTTGGCAGAGTACTTGAGGGTTGGGATGCTCTGGATCAAATCGAGGCTGTGCAGGTCGACAAGAAGAACCGACCTCAGACAGCGATCAAGATTGAACGAGTTACGATTCACGCCAATCCACTTGCGGACGAGAGATGAATGGGCATGTCTCGCTCCGCCACGATGCTCGATCGATGTGAATGGCAATTGAAAGCTCTTCGATGCAACTTCAAGCTCCACCGAGGTCTCTTCACGCGGATTGCCAACGTGAGCCCTTGGACATCACGTTATGCGGATTGCAGACTCTACTGGTGGAACTCAGTGACGGGAGAAAGCCGACCTCGAGAGGTGGATGCGCATTAGCGAACGAACTGGGGAAACGCGCCTGAGACATTAGGAGAGGGGTCTGGAAGTGAAGGTGTGTGGAGGCAGGACTGTCGTGGATTGGGACGTGGTCACGAGTGAAGTGCGCGCATGCCATCACGTGAGTTCGTTCTCGGTGTGCCTCGCTCCTTCCTTCTTCACCGAAACATGACGCGGTTGCCTGAACTTTCTCCGGCCCGCACGCAGCCCAAGCAATCTTGAATGCAAACGTGACCATCACTTCATTCATCCCGAGACAAACACCTCCTTCTTTCTTCAGCTTGTCTCTCTCTTACCAGTCATCCTTCCTCCACCTTACCATCCCGCAACTTCATTCCTACAGGCGCTACAACGCGCACCACAACCAACCCTTCACCCGCCCTCGCCAGCTCTCATGATGAGTAACCTCTGCTACAACTGCGGCAACTGCCACCTCCCGCGGCCGTGCGAGAGCGATCTCAAGTGGTGCAACATCTGTACGGTCCCCTTCATCGCTCAGCCAAACGAGAATGCTAACGCGTGATGTTCAGGCAGCAACTTCGGCCACGCCTTCAACTTCTGCCCTCTGAGCGTCAAGCAGAGAGATCCGAACTATCATGTCAGTTCACCGCTCTGCAACCCTCGTCGCACTTCACTGACTTTGTTCACAGTACTGGGCGTTGTGTCACAACTGCGATGCCTGGCATCTGCCGACTGCATGCACCGTCCCGCTCCACAGATGCGGTCAGTGCGGATCTGGAGGACACAAGGAGTACTTCTGTCCTGTCAATCCAATCGGTCGTCACGCCACTCAGGATGTGAACGCTCCCCAGAACGATCCTAAAGGAGACAATGGAGCCAAACGGCAGCGCACAGATGACGGGGAGAACAACTCGGCAGCCTCGCACTCACTGCGCCCGCGTCCAGGTCGGTTCCCTTCTTCTCCCGCTTGACGAACAGAGACTGATTTATGACGACAGAACTTGCGTACCAAATCCGCGTCGATGCCGCTCGTGACACCTTCTACTATCTGGAACGCGGCTACTCGAAGGATCACATCCTCAACTTCATGATCTCCGGAGTCCAGCCAATGCTCCCCACCAACACTGCATTCTCCTTCCCACCCCCGCCCGTCGCCAGCGCTGCGCCCTCCCAGAACATCATCCCCACTTATCAGACACCAGGCAACCCGACTCAGTCTCTCTACACGACTCAGCACAACCGCTTCGCCACGGGTGAGCTCGCACAGACCACAGTGACCAACAATCTGCCGTCCAGCCCTCCCGCAACTCGCAAGAAGCCCGCAAAGAAACCGACCAAGAAGGCGCAGAAAGCGGCAAGCACGGTTCCTGTCAGTGTCGCACCGCAGCAGACCCCATCGCTTCCCAACGCCTCCATGGACAACAGTGGCTTCGTCGGAGCAGCGACTCAAGCTTGGGCTTACCCGCCAACCCCGGTGTCTGCTCAAGCATTCACGCCCCACGGCGTACCCAATGGTCAAGCCCAACGCGTCCTCGCTCCCGCCTTCGACCCCGCGAGGGATGCCGCTCAAGCAGCGTTCTCGGAGCTCATCCATTCCGATCAGAGCACCGCACCAACTCAAGGTACTCCGGGCGGAACCGCGACGGATGTTCATGACTCTGGGATCATGATGGAGGGAGTGGTGGAGAAAGGGAAAGAGTCTCACATCGGGCCGCAGGATCAGATGATGGCGGAGAGTGTGCAGGCAGCCGGAACTCCTCAAATGGAAGCCGTACACCCGGAGACAGCCAAGAGCGCCTTGCCCGTCGAAAATGCCGCTTCGGTCAGCAACCCAGCTGGAGAGGCAGTGCAGGAGCCGGCGGTGGAAGCCACGGCGAAGAAGACACGTGCGCGTGCGACGAAGCGTAGTAAGCCGCCTTTCCCTCTGTGATATCCGGGTGATGGAAGCTGACGTGACTGGCAGAAAACTAGCGCAGCCGAAGGGCTTCAGACATAGCAGGACAGGCATTGCGGAGGAATGCAAGCGAGAATCGAGGGAGAGCTCTCTCTGAGCGTCTTGTGACGAATTAGTGGCGATCGCAGAGTCCGTGGTCTTTTCGACTGCTGGGGCCTCATAGCAGCTGCGTGCGGAGATACGCATGAATCGAGTAGATAGCGGCAATTTCCTTGCAATCCGATCTCAGGGCCGTCGTTTCATCACACCATTGTCAGATCAAATCGGCTTTGGTCTAAACGCCAAATTGGCGAACGACAGCGTATTCACGTTGCCACTTTGCTTCTCAGGAGAGGGTGCATCAGGACGTTCTGACTTCCGAATAGTAGTGAGGTTGGTCTTTGCACCCGCAGCCTTCATGGACTGGAGGTGCTCCTCGACAACGGTGCGAATGGCTTCGTAAGGCGGCGACCCTTCTCCGAAAGTGGCTGCTGCGTTGCGAAGATTGACGAGAAGCTGTGTAGAGGTCTTTGTGTTAGTATGAATTTGTTTGACAGCGAGGTCAAGTACTAACTATTGAGAGGAGGTCGTCGTCTGGAGAAGCTGAAGCCATGGCGTGTAGTGGGAAACTGGATACAACGGAACGACACAAATAATCACGGTCAACTAAATCTTGTCACTCTATTTGCTTGAGTTTTGCAGGTCGAAGTGAAGTCGTAGTCTTCAAGCCTTCCCAAGCAAATCTCCGCGCTAAAATTTCGTGCTTTCCCAAATCGAGCTGACTCCTGCATCTCGAACCTCAACCACGACATGGACTGTTCGCGGTGACGCCTAATATTCTCACAAACTCTTCGGCCAGACACTGTGTCATCGCGACAGAGGTGTCAAGGATGGCGGACGTCGATGAAGACGCCTTCACGCCCTCCGCGCCGGGGGGAGGCGAAGACCAGGATCTCGGGGACGAAGTCCAGGACTTTCGCTTTCTAGCCAGCATATCGTACGCCGTCTCCCCTCCACCACAACTTCTAGAGCTAACAGACTTCCAGACGCGAAGATGCCTCAATCCCCAAGCGCGGAGACAAAGACTTCGAGCCGCATGGCACAGCGCTGCAATCCAACATCCTCACCGCGTCAAGGCAGGCGATGCACAACGCGCTGTCGTATCAGCGCATGCACCAGCCGAAGAATCACGTCGTCGCGCACTACCATCCCGAGACGAATATGGCGTATGTGCCTAACCCAAAGGGCATCCACTTTACGAAAGTCGGCTCCGTTCTATCCGCCAAGCACGATCCACTGGGTGATGATGAGCGGCGGGGACAGCGCCTCTGGTTGCTGCCGGAGGAGACCTTACTCCTGCTTGAACGGGGAGTGTTGGATGTGCGGTGGCCTGTGGATTTGGACGATGAAGGAGACGAAGGTCTCCCGATGAGTCTGCAGGGCGCGTACGCAATGTTCATCGGCGATGGCGAGACTGACACGAGCTCACTCACGCTGGAGCGATACTTGGTGTACTCCAACCTCAAGCGGACGGGCTATACGGTGCAGCGCGCAGCGAGCTGGAACTCGAACGGTCCGCCTCTGGGACCAGAATGCTTTGCGCCCCGATCAGGACGAACGTGGGACGTGGGACTACTGGAAACAGCACGATGGTGGTACCTCCTCCTGAGCGCAAAGGAAGAGACCGCACCCGCAGAGCAACGGGTGGGCCCACTCGTACCCAACAGATTATATCGCGGCTATCCTGAGATCTACCGACGGCTGGCGCTCATCAACTACTACAACCCCACCCGCCAGCATATCCAGGACCCCGAGTTCTCCCTCTACCCCCAGCTTCCGCGCACCGAAGACTTGCGCGTCACCTACAACATCTGGAAACCCAACTCGCCCACCTTCAAAAAGTCCGCGCCCGGCCCTCCCGATTTCCGGATAGCGGTGGTGAATGCGCGCGAAGTGGACATTCCTTCCTTAGAGCAGCTGGATGCACTTCTGGAGACGACGCCGTACGATCCTCCCAAAGATACTGCACAGCTGTATCAGAAGTTGAAGTATGGGTACAAGAATGTTATTCTGGCCATCGTGGATCAAGGCATTGTGAGCTATCTTCGCTTCGGGGACGCCGCTTTCGGTCTGGAGCACTTGTACGAGCGTCAACGCGGCGGACCAGGTGGCAAACGTGGTCGTGGCGGTGGACGTGGCAGGGGCGGGAGGGGCGGAAGAGGCGGACGGTGAGAGTCGCGCGGGTGCATGTATCCCGTTGCAGTTGCCACATCCTCACCAAGCGCGGCCACGGCCACGACCACGCCCGCCTCGGTTTCTGCCGCCACCACGATATCTCCCTTGGTGCGATCCACCTTGTCCTCTTCCACCGTTGGACCGCTCTGATACGGGGTCGATGCGCGGGCCGCTCCTCATTCGGCGATCAATCTCCTCGTCGGTAATCTCAAATGCGTTGGGGATGTCCAACATCTTGCAGAAGCGCGCAGTTTGGGGATTGGGATGTTCTCGGCCGTCAGCGTACTGAGGGAGGTTCCAGTTCCCACCATCATAAACGGGGGCTGTAATCTCGAAATTCTCCGGGACGACCAAATCGGCGTCGCTGACATGCTCGTCAACCCAAAGCCTTCGCTTGTCGATCATTTCTCCATAGTCTTCGAGTATGGAGTTGGTCCGATCTTTCTCGGGGACGTCAGCATCAGCGATCGGAGAGGGACCATCCATGGCGAATGTTCGGGTGATGGCAAGCCATTCGCGATCGTACGTGAGCTTCAGCGGTCGCAGGCTGTCTACCTCGCCCTCGCATGGCACCTCCATGAGCTGCAGGAAGTGTCTTCCAGGCAAGCACTTGTCCAGAGCCAGGAAATGGGTGGTGGCGTTATCGATTTGCGGCGGTGGCTTGCGAGGTTCCTGACGAGGTTGCTGTGGTGCAGGGCGTCGGAATGCTTCAGGCAGAGCTGCGCGAGCCGCTTCAAGCGAGACGTCTGCGGTACTGGGGTCGGAATCCGTCGTCTTGCTTGCGGGACCGGATGTTGCAGGGGCATCATCGTCGAGGTCCAGGTTTATCTCGTCTTGATTGGTAGGTGGTGCAGCAACTGCCGCGCCATTCAATGTCGGCGGCACGACGTCGTCGTCTAGATCCAGATCAATCTCATCTGTATTCTTCATGTCTCCTTGCTGGGCAGTGTCTTCCAAGTCAATTTCGTCCTCGTTCTTTGCTGATTGGCCGTTTGAAGTCCCAGCGGTTGGAGGCTGCTGCGAGCCGTCCTCCCCCTCGTTGTAGTTGACAATGGCCGCATACTTGCAATGCAGATGAGCACTGAACCACAGCTTCGGACGTAGCCAGTCCATAGCGTATTTTGCAGCCACACTCCCGAGTTGTCCGTTGCGCGCATCCTGCTCCAAATGCGGCTTGAAGCGAAACAGTTGTTTCCAATCGCCCTTCCACTCCACGCCCTTTGGCCAATCATGACTGATACCGATGTCGACCTGACTTCTCACCTGTAACAGCTTCCTCACGTCTCGCTCGCGCACGTGGTAGATGCTCTTCAGGTCATTCTCGTTATAAGGCAGTCTCTCAAAGTGCGGCTTCCGGTAGTCGTAGCCCTTCCAAATCCCACTGAGGCCGGCGATGCGCAGTGGACCCAAGCGCAGCACATTGGCGGCGCCCATGTAGTAGATGTTGGGCGCCACCCAGCCGCCGTAGTAGAGTTCGAACAAGTGATTGCTGGCCTCGTGGTTGCCGCCGACGAAAACAGTGAGGTAGGGAGCGACGCGCTGGCCGGAGTAGTATTCGTGGAAGTCGGCCATTTCGCGGTATTTGGGCGGCATGCTGACGCAATTGAGATCGTAGGCGTTGCGGACTGCTTGGAAGTCTCCGCCGATGATGAGCAGGTCGACATCGGGCCAGTGCTTGCGTTTGCAGGCTTCGGCGACGGAGGCGTAGATGGCGTGGAGGGTGCCGTGGCCGCAGCCTTCGACTGCGAGGCGGATGCCCTGAGTCTGGTGGAGTTCTGTGTCCATGTTGGTTGTGGCGTTACGTCAAAAAGTCTGAATTTCGTCCGTGTTGTCTGGGTGGTATGCTCGTCTTCTTCAGGATTTGACACCGGAAACGAGAACTCTCGGGGAGAGGGAAGAAGTTGGATGGTTGACAATCAAAAGCCCAGCAGGTCAGGTCTACTTTCCAAGTTGGTAGGACGAGGGATCACAGAATGTGAAGGTGTAAGGTTGTCGTGTAGAAGCCAGCAACGATTGCAGTCGTTGAAGAGACGGAAGGAGGTATCAGGGTGTTGGAATGGCGGACTGAAGGGATTGTTATTAGCCAAGATCCAGCAGTAAGCTTGCATCAGTTCGCTCCGTTAACAAGAGAGCTCTCCATGATTTGACTGTGTTCCTGTTTAGACGGTGATGTTGGGTGCAGGTATTGTGGAAAGATGCTGTCGAAGTCACCTCAGAATATTGCAGGCTCTGATTGGACACGAAAGCGCGGGCGCCAACGGGAGTCGGGCGGGATGGCGAGGTTGCCCGAGTGGGCGCCTCTCCAGGTCGGCCTCGCTCGAAATTCGGCGAGTGCTGGACGGACTTTCAGCTTCCCTGCGAGGAGGAAATGTGCCAAAACCGCCATCTACAGTGATAATTGGAGATCACCCTTATCGAGAACGCTGCCGGTCGAATGGCCGCTCTCCGAAGCCCTGTCGAAATTTTTGGCGGATGCTGGATCAAACTTGGGAGATGTTGTTCGTGAGATCTGCCACAGCCTCGCAGCCGCTCTCCATTTCATGCTCTACGCCTACATTTCTCTACAAGATCAACAATCCTTGCCTTGACGCCTCCATAATTTGAATCAATTCATGCAGACTTCCACCCAATGTGCTCCACTCATTAATCGTTCAACCTTGATATCCGTTGCATCGTAGCTCATAGCGGCCGTCACGTCTTCATGAGATCCATCAGATCAAGACCGAATCCAGTACTTCTGCCGGAATTCGACGTTGGTTTGTTGGCTATCATTGACTGCAGGCTCGCCTTCTTGTTGCGAGGTCTCCTCCGAGCGCTTGGCTTTTCCGTTTCGAGTGATGCACTCTGGACCGGCTCTAGAACTTGAGGCTGCGGGAGTTTGCTCGTTTGGGGGCTTCGCTTGGTCTTCCTTCGCTTTGCCTTGTTGATGAATGTTGAGGAGTCGCACCTCACGCACTGCGCGGCCATGCGTTGTTGATGATCCAGGCTGCTAGCGATACGCGTTGACCTGGTGCGTTTTTCCGTTTTGGGTATGTCGCAAGACCAGCCAAAAATCAAAATATTTCCACAAGCGGTGCAAATGCCATCCCCTCCGTCCCTCGATTCATCGTTGTGGAGCGCAGCCAGCCGGACCGATTGCACGTAAGCGGATGTCGCGGGCGATGAGACCATAAGCCTCTCGGCCACCCCGTTCAGGAAGCGGAGACGTGCGTCCGCCGCCGGCGTGGTCATGGTGATAGGTCAGCATGAATGTCGGGTTATGAGGAGAAAAGGGAGGAAGGAGTGGGAGGACAGACTTGACTAAAAGGGAAAAAATGTCGTTGCTGCAGGCACGTCCGCTAGCTTCCGCTTGCCGCCGCCAATCAATCCCGCCAGAATTCCACCACATGCATCTTCAAACACATCTGAACAATTGCAACAATACACTCCATCGACAATGTCATTGCCAGGGCTGTCACTACCAGGACTGGGACTCTCACAACCGTCGTCATCACACAGCGCTCTTGGCCCGGGAACATCGAGCAACTCCCAGTCAACACGAACCGAGGAGTTGGGCGCGCGCACGGAATGGCGCTTCGAGGTGAATTTTCACCAACAATACCACGTCCGGCTCCTTAGCGGTAACGCCGAGATCTTCGGCGTGGAACTCGCGCTGAACCAGCGCTACAGCTTCTCCGGGGCCAAAGGAGTCATCTTCACTTGGCACGGCTGTCAGCTCGAGTTATCTGGTGACGCGGAGAGTGAATATGCTGGACTCGAGACCGAGTATGCCGTGGAATGGCTGAATGTGCATGGCATGCTTGAGTCTGCGCGTGACTTGGCTCATGGTACCAACGATGGAGGGCCGCGAGTACTGGTCGTCGGCCCTGAATCTGTCGGCAAGAGCAGTCTCGTGAGAAGCCTTGCGGGCTGGAGTGTCAAATGCGGTCGGACCCCAGCCATCGTCAATGTCGATCCGCGCGAAGGACTATTGGCGCCTCCTGGAAGTTTCACTGCGGTGACAGTAGGCTCGCAACTGGATGTGGAGAATGGCTACGGAATTGCGCCCATCTCCGGTCCAACTGTCACTCCCATCAAGACTCCCCTCATCTATCACTGCCCGTACTCCTCACCAACGGAACGGCCGGACGTCTATAAAGCTCTCATCACTCGCACGGCATTATCAGTACTCAACAGGATGGAGGAAGACAAAGTTTCGAAAGAAAGCGGCCTGATGATCGACACTCCCGGCCTGCTCAACGATCCCAAGAGCAACTACGACATGATCGCGCATCTGGTCTCCGAATTCAGCATCACCCTCATCCTGACCCTAGGTTCTGAGCGTTTGTACAACGACCTGAACCGTCGCTTCGGCCCTAAGCAGGCAGCATCAGCAGAAGGCGAAGGCATCCCCGTCCTGCGCGTATCGAAGCCCGGCGGTGCCGTAGAACGAGATGCCGGCTTTTTGAAGCAATTAGCAAATCAACAAATACGACAGTACTTCTTCGGCACCAGCAAAGAGCCATTAAATCCCCACAGCCATATCTGCGGCTTCGCGGAGCTGAGCGTCTATCGAGCCAATTCGGCCACCTTGGCCGCGGCGGCGTCGAGCTATACCAAGGACGAAGACGAGGACGACTCACCATACACTGCACCTAAAGCATCTGCGGATGACTTCGAAAAGATGACGCCTACCAATGCGATGCTGGGCAGGCTCGTCGCAATCAAGTACTGCGATGGCGACAGTGACGACTTCACAATACGGGACAGCGCAGTCATGGGCTTTCTGTATGTGTCGGAGGTGGACGAGCAGAAGAAACGAGTGCGCTTTCTTGCGCCGCATCCACAGCGCTGGGGCGACAAGGCGCTGGTCTGGGGCGGGTGTCCAGAGGCGGTCACGGATTTGGTTGGATAAAATGGATCATGAATTACGACTGCTTTACTATAGCAAACCACCTTTCAGTCACTACCGTCTCGATTTCGTAATACAGAATACTTCATCGACTTCCATTTACTGTCGCGCCCTCGTTACCAAACAGCATACTCCGCAGCCAACACGCCCTCCCTCATGCTAAGTCCCTTCTCCTCCAAACTACGCACCAAAGGCTCCAGTAAAAACTCCCGATGCGCAGCATCCCCCAACGCCCGCATTCGAATCATAGAATAAGTGTCAATATACCTCGCGCTCCTCAGAAAGATAATGCGGCTCAGAAGATCGCGATAACGGTCCGGTAACCCGACGATCCATTCGAGACCATCCTTTACATTCTCCGAGGCAATGGCGAATACGCTCGTTCTATAGAAGAGCTCGATCGTCTCACGGTGCGTTTGTTTGCTGGCGAGGATGATGCCGTGGCAGTGGTGCGGGGGCACTTTGCGCCGCCCGATGTAGATGGTCTCGCGGGATACGAGCAGGCTGTAGATCATGTCGCGGATTTCTTGCGGTAGGTTTAAGAGTGGTGATTCGGATGAAGCCATGTTATCGAATCTGGATGATTTAGTGGTGGGTGTTGTGATGCTCTGAATACGTCGAGCACCTGAGAGACATTTGGGGCGGATGGGGAAGAACAGGTGGGGAGCTCCGGATCGGGAAGGTACAAAGACGATGGGGAATATCAGGTAGAGCTCACAACATCCTTGACTCGGTTCTGCAATACTGACAAGCTAGCTGACAGAGAACAACAATGCTAATGTTGCATAACAGCCTGCAATGTCGTTCCCATTTCCTCCAAGAACATCCTTCCCTCCCTCGAAGATACCATAACCACGCGCAACACCCCCTCCGCAAGCCTGACACGCCTCGCCGTCAGCTTCGGCTCGAAGGCATCTATCACCCTCGCCTCCCGTCGGGCTGCCAGCGCTTTCCCATCATACGCCTTTGCGCGCGATACCATGGCCGGGTCGTCGTCGACTAGGATGGGTCCGTCCAGGCCGAGCCACACACCACTGATACTGGCGTCGAGGATGACAATGTCCTGGATTTCGACTCGGTACATGACGGGGATGGCCGCGATCCACGACGCCGCTGCTTTGGCTGCTTTGGTGCTGTGCGTCATGTAGAAGGTGGTGTAGCGGTAGTACTGCGTGATTGCTTCGTCGTAGAGTTGCTTGTTAGCTAGTAGGATGCCCACGGAGGGCGGCGTCGGCTTGTCCTTGCGTTGGCGGGCGCTGGAGGAGATCTTGAGGTTGGAATCGCTGAACACCACTGCAATGGCAGAGTCAGCATGGACACAGTATAGCGGAGGGGTTGGGATGGGCGGCCGGAGGACTCACTGGCGTAGATGTTTTTGCGGACACTGACGGGGAGTGTCAGCAGAGTGACCCTGGGTCTGGCGACCATGTTGAGCTCCAGCAGAGTGACGTTGTACATGGCGGCCATGTTGGATTGTTTGTAGCTGGTTTGGATTGGTGGGGATGTTTGAAGTTGATGGGTGTAAGACGTGGTTGTATGATGGTGGATGGAGTTGTTGGAAACTGTGAAAAAAGAAACAAACTGGGAAAAGGGGGGAGATATATAGGTAGGGCGGTCGAGCGAAAGAGAGAATTCGCTCGAGACCGCTGCCCCAGGAACGAAGCTATCCAGGTACCAAAATGCGTGATCCGCTGGTTGACAGTACGAAAACGAAGAAAGTCGCGCAACGCCAAGTGCATCGAAGAGCGAAAGCTGAGGATAACTGAAGAAAGTTCCGAAAAACGCAGTGGAAGATGGTGACGAAAAGGGAAGAGAGGATGCTCACCGTCGGTTTTGCTGGCCCAGGTGTAGGCCGATGTTTCTCGTTGTCGAAACTCTGGAACTTGAGACGCTCTCCATAACGTAGTTGAGGTGTAGTAATGTCGTCGTATGAAGCTCATAAGCTCGTCCAAGGCTGCCGGTCCGATCTCCTCGCGCCTTCAAGTACTGACGCCAAGCCCGATCGCAGCGTTTTGCGCGCCACTCTGCTGACCATCCTTGCCACTCGCCTCCTCACCAACCAGATTCTTGCCAATCAGCGTTCGGAAATCCACGCTGACCTCCCGCAGTACCTCTGCCCGTTCCCTGACAACCTGCAGGCAAGTCTCCCACAGCTCACTCCCACGCTCCACCCCACTGATCGCGCGCTCTAGCCCTGCATTGAACTCTTCCACTCTTTCCTTGGCCCACTTCACCCCACTGCTTCCGCTGCTGGCTGGGAAACTAGCACTGAATGTCCGCAGCGTATGCAAGATCAAGGTAAAGGTGGTAAAGGCGAACGCATGCAGGTACGGCGGCAACGCGCCGCTGAAAGGTAATTGCCGGGTTCGAAGGCGAATCGTTTCAGTGCGAGAATCGAGGTAGCGCGTGCGGGCCATTTCTTCGAATCCGAGACGGAGGAGCCAGGACACATTTTCTTTCGTCTTTTCCGTCGCCGAACTCGTCTGAACGAGCTGGCGGGCAATGCTGGCCGCGAGCTTGCTGGCACGTTCGTTGACCTTGGTGAGAATGATCTCGGAGGCGGCGGCGTTGGAGCGGATGCTGCGACCAAGCTTGCGCAGCTTCTCCGTCTTTGCCACGGCCTCTTCGAAGCGCTGCAGTGCAATGTCGATATCGAGGGTGTCAATTTGACTCTCTACCGAGCGGATACTCTGCTGTCGTCCGTCTGCATCCACCAAGATGGAGTCGCTCCGAGACAGGCCTCCAGCAGCGTGTTTCTCGTCATTGGCCCGCGCTGCGGCTGCAGCTTTCTTCAACAACTTTGGATCCCTCACACCCGTCATACGGGCCAACTCGTCTAGCTGATTCTGTCGCTGGCCGTGCTCTGCAGCCATCAGCTTGCGCAAGTCCTCCTGCGCTTTCCTAAAAGCCACGAGAAAGCCCGCTTTCTCACTGTTGTCCGAGGTAGCATACGTGAAGCTCTCGTTGCCGGCACGAATGCTGATTGCATTGGCTATGGCTGCGTTCTCTCTGGAGCTGGTACTGTTGCCAAATGACGCACTAGAGGAGATGTCGGCAAGACTGACATCTTGGAGCAGCCAGCAGCGTTCGGCGACGTAAGTGGTTTGGATTGCTCCCTGTGCGCCAAACGCCGTGCTTTGGTGTTTCGACTTGGTATTGTCGGTCTGCACGAGATCTTTGCGTTTCTTCTCGCTTGCGACCAGGAGGTGGTCGTTGAGTAGCACCAAGCCGACCCGCCTTCGCGGCTTCCAAGTAGCGGCATTGAGCTCCACCCAGCGTTGGCTTTCCATAATGATGTGGCGTCCGGGCAGGGCGGGCAGGTACTTTTGCGAGCCCTCCACCCTCTTCCACAACGTCTGTAGATGGGAAGACCACATGGCTTCCAGGTTGGCGACACTGCTTCTATTCGCGCGCTTTCTATCGGCCACCGAGAGAGACGAGCTCCCTTCGCCGTTTACGCCACCTTCACCCGCATTCGCACCAACGCTCGTCGCCTGACCCAAAGCGCCAGTCAGCTCGCCCATCAAAGTCCGCAGCGTCCTCATCTCCGACTTTAGCTTGTCCGCCTCCTGAGATATCTTGATGAATTGCGTGCGGTTCTGGAAGACGTTGTGCTGGAGGTCGGTGCTGGCGTGATCTTTGACATTCTGTAGGTCCTGCACATAAGCGCGGATGTCGACTTCGGTGGCATCGGACAGGATGGATTGAATGTATTTGTCCGGCTGCAGGTTGGGCTCTTTCAACGCACGCATGTCGACCTGGAGACGCCCTGCGTTGCTCGCGATGCTGCGAGCGGGCGAACGAGGGCCTCCATCACGCGACTGACTGCGATCGCCATCGTCTCTGCTTCCACTGCGCATGGACCGGGCGTACTGAGTGGGGATATTGGGGACGGAGGGGACGGCGCCATCGGGCTGGGGGATGCCTCCAGCGAAGCGAGTGGAGTATCGTCTCTTTACTAAGTCACTCGTTTTCTCTCCTGCGCCCCCGCGACCACCCTCTCCTGGTACGGTGAGATTGGCATTACTGCCCGACGCCGTACTGCCCGTCTCCCATGTCGTCTGCGACTGGTCGCGCTCTTGGCTCGTGTGGCTGAGTAGGCGTGGACCGGAGATGGTGGGACGAGTGGTCTTTTTGCGGCGGAGAGAGATGCCCTTGCTCTTCTCGTCCGACATTCTTCGCAGCGAGTGTGACAATGCGGAGGGAGGTGGGGGTAGGGGACGAGGTTGGCAGGTGAAGGTACATGTAGGCGGAAGCTGCAGGAGGATGCTTTACCCAATCCGGTAAATGCGCTATTCTCGAAGGAGATGGGGAATCTTGATTATTACTGGAGATCCCTGCTCTCAAGAAACCTCATGTCTTTCGTACATCTACACCATCTACGACAGGCCATCACAACGACCAAACCCAAGTCGGGCCTCCTCCGTCTCCTCAGTATCACTTTATCATAACTATCGAGCGACTGAGAAAGATGGTGCCGAGCCTTGGACACTCTTACAGAGTTTCGCATCCGCCAGCGTCTCGTGTGCTTGTTACTGCCAGATCCCTGTCGTCCGGCAGTTGACAACGTGTGAGTGTGGCAGTAGCTCACTCTTTCGGCAGACGGAGTGCTGTCCGATTCCTTGAAGTACCTTGCGCGTAAAAGAATCATGATCGACTCGAAGCTCTACGTCACCAAACTTCTGACCGTGCGTGGAACTCTACCTACACGTACCACAGCTCTCCAACCACACGTGGGGAGGCAGGGTACGCACATTCTCGACCTCTTCGGCGGGCCCTCTCTCTGTCATGATGACATGGACCAGACCGAAGTTGGCAAAGTTAGAATCGTAATTATTGCGTACAAGAAGTAAGCATGGCGTAGAGCAAGCGTTGCGGCCCTCCACGATACCTCGACTTCTGTGTGATCTCCCGCATTGTACAGCGCAACAATTTTGTCAGAATGCATCACCTACATTCCATGCGGGACGCGATCAGGGCGCCAACGGCGGCGTCCATCGAGAACCCGCTTGCTCCCGTCTCGCTGGCCAAGTCCCGGCGATTCATCAGCAACAACGTTGGTGGGTTGCGTGTAGCACCCATCTTGCCTAAGTTTGCCTAACCCGGCGCAGGACATGCGATTCGAAAGAGCACAGGAGGCGTCTTAGACCCAGTACTGGCCAAGAAGTTGGCCAAACTAATTGCCATGGAGAAGAATACGCTGCGAAGCATGGAGAATGCTAGCACGGAGCGCATGGATGGAGCGGTGTGTGGCAAGATCCTGGCACCCATTGGTACTGTCCCTCTGATCGGCTGACAGCAAGCACTCTCCGCATGGGCGGAAGAGCAAGAAGATGATGTGGCGGACGTGGTGGGCAAGATGGCGGTATTGATCCACGAAGTAGGCGACCTTGAAGATCAATACGTCGACCGATACGACCAATACCGGATCGCTTTGAAAGCAATTCGCAACATTGAAAAGGTGGTGCAGCCGGTTAGAGATAGTGCGTTGTCCGATGATTTGCGACCCTCGATGCACTCTGACACGCAGGCTAGAGCAAGAGAAGACCGCCGCTCAGATTGCCAATCTACGGGCTAAAGAAGAGCCCAACGCCGAGGAGCTGGAATCTCTTGAACACGAGCTGGTTCGAACCAACGCCCAGCTGATAGTTGCGGAGAAGCAGCTGTCGACCATCACCCACGAGAGAGTGAAGTACGGGTTTGCATACCAATTTGACGCGATGCAAGAGTTTGGCGAGAAGTTGGCCATCATTGCCGGGTATGGCAAACACCTACTTCAGCTGGTACAAGACGTTCCCACGTCTCCCGAGGAAAACCAACCAACATACTCCGCGCACGCGGCGAGCACTGCGTAAGCTTGCCAAACCCCGATGCGCGCGCTCGTCTTCTTAGCTTGCTAACGCTGGTGGTAGGATCGTTGGCGAATGTGATCGTGCGCTCACGGCATGGGTAGGCTCGCAAGCCGCCGTCACCACCGAGCTGCCCACTCGCCTGCGGTCTATGGTGTCGGAGAGCGCTACAAACGGGGGCCCAGTCCCGCAGGAGAAAGCGTCAAAGCCGAGGAATACACGACGCTGGTCTTCGGATTCGGAAGGTATCGTGGAAGAGCCAGTCCATTTTTGACGAGATCCATGATGGGAGAGGGCGCCCACGCCAGAGCAAGAACTAATGTGTAATTAAGAGCTCCATCACATTTGATAGCTGTGGTAATACTTTCATTTGCCGGTCCTTTACACCGTTGGTAACCTCGCGTATGTGTATGTTGTTGCAGTAATGAAAGGAGGGATAGTGTGGAAAGACTAGGCGGAAGGCGTGGGGAGCTTGGACCGCGGGAATCGTCGCCGAAAAGGGAAAGCAAGCAAGCAAGTCATCAAAAGTTTCCTGGTCCCATTCAACATTTCCATCTCCTTCCTTCACACCCGCATGCCAATTGCGACCACCCTCTGCCGCCCACGATAGACACGGTACCATCACATCGTATTCATCATGGCCTCCACCACCCCATCTGAGCGCATTTCCCTCGCGAGCGTTGCGATTGCCACGACTGGCCTCATCGCCTCGGCAGCGGTAGCATACGCCATCTACTTTGACCACCGACGACGCAGCGATCCCAACTTCCGCCGTCATCTCAAACGCCAGCACAAGAAGGTCTCGCGGCTGGATGAAGAGTCCGCGCTGGCGGCGGAGAGGGAGCAGAAGGACCGGGTGAAGCAAGCAGTGCAGGAGGCGAATGAGGAGGGCTTCGAGCGCGACCCTGAGAAGACGGAGCAATACTTCATGCAACAAGTGGCGCTAGGAGAGCAGATGTGCACGGATGGGAGTGACCCGGTCGAGGCGGCGTTGTGTTTCTACCGTGCGCTGAAGGTCTACCCGCAACCCGGCGAGCTGGTTGGCATCTACGACAAGACCGTTCCAAAGGTGAGTGTAAATGTTTGCATGGTGTGTGGAGACGGGTCTTGCTGACAATGAACATAGCCAATTCTTGATGTCTTGGCCGAGATGATTGCCGTGGACCCCAGCATATCTGTCTCCGGATCGCGCATGGGCTCTGGATCGGACGATGGATCCGATCGGGTGGAGTAGAGAGGAGAGTGTAAGAGGGAAAGAGATGGTTCTACCCTTCGGCCGTGTCATTAATACATGCGGGATTGGCGAGTTGCGTGGTCTCCGACTAGAGGCGGGAACATACCGTGCATGGCAGCGGCGTTTGATGCAATGCGGGCAGGGGAAGGCCATCCTTCTGTTCGTACTTTTGACGCTCTCATCTCAGCAGCGCGCGCCACTCAAGGGCCGGCCCTCTATCAACGTGGTGTGTACGATATACATTCAATGGTCAGCGCGAGTTTCAAACGAAGCAACTCGCTGCTTGGCTCCAGACAAAATGCAGCCTTCTCAGCTTTTACTTCCACATTTCTTCTATAGATTAGAGCTTGAAATCATCGAGGTCCCATGTCGATCGGTGCAGTAAAGCTCCAGCCCCTTTGCGTGACTGTCTGTCAGACGGTTGGGCATCAAGATTGCAGCCTGGTCTTCCCCACTCTCGCAATCCTCCAACTTCCAACCCAAACTCACCTTGCTCATCTCTTGCAACCACCTGAATCCCACTCCACAACGAAATCCAAATGGCAGACCAACAGAGCGCCTCACGATTACTCAGTCTCCCGCGAGAACTCCGTGACAAGATCTACTCCCACCTCTTCCACGACCCCCCAAGCTGGATTCGTCTTGACGTCGTCTGTCCTCTCGACGCCGCCCTGTTCAAAGACAGCTGCACGCCCAGCGCCAACTCGCACGCAATCCAACTCTACGGCCTTCTTCTCTCCTGCCGACAGATCTACGCCGAGGCCTTCCATTTCTACTACCCGAGCAGCGTCTTCTACCTGTACAGCGTCAATGCGGCGGTGCGGCGGCTGGCGCTCATGAAGCCGGAGTACCGAGAGCAGTTGAAGTGTGTCAAGGTCTGCCTGCCTATCCACGAGGAAACGGCATTCTTCTCGTGGATCCCGGAGGTCCACAAAGAGGCGTCACGGAATCGGATGAGGCGGAGTCGGTTGGAGGCTTTGCTCTTGACTATGGACCGGGAGGGCATCAAGTTGCCGGCGGGGGTTTTGGGCACTGCTTTTGCGCCGCCAGTCGATAGGCAGATTGTGGAGGAGGATGACGAGCAATCAAGCGAGAGTGTAGAGGAACGCAATAACGACGAGACGACTGCACAGGAGCAGCGACCGGAGAAGCCCGATCTGGTCTTCTTTCGACAGATTGCAGCGAGAATGTGCAGCTAGAATATCTAGAATGACTGGGGCACAGCATAAACATGTAGCAAAAGGATAAGTAAGGTACATGTTCATCACTCGAACCAAGGTCGTTGGCAGCAAAAAACGTTGCGCAACCCATCGACCCCACAACACACGTCCGCGCCAACGTGCACGAGTATTCCGACGCCGCCACTCCATGGTCTGCACTTCTCTGCCCGATTGCTCGGCTGAAGGATGTCGCAGAAGCTTAGGGCCGCACCAGCAAATCGTCCGTTACCGAGACGAGTGGGCGACCACCACCGAGTTCGAGCCGGGCCCGCAGCAGCTGGATAGAAAACCGGACGGGTTGCAGGAGGATTGAGCTTCGTTTGGTGAAGCCATCACAGCTGAAAGTCGTGGGACGGACAAATTCCATATATCCTCCTCCCGTGTCCTATCACTCCCCGCCCACATCAACTCTCTCGATTATGATCCAGTCTAGTGTACTGCTCAGGGTCAATCGATGCATTCTCAGGTATCTAAATTCCTGAATCCCCCCTGTACCAGTCGCCACAACTCCCCGCTGCACCATATGAGCTTGCGTGCCATCCTCATTTATATCCCAAATGTCACCTTCAGCCTTTCATAGACATAGAAACTCGTCGCCACCATCGGGATAACCTTGATGTAGCCAATCGTCAGGCCCACGTAGAACCCCTTCCACCCCCGCTCCCGCACAATGTCTCGCGCCACTTCGGCCATTCTTAACCGGCGTCCATCGCCAACCACCCCTCCCACTTGCATTCGTCGCCGAATCACCTCCAGCGGGTAGGAGAGCGTTTGTGATACAAAGCCCGCCATTGCACCGGTAGTGAGCTCCGCCCATGCACGGAGAGGTGGAGGTTTGTTGGGCGCCAGCTGAGCCTGCGATCGTTCAGACAAGGGAAGGATGGTGTACGGGGCAAAGAGCGGAGAACGCATCATATCCCCCGCCGCGTCGTGCGTCAAGAAAGACGCTCCGGCATAGGGGATCATACCCCAGATGGTCGGGGTGAAGCCGCGGAAGAAGTTGCCGATACCAGATCGCGGCACAACGGCTTGGATCGCTGCGCTGGTTGCCTCGAGGGTCGCCGCGGCAGGACGGGGCATCGAGGTGTCGTGAAAGTTGGTGCGCGACTGCACCGACGGCGGCCGTTCATGATAGATCGTTCGACATATGTCTCGCACCGTCATTCGCTTCTGGCTCTTTGTCTCCCACGCCAATCGCACGCGAATCACTTCCAGCGGGTATGTAGTACACACCGACATGCACCCGGCGAGCGAGCCGGCCAGGAAGCGGCGATACGGCGTCTCCTGCTCCTTGCTCGCGATGACGATTGCGCGGATCTGCTCGTAAGCCAAGAACTTGATGCCGCCATAGGGGAAGATTCTCAGCAGCGTCGCGCTGTGCCCCCGAAACAGCCCTCGCCCACCGTCGCTTCTGTAGATGTCTCTGATCGCCGCGAGAGCACCCGTCCAGGAGCCTGTGTACTTCTGGAACTGCGGATTGCTCGCTTGGAACAGGATCTTGACGCGGTCGAGCGGAGCGACTACCGTCTTGGCCGCGCACGCCGCTATCCCACCAGCCACTCCACTGCGTACGACGTACTCCCAGCTCTGCTTGGAGATTTTGCGTTGTCGCTGCCGCGGTTCGGAGGATTCGAGGGAGGGGAAGGGGGTGCTGTCGGTCTCGCAAATGGCGGGGCCGCTGCTTGTCGACTCGGCGCGCGGAGATGGTGTCATCTCCGATGATTTGTCGGTCTGTAGATTCTGCGCTGCATGTCTGTAGCAATCGTCAGCTTGGGCGTTGAGGGAGGAGGGGTGAGGAGCGTATTACTTATGGGAGGGAGATTGCATGCGTGCGAGACATGAGGGTCAGGTTGGCGGGCTGGCTGCGGTCAAGATTCCAGTCGCAGTCTCGTCTCGTGTCGATGTCAAGTACTCTCCGCAGAGCGCAGCGTGGCGTGAATGCTCACAGGGAGATAAGGATGTGCAGGTTTGCGAGGGAACGAGCATGACAGGCAACATAAAGCCGATGACGGACCAAGCTTTGGAAAACAGTCGCGTGGACCGAGCACCCGAAATAAGCCGAGTTCATCTCGACTTCACTCCTTCACTCCGAATGCATCCTTCCAAGACGAGGTGCATGCTACATGAGTCTCTAAGTGCCTCCCTGTGATGGTCGAGTATGTCCATACGGTCGGCCATCCTGTGGCAGAATCCAGAAGCCACCATCACTCTCCTCGACATCCCTGAATCAATCGCAGCTGCGCAAGAGGGCGCAGAAGCAGACTTTCCTTTGAACCTTCTCTCTTCCTCTCCTTTGCTCGCTCCCTTTACCACTAACGAACCCAAGTCGGCAGCTGCAAAGGCCACGCTGCAAGGAAATTCAGGCGCCTCGGACGTCCACCGCGCGTACGGAGACATCCTGCGGCAAGCACTAGAGGGTGTCAAGGCCATACGTCCAGCGAGCTGGTGTTTGCCAAGGCCATTCGTCAGTGAAAGACCCAGAGCAGCAAAGAAGCGTAAGCTGAAGCATGTCTCGGATGGCGCACCTGGCGATCATGAACTGGCCACAGAACCTCAGCTTCCGTCTGATCTACTCCCTGCTTTGGCTCTCGACAAGAAGCATGACTCGCAACAGTACACCATGAGACTGCCTCCTTCTCGCACTAATCATGACAGTCGCAAGGCTACTGATCACTCAGCCCACTTCTTCTCCAACGACACCACCCAGACCGAGCTTCTGGACGTCGAATCTTCCGCTAGCACATCAATCCACCGCTTTTACGTCCCACCCAACGCCTCATTCTTCATAGGGGACTGTCGAGACGCTGCTTCCTTTCGCAAAGCAGTTCAATCCCATGCTGCAAAAACCAAGGTCCTCCCGCGGTTCGACCTAATCATCCTCGACCCTCCATGGCCGAACAGATCCATCAAACGTACACATCAGACCCCAGGCTCCACTTACGCCACCCTACCATCTCTAGCCGATATACGTGACGCTAGCCTAGACATGCAACTAGACAACCTCATGACAGAAGACGGCTTTATTGGAGTCTGGATCACCAACAAACACTCCGTGCGTGATCTTGTACTGGGCCCGAATGGACTGTTCGAGAACTGGGGCGTGCAACCTGTGGAGGAGTGGATCTGGCTGAAAGTCACTGCTCTCGGAGCTCCAGTCACGCCAATTGATGCTTTGTGGCGGAAGCCTTATGAGGTGTTCCTGCTTGGTCGGAGACGTGACTTCACTGGGTCGAACGAAACCTCGCAGGTCAAGCGGAAGGTCATCATAGGCGTGCCGGATCTGCACTCGCGCAAACCGTGTCTGAAAGAGCTCCTGGTGCCACTCGTTGCGAAGCAAGAGAAACACCGGGTGCTGGAAATCTTCGCACGCTATCTGGTGGCCGGGTGGTGCAGCTGGGGCAATGAGTGCATCAAATTCAACTGGGACGGATGCTGGAAACGGATACTCGACGCTCAACATGACGAAACAACAGCCGCGGAAGCAACAAGCGAATCGACTCATCTCTCATGATCTTCATTTGAAATAAGGCCGACATCTACCTCCATGCACCAGTCCCACTACCAAGTTCATCGATTCGTTTCACCATTTACCCAAGCATCACAGGCTTCTCATTCCAATGCATCAACGTCACCCTGTCCCGACTTCCTAATAACGCCCAGCTCATGCAATCGATCGCACACCGCATCCCTTCTCGCCGCCTTGTCTCTGTTAAACGAAAGACCATCCAGACTCTCCAGCTGCCGACATCCATTGGCAAGCATGATCTCATACACCCGTCGTCTCAGCAGAGTATCATCAGCCATAAGCGCACGATGTCGCTCATCCTCTCCCAAATCACCCGGCGGAAGTTCGAATCGAGCCTTCTCCATCGCTGCAACCTCCTCCTCTTCCTCGCTGTCCTCCCGAGCGGTATCACGTACCCGCCGGATAAGACTGGTATGCCGACAAATCGTCGATGCAAGATTGGCATACAGTCCGTGCGTGAGAGGATTATCCCGCACGTCCAATGCTCGAAGCATCGGCATCTTCCCAAACGTCGCGACGCTTTTCCGCAGCCTCTGCAGCCGATTGCCGCACACGCTCAAGCCTTCCAAGTTCAGAATGTTAAGAATGGGGCGAATGTCTTGGAGGTTGTTGAAGTTGAGATTCAGGGTTCGCACATTCGGCACACGCAGGCCAAAGTCCGACGGAAGTTCTTGGAGACCTGCAGAGGCGAGTTCGAGGTGCCGGAGGTTCAGAAGGCTATGTGGCAAGCGGAGTGTCGGCATTTGATTGCCAGAGAGCAGGATCACCGCAGCTTCCACGCGCGACTCGAGGATCGAAAGCACTGAACCAACAGGGAGGACCTGGCGCCTCATCGACAGCGTGTGCAGATTTTGCAGATCTTCAACGCCGTTGATCCTGCAGAGCTGATTGTCGTCAACGTTGAGATTGGTCACGTTTGGATACCATCCCGCTTCCAGCTGAGAGATGTTGCAATTCTTCATCGACAATGAGCGCAGTTTCGACAGCCGATGGGCTTGATTGATGCTGTTGCCCACGATGTTGTTGTCCAGCTTCAACTCTGTCAATGAAGGCAGTCGTTCCAGGCCGTCAATGGAGGTGATCTGGTTGTCGCAGAGATCCATACTCGCCAGGCGGCCGAGATTGCAGCTCTGGAAGGACACCGATTGGAGGTTATTCCGTCTCGCACGAATCTTGAGCAATCCGTCTAGCTTAAACACGCCACTCAAGTCCTCAATCTTGTTGTCGTCGGCCCGGAGTTCTCGTAAGTGCACGAGACAGTTCAACGCATTCAGGCTATCCAGAGAGTTGCCAGAAATGTCAAGATATTGCAGATTCATCAGGTGGTTCCAGGAAGTCAAACTGCTCAGACGATTGCAGGTCACATCCAGCCTGCGAATCGTGAATGGCATCCCTTGAAGATCCTGCAGCATGTTGTCCGAGACAATCATGTCCTGAACGCCGGTACAGAAATCACTGAGCCCATACAGAGAATTGAGCGAGCGGCTTCGCAAATCGAGCTGCTTGAGATCTTCCCAAAAAGGCTCACCTTCATTAACATCGGTGAGGATCTTGACGAGCTCTTTCACGGCCACTGCATAGCGATCGTTCACCTCCATGGCCGCATGATGAGCCAATCGGTTCGCCAGCGCTCGCTCGGACGGTCTTTCTTCATCCTCTTCGTGTACCGTGAATTCGGGTAGATCACTAAGAATGAAGCTTGACGCTCCTTTGGATGGAGACGACTCCCACTCCGTCACTTGATTTCGCTGATGGCGCGTGCTGACGGGTCGTGAGACGCTCAAGGACAAGCTCATCACCCGATCTCCGGGAAGGGGAGCGATGAACGACAGCTCGCTTTGCTGCTGAACGTGGGCATGAAACTTCTTGGTGATGGTCCTTGTGCGAAGAGAGAGGTCCCGCACCGGGCCGCGTTTCATTGAAGAGGGTCGGAAGGGGAGCAATTCGGGCGATACTTGATCGAGATCCTCTGCGTCGTCCACGTCGGAATCCTGCGCACTGAGCTCAGTCTCATCAGGCAGTGTTGTGTCTGCGATATCCGGTTGATATTCGTCTTCGTCTACCATGGCTTCGGCGTAGTCAGCCGTGTCCACCTCTTGTGGCAAAGGTTGAACCGGCTCTTGCATCACGCTGTGCTGCTTCCCATGGCCGAGAGAGGCCATCCTCGCCATCTCTTCATCACTCCATGACGTCGCCCTAGTCTCAACTTTCTCCGCTTGTTGGCTCGATGCAAAAGCTGTGTATTTTGACGGCACCGAACTGGAGTGGTTGTGGTGGACATGAGCACCGTCTCGAGTCACTGGGCGAGAGATGACGGTCTCTTCAGAAACAGTCCTGACTTCCGCTGGAGGTGGCCTCTGACTCTCAATTGCTTCGATCGTGGACTGTCCTCCCCGTCTCTCACTTGAGCTCAGATTCTTCCGCTCATTCGGCTCGTCGACAGGCAGATCCGAGATTTCTCTGAACGGGTCATCATCGCTGGTCACATTGCTTGGAAGCTCTAGGAAGCTCCCGTGCACCTTTTCCGGGCTCTTGGGCACCCTCACCCATCGCTGTTGATCTTTGTCGAACGTCATGCCACCTACTTCTTCGCCAATGAGATGAGCAACGGCATCGGGTGCGAGAGTGCCGACATTCTCTGATTTACGGGTCGACACTGTCGCCATCGTCTGGCCGGTGGATGTGCCGGCGGAGTTTTGTGTCTGAAGGGTGCTCCCTAGCGACCGCTGAGAGACCGGACGCGAATCCGTTGCTTCGTCTTGCTTGTGTCGACGGTGTAGTGGGCCGGTGATTCGAATATTAGCATCCTTGTCTACGACAACTACTTCCGCATTGACGCCCTCGTCGGCGTCGACTTGGAGAGAAGCGATGGAGTTGGCGATGAAGTTCGTATCGTCCACATCTTCCTTTTCCTGGAACTTGCGAAGGTGGCTGATGACTCTCGCATCAGTCTGCTTGGGCGCGCGTGGTCGCCAGCCACTCCCTTCACGAGACGGTGGTCGCGAGTCGGCCTCGCGGGATCCATCAAGTCTCACGCTCTGGTGAAACTCGTCGCCATCCGATTCCTCGACGCTCCCCAGATTGCTCTGAGGCCGTGCTTTCGCGCGTATCAGATTCATAACCATCATGGCCTCGTCCAAAAAGTCTTGCGTGGTGACCGATCGCTTCCGCTTGCCGTAGTCGTCCGATGGCCTCTGCACCCTCAGCGTGAAAGCCGCCACTTCGGAGGCCAGCGTGTGCGCCTGTTGTTGCAGTGTTGGCGGGTCCTCCGACACCATGGACGATTCAAGCTGCTCCATGACAGCCTCCAACTTCTCCGGTTCCTGCTCAGCGAATTCTTCAGCTGCCTCCCTAAGCTCGGCTGTGATTCGCTGCCAACGTCGCTGACTAGGCGTGGGGTTGCGAGGTCGTAGAATCTTCCTCTGAGCGAGTGTTTGAGGATCTGCTGTGTTCTGGAGGTCTCCATGGCGGGCGTCTTTGCGCTTTCGGCCGCTGGCTGCTTCGTGTAGTTGATTCTGGTAAGCTTCGTTAATGGTGTGAATTCCATTCTCGAGCTCTGATGCATGCAATGTCCTCCGGCGTTTGGGTGTAGGGTCTTTGAAGGGCGACGTTGGCGGCCGCTTGCCATCCGCGTAGTCACGGTCTTGTTCAACTGACAGGTCTGCTCGCAATGCCACTTCTGCAACCATGGGACCATGGGCAGCATGGGGAGCTGCGCCCTTCTCAACAGTGGAATGCTTGGAGGTGGGGGCACTTTGCTTCGAATGCTTTCGCTTCATCTTGAATGTGTCCACGATTGGTGGCGACGCAGCGTCGAATTGGAACCCGAGGGGGATTTTGCTTCCCGGTGCGAGTACATCCGAGCCGGGCGAGCCATCACTGCGTGCCTTGTCAGAGTCAGAGGCACTCGTGATGGTGATCTCGGCGTCAAACACATGGCCATCGAGCTCGCCACTTCCGAAAGAAGGGGGCTCAGAAAAGTCTCGAGGTTGAACGATGAGTTTTGGGCCGCCGTTCGAAGCTGCTTGGCGCAATGTGCCGTCAGGATGCAGCTCACTGATGCGTCGCAGCAATCGATTGTTGGTGAAGGTGTCGTGAGCACCGAATAGTTTCAATGGGCTGCCAGACGAGCGTGACTTCGGCTCTTCTCCTTGAACAGGGGTAGTCGGAATTTCAGGAGGCGTGGGAGCAGGTGGCGGGTGTCGAGGAAGGATATGTGGCGACAGCAGACCACTGGCGTCGGCGTTGATTGACTCGTCAATGCCGGACGGAGACGGGCTCAAAGGGCGCTGCTTAAAAGATCCCTGTCGAGAGTAGCCTCCGCGCTCGAACTGGACATTGGAACCAAGCGAGGGGAGAGGCGATCCTGTTGGCAAGTTCTCGGAAAACGAAACATTCTCGTCTGCGACTTCGACTCCACTTTGCGGACCGTCCGTGAAAGCAGAAGGCTCGCGTTGCGGAGATTCTTCCTCGAATCCCTCGTCAGCCTCATCGTCTTCGCGGTAATCTTCACTCGTACGTTCGTGATTTACATGGCCATTCTGCAATTGTTTGACCAAATGTGAGTCGAGCGGCGCGTAGTTGACTTGGCCGGTGACCGTCGTATGTTTTGAGATGTAGACCGGACTGAAGTCTTCTTGTTCCAGCTCGGTCTGGCCACTGACTGTGCGGCTCTGCGCAATGTCATCCTGTGTGGGTTCGAGAAAGGCTTTGTTGGGACTGGATGGGCCGTTGGACAAGCCACTTGACGTTCGCGCAAGATGTGCGTTGATATGGGCCGGGCTTTCCAAGTCGAAGGGGTTGCTTCGGAAGCTTGCGTATTCGTCCATTGCGTACGAAGGTTCGACATCGAGGTGCACGGCATCGACGATTGAGTCTTCGGCAGCGTCTTCGGAAATTTCGTATGGGCTTTGAGAGCCCGGGGGCCAAGGTGGCGGACTTGATGGCATGCTCATATCCGACTTCTGCAGCCAACGGAGGCGGTTCTTAGGCTTGGGTTCCGCGTTTTCTGTTCCCTTTGACGGCGTAAAGATGTTTTCCAGCCCGGTTGGGCCGAACAGGTCCGTATGATCGCCATACCCAATCTGCCCGTGAACCAGCCTCCGCTTCCACTCCAGCGTCTCCTGCCTCTTGCTGGGCGACGCGCTCTTCGACCTCTGCTGTACCGTTCCACATGCCGGCAAAGATCCATCTGAAGCTTCTGAAAAGGACTGAGAACCTCGTATCTGGACTGGGGCATGTTGTCGCCGCAGCGTATTTCCTTCGTTTCTGCTCAGTGGCGCAAGCACGTCCCTCTTCCGTTGTGTACCAGCATCTTGTCGCGACAGCGATGAGTGTGTTCCCAGGCTTGGTCGAGGTATGCGACTCAAGCTACTTTCGAGTGAGGCGCTGGAATCGAAGGGGGGTTCAGCAGTCGCATTGTTGGATGAGAGCGGTTTCTGTGGTGCCACCCAGGCATCGTCGAGGCCGTCCAGCCAAGGAGCCACCCTCGAGCTCATTCTGTCAGACCGGCACCAGTTGGGCGGACAGTAGATTGTCGACTTCCAAGCTTCGTATGAATGGACGATACATCAGGTACAGTAGTGTGAAGTAATGTGTAGAGCGTGCAGCCCACCAATGATCCGCGCGTTGATCGATGGCGCGTGCGGCTTGGAGGCAACAAAAATAGGCTTCGCGTCGCCATGGAGACGGGAAGCCGGCCGAAAGCTTGTTTGCCACTGCACCGCATCTGCCTGACGAGCTGGCAGCATGGCAGTCTTCGAGTCAGCATCCGCAACGTTCATTCAATTTCGACTTGATGCCTGGGGTCCGGCGGTGAGCTACTGTTGATGTCTGATCGAATGTCCTGCTTCGATGCATAGCTATACGCCCTTGACGGTATGCCATCATGATCAAAAGCCATCGACCTAGAGGACATATCTGGACCCATGCATCCGCTTTCCAACAGACGAAACAGTTCCGCAACATTGTCTACGAAGAATGTCTGGCTCCCAGAACAAAAGTTCTCGTCGAGGACCAAGACGAGAAACTGTCCGCGGCTGATCGCGCAACGAAGCGAAGGAGGATCGAGAAACTCGCGTCTGATTTCTTAGATGGCAACCCACTCTTTATTTCATCTGCTCGCCCATGCCCTTTAGTTCTGAAGGCTACGATTGCCACACTTAAAGACCCCGGGAATGAGGAGGGAATTGAAGTGAATGAGGGGCATGACTCGGACAACGAACTCTGGAATGACGTGGAGGATGACGATGAAGTTCTGGAAAGACTGACGGCACGTTCGGCAGCTGCTACTTCTCCAAAGGACCCTGTGGATCAACCTGATGATGGTGTTCATTCCCACATCGAGTCAGTCGAAGCGCAAGCAAGCTGTAGATCCTCCAAAAGATTCAAATCTGTTGGACTCGAAGCTGGACCAAGCGAGGAAGCTCTTCGACATGCAGCTGCTCTGCGAGCACGGAATGCGTCGATGGCCAATAACGATGTTCCCGATCGACGCGTATCTATCGAGTCACCTCCACCCTTCGGCAGCGGACCACACGACGTCCCAGCCCCTACTACAGATTCTGCTCGGGACAGATGGATATCACGGCGCAAATCACGGTTCTCTTTCTCAGCCTATGTGCCTGACGACGGCAGCCAAGACGAGCTTCGCTTATCCAGACTCGAAACTCCTTCTGCGCAATTGCGGGCGGCGTACAACAAGGCCCACGCATCCTCACTTCAGTCAGTCTCGAGTGCCGAGGTGTTGCCGCAGCAGCAAGCATCATATCAAACAGCGCTCGAGGAGTATGACCAGCGCGGCGACAAAACATCGGATGGGCAGCGAGACGCATTCGACTCATCACTTGTTCCCCCTGAGACTACACCCACCAGGCGTACGAAATCCGCAATTGTCGCGGAAGTAAAAGTTGCGACAAGAAAGCCCCGCTCAGTCTATGTCAGCGCTCCTGCCACGCCGCATGGATCAACGCCTTTCCAGTTCCGGAAGCGCAAGACGCGATCGATGGGCGTCAAAACGGCAAGACTCAACAGGCCTGGAGAAGCTCAAGGTGGGGCATCTCAATCCGACACAGGCGATCATGGTAAAGTTTCCGCGCTGCCAATGTTGGACATGTCATTCCACCACGATTTGGAATTTGCTCAGAATCTCAATCGAGCACTCGAGGATGAGCAGGGCGAGCTCAGCCTGGTAAACGAACTCGACCATGCCAACACGAGTGGCGTCTCCCATCGAACTTCGCACATGAGTCCCGACCCAGAATCATCCAGTCCGTCCTCGGATCACGCTCTTTTCTCGTCTGCGGTCGAGCAAGCGTGTAGCGTTGTACAACGCGATTGCGGAGACGGGCATTTGCAGACCTGGGCCGGAACGCAATTTCTACTCGACAAAGCACAACATGAGCTGTGGAACTCGCCACACAAGCGAGAGCCGAGTCCCGTCAGCGATGGGCTGAATACGCCGGAAGCGGAGGGCAGGATCATGACCGGATCTCCCTCCTCGAACCAACGCGAGCCGCTCAAGCAGCTTTCACAAGAACGTTTCCCGAGCACGCAACAACTTCTGGGTGCTTTCGAGGGCTGGTCGACGGTGAAGAAGCCTCGCTTTAGGCCTCGATACTCTCCTTCATCGATGTCGGGCTCGCCTAAAAAAGGGGAGAGAGGATCACTGGTGACATTGAAAGGCACACTAGCGACATCGATGGCACTTTCAGCGTCTCCTATGGCGAGCGACCAAAGTCGCATTCCAATCCAGTCGAAGGGAGCTATGTCATCGACTGCGCCGCCTAGCTTTCCAATCGATGCGCCAGATGCCACAGGGTCCCCGGGTCATAGAAGACATACGTTCGCACGCAGTTTCAGTGAAGGCGATTGGGAGGGCACGGCCATGTCCCTCCACGAGGTGCTACCGACCGCACAGTCAAACGTGCTTCACGGGGAGGAGATTGAAACATCACCCGAACGGCTGCTCGCAAGTCTTGAGGCTCAGGAGCCTTCCACTTTTTGGCGCGAGCCTTCCAACCTCAGCCAGACTGTGAACGATCTGCGAGGGTGTCTGGACACGACCGAAATGAATGGAGTGTGGAGTCAGCTTAGCTAGATACCTACCTGGTCGTTAGGGTTTTGTTAGGGTTAAAGACTGCATTGTCTTTTGTGACATTCGCATGCCGAATACAACGATGGACATCTAGCTTGGTCGTGAATGATGTATACTGCACAGGCAGCAAAGAATAGAGATGTTCACGTGCCTTCAATCCCGGTTTGGTTGTTGACCCCACGCGGCGGCGGTGGCGGCCACGAGAAACAAGCCCAAGCTTTTTCGCCCCGGAACCCAGTCCCGCTAACCCTCGATGACGGACGACGCTTGGAAATGCAGTCAACCTCTGCGAACACATCGCTGCCGTGTGTGTCCATGTGAACTTGTCTTTCCGCATTGTCCAGCAAATCCTGCCGCACGCAATTTCGCCCTCGCACCTATTCTGCGCCCCGCAAACAACTCCAAACATCACCCTCGTGACCCTACGCTTCCTACCACTCCCTAGCACTCTCCCTCAACATGGCGCGTGAAAAGGACCCCGACGTCCCGACCCCCGGACCGGCACAGCTCACCTCTCACGCCGGACCGGATGAATGGCTTGCACAGGCAAAGCTCTGCCGCTACCTGCCGGAAGCGGACATGAAGCGGCTGTGCGAGGTGGTGAAGGAGTGCCTGATGGAAGAGAGCAACATCCAGCCGGTGCAGTCACCCGTCACCGTCTGCGGCGATATCCACGGTCAGTTCTACGACCTCCTCGAGCTGTTCAACGTGGCGGGCGGCATGCCGGGGGAAGTGGAGGAGAAGGAGAGATTATCGGCGGCGACGGCGGCCAGCACGGCGAGTCCGAAAGGCAGCATTGGCAGCGCAAGCGGCTTCGAGCCCAAGAGCCCCAGTAGAGGAGGGATTAATGCGGCGGACATTGAGCCGCCAAGTCAGATCAGTGATCCGCGAGTCAAGAGGAAGATGAAGCGGCGCTTCCAGCGCGACTCGGCGTACATATCCTCCACCTCTAACGACGGCAACTCGGAGACGGGTGAGGATGACGAAGAGTTCCGGGGCAGAGTGCGGAGTCGAAGTTTGGAAGATGCAGAGGACGACTACGAAGATGAGGACAGCGAGGATAGTGGGGTGGGCGTGAGGAGTACGGGGCAGAGCAGGAGCAAGAGTATACACAAGCAGGACCTGGCGAACGGGAAACAGAACTTTGTGTTCCTGGGGGACTTCGTGGATCGGGGATACTTCAGCTTGGAGACATTTACATTGCTTATGTGTCTGAAGGCGAAGTGAGTGATGCGAGTGGAGGACAGCGAAGTGAGGAGGCTAATTGGGATACAGATATCCCGACAAGGTCACACTGGTGCGTGGCAACCACGAGTCGAGACAAATTACGCAAGTGTATGGCTTCTACGAAGAGTGTCAGCAAAAGTACGGCAATGCATCGGTGTGGAAGTCATGTTGCCAGGTGTTTGACTTCCTGGCTTTGGCGGCCATCATCGACGGCAAGGTGCTGTGTGTGCACGGTGGATTGAGCCCAGAGATTCGCACGCTGGATCAGATCCGCGTGGTGGCGAGAGCACAGGAGATTCCGCATGACGGAGCGTTTTGCGATCTCGTGTGGAGCGACCCGGAGGATGTGGAGACGTGGGCGGTGAGTCCGAGAGGAGCGGGGTGGTTGTTTGGCGATAAAGTGGCGAGCGAGGTGAGTGCCCTATCGTGCCTGTTGGCGAGTTCGAAGGTGATGGTCAGAATGCTGATGCTGGTGGTCGCAGTTCAACCATGTCAACGGTCTGCAGCTGATCGCGCGTGCACATCAACTGGTCAACGAAGGCTACAAGTATCATTTCGCAACACAGGACGTGGTGACGGTGTGGTCGGCACCAAACTACTGCTACCGATGCGGCAACGTGGCATCCATCATGACGCTGGGAGAGGACCTCAACCCGGACTTTAAGATCTTCTCCGCCGTGCCGGATCATCGGAGGGCGGTGCCGGCAGGACGACAAGGGCGTGGGGAGTACTTCTTGTAATGAGCAGGGGCTGGCTCTCGATTCTTTGTTGTATTGATGTACCTATATGACATCCTGCATTCCTGATGGAGCTATGAGGGTTGGTTTGCGAAAGGGGGGAGTACAGAAATGCGTGCAGTCAACATAGCCTGCATGATAGTTGATCTCCCCAACTGCATTGACCACACTATCTCGGCAGTCCACGCGCACAACCTGGCTGTCGCTTGAATGCTCCCACGTGCCATAGATCATTTCAATCGTTACTCCATGAACCTGGATAAAAGGAAACAAGGATTCGGGCCGGCAGCCACTAATAGAACAAGAGCCATGGGGCTGGGGTTGGCCCGAGATGATGGAGCCGGGGTCTGAAAATGGTATGCGCCTACTACATGCGGAAGGAGGGAAGGGAGAATGAACAGCAGGCTTGCTCTTCTCCTTCATCATCCGTCCTTGTCTTCCAAATCTAGTGCCAGGAGATTATTGCATTTGTGAAACACGGCGTCAATGCCGCATCTAGCATTGACTTGCCATGGCGCAACGGGCGACAGCCCCCGGCGGCGCGAGGCGTACCTGCAGCCGCTAGTGCTGCCACGCCCGCTGCAATGGGATGGATGCATCGAAACAGCCCGATGGGTTGGCCATCACCAAGACATCTTCAACGACGTCTTCAATGAAACGCACTTGCATCCGCTGGGTACGTGTCCGTGGGGTTGGATTGCCGGACCAGTAGATCCAGCCCGCGGCCGTCTCTGGCCTCATCTTCGCCGGTGTTTGAGAACGCAACGCTTTCCGCCTTTTAACTTAAATGATCACCCGAGCACGGGCCCAGCGGGCATCTCTCTCGCTGGGTTGTACCACACGAAGTCGCGGCTGGGGAGGAAAGGCATGACTGTCCACCTCGTCCTACTCGCCGTCGCTACATATTTCCATCCATCGCCGCGGCCGATATCATCAACCACCAGGCCGCCATCGCCTGTCTTTCCCATCCTTCCCGCCTACCTCGCCCTGGGCCGCCCGCCGCGTGCAGCGATCGACAGCGCATACAGCACAACCCAGCACAGGAATTCAAATACAGCTCACCACCCGGCCGCATCCTCCGCCAGCGCATATTCGTCCTCCCCGCCCATGCCTGCTCCTGGCAACTGGCCCTCCTCTTGTCCACTCGCTACCTCTCCACTCACTGCTGCACCCCTAGTGTAATTAAGTGCAGGTGACAAGTGCCGCCGAGAGGAGACACGTGGGGTTTTAACCAAAGTTCACCCAGGTACCGGCCATCACCACCTGCAGGCCCCAGTGTCGCCAGGGGCCAATTGCGGCCGGGCGCGCGCTGCTGTCGACCCGCTAACGCAAACCCCCCGGCATTCCCCGTCCCCCGTCTTCTAAACCGCGCGCCTTGTCGCCGCACATTTCTCCCTCGAGGCCATGCAGGGGGGTGCGAGTGTCGTCGACCACTCCATGTCGCCGCCGCCGCTGCCCGGCCCTGCTCCTCCTCCTCCGCCCTCTCTGCTGCCCACCTCCCCCCCAACTTCGCCGGGGCTGCGCAACGCCCATCACCACCGCCGCCCGCCGAGCACGGCATCCATCGCCGCCATGCCGCACCAGACGCGGAGCTCGAGTCGCCTCACCGACGGGCTGACGAGTCGCTCGTCAAGCGATGAGGATTCCAAGACAGCTGTCAAAGTTGGTGCGTCGCTTATCCTGTCAAACTCACATGCCCGACTTGACACCCTTCGCTAATCCTTAATTCTCCGAACAGCTGTCCGCGTGCGACCACCCCTCTCCCCCACCGACCCCGGCTTCGACTTGATTCCCCAGCGCTTTCGAGAGAGCACCTGCGCCGTGCCCACCCCCACCAGCCTGTCGGTGCAGTCACCGCAGGGCAAGAGATTGTTCATCCTCGACCGCGTATTCGACGAGCAAACCACACAGCAAGGCGTCTGGGACTACCTCAGCGACAGCGTCTCGTCGTTTGTGAAGGGGTACAATGTGTCCATCCTCGCCTATGGCCAGTCCGGCTCCGGCAAATCCTACACAATGGGTACCTCTGGCCCGGAAGATCAGGCAGACTCCCAGATCATGGGCATCGTCCCCCGAGCTGCGCAAGCCTTGTTCACCGCGCTGAATGGCGCCTCCCTACCCAAGACGGGCCTCCAAACACCCAAGCGATACTCCACTCAGGTGTTACCGACTTACGCTTCGCTGGCCAAAGCAAGCAACGCAGATCGCAACTGGACGTTGAAGGCGACATATGTCGAGATATACCAGGAGCAACTGCGAGACTTACTCGTCCCCGAATCCGTTCCCGTCCCCGACCGCGCCCCTGTGGCTATTCGAGAAGACACCAAGGGTCGCATTCTCGTCACTGGCCTCACTCAGGTCACCATCAACTCGGTGGAAGATCTCCTTCGCGCCCTGAACTTTGGCTCGGCCATCAGACAAACCGATGCCACCAACATCAATGCCCGCTCTTCACGATCCCACGCCGTCTTTAGCTTGAACCTCGTCCAGAAGAAGAGCGACACTCCTCTGACGCCGCGGCGAGAGAAGCGCTTCTCCACCCCCGTCGAGCCCCTGTCCACCGCGGAAGATTTCATCACCCTGGACAGCAAGCTGCATTTCGTCGACTTGGCGGGCAGTGAGCGGCTGAAAAATACGGGCGCCACCGGTGATCGGGCGAAAGAAGGCATTTCCATTAACGCTGGGCTTGCAAGTCTCGGAAAGGTCATCTCACAACTCTCCTCCCGCAATACACACGCACACATCTCCTATCGCGATTCCAAACTCACCCGGCTGCTGCAAGATTCGCTCGGCGGGAATGCAATTACGTTCATGGTTGCCTGCGTCACACCGGCCGTCTTCCATCTCAGCGAGACGCTGAACACGGTGCATTATGCGCAACGTGCCCGCGCCATCCAGACCAAACCCGAGATCCAGGAGAGCCGGGACGAGAGCGACAAGCAAGCTGCCATCGACCGACTACGAGCCGAGGTTTCATTCCTCCGTGACCAAATTAGGCACTTGGATCATGCGGAAGGGAAAGGTGCGGACGGTCGAGTGCGGCTCGACAAGCAGCAGCGCGGTCAGGAAGCGGATCTGGAAACCCAGCTCCTGGACATGCAGGAGAATTACAACACCCTCAGCAACAGGCACGCCAAATTGATCGCCGAACTCTCTGAAGCGCGCGCTGGCGAATTCTCTGAGACGCCGCTTGCGAATGGTGCCGTGGGCGAGAATGCCATGGAACGCGTGAAGAGGTCGAGCTCGTTCGCCGAGGCCGTTGAAATGATGGTTCTCGAGTATGAGAAGACCATCCAGAGCCTGGAGACATCTCTCTCGAAGACCCGCGGCTCGCTGTCGAGCTCCGAGAGCACTCTCATGGAGAGGGAAACCCGTATTGCATACATGGAAACCATCCAGCAACACCTCCAAGGGCGTTTGCAGAAGATGATGGATCGCGAGCAGAGCAGCGAGGCATATGTCCACGATCTCGAGATGCGGATGCAAGGCTCGAGCACGGGCGAGGAAGCGAACGCCGCCTTGATCAGCGAGCTGCGCAAGGAACTTGCTCGCGTGCGCGAGAGCGAGGCCAGCAACGAAGACTACATCTCAACTCTGGAAGAAAGACTTGCAGAGGCCGAGCAAGACCAGGAGATCATGCAGCGCGAGATCGACCGGCTGGAGCACGTCGTGGAGAGGCAGCGTAGCATCGGCAGACTCGACAATCTGCTGGGCGAGTTAGATGTGGGTCACAACGAAAATGGCCGAGGGGTCAATGGGCACGTGCTCACGATGAATGGTCATCATGAGAATGAAGATCCGTTCACGGAACGCACCAGATCTCTCTCCAGTACTGCTGCGACGCAAGAAGAGCTTTTCGAGGATGGTGGATCTGATTACGGGGTGTTGGGAGCAACGCCGAAGGAGAACAAAATGACATCCGCCACGGAAGATGCCATGCGACAGTCACGCACGCTGACGGAAGCGCACAATGCCGCTCAGGACGATTTCATGGCGGACAAAGTTGAGAACCTCACGCAAGAGCTGTTCGATCTCCGCTCGGACCACGAAAACGTGATGATTGACTACGACAAGCTTCAGCAGAAGTACCAAACGGCGCTTGAGACCTTGGCCAAATTGGAATACGACAAAGAGACACGCAAGATGGATGACGCTCAAGCACCGGGTGGAGTGACTTCTTTTTTAGCCGACGCGGGGATGGAGAGAGAGGAGAAGGCAGAAGGACAGCCTTCATCCTCGCGATCGTTGTTGGAGGAGTTGTCCTCGCGGCCATTATTGAGGTCGTCGTACGAAGATCTCGCGGACAGATCGAGCAATGACCTATTGCAGACTACGGGAGATGCAGAAGGGGACGCTGCGGCCGTCCCGCTCCCTCACGATGAAGAAGACCGGCAGGTCGAATTGGAGACGCTACGGCAGCTGAAGTCAGAGCACGAGAGCACCATTTCCGAGCTGACTGCCAACTACACTTCGCTACACTCCCGTCACGAGGACACAGTCGCTCACGTCGAAGATTTGAAACAGGAACTCGCAAAGGCGCAACGTTCAACTCCCCCGAACTACCGACAATCCTTCTTCAACCGCAAGTCGGTAGACTTGTTCGCTCTCCATGGCGATCGGGCCACCAAGTCGATAACGTCTTTGCGCATCGTCGGACAAGACAACCTTGAGCCCTCGACTGACGCCCGGCAAACCTTCGACACGCATCTGAACACCGTCATGAACGAGCTGAACAGTCGCACTGACGCGCTTCACGCTCTTGAAGCAGAGCTGACATCCGTCAAGAAGGATATGGAGTCGAAGCAGACTATCATCGCTGGACTCACTCGAGAGCGAGGGAGTCTCAAAGCATCCCTGGGCGTGGATTTCTCCGTTGTCAGCCAGATGCGCGAGCAGCTGCTGGAGGGTGAGAATCGCATCCGGACGATCCAAGAACAAAACTCCGTGCGAGAGAAGGAGCTGCAAGAACAGGTGCACCAACTCCAGGCGAGCCTCGCCCAACAGCTGAATCAACTTCCTACGCCCAACGAGGAGAAATCACTTGGCATGCCCGGTGCTTTCATGGTGACGCCGAACCTGGAAGTCCACGAAGATCAAGCCATGGGCGGCGCCTCGCGCCAGTCCCAACCTCATTCTGAAGAACTCGCCAAATTGCAGGCAGAACTAGAAGCCTGGGAGGAGAAACACCGCACTACAGTCGAACACATGCATAGCTCCGAATCGAGGCTGATCAACACAATCACTCAACTGGAGGCTTCGGTGCGTGAGCTGCAGAGCGCCAAAGCACAGACTTCAAGCCCACGATCCTTCAGTTCCAGATCACCATCCAGCGAGACGAACGGCGAAGCAACGGCAGTGATGGCTGTGGCGGGAGAGCGCATAAAGCACCAAGAGATCGTGCATGCTCTTGAACGACAAGTCGAGGAGTACAAAGCCACGGCTGCTAGCCATGAGACGAAGCTCGCGCAGCTCGAAACTTCCTACACCACCATCCTGAAGCAGGTCGAAGGGGATGCGCAAGCGCGCGACTTGGACTCACAAGAACTCAAGACGCACAAAGACCTCGTCGCCAATCTCGAAAACCAGTTGCAAGTTCACAAGTCGGCCATCACCATTCATCAGGAGAGTTTGGAGTCCTTGCAAGCATCCCATACCAAGGAGTTGGACGACTTGAGGACGGCTATGGCGTCTGCCGAGAACCGATCAGCGGAGCGATATGCGGACCTGGAGGCGCAACACAGTCAGGCGACACAGGACTTGCAGGCCCAACTTGTTACTGCGCAGAACGAGCATGCAGATTTGCTTCGTAGCGCATCATCTGCGCTGGGCTACTGGACCGATCCATCCCAAGTGCACGCGAAGATCAAAGGTTTGGTCGAGGAAGGCAAAGACCTGCATACCCGACACTTGAAAACCACCAGCGAATTGAAGAGTGTCCAGGAGGAATTGCAGATCGCGCTCAACAAGCACGTCGACCTCGAGGGCAAGATTGGCGAGTTGACGCAGGTGAACGCCGAGTCGATTCGCGAGCTGGATCGGGCTATGGAGAAGGAAAAGAAGAGCTCTCGCCTTGTCGACGAGCTCGAGGAACAGCTGAATCGTAGCTTCGATTCCAGTCATGCCTCGAATCAACGCTCCAGTCATATTCACGGCGAATTGGAGCAGCAGCTACAGTCGGAGAAGAGGAAGACGCTGGCGCTCGAGGTGAGTTGGCTAGGCGCTCCGACTTATTTACTGGTATATACTGACCTCCTTGAAGCAACAGATCGAGACATTGCACCGGCAGTCCAACCACTCGAACGGCTCGGGTGGCAGGGAGTCGCTGTTGCCCGACGCCCTGGGACGGAACGGATCAGGAGCATCCCAAGGCCGTAAACCAAACGGCACGACCGGGCTGCCCACACCACCCCCTTCCATTCCGCTGCCGCCGCTTCCGTCCTCGCCGACCAGTGCAGTGATGCCGAGTAGTCTCGATGGCCGAGCCGCTTCCCCTCCGTTACAGCGCGGCTCTCCAGTGACCAACAACTCCCCACCCGGCTCCCGACACACTTCGAATGAAGTTCCGCGCGCCGCCGCACAGCAGATAGAGGAACAAGAGACGCGCATCCGCACCATCGAAAAGCACCTCTACGCCGAGAAGCAACTGACCGCCACGCTGGAAGAGGCGCTGGTGGATCTGGAGACGAGCGCGAACCGCACCAAGGTGGAGATGGAGAGCTGGCGCAAGAAGTACAGCGCGCTGGAGGAGGAGCTGAGTGGGTTGAGGAAGCAGCGCACCGAATCGCGCGCGAGTCTGCAAAAGGTGGAGGAGGAGAGGGAGATGAGGGTGCGGGCGGAGAAGGCGAAACAGGCGCTCGAGGAGCGGATGCGGGAGTTGAATTCGTCGAAGAAAAAGAAGAAGAATACGCTGAATTGCTTCTAAGAGGGGCTATGATGGGGGGGACACACACTAACGCGCACGACGACTTTCCTTTGTTTGAGTGTATTTGTAGTATAGCGAGCGGTGCTGGTCGGGATCGCATGAGACGAGGCGGACACGACGGGATTGAGAGCGATGAAATTCTACTAGAACGAGGCGATCCGGCACAAATGGCCTCGATGTATGTTGCTGTGTGTAGATAACAGTGTGGTGGTGATAGGGAAGAGAAATGCCATTGGCTCGTCTTCCTGCAGAGCGCTGTCTAGTCGTTATCAAGCTCATTGCCTGCGCAGATTCTGGTGCGTCTTCTAGTGCACCGCAAGTGACTCTCGTCAGCTACGCAAGTCTCGTTTGAGCATTTTGAGAATGCTATTTGCATCTAGTGGCTGTTGAGCATTCTGTGAAGCTTCGGCTGGTGTAAAGGCAGCATTGCCATGTCTGTCGTTATTTGTACTTTGATGGGCTCCAGGAGGTTGCAAGTCGTCTGAAGCTCTGGGAGTATACTGGCTCTCCAGTATATAGCTTGAAGGGAGGGCCGCAGGCGGGTAGGGCAGTACGTAGATTGTAGGATACTCGTGAACGATTCGGTCCCGCAATGAGTCGGTGAGCGACAGTTGGGCATCCAACACCACCAGCACTTTGGAGTTGGATGTTGTACCAGGTTTCAATAAGTAGTAATGAGTTTCGGTTTGATGGGTCGCTTCCACTGCCAGTGTAGCGTCCGCTGACGTGCCCGCAGTCGGATCACGGTCATCATCATCATGCGTGTCGTGAGGTTTGTCAGTGTCTTGTGCTGCTGCATCTCCCAGTGGGTCCTGGTGGTCATGTACATCACTTCGACGTGGGCTGCCCATGTTCTGCAGCGATGTTGTGCCAGGTGGTACCGCTTCCGGTGAGCGTAGGCTAGAGTCCGCGACATGTTCGTTGCTCGCATCCACCTTCCTTCGCTTGCGATCGGAAGATTTGTTCGCCGAGCTCGCACCCTCGTGTCGACGTTTGGCAGCGTTGCGTTGCTGCGCTTGATGGAGCCCATGGAGCTCAGCGATAGACTTTGCGGCAGGACAGTCGTCCTGTAAATACCGATTCCCATCCGCATCAATCCACTCCATGGTCCAGAAGATGGTGCCGCTCTTGGTAGCGCGGGTACGATTAGCTTTCTGCCGGCTCATTCCCAGAGGCGCATGGTGGACGGTGATACGGTGTTGCTGAAGATACTGCTGCAGCTGACTTCCCGGCTCCCATGCGCGCGACACCGCTGTGGGCTTGGCCGGATCCACGCCAATGCCACGTTCTTGCACGTTCTTGGTGCCATCGTCGAGGGTGCGCTCCACGCGTTTGAGATAGTTGTAGTCGTGGTCGACCCCGGCCGGCGTGGCCCACTGGCTTTTCTTCACGTACGTGGCGGGATCGCGTTTGCCGCTGCACGATGCTCGCTGCTGGTGGCGCTTGTAGCACGGTAAGGAGCAGGTCTGCGCCTTACATCGCGGGCACTTGTATTTGGGCGGTTGAGTGTGACTTGAAGCGGGTTAGCCGTGGGTTCGTTGGTTGGGTTGCGCCAGGTCTACACGCACCATATCGAACACAGGTCGGACAGCAGCGGCTGATCCATCTCCTGGTCGATCAGTCTAGAAATGGCAGGTGATCAAGTGTGAATACGATGTATGCATGATGGGATGTCACAAAGAAAATGTCTTTACAGCCTTTCGAGATTGACAAAGTCGCGAGCCTTGGCGTTTTTCGCCAGCATCCGACCAACATATTCAAACAGTACGACGACGGATCAAGCTCCTGACCAAATCTAATAGCAAAGTACGTTTTTGCATGCATCCAGCATTTATTCCGGAGGCCATACAACAATCTTGCATCGCGCATGCTGGCGTGGAGAGATGGGGAAGAGGCCGCTTCAGCGCTTCACCATTCGGCCGTCAGTGACGACGAGAGGAACAAGACTACCTCATGACCAATCTAGAGTCCAAATGGATGCACGAGTCGATGCCCGTCACAATTGTAACGACGGCCTTTCCAAAAAACCTCTTGAAAGACGGACATTTGCGTCACGATGTACCAGCGGTTTCACGATGGCGATGGCGGAAGTATGACCCCTTTCCGTCGCTCATCTCATCACACCACGCCGGCTTGACCATGCGCCGGGTGGCGTGGCCGGCGTCAATTACCTTATCACTTGACAGATGAAGGCCGGCGGGTGTGTAGCTTTCGCGCCGCCCATCACCCTGCTGCTGAAGGCGCGTGCTGTGTGCATCGTGTTGTCCACCATGCGACGAGCATATCAAATAGCTGAGGTATCGAGTATTGCCGGTCTTCCCATCATAAGACTCCCCCATGTCGAAAGGTGCATTGGCCATGCAGGGGTAACCCCACCGCGCGGAGATCACCGCTAGGCACTTCACGGTATAGCCTGACGGGCTCGAGCTAAAGTGGGCTCGTGGTCAAGATTTTAGGTTCGATCTCTCCCTCCTCCCGGTTTCATCCAAAGGAGTCCGAGCATATTGCAGTGCCATCTTCGACGCACCGTCCAACTCCAGTCCTACCCGCCGTGCCCCCCCGTCTCCTCCCATCTCCGCCCTCCGAGCTTCAGCGGATCAGCGCGCCAAGCAGCAGCTGCGCCGTCGCTGTGCCCCTTCCGTCAAGTCGTGCTCCTACCGTCTCAGCTCTCCAGCTGCTTCTGCGAATCCAAGAGGCTGCAGGCAACACGGGTCTTGGGGGCAGATCACAAACGCAGGACGTCAGAATCTCCTGCAGTGTGCACAAGACGTGCGACCAGACCTCGCGCGGCTGCCGGCATACCTATCCCTCCCTCGTCATGGGGCCCTCCTCGGCCTCGAGGCCTCGCTCGGGCGAGTCGCGCCCTCTCAGTCGCGACGAAGACAACCTCATGATCCCCAACCGAACCTCGTCGTTACACTCGCGCATCGCCCAACCTGGCCCAGACACCCTGGCGCAGGCAAAGCCGCAACAAAAGGCCCCCAAGACATTGACCCATGCGTACATGGTTTGCGGAGTCGGGAGGGAACCATCACAATGGGTCAAGGCACCCGCACCGGTGCAGGGAAAGATCGCGCACATGAAGGGTGCCGTCGGCCAGTTCTGGCTGCCGGAGATCCTCGGCAGCAGTCCCAGACTCGAGCAAGATAATGAGATTGCTCGATCTCTCCATTCCGCCATGAGGGTGCGTCGTTGACAGATGCGGTCTCGTCTTTCCACAGCCTCGCTGACTCTCCTTTCCAGGCTTGCTTCCCGCATGATGTCGAAATCTGCACCGGCGCCACCCAACCCCATTGTGTGCATCATGCCTTTGTCTTGCAGCAGGACTCCTCCCATACTCTGTACGGCATCGCACTGCGAGTGTGGTCGCGAGCAGACGAGAGACGAGCGGAGACCATTCGTGACCTTCGCAGACGTACCGAGCCCGACTACTACGACTCCCCGGGCGAGACGTATTGGATCCCTTACTGCTTGAGCTTCCTCTCGCGGTATCCGCTATACAACCTGCTCGGCGACTACCTCCGAGGCATGTGGATCCACTGGAACAAGGCCACCAACCTGTTCCACGCAGAGGAGGTGTCAAGAATCCTGAGCTTCCCGGCTCCACGGCTGAATGACCTCGTTCGGATCGACATGAAGGATTATGCTCTGTGCTACCAGTTTCCCTCGACGCCGACCGGCTTCCAGAACTTCGCAATGTGGCCATTGTTCTGCTGTCTGTCGATTCCCAATATCGTGGGCATTCTGGAGGCTGCTGTGTCGCCCACTCGCCGCATCATCTTTATTTCGCACTACCCTGCGATGCTGACCGTCGCAGCAGAGACGATCCGTTTCATGGTCCGGGTATACGAGTGGAGTGGCTTGTATGTGCCCGTGGTGCACGCCCGTCATGCAAAGGAGCTCGTCCAGGAGCCAGGTCCATACATCCTTGGCATCACTGCCGAATGCCGCACCCTATTCACCGCGCCATCAGATGCCTTGGTCATCGATCTCGATCGCAATTTCGTCCTCACATCCAGCCCGCCCGACGTGTGGAGCTCGAAGCAGCGCACGAAACTCATCACTCGTATGACTGGAGCGCTCAATGGCGACGTTTCCCCGTCTGGCGTCCCACAGCACCTTCGATCGGCGTACGGAGGTGGCAAGCTTATTCCCGCCGGTCAGATCATCGTGATGCGTGGAGAGGTGGAAAGTGTGCAGGAGCCGGGTTGGTGGAATCAGGACAATCTGATGAAGGTCATGGACCACGCCTGTGAGAAGTTGGTATGACGATATCCGCAGAGGAAGTTCAGATGGATTTGCTAACGCTTGACCTAGGGTAAAAACACAGGGTTCAAAGCGGTTTTTGGCGGGCCTCAGAAAAAGTCTCTCGTGACCAAGGTGTCGATGAGGCATCTCAACGAGATTGTGCGTGAGCGGAACCAGTATTCCCGCGATGCGATGGAGGCGTGGCAGGACTTCATCAATCTGAAGGGGCGCATGGACACGGAACTGACCAAGGTCACAAAGCGGAACAACTTCTTGGTGGAGGAACTGGAGAGCTGGAAGCAGCAATTCTTGAAGTTCCAGGCCTTCGCGGAGCAGCTGACAAAGGAGACGAATGAGCTGAAAGTGAAGATCGACAATCACAAACGCGAGAACCGGCGCCTGACGACGCTTATCGATCAGCAAAAGGATGACGCTGCCAGATTGGCCGTACGCTTGTCTGGGACCGAGAAGCAGCGAGATGACGCGCTTGAAGCACTCGTGCTCCAGCAAGAAATCGCGGAAGAGCTGGAGAGAGAGCGGAAGCGCAACACAAAAGACATCTCCGCTATGCAGCACACCAATGCCGTACTACTGCGCCAGCGCGACGAGGCTCAGCGTGTGGTTCTGCATTTGCGTGCATTGATCGACGGCCAGGCGCATCACATGCAGCATATTGTCAAATCACTCGGCGAGATGCCAGACAATGCCAACGTCCTAGATGCAGACGCCAATGGAGAGGCGGAGGACAAGGATGAAGCCGACGCGGAATTGGATCGTGAAGTCGGCGGCTGGGGCTCGAGCCTGCCGTCCAGAGCGAGCACCAGAGTGTCGAGCCGTATGGGCGGTGAGGAAGCCTCGCTCATGAGCTCCGTGGCTCGCAAGCGCTTGTCGGAACTCAGCATGACTGACGTCGCAGACCGCCACCTCCGCGAGAAGACTGATGCGATTGCATACATCATTCGCAACATCTCGGAGCAGTGCGCGGCTGCCGTCGAAGGGCTTGATCTCGCTCGTCGCGCCGAGACGACTAGCAGCGAAGCCGACGACGATACCCCCTCGGAGTCGGCAAGGAGACGCAGCAAGCGGCCGATGAAGAGTCTCTCGACCACTTCTTTCGACGGCGATTTGCAGTCGATGATCTCCGAAGATGACTACAACGATGGGCGGAGCGATGCCGCCAGTTCGTATCTCCATCCAAAGCGATCGTCGAACATGCCGTCGACCCCCGACCTCATCCACGACCGCAGCTCCACCAGCATGAGCACTAGCACGGAGAGCACCATTGCCACGCCGCTTCGACAGAGCCTGCAGAGCCAGTACAAGGGGCAACACGGCGATATCCCCGACATCCCGACGAGGATCTTGGATGAAGATGAGGAGGCGGCGGAGGGCGCCATCCGCATAGAGGCAGCCTCGGAGACCTTGCCGAAAGTGACACCGGGGGCATTCCCCACTGCGGCAGAAGAACAAGTCGGAGCTGTTTAGAAGTGGTATTCCCCAAACTCGGTTGTTGGCTGGTTAGCGAGCGAAGGGTTGTCTGGCGCGGCCCGGGACATTTTTCTTCTTCCTACCCCTTTTCACGATACCACTCTCTCGGCAAGTGTAAACAGAGGTGCGTAGCCGTTTTCATCTGTACTCATATCATCATTGTTGGGAGCGAGTTTAGCTATTGTCGATATCATCGAGCGTTCCAAGTCCAACGCCGGAAAGCGGGTGCTTCGCACCTGCCTCGCTCGTGTCTGACTCTTTCCTTCCACCTACCCATCTTAACTGCATGTGATCCACATGTACCTCTGCTTGTTTCGGAAGTCCAGTTTCCATCAATTCCAGTCTCTTCTCATCGACCAGCCTTGGGAGTCGTGCCTCACGCTCCGAGTCTCGGTCACAGTCCTTGACGGCACTATCATACCCGCCGCGACAACTGCGAGATGGACTTCCTGTTGCGCTGCAACTCGCTCAAATGCAGGCGGCAGTTGAATGACCGCGCCGTCGTGACGACATGCAGCCACATCTTCTGCATTGCGTGCTCCGAAGCGCTGGGCCTGGCGAGTGCCAATGTCAGCAATCGCATCTGTCCGGCGTGCGAGATGCAACTTAGCAACCCCGACGATGCCGTCGCCACCCAGCTGAATCCCACCGAGGACTACAAGACGTCTGTCTTGAGTGGCCTCAGCCCCAGCATCATCCTGGAGTGTGCCGGACGTGGCCTGTCGTTCTACAGCTATCAGACGACGCAGGAAATGTGAGTGGCGGTCACTACGCCGCGAGGTGGTTTGCTGACGGTGCCCAGAGTGTATCAGGAATATCTCGCAAAGACTCTGGCCGACAAATACAACACGTTGAGTGGTCAGATGGACAATGTCATCCACGATGCGAACACGGAAATTGCCAGTCTCCGTGACAAGCTACAAGGCGAGTCAAGTGCCTTGCAATGGAAGCGAGATGCAATGCTAATCGCAAGCAGCCATGCAAGGCGACCAACGGGCGCTGGAGAAGCAGAATCGCGAACTGGCCGATGCGTTACGGAAGAAGTCCAAGACCGAGGCGCAGACTCGGCATCTGTACAACGCGCTCAAGCGGCAGCAACTCGCGGGCGGGATCGAATTGGCGGCGGAGTATGACGCGGAGAACGTGGTACAGGCCGTGCATCACCGCGCTTCGAACGGGCCAGAGCATGCGGTGCAGAGCAGAGCAGCAAGCATTAGCAGTGGAAGGGGCCGCAGTGAACGGCCACAACCTCACACGTGGAGCCCGAGCGTGGGAATTAGTCGTCACGCCGTGCAGAACGCTCGTAAGTCGCGCTTGAGAAGTAGCTTGGCGGTCACTGAGCTGATGCCATCCAGACCAAGCAGGCATGCCCGATACGCCGTCTACACATCGCCAGCGCCTTTCAGGTCCAGTGCAGGGTCTTCGTCAACCAGGGGCCAACCGCAATGTGGCTGCACGATCTCCATTAGGGGTGCTCGATGCCAACGCATGCCGAGGGACCAGCAACATCGAGTATGGAGGGATGAGTGCCGGGATCAAGGTCGGGAGGCAGCTGCATGGGCCCAGTCCTCTTAATCACGGGGCAGGTTCTGCTCGATCCGGCGGGTCTGGTGGGTATATCCGTTAGGCATATGGTGGTTGAGGACGGGGCGAGAGAGCGTCCCCCGGCGTATCTTCCTAGTTGCGTGGAGAAAGGTCTAGCAGGTGATGAGCAGGAAAGAGTTTGAGACTGCCTCGAGATCTTTCTGAAAGAGAGCCCTTACTTCATCTTGTACGTTTCACTGTTTCCAGTCGATCCCGAGCAAAAATTGCAGCCTGGCTGGATCTACTACAAGGCAATTTTCCAAAAAATTGGTGATCCAATGTTGACAAGGGTGGGCTAATGGCAAGCATTAGCAACGAATACAATACACCGACACCGAGAAAAGCAGGCGAGGCTCACATTTGAACCCACGAGGCAACGCCACTGCGGAATCTGCTTAGGCAAACCTAAACGCAGCTCCATAACCACTCGGACACCTTGCCGCAGTTTGCTCGGAGTTAATGGAAATGGAATTTATCCTCATCGACAATATACCCGAGTTTACTCCGAGCCTTGGATGATCATTGACGATCCAAAGGCATGCAGCATGGCAGAAGGAGACCATCCACAGCTGCTTCTCCAATCAATGGACCGTGGTAACTACATGTACCTCTCCAAGTATCTCGACGGCAGTTTCAGTGGTTTCTCCGCCCGTAAAGATGCATTGAATAGGTACCTTAGCTAGGAAAGGGAGGATTGGCTGACTTGCCGGGTTCCTGAGGCGGCCGCGCGTGCCGCTCACTGCCGCCAACTTCCAGATCGGCGCTCTGCCCGCGGCCGTCATGGACACCAAGATACTTGGGTGAAGGCTGCTTTCATCTGGCCAATACCAACATTCTTCCCTTCAACCAGCTACCGAGTGACGGTCGATTGTAACAGGCCTTGCCACCCACCAGAGAAACTTGGCGAGTGAGCGAGCACTGCGCCGGACTATTGAATTACGAGCGGCGGACAATTGATTCCTCGTAATAAATCCTTCTCCCCCAATCATCCCGCCGTCGTTTCCGCGAACGGACATTCAACGGCCACCGGGATTCCATCACGCCCCTTCGCCCCATTGCATCCCCGTCGCCGACCACCGACCCATTACCCATCTCTACAACCATCCACACCCTCGTCCACTCTCGTGCAATATCGTCATCCACCGCAAGACCCCCCAGTCTGCTGCGACACCCCCGATTGTATCATCGGTAATCTTGGCGTCACCGCATCGAACTTGGCACGGGACCAGCGAACAAGACCCTTCCGCCTCGCTCGAGCGCACGCCTGCTCCCATCGAGCAGCCATAGTGGACGCCGGCCGACCATGGCTACCGCATCAGATCCCTCCCCAAGCACGCTGCCCCCGACCGCGCCTGCGCAGGATGCAACATCCCCCGTCCCTGCCTCGTCAGCAGTCGAGATGAGTGACCTATCATCCCCTACCGCTGCTGCGGAGAAGAAGACGCAACAAGACACACACGCCAACGCGCCACCGCCAACATCCACATTACCCCCTTCCGAGCCATCGACCTCCGCCCTCACCGCCACAGATGCCGAAGCCGCCTCGACATCACCACCCGAGCCGCTCGAGGGCCTGGGTCCCGCCTCCGAGCTACCCATCGGAGCCCCGATTGCCTCCACCCTCACCGCATCTCCCGCCCTCGCCATCACCCTCATGCTCACCACCGGCGCGAGACATCCCTACCGAATCGACGAGAAATACCTCAAGAACCGCAAGGTGGAGGCAGAGGCGCAAGACGGCACCTTTGACCCGAGGGAGATCAGCGCGTACCAGCTGAAAGAGTTGATCTGGACGGACTGGAGATCGGAGTGGGAGCCGCGACCCGCAAGTCCGAGTAGCATTCGCTTGATTATTCTAGGCCGTTTGCTGGAGGACAAGAGCCCCTTGAAAGGTGTGTTTCCCCGTCTGCTGGATTTCACGAACTATATATGGCATACTGACAAAGACCACAGACTTCCCATTCAAACTCGACAACCCTAATGTTGTGCACATGACGGTGAAGCCCGCGGACTTCTTGGACGATGATGAACCGGGGGCAAAGGGAACGGGCAAAGGACAATCGATCAGAGGGCGAGATGGCGAAGACAGAGGCGCTGGCTGTCGCTGTGTCATATTATGACAACCCTTACCCGGTAAAAGAGGGGAGCGACAGGACAAGGGAACAACTGTGGTGGCCGCCCAAGGCTTGAGAATCTACTCGATTCGGCGCTGCTGGAGGAGCGTGAAGATGCCTGAGCCACCTACGACCCATCATCAGCAACATGGTACATGCGGGATGCGGAGCGCATAGACTTGCATTCGGGGTGCTGAGAGCGCTGGCGGTGGCAATGGGCAGCACTTGCTGTCTTGAGATACATCACACATTCTTTTCGGATGGGCGGAACAGTTCACTACGGGAATGTACGGAATAGACTCTGCATTGAGCGGGCGTTTTCAGGCAGCCATATGTACAAGGGTTGGAAAGGAGCGACAGGAGTAGCACTCTGAGCGTGTTGATTACTGTGAATACTAATGCCATCTATTCATCTCGTGCTGAGCGTGGTATGGTACAGCGAGAAGTGAAGTTGGTAGTACATGCGTGTCCTCCCGCCTGCTCTTTCCCAGACACGCATCTGGTGTCCTGGCCGGTCCGTCTGGCATGGCAAGCCACTCTACCAGTTCATCCCAAACCTCCTCTCCATCTCCGTGTGGAAGTCCGGAACATCCCTCATCTCATGTCCCACAAACACATCCTCCCATCCAATCTCTGTATCTCTCCCCGACAGGATATCGGCGTGCAGGCCACCTCCATAGCCAAATCCTCCTCCCAGGCACATGGGCGTCCACTCCCCAGCACGCACAATATGCAGTTCCATCCCTCGCTTCACCGGCTCCGCGATGCCAAACTGTCGTCTCAGCATCTCCATTTGCAACGCATCTTGCTGGGTGCGCCACTGCGCTAGTCGTGATTCGAGGGGATGCGTGGACTGAAGCTCGAAGTGTGATCCTTGCGCTTTCGGGGCGGGAGTGGTGAGGGAGAGGTTGGCGCGCAGAGTGTCGTGCACCCCTGGAGCGGAGGGCGCACCGAGCTCGGCTTGTGTAGTGAGGGGGTGAGAGGCAGGGGGAACGATGCGGAGCGCCTGCGATGATGTGATGTTAGTGCTGCTGGCTAGACGGGAAACAGGATGTTTGCGGCAGAGCCATACCATCTTGGATGGAGCGGAGTGATGCTCTCTTCGATGCTTGTTTGCGTAGAGGCGGGTCTATATCGAACAAAGCATCACAAGGAGTTGCGAGGAGGATGGAGATGGAAGAAGGTGATGAAGTGGTGATGGTGGTGTTTGAGGTGATGCAGGGAGCTGCAAGGCAAAAAGGTGCACGCGTCAGGCGCCGCCGAGTGACGGCTGGCACTCGACTTTTGACCTGCTACCAAATAGTCGTGGGACTTCTTGACCAACCAACCAGAACGTTGCGATTGGACGAAAGCTGACATCTAGTGTCTTCGCTTCCCAATCCGCGCTTCCTCGTGATTGCACAATAAGATACAGATTGACTAGACAAGCTCCGCTTGATTTAGAGGCTCTCATTGCACGAAGCGACACACATTGACGTTTTGAGTCCATCTCATTCAATACTTCTCTGTCTAACCCCACGTTCCTCCACCACCTCTACCTTGTCGTCTTTGCGCGCTCAGTCTCCAATCATCCTCGCCCGCAAATCGGTTATGCAATGGCTGGATGCGTTCTGCTTTCTTCCGCTTGCTGAGCGTGCCGTCCTTGCCAGCTACTTTGAAGAACGTCGGCGCGGCCTCGACAAGCCATTTGGGCTCAATCGCAGTGACATTGTGCATGTACTCGCGCGTCGTCTCCACCAAAGAATGGTAGATGACATGCTCTGCCGCCTTGCCGAATAATGCACTGGCTGGATGCATGTACACTGGTGTGCCTTCCACGAGCGTCTTATATCCCTCTTGGGGATCTTTGCGGGCGCTGTTTCGGAAGAAGCCTGAGCAAAGCGCTTGTCTCACGCGGAGTGTGTCACGACCGCACGACACAACGCGCAGTTTATGCCGCTCCAAGATCTGGACCAGTTGCTTTCGAACATCCTCCGCTCGCCGTATGTTTCGTGGTTGAATGAAGTTCTCGAAACACCACGCGTCACTGTGTCCAGCACCACGCCATCCGTTGTATACGTTTAGAAGTGTCAAGTGGTCACCACCGGGATCATTGAACCTCGCACGCTTCTGGTCGGCTTGTTGCTGCTTGTCCTTAGGTCGGTGGAATACCGTCTGAACGGCACTGATCATCGCAACAATGCTGAGCATCTCGTCTGAGCATCCAAGTTCGGCAGACATTATCAATGCCTTGCCAAGTCCGGGGTCCATGGGGAAGTCTGCCATGCGGCGTCCCAGCCTTGTCAAAAGGCCTTCGTCGTCCAGCGCTGACAACGCGTACAACTCTTCCAGAGCCGTAAGCATAGTGTTTGTCGGCGGCGGGTCCATGAAATCGAACCCCAGTAAATCATTGATCCCCATGGCCTTCAGCATAAGGATTGTGTTCGACAAATTCTGTCTCTGGATTTCTGGAATCGTCGTGGGCAACATTTCTGACTGGAATGCCGATTCGGTGTACAACCTGAAGCACTTTCCTGGCCCCGTCCGTCCAGCTCTTCCGGCTCTTTGCTTCGCCTGGGCCTGGGAAATCGGAGTAACTTGCAGGCGGTCCATACCCAACTTTGCGTCGTACGCAGTCTGTTTGACAAAGCCGGGATCAATAACGAAATAAATCCCGTCGATGGTGATTGATGTCTCGGCGATGTTGGTTGCAATGACAACCTTCCTTGACCCAGCTGCAGCCGGCTCAAAGATCCTCGACGCAATCTCTGATGGTAACGCTCCGTAGATGGGCAGAATGACCAGCTCGGGCACGCTTGGCCCCAAACCCTTCATGCGTTCGTAGAGAATCTCGCAAGACGTGTCAATTTCTTCCTTACCCGTCAAGAACAACAAGATATCGCCCGGCGGTTCTGTCAGGTGGATTTGCATGACTGTTGTCAACGCCGCGTCCAAGTAATCCGATTCGGGCTCGCGTGAGTACATGATCTCGACCGGAAAGGTGCGTCCGGGAATGCTGAGGATGGGGCATTCGTTGAAATACGTGCTGAACTTCTCCGCATCGAGAGTTGCGGATGTCACGATGAGTTTCATGTCCGGTCGCCTTTTCAGCGTCTTCTTCAGCAATCCAAACAACACGTCTGTCGCAATTGTTCTCTCGTGCGCCTCGTCCAGCATAATCACGCTGTATCGACTGAGCTCCGGATCCAGTAGAATTTCTCGTTGCATGATTCCGTCGGTCATGTATTTGATCCTCGTTTTGTCGCTCGTCTTGTCTTCGAATCGGATGGTGTAGCCAACCTCTTCACCGAGTCGGCACCCGACCTCGTCGCTGACTCTGGCCGCGACGGACATGGCTGCAACGCGTCGGGGCTGGGTACATCCAATCATGCCCTCGTTTGCGAAGCCGTCTTCCGCAAGATATTGTGTAAGCTGTGTGGTCTTCCCGCTCCCAGTGTCTCCGACCACGATGAGGAGTTGATACTGCCGCACCGCATCGAGAAATTGTCGTCGCATTTTGAACGCGGGTAGGGATTCACGCTGATCTTTGATTGACATGCTCGTTCTCTTGCCCATGTCGCCTTTGCCGGTTGCGATTTTCTTCCACTCCGGCATGTCTGATCCTGCGCCGTTTTGCTTGGATGGTTTTAGGTCTGACGCAAACCGCCGTTCGCCAGGTGCAATCATCGGGTCGTTCCATTCCTGGCCCAGATCAGTCTTTGCGGCTTCCTGCGCTGCTTTGTCTTGCGACTCTTGTTGGCGGAGGTCGCGTCTCTCCTTCGCGAGCACGTCGCCCTGCATTGCAGCACGATTCATACTTCCGTCGGGTGCTTTGATTACACGGATCGGACTCAGCTCCAAAGACTGCTTCGTCTGTCCAGCCAAGAATGGCGGCTCGTCTTCTTTGACCTCAATGTCGATGTCCTCCTCCTCTTCAATCTCCTCTCCGTTCACTGCCGCGTTGTAGTCCTCGTCCAGATCAGGATAGTCCGATGCTTTAATCACGCCTGAGGCTATGAGCTGCCTAATCTCCCACCGCTCTGGACTGGTCATGCGCTTCTTCGGTCTCCTGCCGACACCATTGCCTTCGATGACGGGAACGGCGGAATCCAGCTGCCCGTACTTGCTCGGCGTGCTACCATTCAGGCCAACAGCGTTGGCGCCCGTAGCACTCTGCAGTCTTCGCCCAGGGTTGAGGTCCTGTCCGGTCGCCTGGTCCACTTCGGCCATGCTTAACGAGACCCTCTGGTCCTGCACCTTCATGACCTTGACCTTCACTTTCTGATCCCTCGCCACCAAATCGGAAGGGTGGTTGACTTTGTACTCCGCCATCGCCGAAACATGGACCAAGCCGTCGACCTTGCCCTTGACATTTGCCAGATTCACGAATACACCAAAGTCCTTGACCCCCGTCACTCGCCCGTCGTAGACTTTGTAGAGCACTGGAGCGTCGTCCATTTGCGGCTGCGGTGGGCGGTCATAGTCATCGTTCCGTCTACTTCGTCCGCGCTCTTTGTGTCCACGTTCCTTATGGTTGGAAGGATAAGGTCTCGTTCGTCCGAACTCATCCTCGAAGAGAAAGTCGTCGTGCTTTTCCTTACGCCGTGGGCTGCGCGACAAAGACCTGGACGGAGATCGTCTGCTGCGCTTGCTACGATGCTCCAGAGGGGCCTTAGCAACGGGACTGATGCTTCGTTTCCGAGTCGCATTTGCTTTCGGAGGACCGGCCATGGACTCGAGCAGCGCAAACGTATCGTCCAGCGCATTCTCGCCTTCATCTGCAACCTTGGGAGGTTCCTTGTCCGGCAGGGCCAGGCCTTTGAACCTGTCTCTTTTGCCCTCGCTGTCCTTCTCTCCACTCGCCTCCCTCGTCTCTGCTTTCTTCCCACTCTTGTACTTGGGATGGAGCGTGCGTATCAGGCGATCGATGCTCTCTGCCAGGCTCTTGGGGAAATCGTAGTCTTCCAGCTTCGTGGCGAAGTCATTTGGAGATGAGCAGTTGGCGTGCTCAGCAATGACGAATTCTGCAATCGTCTTGTCCGACACGCCCATGTGGTTGTCGATTTCCGACGTCACCTTGGACACAAGGGACAGGAGCTCGAGCTGCTCGAGATCGTCCATGGTGTGTGTGGGCGCAAACGGGCGCGGGTGAAGCGATGCGCCGGCGGAGATGTACAACTTCAGAATTGCTTTCGAACTTTCCAGGTTCACGCGCGAATGAATAGGTGTGGCTTGACGCGGAGAAAGTGTGGCACTTCCGAAAGGTGAAGGGCGGAGATCAAAAGTCGTGAATGGCAGCGCGACTTTTGACACGCTCCGCCAAACGCGTTTCCCGCGCGGAATTCTTAGACGCAGAGAGAGCTCACGGCTTCAACAACTACAGCACCTTGCCAACACATCTGCACATCATGGCCTTCGGCCGGTCAAACTCGCTCAGTATCAATACTGGTGCCACCAACTCTCTTTTGTAAGTCCGTCCCCAGCGAAGACGTCTGCGCGCACGCCATCATCGCATCCATCGTTACTGACCTTACCAGTGGGCAGCAGCAGCAGAATAATGCCGCCTCGCAACCCCCAGCGGCCGGCGGCCTCTTTGGCAACTCTACGCAACAGTCGACATCGGCGGGCAGTTTGTTTGGAGGACCGGCGGCGCAACAACAACAGCAACAACAGCAGCAGCAAACAGGAGGCGGCGGATTGTTTGGGAACAACACGACGCAGTCCTCGCAGCAGCAATCGGGGGGACTGTTCGGCAACAGCACGGCACAGCCTCAGCAGCAGTCTGGAGGGCTCTTCGGCAATACTGCAGCACAGCCTCAGCAGACGAGTAGCTTGTTCGGCAACACACAGTCAAACACTGCCCAGTCGAGCGGTGGTGGGCTGTTTGGCAACACTCTGAACCAGTCCACTCAGCAGCAACAACAACCACAGAGTACCAGTCTCTTTGGAGGCGCGCAGACCAACAAGCCAGCTGGCAGTCTGTTCGGCACAAACAACAACCAGGGTACGACCTCTGGGTCTTCGTTGTTTGGCGGCTCTACGCTGTTTGGCGGCAATTCACAGGCGCAGCAACAACCTGGCCAGTCCAGCCTCTTCGGCAGTCAATCCCAACAGCAGCAACAACAACAACAGCCGGCGTCCAACTCGATATTTGGTCTGTCTGCGAAGCCGGCCGAGCTCCAAACTTCGCTTCTTTCATCATCGCAGTATCGCACCAGCCAGTTCCAACCGTTCGCAGGGAAGCTTAGCATGGGCCAGGCACAATCGACGGCGGGAGTGCAGCAGCCAGCGCAAGGCGCGGTGAAGATCAATTTTGACGAGATGCGGCCAACGACACGCTACGCCGACCTCATCGACGACATCAAGGCCCAGTTGGAGTCCATTGACCAGATGATCCAGAAGCAAGAGCAGAACTGCCGCCAGATCGAGGCCTTCCTCCCCGAGCACGGGCAGAAAGTGCCGTCGTTGGGGCCGGATGTAGACCTCATCAAAGAGAAGGCCGAGGCGGTGGAGCATGCGCTGGCTATGGATGCGGGAGGAGTGGACATGCAACGTAGGGTTCTGGAGAGCGACCGGAAAGATTTCCAGCGCTGCGAGCGCGTCGTCATGAATTTGGCGCAGCCGCTCCAATACCGATACACCGGCTACGGCGGCGCCTCGACCTCTACGGGCCTGGACGGGGACGTGGCGAAAGACATGGATCTAGTGAGCAACTTTTTCGCGCCCGTGGCTGCGGAGCTGATCAAAACACTGGATCTGTATGCTTCGAATCTCACCGAGATTGAAGGACACATGCGGGTGATTGAGCAGTCGGCGGTGGCGCAAGAGCAACAGCTGGTTTCGAAGAGAGCAGGGGTTGGCGGTGGCGCGTACGCGAACGGGGATGATACGGTGAGAGAGTTGGCCGACACGTTACGAGGATTTGAAGCGAGCATTTTGGGAGCCGCTGGACTGGTGGGACAATGTAGAGAGGGTGTGAATGAGCTGGTGCTGGGAAGGCTGAGCAACGGGAATGGGCGGAGATGAGACGACGACGACGACGACGGCACACTGTTAGGGATGGGGAGCGGGGAGGAGGATCATGGCATTTGGCATAGCGTGGCGCACTCGGTAATATACTTGGTCGCATTCCCCGGCGCATTGTGCGTATCGATGTACCGCACATCCAAGTGCATGTACCTGTCAGTTAGACAGTGGCGTAGGCCTCTCGACGCCTCCCACCACTCGCCCCCCACATTTCGGCATTTCCAAGGATGCACGACGGCCAGCCGCACATCCTCGTCATTTAATCTTACGCGCTACATCGTCCACCCTCACCAGCCCTCGACCCTATGCAGTGGGATGGTAATGCCGGGGACGCCTGCAGGAGACGCTGGTGAACGCAATGGCACCGATGTTGCAGCATCCACCGTAGTGCATCCGACCGCACCCCTTCCCCTCGCCCAGCTATGCGCTCAGATCCATGGAAAGCTCGCGGCCTTCTTGAATGCGGACCCCAAGACCGAGAGACTCCGAGCGGTGCAGGCGCAGAGCCGCATCAGTCTGGGAGTCATCGAAGAGGCGCTGCGCCGATACAGGTAAGCTGTACATCGCATCACCCTCCCGCGACAGCCATGCTGATGGAGACGGCAATAGCCCCGAGGAGCTGTCCATATCGTATAATGGCGGCAAGGACTGCCTCGTCCTGTTGATCCTCTACCTCAGCGCCCTCCACTCCTACCACGCAAGGCCCGTCGACGGCCTTCATACATCCAACAAGACCAACAATCATCATCAACACCATCCCCCACCTGCACGGCTCCCCACCCGCCTGAACTCCGTGTACATAGTGACGCAACATCCTTTCCAAGCCGTCGAAGATTTTGTCGCTTCGTCCGTCGAGTACTACCACCTTTCCATGACCCGCTACGCCAAACCGATGAAAGAAGGCTTCGCCGACTACCTGCGCGAGCATCCGAAGATACGGGCAATATTCGTTGGCACACGACGGACAGACCCGCACGGCGGCGAACTCGTGCACTTCGACCCCACCGATCGAGGCTGGCCGGACTTCATGCGCATCCATCCCGTCATCGATTGGCATTATGCAGAGATTTGGGCGTTCATAAGAGAGCTGGGCATCACGTATTGCGAGCTGTACGATATGGGCTACACCAGTCTAGGCGGCACCACGGATACACAGCCCAACCCGGCATTGGGCGTTGGGAGTGGCGGCTTTCGACCAGCTTATGAGCTGCTCCAGGATGAGGAAGAGAGGCTTGGGAGGAATCGATAACACCCATCGGGCATGACTGGACATTGGCTGATGCCTGCTGCATAGATCTCTATATAGATTTGCATGTCTACATCTGTATGTCTACTTTCTATCCTGTTGAGCTTCTTCTAGCAGCAGCCTCGCTGGCCTTCTGGAAGCTCGTCTTCGAGACGTAGATGGATTCCAATATGGCCTGCACAAACAACGCGATTGCCGGTCCGCACCACAGGCCAGTGAGGTCCCATCCAAGGCCGAACGCGGTACCGAAGGAGACGGGGAGTGCGAGCTAGATTATTAGAGGTTGATGTCAGTCGCGCTGCCCTTTCCGACACACCGCTTGGGCAACTCACCCCGTAGAACGAGAACAAAGAAACGTAACCGCCAATCTTCTGCTTCCCCAGCCCCCTGAGCATGCCGTTGCACTGCGCGGCGATTGCATCGAAAAGCTGAAAGGCCGCGTTGATCGGTAGTGTCGCAGCAGCCAGCTCGGCGACGTCGGAGTCGTGTGTATAAAGGTATGGGATGTAGCTACGGCCGGAGTAGAGGATGATGACATTGCAGGTTCCCAGGATGGCTCCCACGACGAAGAGGACATTGCTCGTGACCCTTGCGGCATCGGGAAGCGAGGCGCCAATAAGATTGGCCATGCGAGTGCCTCCCGCGATGCTGACGGGAAAGGGGATGGTGAACATGATGACGCAGAGAGACTGAAGGATGGAGTTTGCGGCGAGATGCGTCGCGGAAATGCGAGCTGCGGCGAGTGTGACGACTTCAAAGGCAATGATTTCTATGCTCAACAGTCAGCGCCGTAGAGTATCGGCTTTCTGTAGGAATCTCACCTGCAAACAGCATGATGAAGCCAGGAAGGGCCAAGGAGACCACTGAGATGGATCACGAGAGGTCAGTACAAGATCGATTGCTGCGCAGGTTGAAGTGATTGGCACTACTCACTAGGACCCCAGTTCTTGAAGGCCTTTCGGGAAAAGCCAGGCCAACATTCTTTGCCGCCAACGAGTTGAACGTAAGTAAACATGCCGAGCGGCATGAGATTCTGCGCAATGGCAACGGCCAGAGGACTTCCAATGAAGCCCAATTCCAGTTTCTGTTAAAGTCTGATGAGCCAATGAAGAGTCGGTGTGGTGCAATGGTTTGACAACTTACCCAAACGAAGATGTACTGCAAGAGGACGTTGAGAGGTGAGATGAAGAGCAGCACACAGAGCGTGGCGTTGAAGCGCCCCTGTGCCTGTACATATCGCTTCGAGCTCTCAAAACATGCAAATGCAGGGGCGCCGAAAATGAGAACCCTCAAGTACCGTCCCGAGAGCATGGCAATCTCCTTCTCCGGAACGAGTTTCGCCAAAATGTATGGGGAGGCATACCAGACCACGGCGATTGGGATGGTGCATAGCCACGAAAAGTACACCATTCGTTGCATATACAATCCCACCAACTTCTTATTGCCCCGCCCGTACGCTTGTGCGCATAGCGTATCGAGAGAGGTGGTCAAGCCGTAGTAGACGGAGTAGCCGGTGATGACGGCCGTCATGCTGCCCAGTGAAACAGCAGCGAGCTCGTTCTTGCCGAGCCGACCGGCGGTGAAGATGGTGGTGAGTGTCAGGGATTGCTGGAGGAAGTATGTGAGCATGAGTCGACTGCTGTAGGACGCAACGACCTTTGCTTCGCGTTGCCATGTCGTCTGGATTTGCCCCGACAGCACGGCATCCTCCCAGGCCTTATCAATCGCTTCCGCAGTAGTTTCAGCTCCATATCCCGCCTCGGTATTGGATGCATTGAGCAAGGCAGTCGTTTCTGTTGCCTCACCGGTGCCTGGCTGGGTGGAATCTGGCAGCAATTTGTTGTCCCGCAACAGAGTCCTCTCCTCCTCGATCACTGCTTCAGGACTGCGTTCTGCTTGTACAGCCAACTCCGCTACTGGTGGGATTGGGAGTAGTGATTGTGATGATGCGGCAACGTTGGAGCTCCCCCGGCGGCCGGTTGCCAAAGAGTGCTGCCCGAGTGCGGGCTTCGACGTTGATCCTTCCGTATTCCGGAGTTCGGCGTCGACAGCGCTCTCGTCCTCCAGATCACGACGAATTGATTCTTCGGCAATCGATGCCGACGTTGATTGTCCAGCTTCGTCTGACGAGGAAGCAGTGCTTGGCCCTCCATGGCTCGTCCGCACTCCACGGTCCTTGGCGGACCCCATTGTTCTCACCTAGTAGTAACACCTCGCTGGAGACCGGACGCCACTCCAATGCCGTAAGAGCTAATATTGTGAAGAAATCGTATGCAACACACGGTACAGCCAAACGGATGACCCGAAGCAAATCATGGGCAACCAAGAGACACAATATGTTAGATGCGCCCTCGCTATGCAGAGAGTGATGTCGTGGGTTGATAGATGTTTTCTCCGTCCGGGAAATTCTCGCACTGCCGACTACGCTCGATCAGGAAGGTGTGGTACGGTAAGTCAAGTCAGCCGGTTGCCGGGCATCAGCGGTGTGCAACGTGGAATGCATAGATACCAGTTTCTGAGTGTCAAGTGTGCCTATACGCCCGCTGTTATTTTGGCTACCACGTTACACACTGGACTTGCAAGTCGTGTGCTCAACTTGGCCCATGGTAGCGTACATGTCATCAGCATGAATTGGAGCAATGCTACTGCACGCGGGTCATGAGCTGGCCTTGTTCTACGGCCTGAGTATCCTTCACGAAGTCGTCATCCGCGGTTGATTGTGTTGCCGCTGCCGCGAGGATTGGCCTCAACAAACTCATCCCACTCTCTCGCTTTCATCGTTTCTCGATCCGCAGCATCCACATCATCCTCATCGACCTGTGGCCGCACCTGGCTTTGCGGGCCGCCCCCATCGATCATCCCACCACGTCTCCTCTCCTCCTCCAAATACTCATCGATGCTCATTGTCGGCAGACTGTGATCAGGTCTGAACACGCCGTTCCGAAATTCTTGACGCTTCGAGGTCAATGTGAACGGACGAAGCGGTTTACCTTTGTTGTCTAGAAGTGGGCCCCGCAGACCTGCTGACAGCTGAGGGATGCTCGAGTCCAGTCGCTCACTATATCCGTCGGCACCTCTACCATTCCGCTCCCGTGCGTCTTCGCTCGATGGCGGCGCCGGAGGCGAAGAGGGGGCCAGGGCGAGAATCTGCAGCTCTTGGGCAATGGATTCCAAGGATTGGAAGGCTTGATGCGTGCAGTAGGCAATGTTCGCAAGCTGCAGCTCTCGATATGCGCCGTCATCCGTGGAGAGGGTCCTTTTGTTGCTCTCTAGATAGTCCAATCTTTGTTTCAAGGCCTTTTCTTCCTTGAAACGTCTGATCTTGGTATCTCTGCGGGCTGCAGCATCGGCGGTGGACGCAGTGGAGAATGTGGTTGGCGCGTCATAGTACTGTTGGAGAAGCGATGCATCGCCTTTCGAAAGCATGTCGTAGTTGTCCAGCTGCTTGAGGTAGCTTTCATGACTGCTCTGGGCGCGCAGGAGATTCACACGCCGATTGCGATCATTGATGCGTAACACCACTTCCGCCAGCCAATAGTCCAATAAGAGATACTGCAAGTCCGCAGAGCTGATGTCGTCCAGAGACTCGTTCGGACTGAATAGGGACAGCCGATTCGCCAGGTCGAGGCATCGTTCGTAGAGTTCCACGGCGGAGAGGACGTTCTGCTGGAAGGCAGGCGAATTGCTGTCGAACGAGTGATTCACCAGATCCCTCTTCGCCCCGGCTTCATCGTAGATCTCTCGAAGAGTGCGGCCTTCATGAGCCATCATGCAAGTGCGTATTGCGTATATCGTTTCGGTCTAGGGTGATGTAGATGGAGAAAGATGCATGTGGACTTGCAGGTGGTGTGAAGCAGTCCGCCACAGTTTGCGCCACACTCTTCCCGACGAACTTCCCGAGCTGCATCAACTTCACTTGTCTCATGCACGCCCTTTCCCACTGCCCTTCTGCAATGCTCCGAATGGCAAGCGTGACACATGCATGCGACGTGCCGTGTAGGTAGCAAACGTAGCAGCCCTTCACGTGCCTGTCTGCCGTAAGTCTGAGGTCTTGTGCTGCCACGCTTCAACACGCGCAGAACATCCTCTCCAAACATCTCCTGCTCTCCATCCTCATCAACGCAGTAGACCGCGCCGTCATCATGGACTCTGACTACGCAGACCAGGATGATTCGGACGACGAACGCGGCGAGGACATGGCGATGCCTGCTTCCAGCCTCAGCCAACGTCGCAAGAGGCAGAGGGAAGTCTTCGAGAAGTGGCTGGTCAGTCGTGCTGGCCAAGAGGCAATCAAGCCCAAGACCAAAGACTCCAAACCTATTGAGGTGGCCGACGAGGAGCTGTCACTCTCTTCCCTCATGTCAAAGGACTCCCTCGTCATCCGCAATCCCAGAGATTATCAACTGGAGCTATTCGAGCGTGCCAAGAAGGAGAACACCATCGCTGTCCTCGACACTGGCTCGGGCAAAACGCTGATCGCCGTTCTCCTGCTTCGCTGGGTCATTGATCACGAGCTGGAGCATCGTGCCGCCGGAGGAACTCCCAGGATATCCTTCTTCTTGGTGGCCTCGGTCACCTTGGCTTATCAACAATCTGCGGTCCTCAAGAGCAACCTTGATCACGAGGCAGGTACCGTCGTTGCTCCACACCGACGATTTGCTGATATTTTGTAGGTGACGCGAGTTTGCGGTACCGACAACGCAGATGCGTGGAAGAAATCGAGATGGCTTGAATTGTTTGCCACCAACAAGGTCATTGTATGCACTGCCGCCATACTTGCATCATGTCTCTCCAAGGGTTATATCACGATGAAAGAGATCAATCTCTTGATCTTCGACGAAGCCCACCACGCGAAGAAGAATCACGACTATGCTCGGTGAGTTCTCTTCCTTGCCTCGGCTTGCAGGATACTGTCTGTCTTCTGATTCATGCGACTGATTGTTGAAAGGATCGTCAAGGACTTCTACCTGCAAGCGGAGCCGCCCGACCGTCCCCGGATCTTTGGTATGACGGCAAGCCCCATCGACGCCAAAGCCGACGTTGTTCAAGCAGCTACCGAACTGGAAACTCTTCTGCACTCGAAAATTGCAACCACCAGAGATGTTTCTCTTACGGGCGCCGTGACACGGCCTACAGAGCTACTTCTGCGCTACTCCCGCCTCAGCCAGCCATTTGCGACCGATCTTTTGCAAACAACAAAAGCCAAGCACGGCCATATTCACACTTTCCAGACGTACTTCGAAAAGTCCCCCGTCATCGCTCGGGAACTGGGCAGTTGGTGTGCCGATCAGTTTCTGATGGAGAAATTGAGCGAAAAGCGACTGCGCCTGCACGAGTTGTCCACCGAGCGTAGGTTCCGAGCTCGCTCTGCTCAAGACGAAGAAAGACATGAACTCGACGCCGCCCTTGCTGAGCTAAAGCCCGCGATCGCTTTCATGGACGACGTTCGAGACAAGTCTGCAACTCTCGCAATTAATCATTCAATGCTGAGCTCAAAGGTGATTGAGTTGAAAGCATACTTGGACTACCAGTTCGAAAGGCCAACGTCTCAGCGCTGCATCGTCTTTGTGGACCGGAGAGACTCCGCCCGACTGCTGGCATCTCTGTTCCAGAAGATTGGAACGGAACACATGAAGTCTGCCTTCTTGATCGGCGGTGCCAGTGAACCAGACGAAGACGCCTTCTCCGTCAGACAACAAGTGATGACCCTCATCAAGTTTCGTGGCGGCAGCATCAACTGTCTGTTCGCAACAAGCGTTGCAGAGGAGGGCTTGGACGTTCCGGATTGCAACCTGGTCATCCGCTTCGACATGTACAAAACAATGATTCAGTTTGTGCAGTCCCGTGGCAGGGCTCGTCAGAAAAACTCCCGATTTGTCCACATGCTCGAGATGAGAAACTCGATCCACGAACAGCTGGTGCAAGAGGTGCGGTACCAGGAGATCGTCATGCGCCAGTTTTCGCAAGCCATGCCAGAAGACCGCAGACTAGTTGGCAGCGAGGACTGCCTAGAGAGTTTGATGGCCAAAGAACAAGGATTGCGCGTCTACATCGACCCGACCACCGGTGCAAAACTGACGTACAATAAGTAAGTTGCAACGCGTGTCAATAGTCAACACCGAGAGGCGCGGCTGACATCGACCTCAACCAGTGCTCTTGTGTACCTGGCCAATTTCGTCTCCGCAATACCGACGGAATCGAATGAGCCACAACATCCCACGTACATCGTTACCTCACGCGGACCCAAGTTCATCTGCGAAGTTCTGCTGCCCGGGGGTGGGCCCGTTCCGCTTCGTTCGACCATTGGGCGCCTGTGCTCCAAAAAGGCCATTGCGAAGCGATCTGCTGCCTTCGAGGCATGCATCGAGCTGAGGAAGCGTCTATATCTGGACGAGCATTTGATGCCAACGTATCAAAAGAAGTTGCCGGCGATGCGGAATGCACTCTTGCCCGTCAGCGCGCACAAGACGAATCAGTATCTCATGCGAACCAAGCCATCTCTTTGGGAACACATGAGAGGGACGTTGCCGTTGGAGCTGTGGATGACAATTCTCGAGTTTCCCGATGGACTCGACAGGCGATGCCAACCCATAGCACTGCTGACGAGGTCTCGTCTGCCCGACTTCCCAAGCTTTTCACTATTTCTGAACGATGGCCGCGAAACGAAGCTGAGATCTCAGCAGCTGCAACACCCTCTGCAACTGGGCACGACGGATCTTCAAGACATCGCAGGGCTTGATTCTCTGACTGGCACTCCGAAGAGCTGCAACTCGACTCCATTTCGTCGCGAAGAAGTCGTGAATAAACTGACTGCATTTACTTTGCGTGTGTTTAAAGATGTTTTCAGCAAGACTTTCGAAGAGGATGCTGCTAGCTTCTCCTATTGGTTCGCGCCAATAAGAGCGAAGAGTGTGATAATCCCTCACATGCGCGCAGATGCGGCCATAGACTGGAATACGGTTGAAGAAGTATGTCACAACAACTCATATCCATGGAAGCCCGACACTCCCGCGAAGACCTTGGTAGACCGTTTTCTCGTCGACAAATGGGACGGCGGCAGAAAGTTCTACTCCACGGCAGTGAGCGACACCCTCAGACCACTCGACCCGGTTCCGCTGGATGCGGCAAAGGCCAAACACAATGAGAATATCCTTGGCTATACCGTCAGCCTTTGGAAAAAGGCCCGCGAAATGGCTGTGTGGAATCCCGATCAACCTGTCATTGAAGCGGAAAAGATGCTTTTCCGTCGAAATCTCCTTGCCAAACCAGAGGATAAGGAAACGCAGGTCAGCACGAAGGCATACCTCTGCCCCGAGCCCCTGACAATATCGGCTTTGCGTCCCGCCATCGTGGTCTCCTGTCTCACATTGCCAGCGATCATTCACCGTTTCGAATCCTACATGATTGCACTCGAAGCCTGCCAGCTGACGAGCATCCCATGCGCGCCTGCGCTCGCGTTAGAGGCAATGACGAAAGACTCCGATCACACCGACGAACATGACAAACCCGCGCAAATCAATTTCAAACGAGGCATGGGTAACTCCTATGAAAGGCTGGAGTTCTTGGGAGATGCATTCCTCAAGACAGCGACGACAGTTTCAACGTTCATCCAGAACCCCACCGGCAACGAGTTTGAAATGCACGTTCGACGCATGCAGCTCTTATGCAACAAAAACCTGTTCAACGTGGCCCTCGAGCTGAAGTTGTACGAATACATACGTACCATGTCCTTCTCTCGGCGACTGTGGTATCCCGAAGGCCTAAATCTCTTGCATGGGAAAGGATCGAACAAGCATGAAGAATTCGCAGTCATCAAACACGGGCTGGCCCACAAGACGATCGCGGATGTGTCGGAGGCACTGATCGGAGCGGCTTTCATGAGCCACGATAGGCCAGGCGAGCAGTGGCATGAGCAGCAGTGGGAAAATGCAGTGCACGCGGTCACCAAGCTGACGACACTATCGAGGCGCGACGATCCAGAAACACCGGTTCATCTCATGGAGAAGTGGGACGACTACCGGAAAGCGTATAACAAGCCAGCCTACCAAACGGCCATTTCGACTGCCTCTCAACGCGATCTCGTGGAGAAAGCTGCTCGCGAACATCCATACCGCTTCAAACATCCGTCGCTTCTTCGTGTCGCGTTCATCCATCCATCCCAGCCGTTCAGCGAAGAAAACTTGCCAAATTGTGAGTGTAGCGTGGCAGCTGCTCCCTTGCATTCAAGAGCGTCATTCACTAATCGATCGAATAGACCAGAGGCTCGAGTTCCTCGGCGACAGCTTGCTTGATCTCGCCAGTATCACACATATCTTCTACCGATTCGCCGACAAAGATCCCCAATGGCTGACGGAACACAAAATGGCCAGTAAGTGCATGGACGTTCCTCGGTAGACATGCTAGTGAGATCTCTAATGATTCCCAGTGGTCTCGAACAAATTTCTCGGCTGCGTCTGCGTCAACCTGGGTTTCCACAAGCATCTGCGACATGCTCACGGCACTCTCGAACACCAGATTACAGCATACGTGACCGAACTGCTCGAAGCGAAGAGTACCGCTGGAGACAGCAGAGACTACTGGACAACCGTGGCCGATCCGCCCAAGTGCTTGCCAGACATTGTCGAATCCTTCGTCGGAGCCATGTTCATCGACTCCGATTTCGATTACAACGTGGTGCAGGACTTTTTCGATAGGCACATCAAGTGGTACTTCGAGGATATGAGCATCTACGATTCCTACGCCAACAACCATCCGTGTACTCACTTTTACAATCTGATTCAAGTGACGTACGGATGTCAAGATTACGCTCTCTTCACCAAACCAATCCCGAGCGTGGACGGCCTGGAGCTGGACACCCCCGACGTGGTCGCCGTTGTCATCATTCACGACGAGGTCATTGCTAATTCCACGGGCAAATCGGGCAGGTATGCCAAACTGCGCGTTGCAAACCAAGCGATTGAGGTCATCGAGGGTCTGGCGCCATATGAGTTTCGCGCACGTTTCGGCTGCAACTGCCAACACGGAGGAGGCGAAGGTGTGGACGCTGGAGCAAGCGGGATCGAGCTGCCCGGGGATCCAAAAGGCCTCGGAGAAGGAGTGAACGTGGAGTGGAAGGGTGTGGAGGAGCATTGAGGATCAGTCGCGTCGATTCGGGAGAAGTACAGTATCGATGCATATCCTGCACAGTCTCGTAGCGAACCCGTATTACACTCTGATGACAATAAACGAGAGGTAAGTCTATATGGCATATGGCAGTACTAGCCATGTTCGATGCCCGCTATGCAATTCGAAAGCATGCCCACCATGCAGCATCAATTTCAAGGATCGCTCATGTTCCTCAGTTTCTCCTGTTCCTCCGGGGTCAGTGAGTTGAAAGCGTCTCCAAACTCAGGCTTCTGCGCTGCTTGTCGGAAAAAGCCGACCAGATAGGCCTGGGTCTCATCGTCTCTTCCCCTGGAGAAGGTGTTGCTGTCCTCCGCCCCGAATGCCATCAACTGCGACTTTGTCATGCCCGCGCCGAGGTCGAGAAAGTCATTCGGGTCATCTTCCCACTCGCAGTCTTCGTCGTCGTTATCCAGATCCACTGCATCTGCAGGGTCGATGGCGCGATTGCCCGAGGCAGACAGAAGCTCCTCCACCAGCACTTTGACAATCTTCAGTTGAGCAGACACCACGGTGTACTGGTCGGGAGCCTGCCGCGCGCGGGACCTCGTCATGATTCGGTCGGATTTGGGTACGATGAGATCGCCCTTGACCTGAATGCTGGAGATACGGGCATCGTTCAGGTTGTACAAGTTTGCAAGAGCAACAACACTGCATTGTGGTCAGTGGGGGTCATTGTTGAGGATGAGAGTGGTGATTGCTTACTTTTGTCGGATGTCGTCGTAGCCGGCGAAGTTGATCGAGTTCTCCAACCACTTACTCATGACCACCTCCAAACCACTCTGTGACCCGATGCGAACGTCCGCTAGAAATCCCACTACTTCCTGCGCGGAAATGACGGCCAGACGAGCAAAGACCAGGATCAAGCTTTGGATGAGATGGGCTTGCGAAGCGGATGCTAGACGTATTGCCACTGCACGCAGAAGCTGCATCAAGTAAGGGCCCATTCGTGCAGATCCTGCCTTCTCGACCAGTTCTGCCGCGAGCCCACCAACCTCTGCGGCGCCATTATCATCAACCGATGGATTCAACAGTCTGTCGATAACAATTAAAACGACTTCGAGCCCACCCTTGCCGTTGTGGTCCTGGAAAGCGAAGACTTGTTCTGGGTCATGATTGAGCATGTTCTGCAGCGCGGACGTGGCTGACTTGAGAAGTTCATCGTCATTCGATTCCATTAGGAGGCGGCTTAGCCGTGGCATGACTGTCACGACGAATTTTGGTGGCAGTGGTGTCGACCCGTTCGCAGAGAGGACAGACAGCAACTCGGCAGCCAGGTTTGCTAGAGCGTTCTCCTCGGTAAGCGTAGCTACGTCAAAGGCTCCGGTCAGGGATGGAAGGACTTTCGCCGTGAGCTCGGCGTAGCTTTCCTTGCCCGTGGCGGCGATGGTGTTGGAGATTTCTTCAAATGTCTCTGTGACGAGAAGTGCTATCTGGAAGTTGCTCGCGCCACGACTGGCCACAGTGAAGAGAAGGTCGATGCCGCCGTTTGTGAGGCAGGTACTCGTGTCCAGCATGATTGCATCACGCAGTGTCTCGATGATGGTTATAAGCAGGTCGTCGCTATCCGTAAGGTCGCCGAAATCCTGGGCATCAAGGAAGTGGGACACCGCCGCGATGATCGATGCTTGGTGTGGCAGCGACAACGCCGATGGTAGGGCGGCCAGGTAGCTTTGCAGGGCTCGAATGCAAGAAACCCTGACGATCTCGGAGGGATCATGCGTGATTGCCTGCAACGACGTCTGCATGAAAGTTGCCGCCACCTGTCCGAGGGTGTCACCAGATGTACGAATCAAGCCGCCCGCTACCAAGTAGCCGCGTGCCCGCAGGAATACGGCTTCTTCTTGCATCGCTCGCTGGATGAAGTCTACGTATCCATCCGCCGCTTCGGCACCGATTTTCTTCTCGACATCTTGAAACTCGCCGAGCAGTTGATTCAGCAGATACAGAGAGGCTTCTTTAGCCTTCCAGCTTCCATTGCCTGAGTAGAGATTCCGCGTGTACGCAAGCAGGCCTTCCACAGTTGCCGCACTGAGCCAGTCGCCCAGCTTGATGACCAAGTCGCCACATGCGGTCCGAGGAGTGTAGTTGGCAGTGACGTTGGTTTCCTCCGACAAGAAGATGTTGACGTCAATGTCCCACAAGCCCTCTTCTTCGGTCGTGATTTGCGCATAAGACACGGCGATGTCCATGATTTCGGACATCCATTCTGCAGAAGAGCCATGCGTTTGGATTTGCTGTTCCAGTTCCTTCCTCACGGGAGGTGCGCGCAGACAAGCCTGTAAGAAGTCGAGTTCTTCGATAACGAGGAAGTCTAGGGTGTAAGGGAGGCCATCGGCATCCTCAAGCCTCCCTTGTCGGTCGTCTTCGATGTACAAGGCATGGTATTGCTCACGAAGCGTCAGTAGCTCCTGCCAGATTGCCGAGAACAAAGCGGGACTCTGCGGAGCGAGGACGGATGGAAAGACGGAACGAATGCGCATGAGCACCTTGACCACTTGTAACTTCAACGCAACATAGCCGCGGTAGGTCTCCGCAGTGGATGTAGCGTGGTTGTCGTCGTCAGGAGAGGGTGCGGGTGGCAGGGGAGTCTTTAGGGTGGTGATGAAGAAGGGAATCCATCCTGCCAAGGCCTCTTCTGCAAAGGACTTGACGTCCGCCTTGTGGTCTTCCATGACCATCTCCATCGTGTCGAAGCAAGAGCAGAAGACGGAGATGGCCAATGCTCGAAGAGTCGGCTTCCGTGTGTCGTTGACGGCGACATCGTAGACGTTCCTTACCAAGTTGCGCGCGACATTGAAGAACTGCTCGTCGTTGAAGCAGTCGTCGACAAGCTCACTGAGGACCTTGAGGGCTCCGTGAAGCTGCGCATCATTCCCGGCGGCAATGACATTCAAGATGGTGGGAAGCAGGTCGGGCCAGTCATCGGGGAAATCGGCCGAGGCAATCTTGCTGACGACCAGGCTGGCGGCACTCTTGATTTTTCGTTCATCGCTCCCGCTCACGGCGAGGTCCAGAAGGCTTTGGCGGATGTGCAGCTTCTTGTCGTGGTCGGTGTACAGCTGGCCGGCGAATTCATCAAGCTGAGGCGACCAGCAGGCGAGGACCCAGATTTTGAGGTAGAGCAGAGCGGACTGGCGCACGTCGAGGGGGACATGGGCATGGGTGCCGATGGAGACGAGGGCGAGGGGAAAGTCGGGGTTGTTGTACGACTGCTTCAGCTGCAGCTCTGCATTCCTTCGTGGAGCCTCGTGGGCAGACTGGGTTTCGGTGAGCCAATGCACCACTTGCTCCTCCATCACTGCCGAGTGCCGCGGTAACAACACTGTCGAGCCAGTCCAGCAAGCATCCGCGCTCTCACCGTGGCTCTCCTTCCTTCACCTGCGATAGGCGATAGGCCAGAGGTGTGGAGGCGTAAAGTCGGGACGTCGGAATTCGATTGCAGCAATCTCGGAAATTCAGTCCAATCCTCAGCGTCCCAAAGAGTACTGGCGAAGTTCGATGTGTCTGTGAAGAGCTGGTACTGTACTGCTTCCTCCCGGCGATTGCTTGCTGACAAGCACTTGCACGTCGGTGAAGGCTCTCTCGCCGCACGTGTTTGTGTGAAAATCATCCCCGACCAGGACGCGTGACAAAAGTCGAGGGATCGCGCATCGATATTTGTCCGCGCCGCGATTCCTCACTTCAACTTCACACGTCCGTCAGGCTGAACCTCCGTACAGCTGCAATCCCATTCCATGGCCACAACCGCTCCAACACTCCGTGCCCTGGTCAGCGCCTTTACGGACTTCTTGACCGTCGCCATTCACACCATTCTCCACGAACGAGCAATCTACCCCCACACATCTTTCCTGTCCGCCCGCAAATACAACTTCGCCGTTCGACAGAATCGACACCCCAAGGTCTGCGAGTGGATCAACGATGCTATCGCCGCGGTTGAAACGGAACTGCTCAAGGGTGGCGTCGATAGAGTGGCCGTGGTCATCTATGACAAAAGCAGCACCCCGCTTGAACGTTTCATGTTTGACGTTTCCCGCTTTCCTGCCGTATCCGCCACCGAGATAGACACGCCCTTGGAGAGAATCGGCGCCGATGGGGAGAAGATTTCTGTCTTGCCAGTCGTCGACCTAGAAGAGCAGTTCCGCGCTGCAATGAGCAAGCTCTCGAATTGCGGATCTCTACTGAAGCCTTTGCCCATCGGCTGTACATTTACTGTCGCCATCGAACTGAAAGCTGACGGGGAAGCTCCTATCGCTCATCCCCAGGCTTGGATACCCGTGCAGCCTGCCAATAACTCCCAGGAGGCTCGAGATGCAACCGGCAAATTTACGACACCGATCCGAGCAGTCACCGCCGGCGACATGGTTTTCGAAACGTGGATAGAGGAAATCAAGGGCTGATCAATTCTTCCAAAATCAGCTATCAACGTGGTAGTCCTGGACGACCCGAACAGCTCGCTCCTATCAGCATGGCCGGCTCCAACACAGCTCTACGCCGACTACAGCTTTGTCCGGCCCTCCTCGCTTGCGCCTCTCCTCATACCACTTGCCTCTCTACCGCCGACGTTCACCATTCTTGCCGCTCCTCGCAAGGCAGTCGCGGCCGTATTCACCGCGCCAAGAGCGGCCTCGACTCCCGCTCCACTGGTTGCATCCGTGATAGCGGTCCCTGCAGACGTGGCGGAGCCGGGTGTTGGGCTTCTGCCGGCCTGCTGGCGGTGCAATTGGGCAGACGTCAGCCAATGGACTTGACGCTGTAAGCCGCCCAATTGAGCTCCGATGTAGGAAATCTCTTCCCGCGTGCGAAGGTTTTCGTTGAGATTCTGCATGCTATGGCGGCCATCGAGCTCCGACAAAGCCGAGGAGATTCGGCTGATCTCGTCTCGCAGACTTTCGTGCATATGAAGTAGATGGTGCAGCGGCGAGGCATATGGTCCGGCGGATGTGTTCGGCGCTGAAAAAGACGCTGGAGCATCGAGGTCGAAGTCGGCCGAGTATGGCCCAGGGAGGTCGGTGGGTCGCGGGCCCGGTGCTTCCGGCGCGGGGTCCATCGAAGAGAACCGCAAGTTCGATGATACGTGCGGTGATGTTGTGGGATCGTCGAAGTCGATGGGATTCAACGGAGCATCCGACCGGGAGGCCGTGGTAGACATGGACCTCCCGCGATTTGCAAGGACGGTATGTTGACCAGGATCGGTCCCAAGCTTGTCCACCATGTTATCGCTGGAGAAAGGCGAGAGAATACTTTGTATCGTCGTGAATCCATCTTCAAGCACTTCCAGCTTGCGACTCATCTGCTTTTGTGCAGCCTCTTGCTCCTCCAATCGTTCGTGTTGTGTCGTCAATATCGGTGCCAACTTTGCAAGCATACACGTGTCGGCGTGAGTCCGTGCCTGGGCCCCGGTACTCCTATTTGAGCATCCCAGTGCTGCTCCAGGGCAGGGTACGCTAATCGCCGCACATGCCGTGCTGCTATGCTCTGCAAGGTCACGAGGGAAGACCATTGACTTGCAGACGGCGCACTCAGTTTGGCGGGCCGGACAATCATTCCGCCAGTGGCAGTCCAGATTGCACTTATCCAGCTCCTTGCGGCACGACAAGCAACTCACGCCGTAATGCAGGCACCCTTGAGCCACATCCTTCCTTCGGACCGGTAACTCGCAGTGGTCTGCTCCGCACTCGACTAATGTGAAGCCACAATAAATATTGACATGGTCTTGAACCTCTCCGCGCTTGACCTCGGCTTTGCAACCTTCGTCGGATTTGGGGCATCGCACGATGAGCTCGTCCGTCATGTTGATCAAGATGTTATTCGTAGTGGACCGAGGCCGGAGTCTTGCAGGCGTACGACAGGATGGACAATCGCCGTGTGGGCCATGTGGGGTATATGTGGTGGTCTGCGTGTTCCAGGACTGCCGGATGCATTCTCGACAGAAGCAGTGGCCACACTCGGCCAGGACCACCGGGTCCACGAACGGACATCGACAGATTGGACACATCAAATTCGGGTCGTACGAGGAGACGTAGTCCACTAAGCGCAGATCTACGGGTGGGTTGTAACTATGTGAACGTGCGCGGCGGGCAAGGAAGTGCTGTTCTTCAACGCCACGTCGTGCCTCCAGACGTTGCATGCCCCGGAATTCCATTATCCCGTCCTGAGATGTTGCTGATTCGGTTGCGACGGGTGTACCGTCTGTCGGAGTTGAAGGCCCACCAGACGTGCTCCGATGGGGACTGCGAGTGGGGATTGCAGAGTCTTGCGTGGTGCGTGGGGAGCGAGAGAAGCGCCTCGACATCACGGACCTCATTCAGCCGGCGGGGTTCGATTTGTGTCGGTGGTTGAGACTGCAGGGCCACCTTGCAGTCTCAGGCGAATAGAGGAATGGGGAACGGAGCCTAGGTTGGCAAGAAGATCAAATTCCCGAGTAAACATCAGACATCTGCGCCTTTCCCTTCCCGAATCCTCGTCCACGGAGATGAGGCCGAGGTGGTGTTGATACCCAGGCTTGACCTTCACTGGAATCGGCCCAGGGCGAGCGCGGGAAAGAGCCAGGCGTTGCTTGGGTATTGAATGCAGACGGCTGTTGTGTTGTACTTGTGTCCGGATGTGTGGGTCGTGCGCAAGTGTCAAGATACGGTTGGATGTTGGTGTGAGAAGGCCGCGGGAGAGAGTGGAGTGGCTGGTGGCTGAAGTGCGGGCGCGAGCCTCAGGCCGTTGCATCATCTCCCCGGCTCGGGACGCTCCGGCGCATCCCCTCCAACCACGTGCCCGTCTCACCTTCATCCCGATGTAGGCAACGATCAATCATTGTGACCTTTCTTCTTCCTCCCATATCCACCTCGATCCCCTGCCCTTCTTCAAACCTCGCATCAAGCTGTAGAGACCGGTTGCATTCAACCCGCGCCTACCCGAGCTCAGCTCTCGTGGCCACGTCACAGCAAGCTCGCCCATTACCACCATGGCCACTCCTTCGCCAAACCAGCTGTACCTCCTCGCCGACCACCTCAAACTCTCATTACTCGAACGACAAAGAGCACTCAAACTCAATCTGGACGCCACAAAACAAAACAGTCACATCTCCCGCTCCCTCGAGAATCTGCAAGAAGGCATCGAGCAGCTGGCAGCGCAGGAAGAAGATCTGGGAAATGCCGAACATGAATCCTCCGATTTAGCCAAACTCCGAAAGCAATACTCCAACCTCTACTCTCAGTTTCATGGATCCGCGCCCATGTCCCCCGAATTGAGCAGGCCGAACGATCCGGCTCTGCAGTCCACCTTCTCCGCCGCACAAGCATCGCCCGAGGTGCGTCGAAACAGGAGTGTACGCTTCCGAGACAACCCGGATGAGCAGGAGCGCGAGGATCCGGTGGAGGCGGCAAATCGCGCCGCCCTCTTCTCCGACACGGAACGCTATCGAGACGAGCCCGAGGGGCCAGATCAGGGACAGATGGACAATCAGCAGATCCACACCTATCACAAGCAGGTCTTACGCGACCAAGATGAGCAGCTGGATGCGCTGGGGCAGAGTATTGGGCGCCAGAGGGTTTTGGGAATCCAGATGGGCAACGAGCTCGAGGAGCAAAATGAGCTGCTAGAGGATGTGGAAAGCGGCGTAGACCGGCACACGACCACCTTGGATCGAGCGCGCAAGAGATTAGGGCATGTGGCGCGCAAGAGCAAGGATAATTGGAGCTGGGTGACCATCGGCATTTTGATTGTCATATTGGTCTTGCTGATTATCGTGCTAAACTAATGGATACCGTTGATGAGAGACGACTGTATAAAGCTTACGAAGCATTCTCGAGTGTCCCAACTGGCTTTTCTTTTCGCAAGTATGCAGTCGGATGAGACCGATGGCGACGCGTCCTCGTGGCGGTGGAATGTCTGCGCAACGCCTTTCACTCGCCGCTCTATCACCGATGATCTTGTGTATCCTGGACCGCGAATCGTCTAATAATTCATCATGTCTGCACAATCACTTGTTAGCAGGGCAATCCGAATATAGACCATATCAGGACTCACCTCGGCCGAATAACGCCCGTTTGCTCCAGTCCATAGCCAACAAACACCGCGTGCGCAAACTGACACTTTGCGCGAAGTAGATACTCCTCCACAAATACACGGCCAGCAGACCCCCCGCAAAGTTCATCCCGTTAAAGTCGAAGATGGCTGCATTGCCAACGTATGCCAAGGAGCCCATATGCTTATATTCAAACGCCTTGTACACCGCTTCGTCAATGTCACCGTCGGCGATGAGATTCTTCTGGAAGCCTTCGGTAGAGTGAGCAAGCTTGTTGAACTTCTTGGCCAGGTACTCGCCCTGCTGATTGGCCCGCTGCGCCGTGGCCGGTAAGGAAGTCAGTTTGGTATCGATTTGGCGGAGGAGTTCGGAGAGTTCGGCGAAATCGAGAGTGCCGGACTTGTCTTGATCGTATTGCTCGAACAGCCTGTCGAGGCGGCGAAGATGGTCGGCGGCTTGCGGGAAGCGCGACTTTACTCGCTTGGCGACTTGCTGCCAGTCGGCAAACGTGATTTTCATCGATTCTGGATCTTGGCCCTTCTCCCACGCCAGTGTGCGCAAAAAGGTGACAATGTGCGCGCTAACGTTGTTTTGCACGGTGCTGCAGTCGCCAATGGCGTAGACGTCGCCCATGGGAGCGCCCGCCAGTCGCAGATGTGAGTCGGTCTCCAGGGCGTGCTTGTTCTGCTGGTTATCGCCCAGCTTCGCCGCAATGGTCTGAGAAAACTCGCATTGGGACACTCCGGTAGACCAGAGACAAAAGCCTTGGGGCAATTCTTTCGTGACGGTGTTGCCTTGCTCGTCTTTTTGCGTGAATAGAATGCTCTCAGGTCGCACTTCTTTCACGCGTGCATTGGTCAGGATGCCGACTTCATCGTGGGCGAAGCGCTCTTCAGCGTATTTCGACAAGGCCTCGTCGTACGTGTTGAGAATATGTCCTCGAGACTGGATAACATGGACGGAGATTTCGTTTCTCAGGATGCGGGGATAATACTTGCAGAGATCTTCGTTCAGCATGTCGTACAGCTCAGCGGCGAACTCAACGCCCGTGGGGCCGCCTCCAGAGATGACGAACGAGAGTAGCCTGCGGCGCTGCTCATCACTGGTGGTGGGGAGGCAGGCAGTCTCGAGATTGCGGATGATTTGATTGCGGATCAATCTGGCATCGGCAATGTCCTTGAGGAAGTGGCAGTACTCCAGGCCCTTGACGCCATGTGGATTTGTTGTGGATCCCACGCCGACTACGAGTTTGTCATAGGGCAGATAGAACCTCTCCTCCTCGCCCGTCGGGCCGGTGGAAGATATCTCGACCAGCTTTTCGCTAAAGTCGACATCCACCGCGGTGGCTTTGAGAAAGTGACCGTGTTTCTGCTTGACAATCTTCCTCACCGGCTCCACCAGACTGCGGAATTCGAGGGTGCCGACGGTGGCGGAGGGTAGCATTGGTGTGAAGAGGAAGTGATTGCTAGGGCTCACGACGGTAACGTGGTATTCGCCGGCGTGTAGCTGCTTGAGCATTGCCACGCTGCCCCAACCCGTTCCCAAGATGACGAGCTTGGGCTTGTGTTTCTGCTCCTTCATCGAAGGGGTGTCATCGTCGTCGACAAAATATTCGGCAATGGGGAGATTCTTGGGCCCACCGCGGCGGGGGGTCAGGGCGTATTCGGAGACGGGAATGTCGAAGCTTTCGGGATTCTCTTCGTACGTCGATGCATCGTAGACAAAGAAGGCGACAACGAGGCCGCCGCTCATGAGCACGAACAAGCCAAGGGAAGCGAGGAGGCGGTAGGTGTAGCGGACGAGTCGGCGCGACTTGGGCTTCTTGGGGGAAGCTGTGGAATCGAAGCGAGCTTGCAAACGTATCGGGCTTGGTCGGCGCGCAGTCCGCTGCACGGTTCGCGCAATGAGCGGCGAGGGAGGGAGGGAGAAGCATCGCTTTGGCGTGCGAAGGAAGGGATTGATGGGAGCAATGGGCGTGGCTCGGGGTGTGCGAGCAATGGCGAAGCTGGTCCGCGCCGCGACGGCCGCGAGTCGCGGGGAAGAATACATCCTCCTAGCGCGCGTCCAACAATCACACACGAAGGGTAGACGCTGTTCAAGGCCGATGGCGATACATTGCGCTGGCAGTGGTAGTGGCAGTGAGAAGGCGTGAGACAACGGGAAGAAGAATGATGATAATGGAAGGACGGATTTGTCGGAAGCGTTGATTACTGGATGACGTACAGTGCAGGAACGACCCGCCGCCGCTCGGGCCGCCCATCGTTTCGAAATCAATGCCCATAAAATTCTATGCCACGCGAGGCTAAGATGAAGGCGTGGTAAGATAGCTAGAAGCATCGTCAAGGGAATACCTGGATCTACTTCTTCCACGCGCAACAATGGCCGGAGGCACGCTGACCACCATTTCGCCTTCCACCAATCAGCCAATCTTGACTCGCCAGGAACCAAATGCAGAGGAACTACAGGATCTGCCAAAGAAGGCTCATGCCGCCTATCTCAAGTACCGCACGACCTCTCTTTCTACCCGGCAACGCACGGTCAAGAAGGCGCTGCAGCTCATCCTCGACCGCAAGGATGAGCTGGCGCGCGAGCTGACGGAGCAGATGGGCCGGCCGATCAGTTATACGGAGAAGGAAATCACGACGGCGGTGGCGAGAGGCGAATACATGCTCAAGATCAGCAGCGATGCCCTCAAGGACACGCCTGGACAGGCTGAGCATGGCTTTCAAAGATGCATTCGGAAAACGCCGCTGGGGGTTGTTCTGGTTTTATTTGCATGGAATGTACGTTCATTTCCTTCTCATCCAACGTGATCGTCGACCTTGTGCTTACCCCGTTTCCAGTACCCGTATCTCATCCTCGTCAATTCCCTCATTCCCGCCCTGCTTGCTGGCGACTCTGTCATACTCAAGCCGTCCCCCCAGACGCCCACCATCGTCGAGCACATCCACAAAATCTTCCTCGAAGCCGGACTGGAGCAGGACGTCATTCAATACTTCCACTGCGGCGACTTTGACAGAATCTCGCAGGTCATCAACGCCCCCGAGGTGCAGCTCGTCTGTTTCACCGGCTCCGTCGCGGGTGGGCTGGCCGTGCAAAAAGCTGCTGCTGGTCGGATCGATTGCAGGGTTGGGCTGGAGCTGGGTGGCAATGACCCGGCCTACGTTCGGCATGATGTCGACCTCGACTGGGCGGCCGAAGAAGTTGTGGACGGTGCCGTCTTCAACTCGGGTCAAAGCTGCTGCGCCATCGAGCGGGTATATGTTCACAACGACGTTCACGATGCCTTTGTCAAAGCCGTCCAAAAGGTCATGTCCAAATACAACCTGGGCGAGCCGCTGAACGAGAAGACGAACGTGGGGCCGGTCATCAGCAAAGCAGCCGTCGACAAGATTCAGAAGCAGGTCGCAGATGCTATCAAAGGCGGTGCACAGGATGCTACGCCATCGAATGCCACGTTCGACAGCCTGCCGTCCACGAATGGCAACTATGTGAAGCCCACCCTGCTCATCCACTGCAGGCCGGACATGCAGATCATGCAAGAGGAGACATTCGGTCCCATCATTCCCGTGCAAGCCGTGGCCAGCGACGATGAGGCCGTCCGCTTCATGAACCAAAGTGATCTCGGCCTTACCGCTTCCATCTGGACGAAAGATGTGCAGAAGGGTCAAGAATTGGCGGAGGGCGTGGAAGCAGGCACCGTGTTTGTCAACCGTGCAGACTATCCCTCTCCCGATCTCGCGTGGACGGGATGGAAGAACAGTGGCAAAGGGCAAAGCCTGAGCGTCTTTGGGTTCGAGCAGTTTGTGAGACTGAAGAATTTCCACGTCAAAGACTACCCTGTCAAGTAAGCGCCACTGACAGGCGCCTTGCATCGCTGCACGAGGCGAGATTGCCCGTCAAGTGTCCCGCAACGGGAAAGCGGCGTTTTCTGTTTCACGTCGCGGTCGCCTGTCGGGTGGCGCGTCGGAACACGAGAGGCATGTGGTACAGCGCTTGCCGAGACGCTGCGCTTTCAGTGGACGACGTAGGCCCACGACCTGCGAAAAAGTCACGAAAATCACCAAATACCTCATCTACCTCAACACGCTCACCGGCCCCGGTCATTAGACGCTATTACAATCCCTTCTCAACTTCCATCGTATCTCTCTTCCAGGGCGCACATGGCCTCGCTGGTTTGGCGCTTGCTTAAATTAGCAGTTTGCAGCCTTGACATCCGAGACCAATATAACAAGCGGAGGGGAGGAAGCATTCCAACAGGGTGGATCGTAAGAATGCGCATCATACTGTACCTCGCCGGTTCATCCGACGCTGCAAGGAACGAGGCCATGCCGTGAGCTGTCCGCTTTGTCATTGATGAGTTCATTTGCCAGTGTAGCAAGGTGCACGCTGCCATCTTCCACGCAACTTCATCTCCTTTGCTTTCTTGCTCCGTTTCCTTCCTTGATGCCGGGGTCGTTTCCGAGCCTTCAAATTACCCAACGTCCTTCGTCCTTCTGACCCTCCCTTAGCGCTGCTTTTTGTCTTATTGCTTTGCGTCGAGCCGTCTTGCAGGAGCAGGGGAGCGAGCATTTCATCGGAATATCCTCCCTCATCCTCGCCACCTTTCGTTCATCTCGCCTTCGTGCTTGCCAGCGGTCTTCGCTTTTGCGCCATGTTGCAACCAAATACATTCGGTGTCAGGATGGGCGACTGGCTTCGCTACATCCTCTCCTGCTGCGATGAAGACGAACGGGGTGAGGAGGAAAGGCCGGCATTGCAGATTGTAAGCCCGGCCAGGACAAACTACCGTCTCCGTGGATCTCGCCGTTACTGACCAGGTCGCGCAGAGTGCTCCAACCAACTTCCGTCGCGAGGATATTAGCATTCCAGGCCTTACTGCCGAGCAGTACGCCCACCTTTGTTGCAACCTCGTTGGTTCAAGATCCTGACCAAGGTCTTCCAGACAACACTTCCTTCGGGAGAAAGCCAAATCCGATGCCGAGAAGATGTGGCCGAATTGCCAGCCTCTGCGCTCCTCTCCCTCCTGTCAATTCACTTCTCCGGCCCCAACTCAACCCACATGGCACAATGGTACGGCGCCCCGCTCGAATACCACAACCGTTCTCTCGGCGCTCGCCGACTGCCGCACCTCTGGCGGTGGCTGGGACCGCGTCAAAGCGCATTCGAGAAAAATCAGCAACTCTCTGACGAAGCCGTCGGGCTATCATCACGACAACGCTGCCACGCACGCTGCATTCGATTCCGAGGACGACAGTCGATACGAGATGCGTGCTTTGATGGATTCGCGGAATCCGTCGACAGTTGGCGATGGGAAGTTGAGTGGGGAAAGGTCGAGTTTGGAGGACGGCGAAATGTAGGGCAAAGAAGCGGCAGGGGAGGCACAACGTTCACCACCTGGAGACAGTAATTTGGCGGTAGGGAAAATGGGACGATTACCGAAAATCCTTGTTGTAATTTAGGTGTACAACACTTCGATTCAGTACGGAGTAGACGGCGTTGGAGCGACGCACCCGCTTTGGAAGGGGTATCTGCGTATGCATCAGTCTCTGCATGGACCACGGCGAAGGATGCAGGCTACCCGGATTCCATGATGCACCTCATCCGCGTTCCTGTTCGTGACGCACCGCCAGCTTTCCCAAGGGATGCTCGCACGCTGGTGAGCTCGACGCGAGGGCGTGTGCGAGTCTGTCTCTCTCGCGACGCTCACGGCTTGCCAATCATTCGTATCATAACACACGCTTCCCCGCTCTCATGTCTCATCCATGCCATCCTCATCTCCCACACCAGCGGGGAGTCGCCCTTCTGCCAGAGCCTTCTCCAGTCTCTGCACCTCTGCGAGGGAGGATGCCTGCTTTACTGCCCGCTCGAATCGTCTCTTTTCCTGATCGGTAATCTTCAACTTCTTGCCCCTGTTCACTCCATTGATGGTGGATGCGGCGGTAAAGCTGGCGGGGCCCTTTGATCGGACGGCGGCAATCGACTTTGCGAGTTCCGTGGGAGCGTCGGGAGTACCAAAGAGCTCCACGGCCTTCTTGCGCTCGGCATCCTTGACTTTTTGCATGTCTAAGAAACGAATTTGGGGGCACCGCCAGAGGAGGTAGTAGCGGTAGTGCTGCATCTTCTCGTCAGTATGGATCCTCGCGGGCACATCATTCCGTTACGTACCTCTTTGCCCACAACGGGATTGCCCATAAGGCTCAGGTGCGTGAGCTTAGCGAAACCCTGCAACGGGTCCAGGTCTGCCAATTCCGCGACATGGTTCTCCGTCAGGACCAATGCCCTCAAGTTCGGCAAGCTCTTGCTCAGATTGGGTTGGATGCTGGCGATTCGGTTTCTCGCAAGCAGTAATGTCTGCAGTCGGGGAGTGAGGGGGAAGTTGGCGAGGGTGGAGATGTCGTTATCGGTAAAGTCAATGCATTCGTGGTCTTTGGCGACGACGCCGAGGTTCTCGATGGCGGGGATCTTGTGACCTTTAGGAAGGGTACTTTATGTATCAACGCGCTCTTTGCAAAGTGTAGCATCTGTCCTTTTCAGACATTCTCTGGGGCCAAGGATGATCTTACCTCGAAGGTCGAGTTCGCGCTCTTTGAGAGGATTGAGGTAGGACAAGGAGTTGTTGATCAGCTCCGCTGTGATGCGCATCCTTGCGTGCACTCTCGGAGGACGGGAGGAGGAGAGATGGATACTTGCACGCGAAAGGAAGAGAGGTCTGGAGACAGGCACGTCGCGAAGGGCTGGAAGTTTTTTGATGGCACGTGCGCATCGAGGATTAGGTAAGGGTTGGCCGAACTCTGATTCACTGCACCACCTCTTCCCTCTTCCCTCTTCCCTCTTCTCACCTCTTCCTCTTCCCCTTCCCAACTACCCTAGCGAAGCGAACATCCACCCATCCACTCACGCCCAAGTCACGTTCAGTCTGCAAAATGGGCTCCGTCGTCATTCCTCATCTGGTGACGGGGTGGCACGTCGATCAAGCCATCATGTCTGAAGAAGACCGCCTCGTTGTCATCCGCTTCGGTCGCGACTGGGATCCCGACTGCATGCGCCAGGACGAAGTCTTGTACAAGATTGCCGACCGCGTGAAGAACTTCGCCGTCATCTACGTTTGCGATCTCGACCAAGTCCCCGACTTCAAACAGATGTACGAACTCTACGACACCGTCACCCTCATGTTCTTCTTCCGCAACAAACACATGATGTGTGACTTCGGCACGGGCAACAACAACAAGCTCAACTGGGTGCTCGAGGACAAGCAGGAGTTGATTGACATTCTTGAGACCATCTACAAGGGTGCAAAGAAAGGCAGAGGTTTGGTCGTCAGCCCGAAAGACTACTCCACAAGATATCGCTACTGAATGCGCGTCTGGATGATGGACAAGACATTCCGACGGCGGCAGTCGCGTATTTGAGACCAGCGGCCCGCAAGCAGCGTGCAGACAGGCGGCTACGAGCTATTCGCTACACCGGGCTTTCTTACGACATTAATGACCATTGTGCCCGCTCGGCAAGGCACCCACTGCGAGGGTTGATGGGAGTGCATGTGGTTGGTCCCCCAGGATACTTTAAATCTACCACTTGAGCCGAAGCATACTAATTCGATGGTCCTCAAAGACCCATGTCCAAAGACAGGGCAGTAACGTGCACTTCATCACAGATACCGCCAAAGTGATTCGCGTATTTCGTCAATCGCGTGCTTACGCACTTTGGAATTGGCCATGCGCAAGGTCATCGGCTATGTTCTTTCAGCAGATGTGGTATGTCACAACGTAAGACTAGTCGATGCTCCGTGGCGAAGCGTGTTTTTTTTTCCGCCGATGTGCGCTAGTTCGAGGAACCGGACGGCTCCGCCAACAACTTCACGACCTCCTCGAAGACTGCGACAATGGTTGGCCTATGCTCAGCCCAAAGACTGCCGGCTGACTTTGCATCTAATTCGAGATCCGCCCCTTTGAAGGCTTTTGCTGCCGCCCACTCCCTTCCTGGGTACGGTAGTTCGACGTGACCAGTGGCTGGCTTCATTCGGAGGCCGTTGAGCACCGACTCCAGCTGAGCGGCGCATTTGTTCCCTCCATAGCCTCCGTACGTTACGATCATCGCCGGCTTGCCCACCCACTCGTTGTACAGGTGATCGATCGCGTTCTTCAACGCTGCCGGATAGCCCCAGTTGTATTGCGGCGAGACGAAGATAAAAGCATCATGGCTGGAAATCTCCTTGCTCCATTCCCGCGTGCTGTCGTGTGAATACTCTGAAGGGTCCTTGATGTGGGCCGGAATCCCAGGCTCTCCAGTGAATGGCAGAGTCCAATTCGCCAGATCGATCTTCTTCAGTGTAGGCTTGCTGCGGCCAGCAGCTGCACCAGATGAAGATGTTTGGATTGTTTCGACAACAAAGTCTGCGATTTGAGGACAGATGCGAGGCTGACGCACACTGCTGATGATCACGCCGATGCTGTGTGACATTGTGTACTGAGTCGCGTTCTTCGTTGACCTACAAATGGAGGACAGCGAACCATCAGCGGGACGACAATGGTATTATAAGTGTGTTCTGCCTCCGATCGGCGTTCGGGGTCAGCAATGGATTCCGCACCGATTGTCGAACCTCGTCCGCAACCAATCGGATGGCGAGAGTTCTCGGGTGCGTTTGGCCAACTCACGGCGAGTCGACAGCCTTGCGCAATAAGTGGAGGAAAGCTGAGCGCAGTGAGAGCCGGTCGACGAAGCACGCAAGCGTGGTCTACCGGAGACAACAGCTGGTAAGGTAACCTTGGTTGTTGTGACGCTCGTGATTGCTGCTGCCGCACGATCGGCTTTTGGCAACAGAGTGTTGGGCAGGCTTACTGCCGCATTGCAGAGCAAGGACGACTAGCTCAATACAACATCGAAGCAAGCACTGAAGGAATCTTCCGAACAACACAGTGAAGTGACTGGGCCTCCTACCGCATCCTACGGCATGGGATGTGTTCGAGAAGATCCTGAGCTATATCCTCTATGCCCTCTCGTGGGCTCCCTTCCGCCGCTTGTCATGTCGTCGTGACCGCATCAGCCGGGATCGCCATCACGTTCGGCGTTTGGCTCGTCCGACTATTCGTGCGAACGACACTCCGCAAACCCTTCGGAACGGATGACATACATTGCACCATCGCGACCTTCTGTGGCATTCTGAATTCCGCTCTTGCGATCGGCGAAACAGACCATGGCCTTGGACAGCGCGAGAGCGAGATTGCGCCTTGGATCGTTCGGCGACAACAACAGATGGCTTGGGTTGCGAACATGTCCTTCATTCTCGCCCTCTGCTTCGCCATCCTGTCGGTGTCGTATCTTCTCGTCCGCATTACGAAGCTCACCAGTCTTGTCCGTGTGACATACGCTGTTCCTATCGCCACATCCCTCTGGGCTGTCGTTGCGTTTTGCCTCATCACCTTTCAATGCAAGTTGCCGGATCCCTGGGACTTTGAACCGCAGTCTCGCTGCATTGATATAGTGAGTCGCATGCCACACTCATCTTACCACGACTTGCGGCGCTGAGAGGCAGCAGTACCACACATGGGCGGGGATTGTCATCGCGAATGCTGTTCTGGACGTTGGAAACGTGGTGGCCGCGATTGTTTTGGTGACGAACATCCGCATACCCACGAAGACCAAAGTTTTCATCATCGTGCTGTTTAGCATGCGCCTCATGTACCCTCATCTCACGCACGTCATGCCTGGCGAGGAGCATTAACATGTCCACGTAGGGTAATCCCACCCGCGCTGGTTCGATTGAGGTACATCAGGCGGACAGTGTCGAGCAAAGACTGGACCCGATCAAGAGTCGACATTGTGATTACCACGCAGGTTTACATGCACTTGAGCATCATATTGGCGACGCTGCCGTGCATCAGGTCCTTCTACACCGCTCTCCGAACCAGCTCCATTCGAACATCCACGGTGGCAGCAACGAAGGCAAAGAGGCCAAGCAGAGAGATCGCGATATTTGCGCTGAGCCCGATTGTCTTTCCACCCCCTCTTTGGAAGCGCCCGAATATGGAGAGGAGTAGTGCTTCACAATGCTCCGCACATCTCGCCACGAGTCGCCTGGCAAACAGAGCATGGCCGGTCAACACCGGATCCGAGCATTCGGGGGCATGATTACTACCACGATTGTCCACGATCACCAAGACGCGCGGGAAACAGAGCGAAGAGTATCCAAGGGCACTATTAGCAGTCAAGGAATTCTGCAGAAGAAGTCGTTCGAGGTGAAATTCGACCTCATTGAAGCTTTAGAATCGACGGGATCAGACCTGCCCCGAGTGCGAAACCCGATGACGGCCGTGTGGGATACTGGACTCTCAGACGTCGGCAGTTTGTTGTCGGAGGAGTGAGACGGAAGCGATGACTGCTTGCAGGTCTAGGGTGGGACGAGTGGCCTCGCTGGGTACACACGGCTGTATAAGTCACTTTTCCTGGTCACTCGCATCGTCATCGTCCTCGCCCTCCTTCTGCACTCGCTTCCCCTTGACGCCCTCTTCCACTTCCGGCACCAAGGACTCCATGTACTCTGTGTCTCGCCCCACCAGCGTGACGGTGTTCTTGCTCTTGCCCCATCGGGGATAGCTGCCGACCTTGACTCCCTTGCCCTCCACCTTCTGCGACAGCTCGGTCAGGTAGCTGGCCACCCCACTCTCCGGCAGCGGCGTGCTGAACAATATCCTGTGCACGCCCTTGCCCTCGGGGTCCACCAGCCGCGGCAGAAGGGTTGGCTTGAGGCCGGTCAGCATCTTCTCAAACAGCCGGGGCACGCCTGGGAAGATGTGAATGTTGCCATTGACGACGCTCAGCGGCACCCACAGATCGTCGGCAACAAACAGCACCTGCTCCTCGTCGGGGATGTTCTTGTCGTACGGCAGCTCAATCATGCGATATCGGGCCTTCCGCTGCGGCGAGTCGACGTCCCACGAAAAATCAGGCTGCTGCTTGTGCGGGCGGCTGATTGCCTTCATCTTCGACAGTGCCTCCTCGTGCTTCACCAGCGGCAAGTTGAAGGCCTTGGCGATGGACTGATAGGTGATGTCGTCGTGGGTGGGCCCGATGCCGCCGCTGGTGATGACGAAGTCGTACTTGTCCGACATGCGCTTCGCGGCCTCGATGATGTCGCCTTCATCGTCGGGGATGACCTCGACGCGCTTGAGGTCGATGCCCAGGCTGAAGCAGTATTTGGCAAACCATGCCGAGTTGGTGTCTACGGTCTAGAATGCACTCTGTGTCTCAGCCTTCAGCGTTGTTGTTTGGCGCGAGGAGCGCTCCAAAGCGAGCTGCTGCGACTCACCTTGCCCCCGAGTACCTCGTCTCCTATGATCAGACACGCTGCGGTGTTGATAGTCCGTTTGGCCTGGTCGTTTGCGCTCATGGCTCGTGACGTAATTGATAGTGAGGGTCGAGCGGCGGCGGAGAGGTGGAGATAGTTGGGGAGGGGGCGCGAGAAGTGTCTTGCTAGCTGATTGATGCGGGCGTACATGGGATGAAGAAATGCGCGACGGGCGGAGGAGATAGGGATGGGGAAAAGAAGTGAAGTCGAGTCGTCGAGATCCTCCTGAGCTTGACAATGCAGCAGTCAATCCATCATGCGGGGCGATTTTATTGCGGAGCCTCATGGAGTGGGGTCTCTTCGCCTGCGGCCTGCCTTCACTCCATCCTGGCTTCGACTTCAGCACCCTCCGGCCTGCTGCGGAACGCGCGCACAGTCACGACAATGGTAAGCACGGCACGTCGAGACTGTCCACTTCGCCTCTCTGACTCGATCGCAGTCTTCCGAGCAGCGTCTCTACACCTTCTCGCCCGAGACGAAGCAGCAGCTGCGCAAATTCCGGCTGGCCACATCGAGAGCCAAAGATCCCCAAGCGATGATATGTACGCATGGCCAATCCTTTCTGCTTTTCCCCTGCGGCTGTGACACCTCCGCTGACGATGCTCAAGAAGACCAGATAGACAAAAAGACTCTCGAAATCTCGCAGTCGGACGATGAAGTCTACACTGCCATGGCGGAGCTCGCAGACGAACTGCCCGACAACTCGCCGCGATTTGTCTTGCTGAGCTATCCCTTGACCATGGTATGCTGTTCAGTTTGGAAGTATGGCGCATTTTCGCTTGCCACTGATCACGGATCGAGATAGAACTCTGGCCGACTCGCGGTTCCGTATGTCATGTTGAACTACCTCCCGCCAACCTGTTCCCAAGAAATGCGTATGCTGTACGCCGGGGCCAAAGAGCTGCTTCGAAGCGAGTCGGAAGTCGGACGGATCATAGAGATTGATTCCACGGACGATTTGGAGAGCATCGAAGGGCGACTGAAGGGGGAGGAGTGATTGCCTATCACCCATGATTCCACTACGCCATTGAATGCATGTAACAGTGCTAGACAACAGAGAATGGTAAAATATCTAACGAGGAATTGACGATGAAGCATCTCAATACAAATACACCCCCCCTTCTCTGCAGATATACATACAAAGCCCACTAACTGCGCGCAAATCGAAAACAAAAGGGTATATTCCGTGATGAAGCCCAAGCCCCCGGAATCGCCGCCCAGTGAAGAGTACATGACCGCTTGCCCCAAAACCATGATGCGCTCTTGATATGCCCCAAGGTCCTAGCCATACAGCCTGCAAAGCGCCGCAAATACCCAATGAAGTGAATCAAATACTGTCCCATCCCAGCGAAAGTCCAGTGAAATCCAGTGAAAGCCGTAAAGCAGAGAGAGAGAAGGTGGCGCGAAATGTGTCGCGCGATGACTGAATGCCCAGTGCCTCCTAAGCGGTCGGGTGACGCAGGATCTCGTCGCAGTTCTTGTCGAATCTCCACGACCACAGTCGCACGCTGGCCATGAACTTCTCCGTCTGCACGAGTTCGCGATCGCGGCCGAACATGGAATCCACAAACTCGCAGCCGCTGTTCTTGCCCATCGTCACGCGCTGAGCCCCGCCGCACTCCTTCTTGGCCGCCTTCCACATGTAGCCCTCGCAGACCTTTAGCAGCTTGGTGAATCGCTGCCACAAGCGCTCGCCGGCCTCGAGAAACTCGTCGACAACGTCACGCCACCCTTGCTGTCGAATGCGGTCCAGGCACTCCTCCGCTCGCTTGATCTTGCCCGCGAGCTGGATGAGTAATAGCCAGAGCTCGCCCGCGACCTCTGACATGGGAGTCGCCGGGCCGTAAAAGTAGACCGACCAGTCATAGATCCACTTGCCCAGCGAGTTGGCGTCGAAGACGCTGCCTAGCAGCAGGATGGGTTCTTCGGTGGGATCCCAGTTTTTGATGGAGTAGCCGGCGGGGATGCGGTGGCGACGCGCGTCTTCTGCTGTTGCCTGAGGTGGCGGCTTGGGGGCAGTGGACGGCCGACGTTGCGCAGTGGGCCGCGTCGTCTTCTGTGTGGTGGTGAAGGAGAAGCGACGAGAACGCGACGACTTGTGCTTTTTCTTCGGCTCCGCGGAAGAGGTAAAAATGGGCACCTGCTCGTAGGAACGGCGATCAGTACCAGCGTCGTAGTAAGTTTGATGGGGCCTGTAGGGCGGTGGGGGCGATCGCGTGTCGTACTGCTCGTAGCGAGGCAAATACTCAAAGTCTTGCTCGCGAGGCTCTTCGTGGACAAAACGCGCACGCGGAGAGGAATGCTTGTTGCTCGAGTGCTTCCGCTGCCCATCTTTCTCGGTGTACGCGTAGGGGGTCGGATGGGATCGGACGTGGTCGCGCATGCGATCAGAGGCACTTACATAGTTGGCCTTTCGCGCCGGGGTCGATTGCGCGGAGGTGTAGTAGTAGTCGTCTCGCGGGGCAGTGTACTCTGGCACAGACCAAGCCGCGCCTCTGCGAGGGGTGGAGTTGGGAGAGCTGGAGAATGCGAAGGTCGCAGCTTCGCCTGTTGCTCGGCGCGCGTGGCCTCGCGGAGGAGTGGCGATGTAGGAGAAGTGTCGCGTGAAGTTTTGCCCAAGACCACCGTCCTTCTGTGGCGTGCGTGGATAGTCGAAGTAGAAGCGCGGCGGATGCGCTGGGTACCCGGCAGTCTGGAACATCGGAAAGGCGACGGCGGCGCGCAGACGCGGCCGCGGTGGTACCTCGACGAAGCCGGGCAAGGGATGGGCCCTTTGTTCTTGTTTCTACAGCGCCAGACGCGCGTTATCCCGCCCGGTGAGGTGGACAGGGCGGCGGCAAAGGAGGACGGGAGGAGGAGAGGAGATCGCTCTGGTCCGTCGTGATGTACATTTGGCGGGTGGACAGCTCGGATGGTGCAAGTCAAGACGAGACGCTCCGGAGCAGTCTCGTGGGGTATGGGATAAAGAGAATGACGAGGCTGGCGTGCAGCGATAGTGGTGACGGTGACGTCGGACGGCAGCAAGTGTAAGGGAGAGGAAAGAGGATGGCTGGCGAGAGTGCCGGGAGTTAAATCAGGTAGTGAGATGATCAAGAGGAGAGATGGGGCTTCCACTAGGGGAAGGAGGAAGAGGAGGCGCTAGACGCGCTAGCTGGACGGGTGGCGCGACATCCCCGATGGACGAATCGCAGGGGGGCGCACGCGAGTCGAGAATCACGTCCGCCGATGCAGGTTGTTGGTTGGGTAGGGATGGGGCGGGAGGGACGTGGAGATCCAGTCCATCGGGGCATGCCTCTGTCCGCACGGAATCCGATGGGGCTGGAAAGATTGTATGCAAACCTGCGCGGTGGGATGCAAACACACGCCGATCAAACGAGGACTCGAGGTCGTCTCGTGTCTCCCTCATGCATGTGTTTAAACCCGGGCGGGAAGAGTGCTGCAGTAGACATGCTGTGCTACATCCGTGAGGTACTCCCGCATATTCAGCAAGCCATGCTCCATATCCCCTGGTGATGGCGTGTCCATACTCGCCCAGTTGGAGGACTTGCACGTTTGCTAGCGTTGCGTGCGACAAACACCCCTCTGTTGGCCAATTACGCTGCAGGATTACCAAGCCTTGCTGCACACGAGACCGGGACGAGATCGAACGGGCCGGGCCCTGGACGGTAGACCTCCACACGGCAGTGCACCGTGTCCACTCGATAATGAACGAACAGGGACCACGGTCGGCATGGCTGTTAAGGCGACTCTCTCTGCCGCTCAATCCTCGTGCCCGACATGGAAACACCAAGCCTTGTGCTTAAGGAAGGTGGAGGTCTGATGGCTGACGACTGATCAGCTCATCTGCATGCGCTGTGCGGTGCGGATGGACGGCGCGTGCGTGAACGAAATGTGGACGCATGCATGCAGCCACCCGGCCACATCCTCCTTCCAATCATGCACGGCCACTCGCGCCGCTTGGCCGCCTAGGCTTTCTTCCCTTTGCGATTTGCCAAATCCCATTTGTCCTTGCAAGTGGGCGCGATGACTGCAGTGATGTCCAGCTGAAGGAAAGGCCAGTAGAGGAGAGCAAGAGCCCACCGGTTCATAAATACGACCGGTGTGACGCTACACCCAATGACCGTGGAGTGTTCGATCCTCCATCCTCGGTGTCACTGAAACCCTATTAAAAGCTGGGCAGGGTGGTACAGCAGAAAAACATGCCTGTTGGGCTGATTGCCCATTTCAGCCCGTGTCATCTAGTCCGACTAGATGATCAGCTGTGACTGGGCAAGCAAAGACGGTGGCCAGGGCATGATCATGTCACACCGCCAGATATCCATTCTCGTCGATCCAACGATTGATTGACTACACTTTACAATCCCTCCATCTCCTCCCTCGTCTCGCGGTATTCGTGCTGTGCCTCTCTCTCCCTCCGCCCCACAAAGCCCACCTCCTCCCTCAACCGCTCCATCCTCTCCCTGATTCCCGCCTCTTCAACAACTTGCGCCACCCTGCCCACCTCCACCTCCAATTTCGTCTTCTCTAAGAACGCCGCCGCCTCCCCAATCTTCTGCCGTAATGTCTTCTGCCGGCCCAGATACCCGCCGTGCACTTTCGCAAGCTTCTTCTCCAGCCCCGCACCCTTGTCAGCCGATGCCATGATGGCATCTTGCACTTTGTCAAAGGATTCGGTGAGTAGTTGTTCTTCATCAACAGCATCTGCGTCCGAGTCGTAGCCAGCCAGGCCAGGAAGAAGAGTGGAGGAATGCGCCTTTTCCCATTCCTCCACGAACGCGGCGCCAAACTTCTCCCGATCGCCATCCTTGCCCATCTCGAGGATAACCTCCATCTGCGCTTTTTGCAAGGACTCGCTGTCTAGATCCGCAACGGGCGCGGCGTGACCCTTGACCTTGGCGCCGCCAAATTTGACGGCATCATTCGCCATCAGCAATGCCATCTCCTCGGCAATCGAGCGTTGGATGGGGTCTTCGATGCTCCTGGCATTCTGCAGCATGGCCTGCACATCAACAACTTTCGGTCGAGGCAAGCCCTTTTGCACCACTCTCGTCTGTTGCTTAAACTCGGCCAAGGCTGCAGCTTCTGCGATCTGCGCATTGCGTGCGTCTCGCACGGCCGCATCCTCCTCGGTCGTTTGATTCTGTGAAGCCCCCTGTTCATCTTGCTCCTCCGGCAGCTCAAGCTCCCACTCCGTCTCTTTTGGCTTCGGTAGAGCGCCAAGCTTGCTGCGGAGGGAACTCTTTGCGGCTTGTTCGCGCAAGCGGATATCTCGTGGCGTCTGACCGGGCAATGAGGAGCCATCTTCTTGATTTAAGCTGAAATTGTCACGGGGTGTGCGCATAGGTGTAGCTCCCGGGGCACCAGCCGCGCCATTGATATTCCCGTTCCGCATTGGCGTCGCCATAGGGTTGGGAGTCGACAAAGCCTGCTTGGAGGGCGCAACGCCTTCGTAGCCCGTTGTCGATTGCCCATCGTGCAGGGGAGTGTTGTCGCCGCCCAAAAGAGCTGACCGAGTCTCCGTTCTGGCGCGCGCGTTTCGTAGCTCGTTCGCAATCCGATCCTCTTCCTGCGGCGCTCGCGGCGTGCGAAGCGGCGTGGCACCCACGGTGTTTGTATACCTGCCCAACAAACCCCTAGTGGCATCGTTCTCACTCGCCTCGGCTGCCATGGTGGCCCTGTCTCCAGCCATTCCCATTTTGACAATGTCCTCCAGCTCTGCCTCGCTCACTTGTGGAGCAGGGAGAACTAGACCTCTTCGCTTGCTGCTCTGCTCCGCCTCTCGGACCTTTTGTAGCTGTCCGGCTTTGGCTGCAGCAGCCAGCGCAGAAGAGCCATCCTTGTCATTCTTTCGCCTCTTGGGCTCTTGCACGTCCCCCTCTTCCTGCTCCCCTTTGCGCTTGTTGGCCAGTTGCTGTTTACGCGGATCAAATGCCTCCCGTGCGCGCTCATTCATCGTCTGCTCGTCCTGCGTGTCGTAGAATCCTGGCGCTGGAGCCTTCTCGAAGGGAACATCGGCGTTGTAATCCATCTGCCCCTTTTTCTTGGTGGTGACCTTGACGTTGATGCCGGCGCTTTTGAGCTCGCGTCTCTTCTGCAACACCGCCAATCGCCTGCTCTCCTCCAACTGTCTCTCGCGAGCCTTTCGCTTCGCCTTCTTTCCCTGTGTATTGGCCAAGCGTGCCCGCGCTTCCGACAGCATCTCTTTCTCATCTTCATCCAAGTCGATCGTGTCGGGGCGTGCAGGCTTGCTTTCCGGATCCGGGTCCAACTCGCCTGGTCTCAATCTCCTCACGTCGTCTGCACTCGGCGCAGCAGTCTCGCCGCCATCGGGCCCACCCAAGCCCAGCTCGCCGCTCTCCCTCGCCTCGGCTTCATCCAGCAACTTCTGGTAGCGCTCCAAGCACTGCGTTGCCGTGCGGCCCACGATTGGCGCGATGGTTCGCCATTGCGTGGGCATCAACTTGGCCAGATGCAGGAGCTTCTCGTCCTCCTCCCTGCTCCATTCGATCTTGCGGATGCCCGGGTCCAGCCATTCGGCCCAGCGCGCTTTGCATTGCTTGGGCGTCTTCCGGGCGAGCAACGATGACACTCGCGCCCACTGGTTCAAGCCGTATTTGGAGACGGCGGCCTTGAGGATCTCATCCTCGATATTGGTCCAGACGCCGCCCTTGACGACAGGCATCTTGTTGATTCGTGGGGAACGAGTGAAGACGGACTGGTCATAGGTAGAATTTCTCGGACTTTGAAACTTGAAGTTCAAAACGTCGGAGGCTTAGTCATCTGCATGCAGTCACGTGCCAGACTACATGTACGAGTTGAGAGAACGGTCACACCGAGGGCCTATAACAATACAGTGATTGGGTCGTCAATGGTATAGTGAGTCTATTCGTGTCCACTGCGTCGCCGGTACACGCGCAGCAAATCCGTCTGATGCATCCGCCTTGATCACTGTTATCTTCCACCAGCAATCAGTTGTTTCTTCCTCACCTTGTCCCTCACCCTCATCAGCGCGGTCTTCACCTCGCCCTTGCTGAAAGTATCCAGATCGTAATAATTCTCTCCAATCTCCAACAACCACTCCGGCTTCACCGCGGTCACCGTGCGAATGTAGTTCTTGCTGGTCAACACGAATTCATTGTAGATCACCCATTCGCTCTCCTGGCCCAACACTGTGCTAGGGTGGAGAAGCACGTTCTGATTGTCCTTGACCGTGACATAGATCTTGTTGTCCTTCTTGGCAACTTGCATGAAGAAGCCGGCTACGAGTGCACGTCGGATGTTTTCGTAGTACTTTCGGTCTTCGAATGGAGTGGAGACGAGTTCAAGCTCTTCGCGCTCCATAATGCGCTTGAGTTGGAGGCGAACATTGTCGGCTTGCTGGAGAGCTCGGAAGGACAAGAAGTGGTCATGGCACCATTGCTTTTGGTTCTCTTGTGCGGCGGGAGATTTGAACGCGTGGTACACGTTGAGCATGGTCAGGTGGTCCCCATCTTGATGTGCGAAGAGCTCCTTCATCTCGTCTGCGCGCTTGCGAGCGCTTGCGGGACGGACGAATAACTGCGGCACGGAGAGTAAGGCTGTCAACGAGAGAATCTCGTTGCTGCAGTAGAACTCCGGAGAGCTGATAAGCATCACGGCCAATGCAGGGTCGAGCGGAAATTCGGAAGCCAGCTGGCCAAGTCTCGTAAGCTCGCCCTCGTCGTCGAGACAGGCGAGATAGTTCAGCTCCTCCAGTGCACGCATCAATGTCTCTGGTGCAGGGGGATCCATCAGGTCAAAGTGGACGAGATCGTCAACGCCGAGCTTCTTCAGTTCCAGCACAGTACTAGCGAGATTGGAACGGAGAATCTCGGGGTATGACTGCTCGATGAGCTCTTTCTTGAATGCGTCCTCGGTGTAGAGACGGAAGCACTTCCCAGGCCGCGTACGCCCAGCACGACCGGCCCTTTGCTGAGCGGAGGCTTTGCTGATGGGCGATACCAAGAGCGATTCGACGCGAATCCGTGGATTATACACCTTCTGCTTGCTGAATCCGGGATCAACCACGTAGACGATACCGTCAATGGTGAGCGACGTTTCCGCAATGTTGGTCGAGACGATGCACTTGCGCCCAGGTCTGCCACCCTTTTTGAACGGAGGCGGCGCCGGGTCGAAGATGCGTTGCTGTTGCATGGGGGGCAGGGTACCGTACAAAGGGTACACCTTGAGCGGGCCAGCGTCTGCCTCTCGGATCATTTCGTCGGCCTCCAGGTTGATCTTGCGCACTGCGTCCTCAATCTCCTCCTCGCCCGTAAGGAAGAGAAGGATGTCGCCTTCCGGCTCAGTGGCGTGGATCTGCAGAACGGTGCGCAGCGCAGCCTCCACGTAATCCCGCTCTGGTTCTTGAGTGTAGAAGATCTCGACGGGATGTGTGCGACCGGGTACGGCCAGAAGGGGCGCATTTAAGAAGTATTTCTGGAATTTCTGGGCATCCAATGTCGCGGACATGATGATCAACTTGAGGTCGGGCCGCCGGACCACCACCTCCTTCAGCAGGCCCATCAGAATGTCGGTTGCCAATGTCCTTTCGTGAGCCTCGTCCAGAATGATGACGCTGTAGCGGGACAGGTTGTGATCATTCATAGCCTCCCGCAACAGCATTCCGTCCGTCATGTACTTTAGGATTGTTTTCTGGCTGGTCATGTCTTCGAAACGAATGCTGTATCCCACCTCTTCTCCGAGCGTCACGTCCAGCTCCTGTGCGACACGTTGAGCGACAGACATGGCCGCCACCCTTCGGGGCTGTGTGCAGGCCACCATCTTGCCATTGAGCTGGGGGAGATCGTCGTACAGGACGAATTGTGGGATCTGCGTGGTCTTGCCGGAGCCCGTCTCACCGACGAAGACCAAGATTTGGGATTTTTGGAACATGTCGAGGAACTCTTGACGCTGGGCATGAACGGGGAGGTCGCGCCGCTTCTTCAAGATGCCAAAGTACCGTTCGGAGAGCTGGTGGCCTTGCTTGAAAGGGTTGTTCGGGCCATCTTCCGCCACCTTTGCCATCTTGGCCGTTGAAGCGTGTCGCTTGAACGAGGCCAGCATGCCACCTTTTGCGCTGTCATGTGTCTGGCCATTGCCGTAGCCGTTGGCATGGCCGCCAGCGGCATCGTTGCCTTCGAACATGTGGGAGAGGTATGGATTGGCGCGGTCGTTGTCGGTGGCGTCGGACACTTTCTGTCTTTTGAAACGCGACTTGCTCTCTCCTTCTGCCATGGCGGTAGTAATTCTCGTTGCCCGTCCCTCAAGCGCCTCGACTGGATCGATTTGGCAGTATGAAAGGCTCATCGACGGAAGGAAATTGTTCGAGAAAATCACGGCAGCGTTGATGGAACTTTTTAGTCGTGGCTCGATGACAGAAGTCGTGGATGCCTTTTCTCCATCGCACCGCGAGCCTTTCACCAACGCCCAATTTCATACGCCGCACTATTCGCTATTCTACCGAGTGCTGGCTCGTGGAAAGGCGGCTATGAGTGCTCATGGCTCTTTTCAACCCGATGAGCCAGCGGCGCTGTTTTACATTGGCCAGCACGACGGCAGGGCCAACGTCCAGGCATCGCCTGATGTCCTTTCTCTAGCATATGGACTGGGCTACGATTTCCTGACCACGCCCATCACCACCTCCGCCTTCCATTCGAGGGTGGTAGCGCAGGCGAAAGACCTTCTGCCACCTACCGACACCACCTGTTTGCCCACCTTGAACCCTCTCACCCCCCAGGACTCCAATTTGGCACCCAATGAAGGCAACTCTGCTTTGGTGGGCTTCGTCAGCGCATGGATCGATCTTGGTTCTCCCAATCCCGTTATTGCGAAGCTCAGCCAACGCGTGTTGAACGCAGAAGTGGCCTACGCAGCCTTCTGTGGCATCAACACCCTGATCGTCCACGGTCCGTCTGCCCAGGCTAATGTGGTGCAATATGCGCGCGACATCCGAGAGGCTCTTGCACTCGGCCCGTTCGTGCAGCTCCACATTCTACTTCCAATGACTGGCGAGCTGGAGCATGACTACGCGGATTCTTCTCCTCTCGCCGAGCTTGTCGCAGAATCTGAAGTCGATCTTGACGACGACGACGATCTATCCCGCCATACAGATTTGTACGGCGTCTGGAAAGACTGGAATACAATCCGGACAATCTGTAGCTACAGCCAGAAGCTGTCACTAGGTATGTTGTGCACCATTTCCATGTCCGCTTCCACTTTCTTTGCGCACCATTTCTCCAAAACTGTCTCCTGCACACCAGCAAGACGGCGATATCAAGGGCGCAAAGTACGTTTCCGCAACTCCTTGATGCTGCTGGTGAATGAAAGCTGATTCTCTTCACTACTTAGCTCTCGAACTTCCGCGTCAACTACCAGCCCCGAGCCTTCAACGCCGCTGGTTTTCCGAACCCATCCGACTTCTTATCTACTCCCGGACGAGTTTTCTGCGCAACGCAAAAGGCTACCCAGTCCTTTCCAAGCAACACCAACAGCTGTTGTCTCGCTTTGCCACACTCCCTTCGCCGCCTTGGTTGCTGCTTAGTGATGTCGACCCGCTCGAGGATGCCACTTCAACCACGACCACTGGTCAACCCACGGAGCCCACGCCGGCTGAAGCTGCGAGCCGGTCGAATGAGAAACCCAAGGACAATGCGCCTCACCTCCGCTATTTGCGACATTTGCAGCACACTCAGCCCTCGCGAACAGCCATTGAAAGATTCGGTCAGGGGTACGAGGATTTTCTGCAATCTCCCCTTCAACCGCTGACGGACAATCTGGAGTCAATTACCTACGAAGGCTTCGAGAAGGATCCGGTGAAGTATGAGTGGTACGGACGAGCCATTGCTGCGGCACTGAAAGACCTGCGAAAGCAGATCCAAGGCGATAGGCCAGTCATCGTAGCCGTGGTCGGAGCTGGTAGAGGTCCACTGGTTACCAGAGCTCTACAAGCCAGCATTCAGACGGGGATTAAGATCCAGTGCTGGGCGGTGGAGAAGAATCCGAACGCCTTTCTTCTCCTGCAGAGGAGGAACGCTATCGATGACCTATGGAACAACCAGGTCCGCGTTGTCAAGTCGGACATGCGACACTGGAGGGGCCCGACAGCGGCGGAGTCTACCGCACCCGTCGACATCTTTGTCTCTGAATTGCTGGGCTCCTTTGGCGACAACGAGCTCTCCCCAGAATGTCTCGATGGTGTCCAACACCTCTTGCATCCCGCCCATGGTGTCAGCATACCGCAAAGCTATACTGCCCACATTACGCCGCTCTCTTCGCCAAGACTTTACAACGATCTTCTCAGCCGAAGCGGGATCGAGAAGTGGGAGCTGCCGTACGTTGTCATGTTACATCGATACGACTATCTCTGCACTCAAACAAATTCGGAGGCTGAAGTAGTGCCAGACGTGAAGCAGACATGGGCTTTTTCACATCCCGTGCCCGGCGACGCATTGGAGCAATCGCGGGGCAGAGCTGGCGGCGGGCTAGACACCGGCGGCTGGGCCGGGGGCGATGGCGGCAATGAGCACAATGCGCGTGCCTGCAAAGTCTCCTTTACATCTCGCGAGCCCGGCGTGTGCCACGGCCTTGCTGGCTACTTCGAAACAGTGCTGTACGCTGGCAATGACAGCAAGATCGAGCTCTCCATCAACCCGGTGACGATGCCCCAAAAGAGCAGAGATATGATTAGCTGGTTCCCCATCTTCTTCCCCTTCAAGGTATGATAGTGTGCATCCTCAAAAGATCGAGTTGAAGCTGACCGGGTGCCATTCTAGACGCCGCTATATATTCCAGAAGAGTCCGAGATTGAAGTGAGCATGTGGCGTCAGACAGACGACCGGAGCGTATGGTACGAGTGGATCGCCGAAGTGTACAAGAAGGTCAGAGGCGGGAAGAGAATGATTGCAGTCTCGGAACTGCATTCGAGCCGCAAGAACGCGTGTCTCACGTAGTCTTATCCGGTCGTCGGAAATGGCAACTTTCTATGCATCCTCGTCACAATCTCCACGTAATCCGCCTCGTTCTCCGCCGTAATGATGCCATGCCTGATGAAGAAATCGATCATGACAACCGCACTGTTCGTTTTGAACTCCTCTCGAGCCAACGCAGCCTTCACCTCGTCCACGCTCATGAGGTAGAACTCTTTGACCTCGTCGTCTTTGGGTACGGGTTTCACCTCCTGCCCGACCTCCAAGTCATACACATACACTACATCGCTGACAATCAGACTCTCCTTCGCACCATTGGACTCGGTCGAAAGCCCTTGGTACGTCAGGGCGCCGGCAGCACGTACACCCCGCTTGATCAGATCTGCAGGCAGCGATGCTTCCTCATCGGCTTCCTGGACGACGTTTTCAAACGGCGTCTGATGAGCCGGCACGCCCCCGGCTACAGTCGTGTCGAGCTTGTTGGGGTAGGTGAACATGTGCGAGCTTCGCCGCGGCACCCAGATCATCATGCCGCGATCGGTGACGGTGTAGATGGTGAGATGAGCACCGCGGGCTATGAAGCCAAAGAGATCGCCGGCGAAGCGCTCAAACTGTACGGGATGCCTTGCTCCTAGAATGGGGTAGAGTTCGCTGTGTTTGCCGTGCAGCGTGTCGAAGACATCGTTCTCAATGGCGGAATTGATGACCCTTGCAAAAGCGGTGGTGGAAGAAGTTGACGGTCGTTGTTGCAGTTGGACCGTCAAATTCTCGTTGTCCACCTCAAAGTCGTCCGTCCATGGCATGTTCTCGACGATCTCGGGCAGCATGAAGCCGTGGGGCCTATCATCGTTGGGAAGATAGAGCTTGTATATTGGTCCGGCCGAGTCATCATACGGAAAGCTAGGAACACACCTCTTAGTCTCAGACGAACAGGTACAGATTGGGGATTTCGGGACTGACTTGTCGCATGCTTTGACTAGATCTAGATACGTCGATTTAGGCATGTTGGGTTGGATTAGTGCAGTGGTGATGAAGATTCGTAGTGCGATGAAAGTACGAAGGAGGAGATGAGGTACGGGCGAGATGGATAAAGTAGTTTTCACTTGAAATCAACAGAGCGAGCTACACCCGCCAATCGCCACCGCATTTCAACAAGAAGAATTCCATCTAAAAGACCAGGCGACGAATTGAAAGCACAGAACTTGACCTCCTGCAGCTCCAGTACTCCATCCCCGTTTTCGCCGCTCGACGCCCACTCCTCTGCAAAGCAAACGAAAGGGAAAGACCTGGACGCGAGGCGGGCCGAGAAGATGACAACAAAAGTCTTTTGAATGTTATGGTGGTGGTGGCGGCGGGCTCGCCAGGCCACAATCATGCAACCAGTCAATCCAGCTTTCGGGGCATTGTCGCCGGTCCTCCCTTCCATGCGCCACTGATGGCGGGCCCCGTCGCCGCGTTTTCCATAACCAAATGCGAGCATGCGCGTCGAAGGAGGAGGGACTTCGCGAGACACTGCCATCGCATTACATGACCACGCACTTGCCGCAGCATCCGGCGTCTTTCTCCTCGCCATCCATCTCCAACTTCTCGGGCGACCTTCGGGGGTTTGCGCCGCCTTGGTAGCCTGACATGTCCTTGTTATATCTTCGAATCTCCCGCACGATGTCGTAGAAGGCGTTGTCGACGTTTATCCGCGATTTGGCGGAGGTTTCGATGAATTGGCATCCGAATTTCCGCGCGAGTGCTTTACCCTCTGTACACAGCGGTTTGATGTCAGCCAAAGCGTGCCTTATCGCCAAGTGTGCATCCACGCAGCCAAACATCTGCTACCAAGCTCGCTGAGACGTACCTTCGGTGCTCACTTGCCGCTCGTTCTCCAAATCGCACTTGTTGCCCACGACGATGATGGGAAAGTAGTCCTTGTCCTTGACTCTTAATATTTGCTGTTGAAACGTCTCGATCTCCTGGAAGGACTGTCGCGACTGGATGCTGTAGACGAGGAGGAAGCCTTCGCCCGTGCGCATGTATTGTTCGCGCATGGCGGAGTACTCTTCTTGGCCAGCGGTGTCGAGAACATCGAGGAGGGCGACCTCGTCGTCAATGACGCATTGCTTTCGGTAGGAGTCTGGAAGGGCGATGGAGGAGTGGTTAGCGAGGGGGTATGTGGCGACAAGAGCAGTGGAGTGGAGAGGAGAGGAGCAGAAGGGCAAAAGATTGTGCGCACCTTCGATGGTAGGGTCGTATTCGTCGACAAAATGGCTCTGGATCAACTGAATGGTCAGGCAGCTCTTGCCCACGCCACCGCCTCCAACAACGACCAATTTGTATTCCCGAAGGAACTGAGACATAGCATTAGCATTGACGTGCAGGCCGGGTAGGACCGAAACGGCGGGCGGGCGAGCGCACTTTGGATGCCATTGCGGATGAAGCCGGGCGCGCAGATGGGCAGCAAACGGCGGGATGGGTGGTGGGTGGAGGCTGACAGATGGACGGGGCAGTTGAAGAGGCGTCCAAAGGTGGGAGAGGGCGAGGAGAGCGAGTGGTCGGGGATGGTGGCGAGGATGATGAGGCAAGGGAGGGAGGGTGGTTGCTGATGGACGACGGCGGACGGTTGAAGTTGGACCCGAGGGACGCTGTCCGATCTGCAGGGTGCATGTGGTTTTTGGATTTGGGGGGCGGGCCAGGAAAGTTTGTTTCCCCAGGCCCAGGAAGGAAGGCGCGACCAGGGCCTCAGGCAGTGGCGTGCAAATACGGGCAGGAGCGAGCACCTCTCCAACTCGTCTACACAGTACTTCAACCCGTCCGACACTCCGTCAGCCCTCGATATATTGGAACACGCGATTTGATGTGACGCAGAAGCCTGTGGCCACTCGCGCCCGGCAGCCAATGCGATGAGCGCAAGCTTCACTGCCCTGAGCAGGCGTTTGTGACGGGGGCTTTTGCAGCTTAGGCGCTGCAAGCCTCACAATCCATCCGCGCGGCCCTACTTCCGCCAACACGCCTGGCCTACATGAAGTGATGATCCGATCCTTTTTACTTCCCTCTACGCACCGTCCGGCTCGGGAGGCCATGTCGTGTCGTGCTGCGCGGAATGGGCCCATCACGCCCCATCCTCATCACGAGCCATCACGAGCCATCACGACAATATCGGAATGGCGAGCGATGAATAGAGTTTACCCTCCGCCCGTCACAACCTAGTGTGCTGCCATTGCCTTTCTAGCTCGAGCTCGACCAACCTCCGCCTGCTTGCCTGGCCCCTGATTACTCAACGGCTCATAGGCCTACCTTTTGCAATCACGATAACTCGCGTCGCGAGGTGCATCGTAAGCTGGCCTTGGAGGCTATCATTCCGCTCGCTCTCGCCCGACTCTATCTCCACCTTGTATGATTCAATCCTGTGGCCAGGTGAGCATCATGCTTCAAGTCGGCTATTCGATACAGCTTTGGTAATGTGATCGACACGGAACTCCTTCCCAGGAGCTTAGCATTGTCGGGCTCTTTTCCGACGGCGCGGCCGACGTTCACGCCGGCCAAATGCTGCACATATCGCTGGGACCTCCCCTCTCCCCGCTGCACAATCCTGCCTGGAAAGGTGCCAACGTCGGGGCGCACGGGCGCCAGAGAGCTCGCCTCGCTCGCGTGGTCTACCGAGTGCGCTAATCTGCTTTTCGATGCCTTGCAGGGATCGGGAAACGACCGTGACATCTCTCCTCTCCGACCCCGTCTGTGGTAGGGGCAAGCGCTTATTAGATGGCTAACCTCCAAAAACCCGCGCATTCATCTTACCTGTGGTCGAATAGCTGGCCGTCGCGTTGCCCGCGCTGAATAGATCTAGCACCTCAAGGCGTCTGCTGGTTTTTGCATCGGTAACGTGCGATGCATGCAAGATCCGATCCGATGCTCCACTGCAGAGCTTTCTGCAAGCCATGCAGGTACATGTGCAGTGCCGAGAATGCCCTGTTCGTCTTGCATGTCACTGCTGCTTGATTGCTTCGATCATGTTCTCTACAGACATCGGAATTGCACGGAGATAACAAGGCGTGTCTGGTCGAAGGTAAGGGCATTGGCAGATATGAACAGGCTCTCCAACTAGCGTGTCGCTAGAACGGTTCCTCGACCGAGCTTACACCCAATGCAATGCCATCACGCTCTTCGAATGTCCCATTGAACATTCGTGATGCTCACTTCCTCCCCCGCCTTCTCGTCATAGTCAAACCACTCGCCTTCGGTCAGATCGATGCCCGAGAACTTGGTGCCGGACTCGAGGCCCACGGCCTGCCATTCGCCCTGTCTGGCGTAAGCTTCATCGGCAAGAGGCAAGGTTGACAACGACTCACATCTGCTTTGAACTCGATAAATTCCAGGCCTCTGCAGTCCATGATGATCACGTTCATCTGCTTTGGCGGATCTTGTTGCGCATAGGATTTCGGCGCTTCGAGAATGTTGGCCGAATGCTCTCTCTATACACGGAAGAAATAGTCAGGCCTGGTTGTTCTTCGCGCCTTCTCGCATTCGCCACTGTGGCAATGGAGGCAGACCTTACAGTTCTTGCACCTCCACACGAAATTGGCCTCTCCGCGGCTACCAGATTGCTCATTTTGCTCCTGTCGACACATGATCAGTCCGTGTTGAGTCCAGAGTGTCCGATGGTGACTTACATGGCGGCTCACCGAAACCCAGTTGGGGTGCACCTCTCGACAAGATGTACATTGCACCTTGAAGGTGTAGTAAAAAGGGTTCTGTTCGCTGTCCTGAGGTATGAGGTCCGTGACTCTGCTCATCATTAGACCGTGCCCATACTCTCGAATGTGGCAACTCAACATACCCATTCAATTCTGCTTTGATAGCCAGCGCCAACATTGTGCCGTGATGTGGATATTCCAGGCGGATGGTTGAAGCATTCACCACACATCGCCAAACCGCTTTGACGTCCAAGCTTCGGCTAGCCAGCCAATGAACGCGCCAGCCCGAACTTCTGTCGCGAGCCTTATTACTCTGGCGTCACTTCCGCGACCTTCACATCAAAGTCAACACTCGCATGTGCCTAGGATCACGGCGACTGACCTTGCAATGCGCTCGTACGAACTCACACTACATGGTCCTGGACTTCGACGGAAACGTCTCAAACACCACCGGTGATTCCTGCCGACGCGATGCCTCGCAACCTGCCATGGCAGACGGAAGCCGCCGATGAGAAGACGAAGGAGAAGAAAGTTTCCACTTCCACACGCGCTTCAGCAGAACACAATGAAAGCAGCTCAGAAGACCTTGTGGATGCCGATCTCAACCCCATCCGCCCACCGGCGCGGGGACCGCCGAGAAGCAAACGTCGAGCTCACCGCACACCCTCCACCTCCCCACCGCCCGCTCCCCCAGACGTCGAGTACATGCGCGAAGGCTTCCACGCCGACGACATCTACATGATGGTGGAAGACGAGTTCTTCTCCACCGCCAAGATCTTCACCCAGCATTTACACCATGCCGAGTATGTCCGATATAAGAGGTTGGCGGCATCACGAGGGGCGGAAACGTTGGAGAATATGGCGCGGCCGACAGATGGCAGGACGCAACAGAGCGACAGCTTGAAGCTGCAGATCGAGGCGCGAGGGAAGGCGGACAAACTGAGGCAGGCAATCAGGCTGGCAACCAAGGAACTGAACGGAGCGGGCAGTGGGGAAGAGGACGATTATATGAATGATCCGCAGCTGGCGGGCCTGATGACGGGAGAGAACGTCTCGAGGGATCTGTCTGGCGTTTCAACACTGAAAGCTAACACACGAGCGGCTGCTGGGCTGTTGCAGAGTCCACGCAATGTTGAGCGAACGCGGGATGTGATTGCTGATCGATCCGCGATCAAAGCCGCGCCAAAATTCGCTCCCGCCAATGGCAGGGTGGGCGGGTTGATCAAGGAAGAGGAAGAGTCAACAGCGGACGAGGACGATCTGGATGCACTACAGAAGGATGCACGACGGGCAAACGTCAAAGTCGAGAGCATTCCCTCCCGTACGAAGCACCTGGGGGAGCCACCAAGCAACAACACGGCGCCTCGATCCAACGCCACGCATGCAAGTGGTACGGTCAAGACCCAAGAGCCCTCGAGCACGTTCAGGGATACGCAGACTTTCGATTTCCTCGCGAAACGCAGAGCAGAACGAGAAAAAAAGAAGCGAGAAGAGGAACGGCAAGCGAAGCGGGCAATCGATGTGCCAACGTTCATCATATGATGGATGGATGGGTACAGTCTTGACTGCTCTATGTGCTCACCACTTCTCGTACATGGGTCGGATGTCGATTTCGTTGGTGAAGCACCTCTTGCTCTGCGTATGCAGATTCCAGTAACTCTCAGCAATGTCATCGGCGCCAATCTTCGCCTCGTGCGGCTGATCCTTCAGCCAGTTCTTGGTGGCCGGGATATCGATTACGCCATCGATCTGAGATATGGTCATCAGTCTGCGAGGGCAAGCGGGAGTGAATTGGGACTTACCACGGCGTGCGCAACATGCACACCTTTAGGAGCAAACTCCTTCGCGATCGAGGTGGACAAGGCGCGCAGGGCGAACTTGGCACAGGCAAAGCCGGACATTTGCGCATTCGCCTTGACCGATGCAGTGGCACCGGTGAAGATGAGGGTGGGTGGGTGCTTGGCCGAGGAGTCATCGGCATGCTTCAGCAATAAGGGAAGGGCGTGCTGGGCAAAGATCAAAGCACCCTTGCTGATGATGCGACTTTCGTCAGCTCGTCTCATCTCACAATGATAAGCGTGTCGTCGTACCAGCTCACGTCCCAACTGCCCACAAAGTCTTCCACCTTCATCTCTAACAACGGTCCACGAGCAAATCTCCCGGAAGCGTTAAAGACGGCCGCGGCACACGCAGCATCCTTGTATTCCGCCTTGATCTTCGCAAACGCCGCGTCGACGCTCTCCACGCTCGAGACGTCGGTGCTGATGCCAATGGCCTTGCCGCCGCTCTTGTTGATCTCTTGCACGAGACCTTCGTAGTTGTCGGGGTTGCGTGCCATCAGGACGACGGGATAGGCTTTGGCAAAGCGACGGGCACACGCTGCGCCGGTACCCGGGCCCACACCGGCGACAATGGCGAAGGCTTTGGAGGCCATGGTGGTTGAGGCGGGGTGGAGGTGGTCGGAGCGGGCAGCAAGTCTACTCTTTGCTGCGATTGAGGAAGCCGTTGCGACGACTTTGGGAGGGGGTGAAGCGGGAGTAGAGAAGATAGGGATGGTGGATGAAGGAGAGGATTGCGTTTGAGCAACTTATATGAGTTCTCGTGGTTGTGGTTGATTAGCAATACACAGTCAAGATCCAATGGCGGGGTCCACTCAACCCCGCCATGTAACTATCTGCATGTGTGGATAGGCCATGAGTAATCAGGAAACCCGTTCAGTAATTCGCTGCGAATCTTCCCGCGGCCATTTGGAGGCCAACACTCCAGTTTGCAGATGGTTTGATGTTCGACGTGCAATGCATTCCCTATAACTCGAATCGAGTCTCTGCGGACCTGAGCATTCCAGGTTGTGACGGAAGCTGCGATGGGCGTGCCCCGCGATTGAGTCCACATGCATGCTCGCGGCTTACTCATCTCCCCAGCTCGAGTCCATCCCGGCCATTGAAGCTCTTATCACTCCAGCGGCTCTCGACACGAATCATCCTCAATCAAACCCTTCAGAGAATGGACGGCCTACAACAACGTCTGGATGCTCTACCCGCAGAGCTCCACGCCCAAATCTACGATCTCACCTTCACCGCCGGGCCGGCCGTGTACGCAGTCAACGCGCATTACCGTCCGCCGGCCAATATGCAAGTGAGCCATGCCACCAGGGGCAAGGTGGCACCGGAATACTATGCGCGCACTCAATTCCACTGCACTGACCACCTCGAGTGCTTGCAATGGCTGCTCTCTCTCCCGCCTGCTCACGTGCAGATGCTGCGCGAGGTGCACTGCGAGTCCGTGGCTTGCTCATGGATCCTCGATCTCTTCGAATACGAAGTCAAGGTGCAGTCTTCCTACCTTCTGTACCATCTCCATCTGCGCGGAATCAAGCTGCCCGACTCGATCTTGTGCTTCCAGGTCAGTAAGAAGGACAAGATGTACGCCGATTACCACTGGAAGCGGTATCTCTGAGCCCAGGGCGCGGTCGCTGTTTGCATCTCCCAAGGCAGGGAAGCACTCGAAACGGCAGGCGCTCGCATTGACGACGAAACGTCTCGGCAATCATCGAATGGTACCGTCGCCTGCGACTGAACCTTGGCCGTCGCTCCTCGCTCTCTGCTCTCTGCTCGCATCTTGCTGGGCATCATCCCGAGTCATTTGCAAGGCTGGCCTTCTCTGCACCGTGCTTTTTGACACAATGGGCGAAGGCACTGCTGCGCCACTTTCCACGGTCAATGCTCGACATCAAGCTTGTTTGGTCAGCAAACCGGTCTCGGAAGAGAGATGTCGTTCCGATAGGAGGCAAGGCTGACGCCCCACTTTGACGCCGCTGGAGCAAACGGGCCAATGAGCTTCGGGCAAACTATGTTGCCTACGACGTCGTGGAGGACAACCGCCCTCCCTCCGATTGAGGCTTGTCTGCCTGTAGGCTGCCATCTACTGAAGTACACCCTGTCTCCTGCCCACATCCACCACGAATATCCGTCCTTACGTACCCAGCCGCCAACGCAATCATCATCATCATCATCATCATCATCATCATCACCTGACCTGTCGTCTTCACCATCCCTCCCTTCTCGCCATGACTCCCCACTCACACCACGACGTGGCTCCATGCCTCTCCCCCTCCGACCATGTCCTCCGCTGGATATCTGTCCTGTCGCTGGTACCCGCGCTGGCCTTCATGATCCCTTATGGCAGATTTTCCCACCAAGCCGGAATCACCGTGCTCGTTATGATCCCCTTGGGTTTCTCCTCCCTCACCGGCCTCTTCCATCTCAGCAAGCGAGTCGACGTCAAGAGTGTCACCATTTTCCTCGATCTCTTCATGGCATCTGCTCTGCTTGGTACCCTCATACCTGCCTGCATTTTCCTTTCAGACAGTTGGGGCTGGAGGGATATGGTCATCCTCGGGTCGTATGGCACCATGTTGATGATGGTCAACTTGTACATCCCACCCTCCACGCCACTCGCCCCACACACATGCTAATCATCCGTCTTAGCTGCATCCACATATGGATCGCCCTTCGTGAACTCGGCATCTACGAGGGCATCAGATTCCACCTCTCCAACATGTCCATCTCGCCCACCTGCCCTCACTGCCAAAAAGACTTGCTGTTTCGGCAAAACCGTTCGCCCGGCTCGCCCCGCACTCCAGGTGGCTACGCCCCGGTCACTCTGCACGACAACGAAGCCGAGGGACGTCCTTCCATGTCCAAGGACCCGGTGCCCGAAGTGGCCGAGTACCGCGATGCCCGGCCCAGCAACGACGAGTCCGAGTACCGGGATGCCCGGCCCAGCACCGACGACGAGACGGCCAATCTCGTTTGATTTCAGTCATATGACATCAGAACTGAGCCGGCAGCGGGCTGAGTGTAATCTGGTACGGCACATGTCAAGTAGAGACTGGCCAGACCATGATGCGGGCGAGGGGCCAAATGATCCTGCAAGGAAGGCGTGAGTGGCTGGAATGTTTGCGTTGGTAATATATACAGACTACGCTCTGATCGGTTAAATGTACAAAGCATGGCTCATCGTTTCCCCATTTGGGGGAGGCACGCTGGGGGAAGGAATCTAGTATGCATCCGAAGCTCATCGTTTCCATCGTCCTTTGTAACTTCGTCAAGCAATCCCCTCGGTTGTGAATCCCAGATATCTGCGCCGTGTCCTTTCCTTCCGTAACGCCGGTCTCGCGTGTCGAGACCTAATCGAGCAGGATGACTCCGTCGTCTTCCTCTACCACCACCGGCTCTCCCTCATTCCCCTTCGATCGCTTGTTCGCAGTCTCCGCTTCGCCTCCATCTTCCGCTGGTCGCTTTCTTTTCGCCCCGTTACTAGGCATCAGCACCGGTTCAGGCTCTTCCTCGACGCCGTTCGCTGCCTCATCCGGTGCCTCTTTCTTCGGCTTGAGCGGCAGCTCGATCGTGTCCGGTATGAGGTGTAGCACTTCCACCCCCGAGTCATCAGAAGCGGCGGGTTGGAGTGTGGTGCTCAACACGAGGTCGACTTTCGGCTCATCGTCGTCATCCATGACGGTGATGAAGTGGCTGTTTTGCCCATCAATCCCAACGTCCGCAAGGGACTTCTCCAGATTGTCATGCAGCTCTGGGTCGTACTTGATGACTTCATTGATGGTGATTGAGAAGTCTTCGTAGCCAACTCGCTGTTTCAACAACTCCACCAAATCGCGCAATTTTGGCTGGCCGGAACTCGGTAGTGCCAATTTGGCGTAGACGGGCGAGCATACTGCACAGTCCGGATTGGGTGGTGCCAGGCCTTGGGGCATGATGAGCCTTTCCGTGCTCGAAGATACCAGGAAAACGGTCTTGGCACCGCCCAGAGGCAGCTCTTCCTTGCTGTCCGAAGATTTCGAATGGTTGGCCGCGGACTTTGTCGCTGTATCGGCGGCAGGCAGCTGCGCACGTAGAATCTTGAAAGCCTCCAGAACGCAAAGCCCAGCCGTGAGTGCGTTGGAGGTCGCGATCGCTGGAATGATGTTGCCGGCCATTTGCTTGATCTCCCATTCGCTGTGCACCGGAATGCTGAAGATGTGTGATCGCAGGTTCGCTGCAGCTGCAACAAAGTCCAGAGTGTCTTTGTCGTCCTTGTCGAACTCTATTACCTTCTCGCCGGCTTGCATCCGACTGCTGAGCGCTTCGATGCTGCAGCAAAAGACTGAGATATTCTCGAGTAACGTCCACACTTTTTGGTCTTGCTTGGACGCCCTTTGCCCCTGTTTGACCCAATCTTCCGACGAAGCGTCGAGTTTGAGCGGCTCGGGGGCCTTCCGACTCTGCCACATCTCCGTCATTGACCGCAGCCGCTCAATGTCGTCGCGGAAGACCTTGTTGAACACGTCGCGCGCAAAATCGCTTGTGCCCATTTTGTCGCGAATCGCCTTGAGCGCTTTGGCTTCCTCTTGCAGCTTGGCCACTTCTTTGGCGTTATCCTCGCTTGTGACTGCCATTTCTGCCGTTCCTGCGCCTTCTGTCTCGCTTGTTCCAAACAGTTCGGGGAAGAGATAGGACTTGGCCCACACGATGCAGTGGATGGGCTGTGAAGGGGTCGAGCGGATGGTGCAGATGGCGAAAGTCTTTTGGACGGGCTTGGGATTGCAATCGTAGCATTCCGTGACTCCCTTTCTGATAGGTTGAACCTGTCCTTTGAAGCCCGTGGTGCCACTCTCAATCAGCGGCACATTGGCAGCCAAGCACATCTTGTTGACATGACGGCGGGCGGCGAGATTGTCGAGAGCATTGAAGACGACATCGAAGCCCTCGAAGAACTCCACGGAGTACTGGGCGTCGAAGATATTTGCATGGTGTGCATCGATGTTGACGTCGGGGTTGAATTGGCTTGCCGTCTCCTTTGCGACAAATGCCTTTGGTTTCTTGATGTGATGCTTTCGGAAGAGGAATTGTCGGTTGAGATTACTGAGATCGATGGTGTCGAGGTCGATGACCACTATCTCCGCCTTGCGCGGGGCCGAGCCCTGTGCTTCCTGAGCGTCTGTCTGAGTTGGGGTGTAGCTACCGAAGCCGGAGCAAACGAGGTTCTTGAGCAGCTCGCATCCAATTCCACCAGCGCCCACCAGCAACACACGGCTCATCAACACATTCTTAATGAGAGGAGATCCGAGCGACTGCCTGAGGCCGTTCTGGCGCGGCATGATGCAAGCTGCGAGAGATCGATGTCGGTTGAGGGGAGGTCGATGAGGGGGAAGCGCTGGAAAGTTTGAAGGATATGTCGCGAGCGTGCGTCGAGATTGCAATCGCGCCTAGAGGTCTGAAGCGTGGGACTGCCGAGGCGACAAGCATAGACGATGGAGGAGGAGGAGGAGGGGGGAGGCGCGCAAGCGCTCCAGGTCAATGAGAGCGGGAGCCGGAGGCACACAGGCTCATGATTTCGTTTGGCGGGAGATGGATGGGGCTGCGGAGGTGAATGTAAGGGAAGGGCGACGGACGGAGCACGTGCCGGAGCTAAAGGACAAGAAGCGCAACGCCCAAATGAAGGTGGTGAAGTGAAGGTGACAGGGAGGAGGAGGTGAAGGAGAGAGGCCGTGAAAGTGCCGTCAAAGTGAGGCTCGGCATTGAAGTCGCATCCCTCCCGATTCGTCTCCGTGACTCGCGTCGCACCAACACACCTGCCTCTGTTCTGCAAAGGGCGCTTTAGGTTTGGCGCTAGCGTCAATTCAATTCTGGCCTCTGGATTTGACGATGAAACATGCGCCAGGTCAATCAATGTGAATCGCAACAGCGTGATCGACAGCGCTCGTCGATCGTCAAACCCCATCATGAGTGACGACGACGTGGATCCAGAACTGGTCGAGCTACTGCGCCAACGCTTTGGGCTTTCCGGACCTGCTCAGGACGGAATTTCAAGCGATACAGGCGTGTTGAAAGATGCAGAGTACATCTACAACAACGCCATCGACGTGTCAATCGACATGTACGGCACCAAGGCCGCGGCGGAGAGCATACACGAGGCCATGCTACAACGCGCCTACTCCACTCACACCTGGAGCGAGCACGAGCTGCATCCGACCAAAAGTCAAGGCCTGTCGGACGTCGATCTTGTCAATTTCGTCTTCACCATCGATCTATTGAATTTCTCGTAGGTCCTACCGTCATGTGAATCATGGCTCTACTGATTGTCGAAAGCTTCTGGTCCGAATTACCGGACAGCGAGCGGTTTCAAGTGGAGTACAAAGGCAAGCGATACACGGGCTACAAGAGCCTTCTGGCCTGTCTACAGCGTGCGCTTGACGAGGGAATTCCAGCAACCACGCCTCGATTTTGGGTCGACAAAAGCTGCTCCGACGAGACCTGGAAGCATGTTTTTCGAAGTGCGACGGAGGAGGAAATACCACTGTTGGCGCAACGGATTGCCATTCTCCGAGAGTCAGGCCAAGTGTTACACCAAGTAAGGCCCTCATTGTTGTTGCACCACTTGAGTAAATGTGCTGAACGCCCAGGAATTCGGAGAGGTCGATCCACGATTGAATAACGTGGATATCGTATCCCCACAGCCCCAGCCGAATGGCTTCGCTGAAGCGAACCCTGCGATTACGAGTGCGTTGGGCGCTGACGACGTGGCTGAACGTTTGCCAAGTGGCTCCGCGGTCTCCGCAGCTGCCGAAGCCATGGATCATCCGTCTGACGCCCAGTCCAGTCCAGATCTGAGTGTTGTGCGTCTCTTGGAGAAGGCCGAGCAGTCTGCGGGGAAGCTCGTCAACCTGTTGGTCAAGTACTTTCCATCGTTCCGGGACGAGGCGCGATTTGAGGGGCGGAAAGTGCGGCTGTACAAGCGGGCACAGATTTTCGTTGCTGATCTTTGGGCGGCGTTCAACGCCACCGGCTACGGCATCTTCCACGATATCGGACATTTGACAATGTTTGCAGACTACCGAGTGCCACAACTGCTACGCTCGCTTGGAGTGCTCAGCTGCAGTCCGCCACTGGAATATACGATCCGCGACAAGAAGCAAATCGCATCAGGGCAAAGTTGGGAGGTACAATTGCGAGGGTGCAGCATCTGGTATGCACGTGTGTTCCGGCTCCCGGGCAAGCGAGGTCGAATGCTGACTGCAGGTAATTTCCCGTGTAACAGGGCGGTCGAGCTCATCCGGCGGGAAATTCTGAAGCAGCATCCCGATGCTGCTGGTGTGAATGCCGTTCTCATCGACTTCTTTTTATATGACCTCGCAAAGGAGCGAGAAGCAGCAGGTGCGTATCGCGTGCATTCCTATCCCCATTCTCAAGTCCGCGAGGGCCACAGTGGCGTGGATGGCTTGCCGGCTTGAACGCCTGAATCAAGCCAGGCCGGTCGTGATTCGGGAGGTGACGCCTGCCAAACGCGGTAAGATGCAGCAATAAGTGGAAGATTTGGGTCAAGGAGGAGGACATGAGGTTTCGCGCCATGGCGAGAGTCGCAAGTGAAACCGGGCTAATGCGCGGGCCGGCTTTAGCATCGCCCCAGCACCCACTCAGCGACCATCACCACACCCGCGGCATCTTCTACTGACGCCCCTCGCGCGTTTCCATCTTCACGACGTCTTGGGTTTCATTCGCTGTCAAAGATTAGACGTCCAGCATCATCTATGACAGACTGCGCAACACACACTGTTCGCGCAACTCTATATCCCCGTTGAGGCATCTCGACCGCGTGGAATGTACAGCCGTTGACGCTAAGCCTCTTGGCCGCGCTCTCTGCAGACTTCTAGCCTTTGGTGGCGTGCGCTCTCCTGGCCGTCTGGCGGTACCGGGCGGCGTCCGTGCCACTTCACTTGCTCCCCAATGGCGTTTTGGGAGATTGATTGGCTTGATGGCGTTACCGAAAGCACTCCCTCCCTATACGAGCAGCACCTCGCCAGTATGGTCTACCAGGTAATTCCGTGGGCTCTTGCTTTTAAACCCACCGTCCCGTCCCTCCTTACCCTTCCCTTCTCCCACCCTCCTCCCACAGCCTTGTCAGGTCCATTCCTTCGTGCACTCAGTCGTTCATTACTCCCCGGCGATCGCTAGCTCGATCAGCTCTACACTCTTTTACAAGCACATCACACAACAACGACAGCAGGCTCTGTCGGTATCATCCTACGACATGCAGATGCTCTCCACCCTCACGCTCTTTTTCGCATTGAGTGCCGCTGTGCCTCATGCTCACAATCATTTGAGGCTCCATAAGCGCCCCCTCAGCGGTAGGGACGACCTAGCCGCGGCCAATTTGTTTGCACGACAACTCAGCCCCGTTGGAACGTGTGGCGGCAACACCGGCTATGTGTGCGCTCCTGGCTTCTGTTGCTCGCAATGGGGATATTGCGGTCAAGGCACCGCGTACTGTGGGAGCAGTGCCTCGACTGCAACGACGGCGACCGCCACTGCCATTAACACTGGTGGCGGAACCAAAACGGGCTCCCCGAATAAAACTTCCTTAACTTCTTCGACTTCCTCAACCACCAGCTCCGCGCCCACATCGACCAGTACTTCTACCAATGGCGGTGGCGGAGGCAAAGGTGGAAAGGGAAAGGGCAAGGGCAAGGGAAAAGGCAAGGGGAAAGGAAAGGGAAAGGGTGGAAACGGCGGATCAGGATCGGGCGCGGGTCTCGGGAACAACTACACATTCTACTCTGGCGACGGTTCTCCGGCGGACGGATGGCCGACCACAAATCAGTGGATATCCTTTGAGGGAATGTGGGCTGCCAACGAACCCACAATCGCGATTTCCTGCACTCAATTTGCGGAGCAGAATCCCTCGACCACCGAGATCAGCGAGCTGAAGGCTGCCATTCAAAGCGTCGGCGCAGCTGCAAGCATCGATCCACGATTCATCCTCGCTGTGGTGATGCAGGAGAGCAAGGGCTGCGTTCGTGTCATTACCACCAACGGTGGCGTTGTCAATCCTGGTCTCATGCAGTCGCATGATGGATCGGGGACTTGCAATTCAGGCGGCATTGGAGGACCTGGATTGGTTCCATGTCCCAACAGCGAGATTGTCCAGATGATCAAGGATGGAACTGATGGCACTTCATCTGGGGATGGGCTGCAGCAGTGCCTGTCGCAATCGCCGGGAACCACCTTGTCTCAAAAGGTGTACCAGGCCGCCACAATCTACAACTCGGGCAACCTTCCAGCAAACCTTGACGACAACACCTCGACTAAATGCTATGCTTCTGATGTCGCGAACCGCTTGACAGGCTGGACAACGGCCCAGACGAAGTGTTATTTGTGATGAAACGCTACATAACCTGTACAAAACTTCAATGGCTGCCATTCAGTCCGCGCGCGCAAACACGTTCCATTTCCATCTGCGTCCGCCAACCTGACTTGCCCTTCGCTCGCTATGTGTAGATGGCAATGTCGATACTACCACGCAACTCTTCAAGGAGCGCTTGGTGGCCGAGTGATCGCTCTCACGAGGACTCTCAAGGCTCGGCGTCTCGTCCAGACAGCCCAAGCAGCGCTTGGCGCTGGGATGCTTCTGAAACAGCGCGGAACGGACAGCAAAGGTGTACAGCTTCCACGCCGCTTGGAGGAGGACCAGATCGGCGAGGAGCACTGCAATAACTATATCGCCAAGCGGCTTGCGTTGGGGCACCTGACAAAGGTAGTTGGTGGCGATGACCGAGGCCGTAAGATCCAGCGGTCCTGTCGGATTGGGGCCGGCTTGCCTCGCGTCATAGCTCTCGGATTCCAACTGGGAGAAAAAATAGACGGTGGAATTTTGTTCGATTTCGTGAAAGTCGGCCGTGAAAGATTGGAGCCTTTCAGCGGTGCTCAAGATGTTTGACTCGGGAGGGGCGAACGTTTGCCCGAGATCCGCCAGGACGGCCGAGTACATTGACTTTGCAAGGCTGTCGACGGGCTGCCAGATGGGCGGTTTGGCTTGAGCACTATCACCTAGCTGGATCATATGCCCAAGGGTCTGAGGGGGGTCGCTGGCGCCACCAAAGTACATCCCGGACGATGCTGATGGCGTGAGGAAATAATAGGTCATTTCGAAGAAGTCAAGGCTGGTGATGTTATTATTTCCGCTTGGCGTCAAGGTGACCACCCCTTTGCTAATGGTTGGTTTCATTGCTTCGGCGACGGTCCAGGTAGTCGTCGATAGTTGCGTCCAGTAGGCCGACAATAACGATTCGGCCCAGAACATGGCAGATCGAGCTATTGGATCTCTGGCGACGAAGACTGTGCTTCCTGGAATGGTGTATGGTGCAATCCCGTCGTACAGGGCTGTTGCATTAAACATCATGGGTCCAATGGGACCATATATGTGGCAGGTGATGAATGCTCGAACCTGCACGTTCCATTGCGTGTGTTCCAGATTGCTGACGTCCTGGTCTTGCGAGCCGTCCAGCTCCATTTGAACCATCGGGATGACACATCCCGATATTATGTTGTTCATGTACGGGAGTGACGGCAAAGCAACCGTGCTCTCGTCATTCTGGTATATGCTGGTGATTGTCCATGCTAGGCCACTTTGATTGGTAAAGACCAGGGAATTTACCGGCAGGTTCGCAGGCTGGCATGTCGGGCGAACGCTGCTTGTCAGATATGAAGGCCAATGGTTGAACCAGATGCCTTCTCGGATGGTGCTGTTGGGATCGTTGGAGTACTGCACGACGAGCGTGTAGCTATTCTGCACGAAATTGAGGACGGACAGCAGTACCGCGAGGACCAACAGGCCCACGATGGCAACCGGAGTGAACCATTTGTATGGATATGGACGGATGATTGAGTAATTGAAGAACGACGAATGCATTGCACAGAATTGAACAATGCCTCTGAAGACCAATGTGAAAGAGTGGAAAACAAACCTGATATGGGGAGCGACGATGGATCTAAAAATGGCATCGGGGGCGGCGGGCAAGGCTGTGCCGCATGGGCGGCTACTGTGACACAAGGCGCCGGTGCGGTGCACGACATTTCGAGGGGAGAGAGACGGCAGCTGCAACTCGCAGCGTATCATTCCGGGCCTGCGCCTGCACGGTCGTTTCGACTAGGCTTGTTGTGGACGACGTGCGCGATCGAGATGTCACGGCGGTTAAACAGCGTAAGCGTGGAGTCAGCCTGATTGCAGCGGGTAAAGAGGGCAGCCTCGGAGGTTGGGTGCATCTCCGCGTTGGGCCACGTGGGGAGAGAGCGGTCCACGCGCGACTCGCGTGCTTCATCATGCCCTGCCGTATGGAGAAGCTCCATGAGACCACACTTCCGCTCAAGAAAGGAAACCGACCACACGATTGTCCGCTCGACTGATCGCCAAGTCCAACCAGGCGCCAGATGATCCCCACACGTGGACCGCGTAGTATCGGCAACTACCCCGCAACCTGAGTGCGCCATGGCGCGGGATCAAGTGCCGACCGCGACTTCACCAGGCCGTCGGTGGCGGCATCGCGGAATACCGGCACGCTTTGCAGAGAGCCATGCGACTCCCGAACGCACGTCTGTCGTCCACTGCAGCATGAGTCCGGGGAAATGGGGTGGCCCCAGACGACCCACAGCACACATATAAGAAGTCGGCCGCGGTGGTTGTTCTTGCCACCGACCATCTCTTCCACCCACTGATCGTGTTTCCCTTGGACATTACTTGCCCCAGCCGTAGACATGGCGCTCACACCCGCCTGGTATCAGGCAAGCTTCTTCTTCCATCTCCCCGTCAAACATGGTGCAAGTCATTGCTAACACCGACCCTCACAGTTCCTCGTGTGCGTCTTTGCCTCCTTAGGCTCGTCGCTGTACGGGTACGATCTCGGTGTCATCGCCGGAGTCGTGGCATCCCCCAACTTCATCAAACAGTACAGCCCCAGCACCTCTGAGACGGGAGGTGTCGTGTCGATCTTCACCGGCGGTGCCTTCCTCGGTGCCTTCCTTGCTGGACCGATCGGAGACTGGCTGGGTCGTCGTAAGACTATCCTGATCGGCGCTGTAATATTCCTGCTCGGTGGTGGATTGCAGACCGGTGCCCAGTCGTTGTCTTTCCTCTATGCTGGCCGCGGTAAGTTCCATTTATCGCTAAAGACGAGCAGAACATCGGACTGACGCTTAGAGTAGTCCTCGCGGGCCTGGCCGTTGGCTTCCTGGTCATGATCGTCCCTATGTACCAGGCTGAGCTAGCTCATCCCAACATTCGTGGGCGTGTCACCGCGCTCCAGCAGTTCATGCTCGGCATTGGCGCACTGATTGCTGGATGGACCACGTATGGTACGAACAAGAACCTGCCTAATTCGGACTCAAACCAGTGGAGACTACCGCTCGGGATCCAGCTGGTTCCCGCTGGAGTGCTCGCTCTCTTGATCATGATCTTCCCCGAATCTCCTCGGTCAGTCCCTCCTACCATGCTTCATGTCCGTCATGAATACTGAGATGCAGATCATAGCTGGTTGATTGCCCATGGCAAGAAGGATGAAGGCCTCCGCACGCTTGCCCGTCTCCACTCGAGAGGCGATGAAAATGACTCGTGGGTTCGCGCGGAGTATGGGCAGATTGTGGATATGATCCAATACGAGCATGAGCATGAGGCCCAGTCGTACAAGGAGCTCTTCACCAACAAGAGCTCGTTCCGCCGTCTCTTCCTGGCCGTGGCCATCCAGGCGTCCATCCAAATGACCGGTGTGTCGGCCATCCAATACTACAGCCCGGTGATTTTCGCTCAGATCGGCATCGGCCTCGACGATACCTTGAAATACCAGGGCATTTCATCAGTGCTCGCCATCTTGGCGCAATTTGCTTGCATTTTGCTCATCGACCGAGCTGGGCGTCGCTGGACACTGATCGGAGGCAACCTCTTCAACTGCCTCTTCTTCATCGTTGCCACTGCCCTGCTTGCAAGCTTTCCCCCAGGCACTACGCATAACGGCAGCGCTTCCTGGGCGTTCATCATCTTCACCTGGCTATACAACATCAGCTTCTCTGGCGCGTGTGGGCCGCTCTCATGGATCATTCCGGCTGAAATTTTCGACACTCGGACTCGCTCCAAGGGAGTCAGCATTGCTACGATGACCTCGTTTGCCTTCAACACCATGATTGGTCAAGTTACGCCGATTGCCATGGCCAACATTGGATGGAGATTTTATCTGCTATTCGTCGTCTGCAACTTCACCAACGCTGTGTTCTGTAAGTCAAAGTTGGTTTGGGCTAGTGCGAAGACGATACTAATAGTCTACAGTTTGGGCATTCCTACCGGAGACTGCTAAGCGTCCCTTGGAAGAGATGAACTATCTCTTCACTAACGCTCCGTAAGTGTTTGCCATTCTCGTCAGAAGGAGACAAGTGACTAACAAGAGTGCAGATACTTCGTTCCAAGTATGAAGAGAGATGTGTTTGAAACGTACGACTTGGAGAACAGGAGGCAGGAGGTGGAGAAGGAGGCTCATATTGCACAGCAGAAGGAATAGTGCGGAGGCATGGATGATCATCATGGTTGGTGTACGCGACGATGCTGGTTGCTTTGGGTATTTGAATGAAGTAAAGCTATAAGACAAATGAGCAAGTCAAAGGTGTCACACTCCATGTATATTGAATAGCTCCACTTACAGCACGAACGTGCCTTGGCCGTATTTCGACGTCCCCGTCCCACAATCGTTGGAGGAGGCCTCCCAATGCAGAGTCGCGTGCTTGAGAAGGGCAGGTTGGCCTGCGGGAGATCGGCCTGGAGCGGCGAATTGCAGCCTCGTTTCCTGCCTGATCCGACATTCCGCACGATGGGCGACGACACCGGCTCCACTTCACATGGCCAGGATGAATACGCGAACACACGCCTTCAAAATCAGCCGATAGTCGAAGCCCACCATCTTTTATGTGAGCGTTGCGAATGATTGTAATAAATTGCCAGAATCGGTCCGCGTCGAGACTCCTCTGCGGACTCCTCGCTCAGCCTGCAACATGACAACCTTCACCAGGCTTGCATCCAACGAGCGCGCGGCAATCACAGTATCAGCCTCGCACAGATTACACAAGATCAACGACAATCTCTATGGCGGTTTCGTCGAGCACATGGGCCGCTGCGTCTATGGCGGCCTGTATGACCCTCACAACCCCAACTCGCATCTCATCGACAAGCACGGCTTCCGAACGGATGTGATCGATGCCATGCGTGAGGTCCGTGTCCCCGTCATGCGATATCCCGGTGGCAACTTCAATGCTACCTATCACTGGATCGATGGTGTCGGTCCGCGGGAGAAGAGGCCGCGCCGTCCTGAATTTGCCTGGGGAGGCAGTGAGAGCAATCAATTTGGGACGGACGAGTTCATGACTTGGTGCAAGATCGTGGGCACCGAGCCATATCTCGCACTGAACTTTGGCACCGGTGCGTCCTGGGCTTCACGCAAGTGACTATCGAATCACTACTGACATTGAGATAGGGACTCTCGACGAAGGTATGCCATCCTCGAGCAAGCACTTTGTTGAATGACTTCTTATCGTCAATAGCAATTGCGTGGGTCGAGTATTGCAACTCTGATGCAGACACTTACTACGCCAACCTCCGGCGGCAAAACGGCCATGCAGAACCATATCGAGTGAAGTATTGGGCCCTTGGTAATGAAGTCTGGGGTCCGTGGCAAATTGAACAGGTACGCCGCCCTCCACGCGATGACAACCATTTCCCCAACAGCTAAGTTCTTCAGATGACCAAAGAAGCCTACGCCCAAAAGGCTCGACAGTGGGCAAAGGCGTTGAAGCGTATAGATCCTTCCATCATCCTCATCCTCTGCGGTGAGACGGGCCACTCGGAGTGGGATTTCCACACATTGACCGAATGCCTGAAATACGATTCCCACGCTCTGGCTGGCGGCAGCCAGTCCGCGTCATTGATTGACATGCACAGCATCCACATCTACACTAGCAGTCACGATCCGGTCAAGAATGTGCTGGCGCCGCGATCAGCGGAAAGAGCGATTGAGATCGCGGCGGCGATGATTGATCTTGCTCGGATTCAAAATGGGATTCCACCCGCTGTTCCCAGACAAACGATCTGCTTCGACGAATGGAACGTCTGGGATCCCCAGCGCGCCCCAGGCCACGAGGGAGCAGAGGAGAACTACGACTTGTCCGACGCACTCGCTGTTGGAGTTTGGCTAAACGTGTTTATCCGGCAAAGCAAATACGTCGCCATGGCCAACATCGCGCAAAGTGTCAACGTGATCTCGCCTTTGATGACTGACCAAGATGGACTGCGTAGGCAGACTACGTGGTGGCCGCTCCTTCTCTTCACCAAATATATGCGAGGACACACCGTGGCAACGAACGTCAGCTGCGGCTTTTACGATGGTCCAACGGAGAGCGCGTGGCAGCAGTCGACAATCGACAACCCGTGGTTGGACGTATCAACCACGATTGGGGATGATGGCTGGGTGAATATGGTTGTTGTCAATGCTCATCCCGACATTGCAATCCATACGGATCTTGCGGGCGTTGGTTCCAGTCAGGATCAAGTGAAGGTGTATTCATTCGGGGGAAACAAAGACATGAGCAGGGAAAGGGTTCGTGTGCATGAGTCCGAGTGGGAGGGGAAGGGGAGTTATACTTTTCTGCCCTTCAGTTTTACGATGCTGCGGTGGCGTCCGTCGAAGAAGGAAGAGTTGCTTCATTGGGGGGAGATTAAGGTCAATGGTTGGCATTGATATCGAGGCTGTGATGGACAAGCTACTGTTCAGCCTTCTCACAATCTAGCTGGAAAATTTCAGCTTGAGTCGTAAAGTAGTAGATAAAGATGGTACACACCCCTTAGAGACGGTCCAGAGAATATTAACAAATGTTAAAAGTGATGCTGTGCCTGACTCTCGGGCGCATCTCAAGTCCCGCGGGCCAGGCTTGCGGGTGGGGTGGGGCTTTGCGGAGCGGCACCCCGTGGGGCTTTACTGAGACGACACCCGAAGGCTTGCCTGTTACAACACCTTCTCTCGAGATATATCGCGAAACAATTCAGGCCGGACATGGACGAAGACGAGACGACAACGGCCAACACAACCAGAGCACGATCCACCTACCCGCGAAGGCGCGCCGTCAACGCTTGCAACGCCTGCCGAGCCCGCCGGACGAAATGCGACAATCGAAGACCAAAATGCTCCTTTTGCGAGCGCACCGGCGCAGCATGTCTGCGCTCGACCACAGACTTCTCATCGTTCGACCCTGCTTCACTTGAAATATTAGACCGACTGAGCCGAATTGAAAAGGCCTTGCTACCACCGGCTCTCAGCAGTCCGCATCCGTCGCATCTGCGAGAGGTAGTTGCAGAAGGATACGACAGCTACATGAGCAACCCTGAGGTAGACATTGATCTGTTCCCTCAGACATTGCCAAAGATCCTGGCTTGGCCGGTCCTGAGGCCGTTCACATCCCCCAACTGGCCTGTCGATGTAATCTACAGCCCCGTGGCTTCTGGCAATTCGGCATCCCATCCGATGGCTTTTCCTATCGAGACCATTGCGGACATTGATATGAAGACGTGCATGGCGCTCGTGGATGACTACTTCAACTACAATCACATCAAGAACCCGATATTCGACGAGAACGCGGTGCGATCGACGGTGAAGCGGGTGTGCTTTGAGGGCTTCGCTCGAGACGCCGACTCGTGTCTAACGCTTCTCGTCCTCGCAAGCGGAGCCATCTCTAGCCCATTTGATCGCGAGCTAGCACCAAATGGCCCCAGCGATACCACCTTGGCAGATGCGTTGTTCGATGCCGCTCAAAAGCGCGTGGGTTTCATTTTCGGGCAGGGCAATTTACTCCAAGCCCAGTGCTTTTTCGCCAGCGGAGTCTTCCTCATGTGCAAGTTCCGCGCGTACGATGCTTGGAAGATGTTTCTCCAGGCTCTCGCTGCTTGCCAGAGCTTTGTATGTGCGGGGACCCCCGGGACCGGCCCCGTGGACGAGTCGAACAATGAGAGCGTCCTCTCCGAGCGGGTATATTGGTCGGCGTGGAAGTCGGAGCGGGAGGTCAGGTTCGAGCTTGGCCTGCGCGACTTTGGCGTGTCGGACCTCAGCCACCCGGGACTGTACTTGACCCTTCCCCAAGGAGGTGTTGAAGGGCCATCTCTACGATCATGGTATTTCTACCTGTCTGAAACGGCAATCTGGCGTTTGCGTGTCGCTGCGAGGAAGGCCATGATGGAGCGAGCAGCATCACATGCTTCATTCGACGTCACCACGCTCGTCCCTCTCAGCGCGCATTTGGAAGAGCAGGTAGTGGCGTGGCAAGAGTCATTGACGCCATCCATCGCCCTGGGCGATCTCTCTCGAGCAGCAGAGGAGACGGATATCCTGAAATATGTACTCCGCGGGGCGATTACGAACTACTACGAGATGATCACGTGGCCATTTGTCGTCGCTGCGATCCACACTGAAGGGCAGAGCCAGCGTGTTTTGGAGTGCGCGACAAAGGGATTGGAGTGGCATATGAATCGTCTGATCATCAACCTGCCCGGCTTCCACCATCGACATCACGGCACGTGGCTCATGCAACAGTCGAGCTCACGAAGTGCATTGATTCTGTGTGCCGCAGCACTGACCGCGCAGACGAGTAGACTGCTGCCGCCAGGATGGATGCGGGCAGTGGAGAGAGTGGGAGAGATGCTGCGATATTGGAGTCCGTGTGTGCCGACTGCGAGCGATCGTGCGGAGGTGTTGGAGGCGTTGTTGGCGAGGGTTGGTGCGACGACGGTGGACTACACTTGATGATCTACTTATCGCATTTGAGCAACTTCATGTCGAAATAGAGGGATCGAAGGAGGAGTGGAGGCAGGCGCGAGGGAGGTGGACCTGCCGAATTGGGCCGGCGCATCCGCCCCACCTCCACGCGGGACGTGCCCCACGTGTCTCCTCCCGTTGCTTCCCCTCGGGGATAACTGCATCGCTTCATAATCCACCTCGCCCTACTTCCCTCACTCCCTCGTGTGCGACTCTCCATCTCCAGCGTTCTCGTTTTCACATGGTGGGCCTTGGTCGATGACACAAGCCTTATGGCTAGAAAGGCGAGGCAGAGGATAAGCTATGGTATGAAGGCATCCACCGCATAACCCCTCGTAGCTACAGGCAGCTGACGGTCCTACGTTACTGCTGCAGTCCTACCGCTCGCGGATCAAAAGGGCGGGCACCGGTTAGGTGTGAATGGACTGGCTGTCGACTCCCAGAACTCCATCTTGTATGCCTCGCGCAAAGCCTCCTTCCTGCCCCAGCCGGTATCCGTGTTGACTGTACCTGCAGATACTCTGGCGGTCGAGACGGCGTCATCTGCGCCTGGGATCTGAACCTCGATCTCACCCATGCAAGCATCCCCGACTTCGACACGAAACTCCCCGCCCCCCAACCTTCCTCCGTCCGACAGCAAGTCCAGGCGCATACGCATTGGATCAACGATGTCGCCCTCGTCCAGTCCAATCAAGCTCTCGTCTCCGCGTCTTCAGACATTACCGTCAAGATATGGCGACCAGGAGCAGCGGACCGCCTGCCTCCGCAAACCCTCGGCCTCCATACTGATTATGTCAAAGTCCTTGCCGCACCTTCCCAAACCAGCGACTGGATTGCGAGCGGAGGCTTGGACAGAAAGGTTCATCTTTGGGACTTGAACGGGGCCGGGCAGAAAGTGGACATTGCTGTTGGCGAGGATGAGCCAGGGAGTCTCTCAAGCAAAGAGAAGGGAAGTGTATATGCCTTGGCGGCTACGGAAAACATGATTGCTAGCGGTGGGCCGGAGAGTACGGTGCGCGTGTGGGACAGTCGGACGGGGAAACGCATTACAAAACTCGTCGGCCACACGGACAACGTGCGCGACGTTCTAATCAGCGAAGATGGAACGACCATCTTGACGGCAAGCAGTGATCGTACGGTAAAAGTGTGGAGCACCGTTGCCGGTCGATGCATGTTTACACTCACCATGCATGACGCCAGCGTGTGGTCGCTGTTCTCCGCCGATCCAGACCTTTCCGTCTTCTACTCCAGCGACAAGAACGGCCTGATCGCCAAAACAGATACTCGAAATACCATTGAATTGGACGAGGGGATTTCCGTGGCAGTCGCGCAAGAACATGAGGGCGTGCACAAGGTCGTTGCCGCAGGCGATTGTATCTGGACCGCAACGAGCCGGCCAAGCATCAACCGGTGGCGAGACGTCAATACGGACGGCGCCGAGATCGATGTTCCTGACAATTACTCAATGCACCGCGCGAGCGTTGCCTCAGCAAGGGTCCGCGTACCGACCATTCCCACCACCTCACGGCTACGAAGCAGCAGTAGTGCGAAGAGGAAGATCCCATTCAAACACATGCTGAGATTGAGCAACACGTCCTTCTGGCCAGCGCCGACCGTGCTCGACAGCGAAAAGCGGTCGAGCTCTATCCTCGAGCGCCGGACAAGCCCGGTGGAGGTGCAGGAAGTCATTGAGACGCAATCTGTGCGAACCATGCCCGACTACTCCATCGAGGGGCAGAATGGCATTATCAAGCATGTCATGCTCAATGACAGGAAGAGAGTACTAACGCTTGACACGGCTGGGGAGGTCGTCATGTGGGATTTGCTCAAATGCGTGCCCATCAAGTCGTTCGGTAAACGAGACCTCGATACCGTGAAAGACGAAGAAACCACCACGGCGACTGTGGCAAACTGGTGCACTGTCGACACGCGCACCGGAAGTGTTGCTGTGGTGCTGGAAGAGAACACATGCTTCGATGCCGAGATGTACGCGGACGAACTCGACCTGGACGAGGGCGTCGAGTTCCGCGAAGATCAACGAATCAACTTTGGCAAATGGGTGCTGCGCTACCTCTTCTCCAACCTCATTGCGGAGGAGATCCGACGAGACGGCGCGTTCCGCAGGCAACTACTGAGTGCACCGGACTACAAGAAGCTGCACCGGGACAACGCGCCGAGAAGTATACCATTGCCTTCACTGCAGACTAATGGCTGGCATGGAAATGCATCCGCCGCCCTCGCCTCCCCCGCCACCCCGCGAGCAGCGGGTCCGATCGTGATCCCTCCCACTCCAGGCTTTGGTGTCATGCCAGCAACCCCGGGACAGAACTTTTTCAGCTCCCCGACACGATTAGTTGCAAGTCATAACGCGCTTTCAGCAACGACCGAAGAGCAGGGGGGTGAGCAACAGCCTTCTCGAACGTCTTCGGAGCGACCAACTGGCGATTATTTCACCGCTCGTGCGTCTACGAACGGCGTCACCAGTCCGGGTAGTGGCTTGAAGACCCCGATGACCCCTGGAGATTCCGCGGTCGACGAAGCAACAACTCCTTCGGCCGACACTGAAACAGCCAAAGGAAAGGAGGCGGGGTTGTTCGGGAAGAAGTTTTCCATGCGTGGGATGAGTTTCGGCAGTATGAAGAAGATTGGCCGATTGCAATCGAGCGACAAGGAGAAGCCGACGGCGGTAGAGGAGAAGGAGGAAGGAGGGGAATCCGACTCACGAAGCACAAAGACGAGCGATTCCCGCGTTATCGACGACAATTTCTTCGGCAGCGTGCAAAAGATTCGATACAGCTACGAAGACTCCATTCAGCAACAGCTCCAGGCCCAGCAGCAAAGCCAAACACAGCAAGAAAACGGATTGCCGGTCAGCACGAGCCAGGAAATCGATGTGCAGTCCGCCATCGCGCCCTCCCTACCCGCAGAGACACCAGTTCTCAAACCGCCCCTCAACACGACGATTCTAATACAGGAGGAGCGGCCCGAAGCAGGCGGGGTGGCCGATCTTTTCGAAGGCACCGTAGGCACGACGGGGGTGATGTGCGATCTGGTGGAGAAGACGGCACCCATGTGGCTTGGGGAAGTGCTGCTCCGAAATCAAGTTCCCGTCAAGGATGTCGTGAAGATCTCGTTCATCCTGGAGCCGCAGGCCGAGAGTGGACTGCCGGGGATTGCGTCGGATGGGAACAATCGCCTGAATGCGAATAGAATGTTGAGGGCGAAGAAGATTCTGGGATACATTGCCGAGCGAATCGAGGCTCCATCACCGGTCAAGGAAGCAAGCGCGGAGAAGGAGCAGGAGGCGGAATCTGTGCTCAAGGATGGCATGAAGCCGGAGGAGTATTTGGAACTCTGGTGCCAGGGTCAGGTATGTGTCTTTGCCTCTGATGATGTGTGAGATGCGGCTTGCTAACGGGATGCTAAGATGGTCGCCCCGAAAATGACGCTCGCAAGCATTCGGTCCCATCTCTGGCGTGGAGGGGGTGATGTTGTCCTCTACTACAAGTCGAATGGCAAGAAAGCCCTGAAACTTGTGCAGCCGGCGGCAACAGCTGCACCGACGGGCACAGTGCTTGCCCCGGCAAATGCAACCCCGGCATAGAGTTGGACATGATGTTGACCATGTCGAGGACGTACGGCCATCTCAAATGTATCTAAACATGTTGTTCCGCACGCTCCGTTTCATGTCCACTGGCCGGCCATCCTCGTATTCGATACCCGCTGCGCCGCCGTCGCCTGCCATACCGGATAGTTTCTGGCGAAGTTCCTCGTCTAATTGCGCGATGGTCTTCTTCTTTGGCTCGACTTTGGCTGTCTCTTCGAGTTTGGCTTGATTGGTTGTGTCGGAGGTGCTTGCTGGTTGTTGATGCTTTAAGTCCTCGGGAGGTTGTTTTGTTGCCAGGCTGCGGATTGCTTGAGATACTGTAGGCGTGGCAAGAAACTTGATGGGTGCGACACAGCGTCTCTGTAACATGGCCGCTTTCTATGGCTTGTGAATATTACATTGTCGGAGTTAGATTGATCGAGAGACGATTGGTGATGGTGGCGGGACGGATAATCAGACTGACGTGAACGCTCTCGACGCCGTCCGCATCGGGCAGGTGGGTCGGTGGAAGCTTCCGGGGCCGAGGCTGTCTGGGCGATGATCACGAGAGGCAGGCATGTGGTGGTGATGTGGACATTCGCCATCGCCTCTCCCTCTCATCTCCCCTCCCTCATCCTCCCCCTCCCTCCCTCGCATCCCACACAACATGGCGAAACTGCGCACGCTTCCGCTCATCCCTCTACCCCACAATCTCGTCCTTTTCCCTGGCGTCACCGTGCGCATACCGGTGCAGAACCGCGCCGATGTCGCCGCCATCCTCGCCCATATCTACAGCAAAGCCTCCACTCCCCGCCCCGAGCCTTCCAGCCTGACCGTCGGCTGCGTGCCCCTCAACAGCCCTTACCTCAGCCCCGATGGCAAACGCCTTCTCGAAGACGCGGGTGCGAAAGACAAGAAACCGACCGCCATCGAATCCGATCCGTCGCAGGCGCGAAAGCCGGATCTGTTCCAGTATGGCACCATGGCAAGAGTCACGGGTGTACAAGGGCGTCGAGGCGATCTGGTGATGGTGGTAGAAGGCATAAGTCGCTTCAAAGTCGACTCCTTCACCAAGCAACGCCCATACTTCGAGGCTCGCGTGCAGCTACACGAGGATGCCGCGGTCGTCGACAACGATGACAAGGTGAAGGAGTTGTTTGCGCAGCTTAAGCAACTGTCTCGCGAGTTGATTGCCCTTATCCGGCTATCTGCTCTGCTGCCCAGGGGCCCGAGCGTGTCCATCTCGCCACTCCTCGCTCGGCGCCTGGAACTCTACATTGTGCGGAAGGACATTGCCGATGCCGGCGTTCTCGCGGACTTCATGACAAACGTCGTCGAATGCACGCACGAAGACAAACTCCGCATCCTATGCGCCTTGTCAGTTCAGGAACGACTGGAGCGCGTGGTCGAGGCGTTGCAGAAGCAAATCAGCTCGCTTCAAGGCAACGGCACCATCTTGACCATCACCACCAACGTGCCGCAAAATGGCACCATCGATATTGAGACTTTGAGGCAGAGAGCGGCGGCGCGCGGGCAGGCGCCTGGTAATAATCTCGGTCCACTCGGCGGCTTCGGCGGCCCACCGGGGCAAGATGAGGAAGCGAACGAAGTGGAGGAGCTGAAGAAGAAGTTGCAGGACGCCAAGCTGTCTCCCGAAGCGCAAAAGGTGGCGGATCGCGAGCTGAAGAGGCTGGCTCGAATGAATCCAGCACAAGCAGAGCATCAGGTCTGCCGGAATTACCTCGAGAATCTGGCAGAGATTCCTTGGACGAAAGTCACCGAGGACAATCTTGACGCCGCCACCCTGCAGCGGGCGCGACAGCAACTCGATGATGACCATTATGGCCTGGAGAAGATTAAGAAGCGATTGTTGGAATATTTGGCTGTGCTCAAATTGAAGCAAGCGAAGAATCAAGAGCTGGATCAGCAAATCAAAGCCATTTCTACACAAGCGCAGAACGAGGAGAAGCAGCAGAAGGAGGCAGGATCTGAAAGCGCGAGTTCTGGCAAGGATGTCGCCACGACTACGAAGCCTCAAGCAGAGCCACCTCGGGACAAGTCGCCAGAAGAGATCAAGATGCTTGAGCACAAGAAGATGGTCGACAAGTCGCCAATCTTGCTGCTCGTTGGCCCGCCAGGCACTGGAAAGACATCCTTGGCCAAGTCCGTTGCGGCTTCCCTCGGCCGCCAGTTCCACCGCATCTCCCTCGGCGGGGTGCGAGACGAGGCAGAGATACGAGGGCACCGCAGGACCTACGTCGCCGCCATGCCCGGCCTCATCGTCAACGGATTGAAGAAGGTCGGCGTCGCGAATCCCGTGTTCCTGCTTGACGAGATTGACAAAGTCGGTACCTCTTCCATCCACGGCGATCCATCTGCTGCAATGCTAGAGGTTCTGGATCCTGAGCAGAACCACACTTTTGTGGACCACTATGTCAACATCCCGATCGATCTGAGCAAGGTGCTGTTCATCGCGACGGCAAACACCTTGGAGACCATTCCTGCTCCTCTGCTGGACCGGATGGAGACGATTCAGCTTTCTGGATACACCACGCTCGAGAAGCGACACATCGCCACTCAACACCTACTCCCCAAGCAGATCAAAACAAACGGTCTTCGATCGGAAGATCTTGATCTCAAAGAGGATGCACTGGATAAGGTGATCACGGGCTACACACGCGAGTCTGGCGTCCGGAATCTGGAACGAGAAATCGGCAGCGTGTGTCGAGCGAAGGCAGTGCAATATGCCGAGGCGAAAGACAACGGCTCGCTATTCTCCTACTCCCCCCAGGTCACAGCCGATGACTTGGAGGACATTCTCGGGATTGAGCGGTTCGAAGAGGAGCTCGCCGCGCGATCGGCTCAACGCGGTGTGGTCACTGGCCTTGTGGCTTACAGCACGGGTACGCAAGGAAGCATTCTGTTCATCGAAATCGCCGACATGCCCGGCTCTGGCCGCGTACAACTCACGGGCAAGCTGGGCGATGTGTTGAAGGAGAGCGTGGAGGTGGCTTTGTCGTGGGTCAAGAGCCATGCGTACGAGCTGGCTCTCGTGCACGACCCGAATGAGGACATTATGAAGAACCGCTCGATCCACGTGCACTGTCCTTCCGGCGCGATACCCAAAGATGGCCCTTCGGCTGGGCTTGCACACACAGTCGCGTTGATTTCACTCTTTTCCGGCAAAGTCGTGCCACCTACCATTGCCATGACGGGCGAAGTGGCGCTGAGAGGCAAGGTGATGCCGGTGGGCGGGATCAAAGAGAAACTCATTGGTGCTTTACGGGCGGGTGTCAAGAAGGTACTACTGCCGCAACAGAACCGCAAGGACGTCAAGGATCTGCCGGATGAGGTCAAGGAGGGGCTTGAGATTGTGCATGTCAGCCATATCTGGGAAGCACTGCCGCACATTTGGCCGGAGAGTAGCTGGGGCCAACAGCTAACTGGCTTTGAGAGCCGGTTGTGAGGGTTTGATTGTCAAGCAATTGATCTTTGATTACTCTTCTGTAGAATGGGTGGTGTATTGTAGATGATGATGAAACGCTTCAATTCAATGGGACAATGGCCCAGCATTCGATCTCATAGTGCCAGTCCGGGCCGGCCAGCCTTGCCACGGGCACTGTAATCATCACGGTCAGCGGGTCTCCATTGAACAGGCACACGGCACATACTCATCACACTCGCCGGCCGATGGTCAATTCCAAGCCAGTCGCAAAAGATGGCGGCGGGATTCTTCTTCTCAAAGTCAAAGTCGACGACGTAATGCGTCACTTTGAAGATGTCGCGCTTCGAAGCGCCGGCGGCCTTGAGGCAGTTCTCGAGGTTTTGCAGAGCCAGCTTTACCTGGTCGTCGAAGGCTTTGGGCGTTGGAGATTTCCCATCGGGCTGAATTGCGAGTTGGCCGGTGATGGCAACGATCTTGGTCGGCCCGTTCACGGTAAAGGTGTTAACTTGGGAGAATTGAGGCTGCGGATCGGGGACGTTGGAGGGGTTGATGGTTTTGCCGGGGTGGGAAGACATTTTGGTTGGTGGTTGTGGTGTACTCCGATGGATCTGAAAGGCCGTTGTCTGTTCTATTAGAAGGTAATGGATACTGCAGGATTGTGAGGAGGGCGAGCAAAAGGAAAGCGATTGAAACGGAAAGATTGTCATTGAGCCTTGACGTCAGCCGCTCCCTTCCCCGCGACACCTCACCTCCACAGCGCGCGGCTTTCTTTCACTATGGTGTTCGTGAACATATTCCTGCGAGACGGTCAATGACACGTCGGTAGGCTCGCTACTCCAGCCGACTACTATTACATACACTATTACATCTTGGACGACTCATGAGAGGCGCAGAAGAGATCGAATTTGACCGGGTTGATGGGGAGGATATGCCGTCCTCACCGGCTGATATAAGTACACGAACTAGTGTCGGGTGTCGTCGCTGGGTACAATGGCTTCCGAGGCCTCCGCGTCGGTATGTCATGTCTCAACCTGCTCCTCGTTGGCAAGATCTGTCTCATCCTGCTCCTCGCCCCCATATAAGGATGTCTCTAACATCTGTAGCATGTCCAGCACGAAGAGTCGTCTGTCCTTCTTGACCCGTTTAGCCAGATGTCTCGAATTCACCGCTTCTTCCAAAGAAGTGAAACGAATCTTTGATTTGAATTCCACGGCTGCAAACGTTTTACTGCCCCAGGTGATCGAGATTGGAGCCTCAGCGTCGTAGTGTAAGTCCGAAAGTGTGCCGGCGAATATCATCAATTTCCCACGGTTATAGATTTTGGACCATTGTCCTACGATCCACCGGTACTCGCGTTTTAGAAGGATGAAGACGAAGCGTGTAGCAAGAAGAGTGTCGATAGGAAGTCGTTCAAGAAAGGCGACGAGGTTTGCATACTTTGTGCGGTATTTATCCGGATCAAGCGTCTTAATGAAAGGTAGGAGGACGGTAATGTCGTCGTTGACAGTGTAGAACATCTGCTCGCATTCGCTGCGGATCTCCTTGCAAGTACGGAGAAGTCCATGCATAGGCGAGGACTGTGAATGCTGCGGGTTGACAGTGAGCTTCCCGCCTGACTTCGCTTGCACTTGAAGCCCTCCTGGTTCGTGTAGTGCCAGCGCGTAGATCATGTTGCGTAACTCCGGAGGGAGTTTCCCGAGCGGCGAATCATCCATCGTTGTGACTAGGTGGTGGTGTTGTTATTGGACTGAAGTAGCTGGGTCAGAGGGAGTTGTCGCGTTAGAGGACTGGAATGGTTGGGAGTGGTTGAGTCTGATGTGGTCGAGCCTGGAGTGTTTGAGACTGGAGTAGTTCAGATTGGAGTAGTTCAGATTGGAGTAGTTCAGATTGGAGTAGTTGGACTGGAAGTGATGTTATAGTAGGAATTGGACAGTTTCCAAGAGAAGCCGACCGCTTGATGTCACATGTTATCTCAGCCAAGCTGGCCAGTGAGTGAAGTGAACCAAGTGAAGTACACCACTTGATCTCACATGGAATCACGTGAATTGTGGGGCGCGGTGGGACACGAGAGCAATCATGCAGCAACGTTTGGTGGTCTGTGCTTAGACACACGACACGTGCAGTTTTATTCCTCACCTCACTCACTTCTTCACTTGTTCCGGCCATGTGACATCGCAAGTTCATTTGCTCTCGCTCACTCACTTGTTCACTTCCTCACTTGTTCACTTCCTCACTTCTTCACTTCTTCACTTCTTCACTTCCTCACTTCCTCACTTCCTCACTTCTTCACTTCCTCACTTCTTCACTTCTTTCGGGCATGTGATCGCACGCCTATCTTCTTGCTCCCACTTCTTCCCTCCTCTTTGTTTCGTTCTTCCTCAAACAACATTAACACCTCACCCAAGCAAGACACAATGAACCCTCTTCCAATCCAACACCCCTTCGGTGCGCCGCCTACGGACGCGGCGAAACGCGCTTTCAGATCGGCCATGATTGACAAGCTGTGCGAGTACGTCGGGACGGATGAGTTTGTGCAGGACGTCGAGGCAAAGGTTGCTTCACGACAAAGTGAGTATCTGACGACAGATTTGAGATATGAATGCTAACCTTTGACGTCGCAGTCGGCATCAACATCGAAGCGAGAGTGAGGGCTATCTTTCGGCGGGCTGAGGATCCAAACGTGGCCGACAACGCTGAAGTGGCCGCCAAACTGGTCCACGAGCTTACCGCGGACCCCAACCAACTCTTCCCCAACCTCGCCGCCAAGATCAAAGAGGCGGGGTCGACAACCAAGGTGGTGGAGTGCATGGAGAACTTCAAAGTCGCCCACACGTACACGTACCCGACCAAAGTCCTCGACGAGATCTTGAATGCACGCTTCCAGCTACGCAAGCTTCCGTTCGAATTCTCCACTGCAGAGTCCGACACGGAAGGGTCCGACACCGAACAGTCCGAGACCAAGGGGTCCGAGACCAAGGGGTCCGAGACCAAGGGGTCCGAGACCAAGGAGTCCGAGACCGAGGAGTCCGAGACCGAGGAGGCCAAGACGAGGGGCAAGGATATCAATCGCTTCTTTTCCACGCCGTCGGAGAGCTGGCACGACGTGCACGCAAAGCTGGATGCTCTCACCGTGCAAGGCGAGGAAGAGATTTATCCCGAGTTCGTTGACAAGCTCACCCAGGCCAACCTCCTCTTGACGTTGCAAACCATGGAGTTTCAGAGCGATCCAAACGGTGCGTATGCGATGGAGCAGGCCAGATTCCAGCGGATCATGGCAATTCTCTATCAGTAGTGCATGCTCTGGGGCTTGAGATCGTCACGTCACAGTTCGGTCTCGTGTGGGTTGGGAATGGAATCGTCGGAGGGCACCATTGTGAATAGTCCACACCTCTGGCATGCAATACAAAGGGTCCACGTAAACGCCACGCTATCAACATGCGTTGTGGTTCCAACTCCTTCAAATGCGAGTACTCCCCCAACATGCACAAAGGTTGAGATGGAAAGTATCAGCAATTACACCCGCCCTCGTTCTCCGGCTTCTCCGCGTTAATATTGACGTCGATTGCTGCGGCCACAGGTTAGCATGTATAGCCTTAACGCATGCGTAAAGGAAGATCTCACTATTCGCAGCACCGGTTGCCCCCGCCGCGCCTTCACCTTCCATACCCGGCAAGGCCTGCGCGATCCTCTTAAACAATGCCTTGACGTTGTGTCCGACCTTGGCGCTGGTCTCCACGAACATGAGATTGTTCTTCTTCGCCTCCTCCTCACCCTGCTCCGCCGTCACCTCTCTTCTTTCCCCCAAATCCGTCTTGTTGCCCACGAGCACAATGATGACATCGTTCCCTCTCTCGCTCCTCACATCATCCACCCATTTCCGTGTCTGTTCAAAGGACTTCTTGCTGCTGATGTCGTAGACCACGACCGCCACGGAGCTGTCGCGGATGTAGGAGGGGATGAGAGATCGGAAGCGTTCCTGTCCGGCGGTGTCCCAGAGTTGCAGACGGACGGTACGGTCTTCGAGGTACATGGTTTTGGAGAGGAAGTCGATGCCGATGGTGGCTTGGTAGGTGCTGTCGAAGGAGTCGTACATGAATCGCGTAATGAGGGAGGTCTTGCCGACTGGGGTGGAGTTAGAGGGGGCGGTAGACGCAGTTGTGCCCATGAGACGTACCTGATTGTTCGCCCAAGAAGACCAGCTTGAACTTCTTCAGTGGGTTGGTGTAAGAGCCGACACTTTGTGCCATCTTGTCCGGCGTTTGATAATGATGCTTGCTGGGAGTACCTCCTTGACCTGACCTCCCTCGGGATGGCAATGGGTCACTGATCAATTCGTCTTCGACCGATGTGAGGTTTCCTGTGGCTTGAGGTGAAGGACAATGCTGAATGCGAGTGAGGAATGTGAGTGCGCAAAGTGTTTCTCGTCCAAATGTCGTTGAAGTTTCGCGGGATGATGTGGCTCGTTGACCCTAATGATTGATTCCATCCAATTGGCCACGCGCGTCGCCGAATTAGGTGCTTTACGCGAAGGGGCGCGGAGATGGCCGCTGATTAGATCTATTCCTCCCCGCCCGATAACAAATTTCCGCCCTTTCACTTCAACTCATCGCACTTTTTTCTTATCCACCATCCCATGCAAAGAACACTGCAGAAATGGCTCAAGAACCTGCCCCAACAGCTCCAGCAACACACACGCAATCCTCGCGCAAGGGCAAGAGAGCATGGCGCAAGAACATCGACCTGACCGCCGTTCAATCCGGCCTCGAGGACCTCCAATCCGCCAAGATCGCTCATGGCAATGTCTTGCCGGCGGAGAAGGATGCCAGTGAGCTCTTCGCCACAGACACAGTGGGGGATGAGGACTTCGCGAAGAAACAGCAGGTGGGGAGGAAATTGCTGAAGGCGGAGGAGATTCTGGCTATGAGAAGCGCCGTTCCCGGCCTGGACGGGAGGAAGAGGAAGGCCGATGACAAGGTAGCCGCACCGAGGCTAGGCAAGAAGGCGAAGAATGGGGCGTACGTCTCGCACAAGGAACTGCAAAGGCTGAGAGCTGTGGCAGATGGGAAGACTGGTGGGGTGCCAGCCGGTGAAGAAGGAGCTACGCACGACCCATGGGATGATGAACCCGTCGCAGAGGCCCCGGAATTCGACTTCATCCGCTTCGCCCAGCCCAAGAAAAAGCGCGAGCCAAAGACTCTCAAACACGCACCCAAACCTCTGACCAAGTCCGGCAAGCACATCCCCAACGTTGTCCGTCCCAACGCCGGCAAGTCATACAACCCACTGATCGGCGACTGGTCTGCTCTGCTTGAACGTGAAGGCGCTGCTGCTGTCGAAGCAGAACAAAAGCGTCTCGCAGCGGAAGCAGAAGCTGAGGCACGCGAAGCTCGAGCAGCGGAGGAAGCGGCGAAGGTTGAAGCGGCGGAGAGGGATGTCTACGCTACTGATTATGACTCTGCGTGGGAGAGCGAGTGGGACGGATTCATCTCCGGCGGCGAGAAAGAGCAGCAGGAAGTGTGGACGCAGAAGCAGAAAGCCAGGAAGACGCAGGCTGAGAGGAACAAAGTAAAGGCGCGCAAAGCGCGAGAGGCACAGGCAATGCATGAAGAGAAGGTGAAGGCGAGAGTGAAGGAGGAGGCCCGGATTGCGCAGATTGCCGCCGAACTATCCGTCAAAGACAAAGCGAAACATGCACATGCTCGTGCCCTTCAACAAGAACACTCCAGCGACTCCGAGGCGGAGGACGTACAACTGCACCGACCACGATTCGGCAAGGTGGCGGTACCAGAAGCCCCGCTTGAGGTCGTCCTACCCGAAGATCTCCAGGACTCGCTGCGAAGGCTGAAGCCCGAAGGAGACTTGATGCAGGAGCGGTACAGAAACCTCCTGGTCAATGGCAAATTGGAGATGCGCAAGAGAGCAGGGGAGAGGAAGAAGCCGAAAGTAACGCGTGGGGAGAAGTGGAGCTACAAGGATTGGCAATTGCGGTAGTCGAACTCTGGCGGTACGCTGTGGGCGTTCTTCATTCACTTTCTGCAGACAGACGTCCGTGCCGAGCCAAACGTCACGTGGATTCGACGGTGAAGTTTTAGATATTCAGCTGTCAGACTGGCAGGTGAATGATGCATGCATTACACTTACGCAAAACGTGGCCAGGCACCTCCTTTTCCTTCCCAAACCGAACGCCACCACTCTCACGCCCATCCCCCACACCAGCAAGCATGTCGGAGCTCACGCCTGCTCTGCAGCACTCGCCTCTCGCCAAACTCCCTCCCGAGTTGCGCAATCTCATCTTCGAATATGCCGTCACCCAACTAGCACCCATCTTTGTCGAGGACAAAGACTACCACAACCCCGACCGTCGCATCTCGCTGCGCGCCACCCCGCGCTGTCGACCTACCGCTCTCACCCAGACCTGCAAGCAAATCCGCGACGAGGCCGAGCCGCTCCTCTACGCCTGCAACGATTTCGTCATCCGCTTGCCACGCCTTCCCACCAGCAACGACCAGCCTCCAGGCGCACGCGCGGCCAAAAGATTGAAACACACAATGTTAAACTTTGTGTACTCTCTTCACCCGGCCAACAGTCCTTTTCTCCGCTATCTCCGGATCGAGCTGCCTACCGCCGACTATGTGAACCAGCGTCAGAAGCTTGTGCTGCAGGTCTGGGAACCTCTACTATGGCTGTCCCATGGCGCCGCGTACCGTCTGCCGAACCTCAAGATTTAGATTACTACATTCACTGTCAGACGGTACAGAGGGCGCGTTGTGCATAGGCATTTCCTCCGTGTGGGCATGCGTGACCCGCTGAACGATTTGAGGGCGATCAGAAAAACGATAACAGAGTGCGGGAGATGTGGCGATGATGCACAACGGAAGGATGCCTTTCTTCTATCAATCAGGCATTGCATGAATGTGATCAAAAAAGCGGACCGCAAAAAGGAGGCTGCCGAACTTGCGCGCGCCGCGGCTCCCCAGAAGTCATAGGGAGGATGGGACAGGCGAGTGTGGTAATGTTTGGATATCCGTGCCATGGCGCGCTTCAAAGGCTCGGGTTCCAGGATATTGTAATGGGAGGTGGCTGAAGGAAGGCAGAGGACATAGTAAGAACTCAAGAACTGTGTCAAATCTCCATGTGTTCCTTCAGATCAAAGATGGCAAAGTCGCGTTCAGCTACCTAAGGTATCCAGCACATCGTTGCTTGGCATATAAACATTGCATTCTTGCGGTAAGAGTGATTGCATTCAAGATGAGGTTCAGGCCATTGTCGATAGGGAGGCCACCTCCATCCAGCAAAACCATGCGTATCTGACACGCTTCCTTGCCCAGAGACCCTACGAGTGGTGAGAGCCGAGTGCATGCTCAGAAGGAGGGTATTCGCAAAGAGATTCGAAGAGCTCCCCAAATAGATCCTGGCCTAACCCTTCGCCGGATGGGCGACCGTGGTCTGGTACAAGGGAGGGCGTTTCAAGGGCAAAGCTTCGGAGATCTCCACTTGTGTCCTGCAAGGAAGGTTCGGGCACTGGTTTTGTTGCTTGCGCAGTGCGTGTTCTCCTTCCTTTTGGCTTCGCCAGCTGTGATCTCGTACGCTTGGATGGCCCTGCGACTGGAGTGTTTGCTGCCCGCTTTCGCTTCTTCCCAGCGACCGGCTCATCGTCAGGGCTTTGGGAACGTTCTGACATTGAAGCTGCGCTCTCCTCTTCGCTTTCGGAGTGTACGACATCCTCATCAGTCACTGGTCTTTTGCCGGCTGCCTTGCTCTTTGCTTTGCCCATAACCTTGCCTTTCAGCACCGGTTCTTTCTTGTCGTTGCTCTGCTGATTCTGCTCCTTGCGCTTGCGATAAGCTTCCGGGGTCTCAACGAGCGCCACGACACCTTTGCCCTCAAAGGCGTCCATCACAATGCGCTTGTGGGTCTTTAGGATGCCTTCAATCTTCTCCAGTCGCTGCTCGAACGTCAACGCTTCCAGCTTGCCGTATCCATGGCTGTCCCCGCCGTGGGGATAGATTACCGGCCCGCCATCATGCAACGCGACGACTGCATGGAACAACATAATCATGCGGGCGCTGATGCAGTGCGGATTGTACCTCTCCCCCGCCTTGTTCTCGACGGCAACGTATCCCCAGAACATCTTTTGCTGCTTTTGCATATATCTGATCTTCTTCTTCGTGTCTTCAGGGCTGGGTTGGTACACTCTCTGCGCAGCTGCGAGCAAGCGTTGGACCCACTCGCCCTGCCGGGTGCTATCTGCCGCCATCGAGTGGTTTTGTTGGCGGAGTCCAGGATATGGGGCATATGCCACCTCAAGCGCAGCTTCTTTTGTCAGAGGCAAGTATTCTAACTGAGGTGGTGGGGCATTATGGCGTTTCGAAGTTATCACATGTCGACTGCAATAATCTGGGTGCCCCTTGCGTGTACATGGCTCATGTATGCACATTCTGCCACCAGAGGCGCCGGCAGCTGGGGGTGGAGACGAGCCGGCACGGGCAGCAGGTTCGGTCTGCGTCGACGGACCTGGCAACGGAGTTCCCTGGGCGGGATGGTGTGATACAGTTGCTGGCTCTGGTAACCCGTGAGCCTCATCAGATCCAGCGTGGCCCGACAAGTCGCCGAGATTCCAACCGTGTGGCCAGGTTTCTGCAAGCACGTCTCCGGACGGCGGATCTTGATATCGTCCATAATTTGGATGCTCGCCCGAGCTTGTCGTGTTCTTGACCACTTGTCCGCTCGCAACCTGGGAATAGTCAGGTGTCGACAAAGTGAGGCTCGCGTTGCCTTGCTGGTTGAGCGGCCAGGCGTAGTCTTGACCTAATGGACGCTGATACCCTCTCTCGCCAGCTCCATGAGGCGGTTGGTAAGTCTGGCGATTCCAATTACCGAAACCTTGACGGGGTATACGGGTCGGATCAATGGAGAGCGGGAACAAGCCTGGCGCCGCCATACGTTGCTCTTGAAGACCGAACACCGAGGGGCTGTATCCGGCGAAGTCGTTTGAGCCTGCTCGAGGTGTCGAGGACTCGAGAGTTCCTTCGTTGGCGGGCAGTGGTTGATCCAGAGTGATACCCAGTTCATCCTCGAAGAATCTCCTCATTCCGTCATCTGTTGGCGAGACCTCCGCCCGTTGACCGCGTGAATGCATCGACATCTTTCAAGGTGTACTTGCGGTGATGATGGATGGCAGGTAAGCGATCGAGTTCTGAACAAGGGCAGTTGGATGAGAGTGAACAAGACCCCGACAAGCCTCTCACGATCCATATACTCTTTATATTCAACGGCGCCAATGTTGTAGGCAATAGTGGCCAGCAGTGCGACAGTAGCCGGCGCGATCGTGACCGCATTACGCTTTCACAACATCGATATGAGCCGTTTGCTGGTAGGACGGAGCTCGGCCGATGGAGGCGAGGGATGTCACATTCTCCTTCGTGCGCTCGAGCTGCGCATGGAAGCGGTTGCACGATGCACGAGCGAGGCCGCGAAACGTGGATAGAGGCGGCTTTCACGCGCGGAAACTGGCGTTTTCGCTAGCCTCCAGTACCCTCGTACGCCATGTCGAGCCTCCGTGACCACCCTGGCCAGCAGCGCGTGGGGAGGGCCAGAGCTGGCTGTGCGCCCCTCGTGGCGGGTCCGTCATGTTCATCGCCACGGTGCACCAGCAGTGCTTGTCCGATGACTCCGCCGCGTTCGCTGTTTGCCGGCCTACGTGGTCCAGCCGATATACTGCTCAGCATCGCACAGTCAACATTTATTTTGTGAACATGTGCTGTCGTGTTCCGGTGGAGGTCATGGCACGCGCCAAATTTGGCGCAGCCAGCGGGCCATGGTGCTCAAGAGATCGCATGAATCCACCTGAAGTCACATTCTCCAGAGCCAGGATGTTGCATTCCATGAGACCTGGTACCACCGAGTGGCCGGAATTGAGCCCCTCCGGACTTTGCGGCTTCATTCAATGCCTCGTCGACGAGGACGAAGCATCCCAGTAGCTGTTGGGGGCATCCAGTGTGTGACCAGAAGACGATTGACATTGCTCAGATGATGTGATTTTTCTTCTCGCATTCTTTGTATAATGTTGAGTAGAATGACTATGTATACGTATATGCCATTAAAAGTCATGCAAAATAGATGTCATATCAAACAAGAGGTGAAGTGCAGCAGAGAAGTTGGAGTGAAGTGAAGTCGAAGTCATCGTTGCGGCCCGACTGGAAGCAAACATCGTTAGTCATCCGCACGTGGGACTTGTACACCCAAGATGAACTCGCTGGCAACGAGGACAAAAGATCAAGGCGAGTCTGAGAGTGGAAGTGCGGCTTATAAGGGCAGATCTCGCCATCAACGCCATCGAATAAGACGCGCGCGTGGTGGATAGCACTCGAGCGATTCAATGATGCAACGCGGAGAAGGGACATGTCGGCAGTGTTTGAATGCAGCAATACGTAGGCCATGCTCAAAGGTAACCAAACCATCACAGCAGATACAATAGGGTATCGTAGGTAAGACTCATGAACCGCTCATATTCACAATCGTCGGGCCATTTCGCAGTAGGGCAACGCTCGGCGGGCGCGTTGATCAGTGCAGGTGCAGGGCTTTTTTGGTGTTTTCGTATACGACATAGGTCTGGAGCAAGATCGTCAGCACGCAGCAAACATCCATCGGCAACAGGGCATCGACTCACGATTGAGACCGCCGGCACGACCTTGAGCAGGTTCGGTGTCAATCCCTTGAACAATCCTCTCACTCCCTCGCCCTGGATTGTCTGTCGCGTAACATCCAACACTCCCGTATACGTTCGCGGGTGCTGCGTCGTCCCCTGACTCTGAAGCCTAGTACGCAGCAGATTGATGGGATAGACGGCACTAGCGCCGATCGCACCACTGAACCCGCCCATCAACGCCAGCGCAAAGTTGGACGGCAGCGCATCTTCTTCGTGCTTGATGCCCTTGGTCTTCATGTTGCGATTAACAACCGCCTGCTTGAGTCTCTCAAAGGTGAAGAGGTCGATCGCCGAGTAAGGGAACATTCCTATCAGCCCCATGGGGAGACCGCGGTAGTAGGCGCGAATTCCGTTGTGCCGCCACATCTTGCGTGCTGTTTCGATCACCAGAGCATTGCCCTTTGCGGCGCCTGCGACGGTTTCGCATTGTGTGCGGAATTTGAGGGTGTCGAGGGGATAAACACAGGCTTGCGATATCATGCCAGCGGTGCCTCCGGCCATGAATTGGGAGATGCCGCGGATGTGCTTCGGATCGTCGTGGCCTTCAAATTTGGCTATCGCGCGTTTGCTAGCCTGATGCCCTGGTCAGTACTGACGACAGTGAGAAGACACGACCAGAGATCTTACCTCGTACGAGCCGAACTTGACGGCGGACTCGGGCACGACCTTGAGGACGTTCAGTCCATTGCCTGTCTTCCGTCAGCTTGCGTATTCATGCAGGTCAGTCGACAAACGCACCAGCGAACAAGCTCCGCAGTCCGCCATCTGCCCAAATCTCCTTGCAGGCACCCCACATGGTGCTCATGCCATGCTTAGTGGCTTGGAGCACGGCACCACTCTTAGCAGCGGCCGCGGCCTTCGTCGCGCTACCGGTCTGCGCGATAAGGTACACCTTGAGCCGATCGAGCGGCGCGGTAGCGGTGCGAGAGGTAATACCAGACAAGCCGCCCGCCGCAAAGTAGCCTAAATTGGGAACGGAGTCCGTCAGTCTTGATATCACTGAGCGACGCTGTGCATCTTGATGGAGTAGTGTATCGGGTGTGGGTGCGGCTTGCGTGATGACGGCGGCGGAGGTGGCAGCAGTGGCTTTCCGGCGGGCAGGTCGGGTGGGGAGAAAGGGATCGTCGTCGTCGAGAGCGACTTGGGCAAGGTTGCCTTCGTGGACCGCTAGCTCTGCGTCGAGGTCGAATTCGAGTTCGGGCGGTCGGGTGTTGTGCATGGGATGGGGTTTGCGTGAGGTGCGGGATGGGTGAGTATTATATATTTGGATGATGGCGCCGAAGAGAGATGTGAAGAGAAATTGGAAAGTCGTACCGAGACCTGACAGAGCTTCATCGCTCAGATGCACGTCACCTTCAGCAGTGAGCTTGACGGTCTGCGTGTAATAAGAGAAAATGGCTTTGAGGCCCGGGGCGTTGGTCGGGATGAACAAGAGGAAGTCTGTGGATGGTCAGCATCATTTCCAGCTGGGCGAGAGTGGAGAGATGTTCGAGGGGCTACTTACCGCGCCACTCGGGAAAGTCGATTCGGCCGTCGTGGTTCTTATCAATGTAGCCGAAGAAACGATCGAGCCGAGCATTCGATACGCCGACACCTGCACGCTCAAAGGCCTGTGAGAGCTCCGATTTGTCCAGGTTGCCGTTGTGATCGCGGTCGATGCTTTGGAAGAGGTTCCAGAGGGAGCGCTCGGTCTCTTTGCAGAACCTCACGAACTCGTCATATGTTATCTGCCCGTCGTGGTTGATGTCGCAGGCCGAGAGCATATCCCGGACCAGGCCATCTGCATCTTTGAGCGCTGCGAGGAGATGCATTGGTCAGTGTACTGCGGAGCTGGCCGGAGCAAGGCAAGGCCGGCTGGCTGGCTGCTTACGGTGATTCATCTGTGCCAGCCCGCTCTTGAGCGCGGGAACATCGAGGTATCCCTTCCTCTTGACATCGAGCTGCAGCCATAGTGACCGCAGGCGGCGTTCCCTCTCTTCGTTGGACTCGCCATCCATAATATTCTTCCCGGAGAATGCTATTGTCACCGAATGCTCATGGCTCAATGCGAAGGGCCGGCTCGAAGGGCTTGCTGTGGTTGGCGGGGATGGAGGAGAAGCTGCAGTGAACGGAGATGCAAGGAAAGACTGCTCAACGAATGGATGCGAAAAGGAGGGCGGAATGGAGATGCTGTGGGTGGCGGATGGAGGTTCTGTTTGGTGTGTTGTGGATTGAAGACAGACTGCAAGAAGCTTTTGGGAAGCTCGAAGTGACGTCGGCCGCTGCCCCAAGCTCTCGGGCCACGTCCGGCAGCAGCTTCGACCGGAAGGCTGGCTACAGCCTAGATGTTTTTACAGCACAACTTCTGCATGCACGGTGCCTTTTTCCCGTCTCGTGCCGTTTGACCCGGTCGTCTGCCAACTATCAGGAAGGGGGCATTGACATCTTCAATATGGCGCTTGGCCCGGGCGATGGCCTCGATCTGTTAAGGCAGAGCGCCGGATCCCACGACGCCCCAACATCCAACTGCCGCTTCCCGATCACCGTATCAGCTAGGTATATCCACGTCTACAACACTGGCGAGACTCGGAAGCATATCACGTGAGGTCGTCCAAAGTCATCCACGCCTCATAGATACCACGAGAAGTAGCGACGGGATCGAAGAGGGGCCAACGACGCTCAAGTCTCCGGCAAATGGCTTGGGCAAAGGGTACCAGCAGCAGCAGCACGGGGGCTCGTCGTGCAAACTCGCTGCGCCTGTCCTTTTGGGGTGGCACGTGAGTCTGGCAGCGCACGGCTGGACGCATAGCGGTTCGGCGAAAGATGGTAGCGCAAGGACTCTGCATCTACATTGCACGCATGAACACACCTTGCCTTCTCTGCTGCTGTGTGGGAGTTGAGATGCATGCAATGGGCAAGTCTGGGCAGGGTCGGAGAGAAGGGCATAAGCGCCAGGTCCCATATGCCCCTGTCGAGCAATGCAGGATGCAGTTACTGTGGTTGGTGGTTGTGTAGTGGACGATCAAGAGGTGAGTGGAGCAGCTTTCGAGATCTGGAATGGATCTTCGGACAGCGACGGCAGCACATCCGCTCACCTGGCAGCCCTGCCTGCCTGCCTGCCCACCCTCCAAACATTGCTCCCACGCGGGACAAGAAACGTAGAGGCGCAGCGAGCGGAAAAGGTTTGGGGCCGATGACGGATTAGCGCCGAGGGTGATCAGCGCTGATTGGCTCGCTTGACCGATGCATTCCACGGCGTCCAATCAGCGGCCCGCACTAATCAAGTCCGCCCCATCGGTCTCGAGGGAAGTGACAGACCCGCCCCTCCACTCCACCGCCCTCCGTCCCTCTGCCTTCCTTTGCAACCCAGCCCGGACACACCGCATCACCTCTTCTCCTCCATCCCTCCGCATCTCTCCTCGCCCTCTCGACATCCATACCTGTGCCATCCACACACTCCATCGCACCCCTCGACTGTCCACCACTCCCACCTGACCTCCTCTGCTCCCAGCCGACGTCACCTCGGCTTTGTTATGATCTCCTTTGTGCTCTGATCCCCGCTTAGAAACACCACAAAGATCCATCCAACTCGACACATACCGCATCACTAGCGACGGCAATATGGCGAACTACGGATACAGCGCACCACACTACCACTCCAACGTCTCGTCGCACCCCCATCACCACCACGGGCGTAGCCGCCGGGGTCCGCGCATTTCGTCACAGAATGCGCATCGCCAATACAAGGCCCAAAGGAGCCCTAAAGAGGTGCCGGAGGCTCCGACGTTCAACGACTACATCCAGCGACTAGAAGCGGCGAAGAGCTTTGAGTTTGACGACGATGAGGTCTTTTGTCCGTTTCACCTCCTCACGGAGGATGACGTGCGTGCAACCTTGACATTCCCCCATAAGCCTGTACAGGCGTCTGACGCATCCGCACAGCTTCAATCCATCCACTCTTCCTCGTCCTCCGATCGTGGATCGCTCTCTTCCGGCTCTCCCGAGAGCTCTCCGCTTCAGCAACAGGTGCAGCCAACCCCATCCCTCCTCCTCTCCAGCGCACCCAACGCATATGTCCCCGGAAGCTACTCTCAGCAACATATGAAGCTGCATCAGCCCCTGGCGCAGCGAAGCCGGAATGCGATACCCATTGTGGATCCCTCCACACGATCCGTGGCGAGTCCACCATTGAGCGTCTCCCCGGCTCGGCAAATGCAGCAGCAGTACGTGACTCGCCGCTGGTGAGCACGTCCGGCCGCTGCGGTAGCGGCTGCTGCTTCAGCGTTTTGGCGTTGTCGAGTTCGGTGAGACGTTTCCACTTCTTCTCCTTCAATCCGCCAATGAGCGGGCGGATTGGGCTTTCCGAAGCCTCTCATGGGGACACTGGACTTTGATCATCGAACCTAGACGACGACGGCGGCGTTTCATCAGCAACTTCTACCCTCATTTCAGCGAGCATGCTCATCATTTGGCGATATCCCCTCACAGCTCTTCTTTTCTCGGCATATACGATTGGTATAGCGTCTTGGCTATCTGTCTGGCTTCTTGGATGCACGGTGTTGGCACATGGGATTTGTTGGAACTCTCACTTTTTCTATCACGAAAAACGTTGGACCTAGCGCAATGGATGGACGAGGCAAACTTGGCGAAAAACTACGATACAAGGCTGCGGAAAGGTCGATGCGTGGTTGCCCGCGATCTAGTACGTATATGTGGAAGGTGTTCTGCGGGTTTTTGGGATGCGGATCGGGAGACGAGGCATGCGATGTAGATGGGGACGGCGACATGACTTGAAATACCTTTTGTTGTGATTTTGTATCAAATAGTGGTGGGCGAGGAAGCGAAAGAAGAGTCTGGTGAGACCTGGTGTGTATATAAAGTGCTGCAATCTACCGTCCTTCATTGCAATGTCGTTTCTCGCCCTCCGTGGTGTTTGCTGCAAGACCAGGACTCGGACGCAAATCGACGTTGTTCGCATGACCTGTCGCTTACCGCGAACATGGCAAGGGACCGGGAGAATGACGTAACGAGACCTTCCATGCAGTGATCATCGGCGAAATTTCCGGTACCTTGATGAGGTATCTTCACCTTCAATGTACTCCATCTTCGCACACCTAACAACAGTGATATTTCTGGAACAGCACCTCACGATTCTTTGAACCTGATCCGTCAGTCTACACCCTCCATCATGTCCTCCGCCATCCGCTCCATGAGTGCCCTGCGAAGACAGCCCGCCGGAGCCCGCACCGTGCTGCGAAGCATTGCGCCGCACCGGTCTTTTCAACAGGCGAGAGTACTTGCAGTGTCGAAAGAATCCAACTTGCGTACGTGGAGCCAGTGGCCCTAGAAAGAGGTGTTTCGTAGCTAACACTGGCGTCATGGGTACAGACACCGACAAAGATGGAGCACATTTCGAGGCGGAAAAGCAGGCGCAATTGAAAGACCAGAAGGACGGGAGAGGGGAGTGGAAAGATTCATTGTCGAGCGACAGTGAGAGCGCAGTAAGTGATGAGTTGTATGGGATGTGGTTGAGTGCTTGCTCTGGCTGACACTGCGCAGGTCAAGGCGGATCGAGGAGAGATGAAGGACGGCAAGGCGAGCATCTCCGAACTGCAGAAAGAGACGGTCAAAAAGGCAGACAAGGAGAGGAAGTGAGCAGTGAGCAGACTACCAGGGTGCGAGGTGTTTGGCAAGGCATAATTGGCAGGGGGTTTGGGTGGAGAATACATGTATGCCTATGGAGAGCATAGCGAGGGGATAGACATCCACTGTGTAATATGGTCTGATACCTCCCACTGTGCCAGGGTGTCTTCAATCAGCTGCTAGTCGAGCATGATATATACTGCAGAGATGATGATATCAGCGACTTCTGGCCCGCACGGAAGAGGGATTCATGAAAGTCACGTGAAGAGTCACGTGAGTGAAATTTGCGGTGGGCGGAGGTCGAACAGGTACTTGTAGGGAAGGAGATGGGCGAATATCCACCACATATATTCCAGTGTGATAACGGCGTGCAGTAGGATGCCTGCCGTTGACAAGGCTGAGAAGGCAAGAGATGATGTGGCCGGCGCGTTGGAGAGCCCGCGGTCAGCCTTGTGTTGCTCGGCGACCTTTCATCGCCGAACTCACCACTGTCGACATCGTGATTGGGCGGGAGGGGCCAGCATCAGCGCAATGCGTGCGACAGCCTTGTCACCAACCGCCACTACACCCCCATACATCGTCGCAGCCTTCTCTCTGCCCCCAACATGCTCTCTAGTGCTCTGTTGGAGATGGCATTATGGCATCGGCGCATCGCGGAGCTCGATGACCAAGACGCCGCCGTGGCGACTAGCTTCTCCCAGCGATTTTGTGGGGAGCGACGGGCGCGGGGCCAATGAGCGGCGGCCGCAAATTTTTCGCTGCCGTAATCAAAAGCAATCCAGGCCCGACCACGGCAGTGGCAGGCGCTGCTGTCGGCACGTGGAGCAGTGGGCGTGTCATCCATGGAGAAATGGGAGGCAAAACATTTCCCCTCCTCTCCTCTCCATCCCTACTCAACCCATTCCTTCATTCTCCCCTCCCTCCTGCCTGTGTTTCTCCCTTGACTGCGTGAGAAACAGCGGAGACTCGGTCGGCCTCTCATTTCCTCGAGACCGCCATGGCCTCCATCACCTCGGCTGGCGAAGCAGGTACGTACACGTCGGAGCAATGGAAGACGGCGAGCAGGCAATTGACCATGCAATCACAGTCGCTAGAATCGCCTACCTCGCCTCCGATGTCATCGTTTCCGTCCAGTCCTCCTTGTCCGCCGACTCCGACTTCTCCCAAGCCCTCCAACACTCCGCCACCGCCCAGACTCGAAACATCGTTAGCAAAAGCGTTCCACAAGTTCAGAGCGTCAGGCACAATGTCGACCCGCTGCTGTCCGTCTACCAACCCGCGCGGGAAGGCAGACTGACCAGCGTCACCACCGATGCCAGCGTGCTACTAAAGAGCATCCCGCACTTGTACAAACTCGCGAAACTTCCCGTTGTTATTCACGTGAGCCTGCAGCCTGCCGGTCACCCAGACTATAGCGATGTCACAAGCGTCCGAAACACCGGCTTCGCCTTCCTGCAAAGTCACTCGCTGCAAGAAGCCCAAGACCTCGCTCTCACCGCCCACGCGCTGGCCATTCGCAGCGGCTGCGGCGTCATTCATTTCTTCGACGCCTCAAACTCCTCCAAAGACCAGCCACTCGCCCTCGAGTCCCGAGACACAGTCCAGCAAGTGCTGAGTGTCAACCTAGCAAGAGTTGAGCAGTCTCCGCAAGAACAAGACGGAAACATCTATGTGAGCCAAGCCAAATCAGCATCCGCCACTCCGATATCACAATTGGTCAGCCGAGATGCGCCGCTTCGCTATGACTCGCCGAGTCGTGAGACTGGCACTCCAAAGGGCGACTCGTCCAGTGCTTCTTCGGCCTCCTCCCAGCGCAACGACAGCCACTCAGAGATGAGCGATGCCGACTCGGCTACCACCGTATCTTCCAACCCGGCCCCTGCCGGCTCCGACGACCTGGACCTCATCTGCGGCAACATCTGGACGCAAATACAAGCCTTGACCGGTCGATCTTATGCTCCATTCCGCTATACTGGTCCACAGAATGCTGAGGCAGCGCTTTTCTTGTTCGGATCCAATCCAGGCCTTTTCAGCAAAGAGCTCGACGGCGCAAAAGACGGCGACTTTTATGCTCGTGTTGGTTTCGTCACGCCGACCCTCTACAGACCGTGGATTCCCCAGCAGCTGCTCAAAGCCCTCCCTCTCAGCGTCACCAAGATTGCCGTCCTCGAACAAATCAAACGCAAAACTACAAAGTGGGGTCCGGTGTTGATGGATGTTCTGATGTCGCTCAAGTCGGATTCGAACAGATCAAAGACTCCGTTGGTAGTGGGTTACCAGCTGGGTCATCTGGAGTACAGCACCATCACACAGGCGCTAAGCGGGATCTTCCAAAACCTGCGGTCTCAGAATCCCATTCAGAACCTCGTCATCGGCGCTCGCCCCAGCGCTGGTTTGTCGGTTTCGAGACCCGAGTTGGAACTCCAGCAGCCCGCCTTGGAAAATGCATACATGAAGATCCTCGATCAAGTCTTCGGCAGAAGATTGTACATTGCCAATTCCCTCAAAGCCAGCCACGCCGGCGTCAGCGCCACAATCAAAGGATCTCCAGAATACGGCTTCGGCTCGCTCGTTGCGCGCACGGAGCACCGCAGGCGCTTTGTTGCTGAGGTTCAGGCGGCAGCAAAGTCCAAGTCTTTCATCACCGAGAACCCAAAGAAGTGGCTGTCGCAATGGGCGTTGGTTGCCGACCAAGCGAAGGCCGCGAACGAAATTGCACCGGAAGTCATCTCTAGGCTCTCTGCAGATGGATCTCCTCTGGCTTCGAAGCTGCTGCAATCACAGGGCTTGTTCTTCCAGGAAAGCCAATGGCTGATAGGCAGCGATGCTTGGGCTTACGACCTCGGAAACAGCGGCGTACACCATGTCATTGCTTCGGGCGAGAACGTCAACATGCTGATCATCGACTCCACCCCGTACTCGGAACGCGCCGCACAAGATGCAGCACGCAGGAAGAAAGATATCGGCCTCTATGCCATGAACTATGGCAATGCCTACGTAGCTTCCGTCGCCGTGTACAGCTCCTACACGCAAGTGCTGCAGGCTATGCTGGAGGCCGAGTCTTTCAAGGGGCCCTCGGTCGTGTTGGCGTATCTGCCTTACAACCGCGAGAACGATGGGCCGTTGACCGTCTTGCAAGAGACGAAGAAAGCCGTTGATCTTGGATACTGGCCACTCTACCGCTGGGACCCGAAGGCGGAAGAGAAGGGCGAGGAGTGCTTCAAACTTGACTCTGAAAAGATCAAGCAGGAGCTGCAGGATTTCCTGAAGAGGGAGAACCAGGTGACGCAGCTCATGAACCGACACCCTCATTTCCATGCGAATTTGTCCGAAAGCTATGGCAGCGAGGTGCGCCAGGTGCAGAAGCGAAAGGCGAAGGATGCGTACGAGGCTCTCCTGGAGGGTCTCCAGGGCGCACCGATGACCATTCTCTTCGCCTCTGACAACGGCAATGCGGAGAATCTTGCCAAGCGACTTGGGAATCGCGGGAAAGCAAGAGGTCTGAAGACCATGGTCATGGCCATGGACGACTATCCTCTCGAGGATCTCAACAACGAGGAGAACGTGGTCCTGATCACCTCCACCGCCGGGCAAGGAGAGTTTCCTCAGAATGGCCGCAATTTCTGGGAGGGCGTCAAGAACTCGACGGATCTCGATCTGGCAAATGTGAACTTTACTGTCTTCTCCCTTGGCGACAGCCATTACTGGCCAAGAAAAGAAGACAAGCACTATTACAACAAGCCTGGCAAGGACGTCTTTGCGAGATTGACCGCTCTTGGTGGGAAGCAGATTGTGGATATCGGCCAGGGCGATGACCAAGACCCGGACGGATATCAAACCGGGTACCAGGAATGGGAGCCAAAGCTCTGGGATGCAATGGGCGTTGGCAATGTCGAAGGCCTCCCGGACGAGCCACCGCCACTCACGAACGAGGACATCAAGATCCAGTCCAACTTCCTGAGAGGAACTCTCGCCGAAGGTCTCGTGGACGAATCCACTGGAGCCATTTCTGCATCCGATCAGCAAGTCTCAAAATTCCACGGCACATACATGCAAGATGACCGTGATCTGCGAGACGAGCGCAAGGCGCAAGGACTGGAAGCCGCATTCTCATTCATGATTCGATGCAGGCTGCCTGCTGGCGTTGCGACGCCGGACCAGTGGCTGAAGATGGATGCCATCGCTGCCGAGCTCGGAAACGAGACTATCAAGCTTACGACCCGGCAGACTTTCCAGTTCCACGGCGTGGTGAAGGGAAAGCTGAAGCCGGCTATGCAAGCCATCAACCGAGCACTCATGACAACCCTTGCAGCTTGCGGAGATGTGAACCGCAATGTCATGTGCTCTGCACTGCCGGAGCTGAGTGCGTTGCATGCCGACACCAAGGAAGCCGCACAGCGAATCAACGACCACTTGCTGCCAGCGACGACCGCATATCACGAGATCTGGATCAAGGACGAGAACGAGAAGAACGTGCAAGTTGCGGGCGATGCTGTCCAAGACTTCGAGCCTCTCTACGGCCCCGTCTATCTCCCTCGCAAATTCAAAATTTCAATCTCCATTCCGCCGCACAATGACACCGACATCTATGCAAACGACATTGGCCTCGTAGCCATCAAGGGCGACGACGGAAGACTGAAGGGCTTCAATGTCCTCGCTGGTGGTGGCATGGGTGCGACTCACAACATGAAGAAGACCTACCCGCAAATCGCTCGTATGTTTGGCTACTGCGACAAGGAAGAGATCCACATTGTCTGTGAGAAGATCATGCTGGTGCAAAAGGATCATGGGGATCGCAAGAACCGAAAGCACGCACGTCTGAAGTACACCATTGACGACATGGGTGTCGATGTCTTCCGCGGCAAGGTCGAGGAACTCTGGGGCAAGACGTTCGCAGAGCCTAAAGACTTCAAGTTCGACTCGAACATTGACACCTTTGGCTGGCAGAAAGATGAACGCGGCAACAGCCACTTCACAATGTTCATTGAGAACGGTCGAGTGGAAGACACCGCCGATTTCCCAATGAAGACTGGCCTGCGAGAGATTGCCAAGGTGCACAAGGGCGAGTTCCGACTGACGGGCAACCAGCATCTCGTCTTGTCGAACGTGGCGCCCGAGGATCTCGACACGATGAAGGAGCTTCTGAAGAAGTACAAGCTGGACAATACCAACTTCTCAGGCATGCGTCTCAGCTCTTCCGCCTGCGTGGCTTTCCCCACCTGCGGCCTCGCCATGGCGGAATCCGAACGCTACCTCCCTGAGCTCATCACCAAACTCGAGGGCGTGCTTGAGGAGAACGGGCTACGACAAGAAAGCATTGTGATGCGAATGACCGGATGTCCCAATGGCTGCGCTCGCCCCTGGCTTGCCGAAGTAGCCTTTGTGGGCAAGGCCTACGGAGCCTACAACATGTATCTCGGTGGCGGCTACCACGGCAACAGGCTGAACAAGCTGTACCGCGCTAGCATCAAGGAGGAGGAGATTCTAGAAATTATGAAGCCTCTACTCAAGCGGTACGCTTTGCAGCGGAACGAGGGCGAGCGATTCGGAGATTTCGTGATTCGAATTGGCATGATCAAGGCCACGAGAGAGGGCAGGGATTTCCATGAAGATGTAAGTTGATTCGTCGAGACCAATATGAGAAAGTCAAGCTAACAGACGAACAGACTGCGCAAGTTGAGGAAGACGATGAGTAGGAGGTTGTGTGGAGCATTATGTGGCGAATGTCATCATAAAGCGTTCTGGCGAGGCGTTTGGATGGGGTTGTTGAAGACATGCTCGGAAGCTGATTTATCTTGATACCTATGAAAACGCGAATAAACCCTTTGACTTGCTCTATATCGCAACACGTTGAAGTGCACCCATGACTGCGGCCTGAGGCCATCTCAGAGAAGTCATCCCAATTTGGTTAGACTCATGTGCATTTCGTTGCCAGACACACACGCGCAGCCACACCCATGACCTGTAAAGCCAAAACCCGGCATGTTTTCGCCATGACAACCTCTGGAGATGTGCCTAAGAAGATCATCTTCGTCCATCCGGACCTGGGCATTGGCGGGGCAGAGAGGCTGGTCGTAGACGCGGCTGTAGGCTTGCAATCAAGGGGCCACAAAATCACCATCCTGACCTCCCACTGCGATCGCTCACATTGCTTCGAGGAAGCACGAGATGGTAGGTGCAGCTTCTCCACGATACTCAAACGTCAGACTGAAGAGTTTGAGACTAAACGAATATGATAAGGGACACTCGATGTGCAGGTACGCGGCAACAAGGTCTTTCCCATCGCTCTGGCTGGACGATTCAGCATCCTCCTTGCTATCCTCCGACAGCTGTCCCTTGTTCTCAGCGTTGCAGTCTTCTCCTCCGAGCTGAATCAACTGGATCCCGACGTGCTCTTCGTTGATCAACTCAGCGCATGCATCCCGCTTTTCAGGCTGCTGTATCCCAAAGCGAAGATCTTATTTTACGGCCATTTCCCTGACAGACTCCTGGCGAAGAAGGATCATGGCGCTACTGGGTATCTCAAGCTCTTGTATCGCAAGCCGTTCGATGCGTTGGAGAGCTGGAGTACTGGTGTGGCGGATGACGTGGTTGTCAACAGCAAATTTACGAGAAGCGTGTTCAAGAAGACCTTTCCAAGCATGCGATCGCGGAATTTGAAGGTCGTCTACCCCTGCGTTAATACGACGGAGAGTGGACAGACGAGCACCGCAGATTCTCTCTGGCCAGAGAAGAAGGTGCTGCTGAGCATCAATCGGTTTGAAGGGAAGAAGAACTTGGCCCTGGCCATTTCTGCCTTTGCAGGGCTGTCTTCTGCCGAAAGGTCGAGAGCGAAACTCGTCATCGCCGGCGGGTTTGACCCGCGGGTGCAGGAGAATGCAAGTACTCTCCGGCATTTGCAGCAGCTCGCAGACTCGCTCGAATTAAGCAACGCGACTTACAAAGGCAGCGACGGGGCATTGCGAGCGGACGGTAATACCGTCGTGTTCCTCCTCTCGGTCCCGGATGATCTGAAACAACAGTTACTTCACGCCGCCAAACTCTTGATCTACACGCCCAAAGACGAGCATTTCGGCATTGTTCCGCTGGAGGCCATGTTGGCGCAAGTCCCGGTGCTTGCGACCAACACGGGCGGGCCGCTGGAGACCATTTACGACGGCCGCACCGGCTGGCTACGCAGTCCGGAGAAGGTCGAGCAGTGGAGTGAAGTCATGCGCAAACCGCTGATTCCGTCCAGCGCGGATAGTCTTAGAGCAATGGGGCAGAAAGGGCGCGAGAGGGTACTTGCGGAGTTCAGTCAGAGCCGGATGAGCGAGTTGCTTGACAAAGAGATCCAGCAGCTTTGTGGAAGTGGTAACGGAGATCGGCCGGGGGTGATGGGGGCATGGGCATGGGTGATAATGATCTCCGTTGCATTGGGGATCTGCGCGACGCTGCTGGCTTTGTGGCTGAGCCTTCGGGCACGATCATCACCGACGTTCATGCGTTGTGTAGAGACGGCCTGCCGATAGCCGGGGGTTGCGTGGACCAGGCGGGATTGAGTTTGGTGCACCGCTAGCGAAATACGCCGAATCCAACCAGGCCAGGATCGGGTGGGGAGTGACGTGATGTTCGACGCTGCGGCAAAGCCTCGACTCGAACTTGACGGTGCTGAGCAATTACCTTGCATGTCTTGCCGGGAGACGTGGCCACAGTGGCGCTCGAGGCTGCATACCTGACAGAAGGGCCGGGCGGCGTACGTACAACGCGGTGGGGAAGAGGGCGCTGATTCGTCGATGGCACGAGTGTTATGCACGGAATGCGGATCTTGGCTGATCTCTTGCCCAACTCAGCCTGACCCGGGCCGTGTGAGACAGGCACACAACACGAGTTGAGGTTAAGGTATTCAGTCATCAACTGACGACATTGCTGGGGAAGATACACCCCTCGACCTGGCTCTTTCCTTTTTCGCCTCTATCCTTTGCCTCCCTTCCTCATTCCGTGCTTATTAACATTCCCGCATCTCCCTCCCTGCAGTGCAACAATCTTACTGCGGTTACACGACATCTCCTGCGTGGGGCATCTCAACTAAACTATCCACACTGCTGCTGCTTGATTCTGGCATCAATACAACCAACATGATCTTCTCCGTCGGTGCATTGGCCCTTCTGGCCCTGCAATCAGTCCATGCCGCGCCTTCACTCCAAAAGGCAAGCTCGAGAGGCGTCAAGGCATCCGAACACACCCTCGCTCTGAAACCCGTAAGCGTCAAGCCAGGGAGCTCCAGAGGTTTGTCCATTATCACCCCTCGCACTTCACTCCCAGAACTAAGTCCAGTCTTTAGAACTTCTATCAAGAGTCGCCAAGGCCAAAAACACTACCCACAGCGCATCGCTGAACGTCGTCGACGAAGGCGGCGCATACGCCATCGAAGCCAACCTCGGTGGCAAGAACTTTGATGTGATCTTCGACACCGGGTCCAGCGATCTCTGGGTCTTCAAGTCTGGCGTCAAATGCGTCACGGGTACTGGCCATCCCGCAGCCGCTTCCCAATGCGGCTTCGGACCGGAGTTCAAGGGAAACTTCCAGGGTGGCTCCATCAAGAACGAGACATTTGTATGTGCTTCCTCTCTTGCCATTTACGTCATTTGGTCTAACTGCTTGCTATAGTACATCGCGTATGCAGATGGCGAGCAACTCATCGGCACCCTCGGCTACGAGGATGTGACCATTGCCGGCGTAAAGGTGAAGAAGCAAGAAATGGCTCTTGTAGACGAGGCGTATTGGGAAGGTGACGGCGTAAGTGTGGTCCTCAGCATATTGCGTGGTCTGGATGCAAGCCCCAAGCCCGCAGTGACTAACCCCCTCTGTAGACTGCCAGTGGTATCGTTGGTTTCGCCTCCAAATACCTCACCAATGCCTTTCCGGGCACGATGCCTTCCAACAACACCCAACCGCTGCACTACAACAACTTCATCACGAACGCAGTCAACAGTAAAGCCATCGATCCCGTCTTTGGCGTCGTCCTCGAGCGCAACAACGGCTCCTCCAGCGTGACACTAGGCGGCGTCCCAGCCGCATTTGCCAACGCGAAATACGCAACGACGAAGTTGCAGAAGATCGAAATCTCCCCCCACCTTATTGAGAAGACACAGTACACCTACTACACCATCACGCCTGATGGCGTTGTCCTAAACGGCGAGTCGAAATCGACTTCCTTCGCAGGCATCGTAGACACGGGCACTACCCTTCTCTACCTTCCAGAAGCGATGGCGGAGGCCGTCAACGCCGCCTTCGACCCACCCTCACAGTACATCAAGGCCGCGGGGGTCTATGAGAACGATTGCAACGCCAAACCGCCTACATTTGGCATCACAATTGGCGGCACGACCTTCAACTTGACCTCCGAGGATCTCCTGCCCACCGGCGCCGAAGCAAAGGATCCCATGACTGGCGGTTGCGTGAGTTGAATACCCGCCCATTCTGGGGAAATTCTCGTGACTGACAAATGCATTAGGTTGTCGGCGTTCAGCCAAGTGGATCGACGTACGCCATCCTAGGAGACAGGTTTTTGGTCAACACCGTGGCTGTCTTTGACATTGGGGCGGAGGAGATGAAGTTCGCTGCCCATTCTTACTAGATCGCGCGCATGACTCTTCTTTTTTCCGAAGTATGTATGCCTAGACATCATTCTTCGCTACGGCAATAGATTTGAAATCCACCGGAAATCCAGCTAAAGCTGAGAGACTGTCGGTCACCTCTATGGTTCTAGACCTTTACAAATGCCCCATCTTTAAATTCGACTCGATTGCCTTCCCGATCGAATCGCTTGGGCGTATGGAAGAACTTCTCCGGATTCTCTCGCGCCCCTCGTTTCCAAAACTCGTATTCGATCCATCCATTGTCTGGCATCTGTTCTTCCGTGGCAGCGATGTACTCGCCCAATGCCGGGTTCAACGGGATCACGCCCGTCTCGACGACGTATTGATCCCAAAGCTTTAGCAGCTCTTTCATAATGTCGGGATGTTGATCGCACAGGTCGTGGATCTCGCCGGGGTCTTTGTCGAGATCAAACAACTCCCATTTGCTTCTGCCCGCTCGCGATGGCCCGTGGTTGCGCTCGGGCAGGTAGACGGCCTTCCAGTTGTTCTTCCGTACCGCAGCGCGACCACCCATCTCCCAGCCTTCGACGAAGTCGGCCTGATGAATGGCATTGGCTTCCCCGTTGAGCCAAGGGACCATGCTCTTCCCTCGCATGTGGACGACTTCTCGGCCTTGGTAGGTGGGAGCTGGATGCCTGACGCCGGCCATGTCGAGGAACGTGGGCATAATGTCCATAATGGTGGAGAACTTGTGCGTGATGCCGCCTCTCGGAATGGGACAGGAGTAGCTGGTGGGCAGTTTGACGACACAGGGCACGCGGATGCCGCCTTCGGTGGTGTACGACTTGTACATTCGCGAGGGAGCGGTGGATGCTTGGGCCCAGCGCGGCCCATACCAGGTAAATGAGTTGTAGTTGCCGATGTTCTCGAGGCTGTTGTCATAGTACTTTTGCAGGTAGGTCATCGGCCCCCCTTGGAAGGCGGGATTTGCTTCGTGTGCACCGCCTTCTGCCCCATTGTCCGACATGAACATGACAAAGGTGTTTTCCAGCTCTCCAATGCCCTCTAGGTAGTCTACTACTTTGCCAACGTTGTGATCAATGCACTCTACCATTCCAGAATACGTCTCCATTGCCCTAGCGGAAAGCTGTCGTGCTTCGGCCGACATGTCATCCCACTCCGAGACTTCGGACGCGACGACGGGATGGGGCTCGACATCTTTGTCCACGAGCCCAAGTTCCTTCAATCGTGCCAGTCGCCGCAGCCGAAGAGCATCTGGGCCATCGTCGTACATCCCACGATAATGCTGAATGTATTCCTGGGGTGCATGTAGTGGCCAGTGTGGTGCTGTAAATGGAAGATATGCGAAAAAAGGTCGATGGTTTGTCTCATCTGCTTTGTCGTTGTCTGCCTTCCAGTCCTTCAGGTACTGTAGTAGAGTGTCACCGTAGCTGTTGGACGAGTACCAGCCTTTCGGAAGATGATGGACATATTCATCGTCCTGGACGTGGAGGGGATAGCTGGTGGTGAACATCTTGGGCCCCTCTGGTTCACCCTCCTCCAGTTGCGGCTCCCAGCCAAAGTGGTTGGAGGCACCAGGCAAGAGAGCAAATGCTCGTTCGAAGCCGCGTGCTCGAGGAGCTTTGTCTTTCCGTAGGCCTAGATGCCACTTCCCGGAGATGAGGGTGAGGTAGCCGGCATCACGGAGAACCTCCGGAAGCGTGACTACTCGCTCGTTCAAATATCCCTCGTACCCTGGCTTGCCTCTCGCAGGCGCTGGACTCTCTTTGAGACCTTTCGGATTCGCACCGATCGGAGTGGCCAGCCATTCTACCAGCGATCCGAGACCTGCGATATGGTTGTCCGTGCCCGTCAGGATCTGTGAGGCGTCAGGGCCGAGCTCCGAAGAGCTCGAAGGCGTGAACGAACCATTGAGCGAGAGGGGCTGCAGAGAGCAGTGGCATGGACTGTAGGAAGAATGAGTACTGGAAATAGCACAACTCTGCGATAAAACTCACAATCGGTCATTCGAAAGCCATCTCGAGCAAGCTTGTCGATGTTGGGCGTCCTGATCTCGCCGCCGTAGCAGCCGACATCAGAGAATCCGAGATCGTCTGCTAGCACGATCAGAAAGTTTGGGCGTTTGGGCGCCATTGTGATTGAGTTGATTGTCAAGAGACGATCGATTGTGCAAAAGATGGAGGGTTGTCAGCCCCAGCGATCTCGCTCATGTCGCGATGGTGCTGGACGCTGATTGGCAGACGACGCCGCCTTGCGACAACCTCACCCACTCGCTCAACTGCACACTTCGACTGCAAGGACTAGAAGAGCCTGCAGCCCGCTCAACGCCATCTGAATGGATAGAAGAAATCTGGATCATTGCCTGGCGTAGTGCCATCTCTCGCGGCCAACATGGCTTCGTCCACCGTCGATGATGAACGCCAGAGCCTCCTCCGGCACGAAGGGAGCGGAGAACAACCACAACAAGCCACCGCCCATCGCATCGACAAGACCACGTTCCACCCGCTCTACTTCTCTCAGTACTTTACCAAGCATCTGACGCGGGCGTGTGGACTGGTGGCCATCTCAACCTTCAACTATGCTTTTGACCAGCAAGGCTTCAATTCGACCCAGGCCATGGACCCCTTCAACAAGGCTTTTGGACACTACGACGCCGGAAAAGGACATTACGTCCTGCCAGCCTACTACCTCTCGCTGTTAAACAGTCTGGTTTATGTTGGATTCGCTTTTGGTAGGCAGACCGTTCGGGAAGCTTTGTACCTTTGCTGATGGGATCGGAAGGCGCATATATTGGCAGCGTCATCAGTGCGCGCTACGGCCGGCGAATGACCATCTTCACCATGTCTCTGTGGGCCATCGTCACGGCTACCATCCTCGTCACGTCCGGCATTAGCTTGAATCGATGGCAAGTGAGTACTCTTGTCGCCCCTTTCCGTCCAAACCCCCATCTCAATAACGACTGGCAGCTCCTTGTCGGCCGGGTCCTCAACTACATCTACATCGGAATGGAGCTATCGTCCGTACCCGTCTACCAAGCAGAGGTGGTCCCGACTCCCATCCGTGGCTTCATGGTCGGCTCTTACCAAGTCAGCCTCGGCATCGGCGGTCTCATCATCAACACCATCTGCAAGGCAACCAGCAGGATTCCGAACAACAATGCGTGGATGATTCCATACGGCCTCTATTTCGTCATTCCCACCTTCGTTGCTTCGTGCGTCTGGTTCATTCCCGAAGTGAGAATCGCAGCACCAAGGTCTCTAATTGCGTTTGAAGGTGTGCTGACGTGGGCAAAGTCGCCGAGATGGCTCCTCATGAAAGGCCGCGATGATCAAGCCCTGGACGCACTGAGGAAGCTTCGAGGCAAGCACGGCGAGGTGTCTCCGGAGACTGAGCTGGAACATATGCGCAAGTCGCTGTTTGATGAGGCGGACAAAGGGACGTATGCCGACCTATTCAAAGGCCACAACCGCCGAAGAACATTGATCACGATCATGGTAGCGTTCTTCTTTCAAGCTACAGGGCAAGTACTCAGCGGGCATTATGGCGCGGTGTTTGTCAGATCGCTGGGCCACGTTGATCCATTCACCATTACCGTTGCCCAGTCCGGAATCAACACCCTAACATCGTTTGCTGGCATTTTGATGATCGATCGAGTGGGGAGAAGGTAATTCTGCTGACGAATACCATCGTTATGCTGTCGCTGATTTCGATTTGCTCACAGACCACTCTGGTTGACTGGATCCTTCTTCATGGGCGCCGCGCTCATGGCCATGGGAGCATTCAGCGTGCCCAAGCCGACTACATACTCCTTGGCCGTGGGTATCGTCTCCGCGATGTTGGTTTTCCAGCTTGTTTATGTTGCCACTCTCGGCCCTCTCTACTATACCCTCGTCTCTGAGATTCCAACTGGACACCTTCGAGATAAGTCTGTCAGGATCTCAGCGGTCACCAACGTCATCACAATGTATGGTCTTCGCAACCACCACGGCCACGAGGCTTCTCGCTGATGTAATATAGCTTCGTCGTAGCGTTTACGCTGCCGTACCTTCTGGAACGCCCTGGTGCAGATCTGGGGGGAAAGGTCGGGTTCATTTACGGTACGTGGCCGTTGGGAATTTTCCTCTTGCGGAATCCGCTAATTGATCCGTCTCCGCAGGAGGTATATGTTTTTCATCGCTCGTCTGCGGTTACTTCTTCCTTCCGGAGCTCAAGGGCCGAAGCCTTGAGGAAATCGATGTGATGTTCAAGGCTGGCTTGACCTTGCGCAGTTTTGGTGATGTTTCCGGCCGCCTTGGCCCGTCCCGCTCTCGATAGATGGCAAAGGCAAGAGGGTGCTGGAGCAGCAATTGATGGGGTAGAACGGCTTGAAAACGACGATGAGATGGTGCCAACCGCCACGCGATTTTCACGGCCAGCCTGGCATTGCGCGGGTTGGGTGACGTCTCCGGCCGCGCGCTCTCGGTGTATCGCAAAGGAAAAAGGGAGCCCGAGCAACAATCGATGAGGTGGAACGGCTCGAAAATTGGCGATGAGACGGCACCAACAGCCAGTAAAAGGCCGACGATCGACAGTCATCTGTGCCAGGCGTGTGAAGCGTCAAAAATGTCCGATGTGTGTTCAAAAACTCGTGTTTGTCTGCTTCGCAATAGAAGCCGCTGGCATGGACATGAAAGAGAGTCAGAAGAAGACAGCGAGTTCCCCACCAAACAGTTCTCTCATCACATCGCCGTGATCGACCCTGCCCCCTTCCTCGTCTTGTCTTCGTAGAACGGCGTCCAGGAGAGGGACGATCCGAGCAGCACTGGGACATTGCCACTTATCGATGCCGTGCAAAACCTGTGTGATCCACGCACGATCTTGTGCGCCGCATTCGGTGGCGGCGAGGAAAAGCGGCCACATCATTGTTGGGGTCAAGCCCAGGGATTGTGACGGGGAGTCAAGGTTTCGGCCCATCTGCAGGGAGTCGGTTATGCTGTCTGCACGTCCGGGGGTCGATATGTCCGAAGGAGAAGTGGTTTGTGACCCAATGTGTTGGACGAGATCGAGTAGAATATCTCTGGTCAGCTCGATGATACGGCGCGTTGCAGTCTGCACGTCATGAGATGCCGGGGCGTTTGGGAAAGCAGATCGGTGTAGATTGATGATTTGCGCGTAGAAATGAGCGACGTAGACTCGGGTATTCAGCACGATCCTTCGAGCTAGTTGCGGCTGTAGTGATTGGTCCAGCTGCTTCAGGTTGTTCAGAAGGGTCGTGACTTGGGGAGAGGCAGACCATAGGCTGTGCAGCTCTGCAAGAATGCGTTGGCCGTCTTGCATGGTGTTGTGTTCCGGCAGATTGCGCTCGTGGTGGAGCTGAGGACTTTTGAGCCTGATGATGGGAGTAACAAAGGCCTGGGCTCTGAGGAAAAATTCCAGGCCAGGCTGGTTGAGTGCATCGTAGGCCCAATTGGACGCGCTCTGTGAGGCTTCGTTGCGATCGCGGTTGGGTTCAGTTGAAGAATCGGACATCACCGGATCTGCGGGCCGCGGGAGACGACTTTGACTACCAAGTGCGTGAACGAGGTTTGGCTCAAAAATAGATTCATCTTCAAGGGACTGCGATGATGATGCTGGCACTTGAGGCATAGAGGCATCATTGGTGATCCATTGGGCTTTTACCTGCAGCATCCCAGTCCACAGGATCAATTGCTTCTTAGGGCCCAACCACGAGCGGATACGATCGTAGTTTCGACGTAGTCGATGTTGGAAGCCTCGCAAATGACGAAGCGGCCAGGCAAGGCGATTGGATATGGTGGTAGTCGCGGTGGTCAGCTACGCGTGGATTAGCTGATATCTGAGGGGGACGGACGGCTATTTGCCTACCTCAATACATGCCAAGAGAAATGTACTTGCGAAAGCATGCGCAAGTTGCTCGGGTTCGACATCCGCGCTGCCAAAGATCGACTCAGTCATCTGGCTTGCGGAATGGTAGTAAGCCATCCACTCTGCCGATGAATCATCCGCGGCCGCGGTGGTGTACGCGAGATGGAGCTTGGAGAGGCCAAGTACACTGGAGAGCACAGCGGGAGATTGTCTCGCCATGGCCAGGATGGCTGGGCACGCGTAACGCCATTCATTGTCGGTTGGAACAATCAACAGAGTCGGATTGATTGAGTCTACGAAGTAATCAATCAAATTCTGCTGCCAACCGACGGGATTTGCTTGTCCAGACGCAAAGGCTGCAGCAGTGGCCGTCAGCTCAGCAGAAGCAGCACCCATGTCGCCTCTGCGAGGGCCACCAAAGCTGTATTCCGGCCCAACTGCTTCCACAAGACCAAGATCAGCATCGAAGTCTGTAAAGTCTGGGAAATAGTTGCTGGGGAGAGGAGCATTGAAAGTGCTACTCGGCTCGCTGGCAAGGTCCCACTCGTGCTCATCGACAGTATAGGGATTGGCGACACCCGTAGGCAAGTGATATGCAGACGTGGTGGGGATGTTGAATGGCTGTGAGGTAACAAGTGCCTGCGTGGGAGCCTGCAATTTTGGTTCGAGGGCTTGCGGCCTGGCGGGGGAGCGGGCCTTGGGGTCGACATACTCGCAGTCTAGCCGAAGACGAATGCAGTTTGCGCAGACCGGACGAGCTTCGTCACAGCGTACTTTGCGTCGTCTCTGTGACGGGGATTAGCAAGGCATCGAGAAACAGGAGGCTGGCGCGCAACGTACGCAAGTCAGGCAACCGGTTTTGCGCTTAGGTCCGGAACGGCCGGTGCCTCTGGAGTGGATGGGAGGCTGCATGTCTGATAATGGGGCAAGTTAGACTCCTCCATCCCTCGAGACTATCTGGGGGTGAGGAGAGGCATTGCAACTGGGCTGGCAGGCTGGCGGCCAAAGTCGATCTCGGCGGGGCAGAGGGCATTGGATTGTCTATGTAGGGCGGCATTGGACTTGTCGGTAGAGACGGGGTGACGTCCACGCGTTGTGCGACGGCGTGCTCGCCTGCTTCGCCGGGATGTAGGTCAGTGCAGGAGAGGCGCGAGTAGGCAACAGGATTGCTGAGGCGGCCATTGAGTACCCCAAAATAGCAAACCACGATCTCCGCACGCCGTCGACGAAACACTAGCGCGGGTTTCCTGTAGTGACGATGGCCGTTGAGACGATTAGTGTGTACACAGTAAGAAGCAGAGGTGTGCTATTTCCGGAGGCGGGGGAGGGAGAGACGTGCGATAGGGATGTTGTGAGAAGAAGCTCCAGGCTGTAGCCTAGCCCGGCAGCTTCAACTTCAACGTCACCTCGCCTCCCCACATTTCTGATGTCTTCCGGCGCTGCAGTCCGGACCATCCTACGGTCAGAGCGGAGCCAGACGCACACCAATGGGTGACCAATGGGTGGAGGGATGATGAACAAGCTCATCCTGGCCATCATCAAACAAAGCCGTCATGGGCGGGGGAGGCGTGGTGGCAGTGCATCCAATCCTACGGGCGAGGGAGAAACGGCGGGGCTCAGCAACCACGGGCTGCTGAGTCAGGTATGTACATGAGCTCCGCCACCCCCGTAGTGAAGAGGACGCGTGCACTGTCGCTGCAGATGGTAGGTACATGTAGTTAATGACCAAGACTGAGGAGAGTCGTCAGGTAAGCAGGCGAGGGAGGGGAGGGGAGAGGAGTCAAGCAGTCTCCGCAGTGTCACGGCACTCCGCGCGTCCCAGCACTAAATTCATCGACTGTCACCACCGCTTGGCCTGCCGAGCCTCACGCGTCACTTGCACTCAACAAGACGATGCAATGCCACATCCTGGAATGACAAACGGCATTACTCAATCATCACGAACCCCCATCTCGACTCATGCAGCGGCCATAGACATCATCATGGCCTTGCCGCTTTGAAGTGTCACAGCAAACAATTTGGAGGTGATTTTAATCCTCTCCTGAACATCAGATATCGAATCACGGCTTTGTTGTAATTCCAACGGTCCGAATATGGCGAGATATTACACGGTCCTACTCGTCGGATTGCTGGTCCTACTCGCCCTTCCCTCTCCCGCATCTGCATTTGGCGCGGGAAACATTGCTTCCGTCTCCTCCATCGAAGGATTAAATTGGCGCCATGGCGATCTGGAAGACTTGCTAAAGACCGTTGCTTTCCTTCGAGGTATGTTACCCATTCCGTGATAGATGGCCGGCTCGAGCTCAACACTATCATCAGGACACAAATGGACCAGCATGATGATCAAGCGAACCTATTTCGGCAACTGGCTCCGAGACTATAGCCAAGCAATCGACGTCGGCACTCTCAAAGGCGTGCAATCCGACACCATTCGAGTCTTAATATGGGTGCTGTCGTTCATGAGCTTTGGCTATGCAACTGCTGAATTCGAAGTCACCGCTGACCGTCTGGGTGTATACCGTCCCGAAGAACACATCGACAATCCCAAAGACTACGCCGAAAACGTAGACGCGCGCAAATATGACTCGCGGCTCAGAGGACCTGTCGAACCGATTGAGTTGGCTGTAGACCCTAATTCAGGCATGAAGAACTACATCGCCAACGAGAGTGGAGGCTGGGCAACGTCGATTGGTTACGTCAAGTATAGCTTTGCCCGGAGCATCCACTTCGGGAGGCTATACACTCACGGTGCACAGCGAGGGCGTGAAGAGGACCTTTGCGAGGCATTGAGGTGTCTTGGCCAGGGCCTGCACTGCATGGAAGACTTTGGAGCCCACACCAACTACGTCGAGCTTGCACTCCGAGAGCTGGGCTACCAGAGTGTTTTTCCTCATGTCGGGTCACAGACCATGATCAATCTCCACGGCAAACAAGTCTTTCCACTGGTCACTGGCACGTTCGGCGGCGTCGATTTTCTCCATTCGGTTCTTGGCGAGGCTACGGATCACGTCACTCAGACCGAGGTCAATCAAACCGAAGTCGACCAGCTGAATGCCGCCATGAATCAGGCAGCAGCAAGTCAAAATAGCGGAAATCGAGCTGTCGATCCCGTCACAAGAGCTTCCGGATTGACTGATCTCCTGGCCCAACTCCCCGGAACTGGCGGTCTCATACAAGAGGCTATCGGATTACAAGCAGCCTCTGACGCCCAAGCGGCTGAGAATGAGCGGACCACTGGCTCCAACGAGTCGTACGTGCCGTATGGGAATGCATACGACACTACTCGCATTGGCGGCATCTCTGGCGGAAGCTTCCAGGCTCCCCCAAGCATCGATCCTCAGCAAGTCATTGCCAAGATCTACCCCCTTTTCGTATTTCGAGACAAAGTCGTCCGCACTATCGCCGGTAAGTGCAGAATTTTCGCGTGATCATGATGTGGGCAAGCTAATTTGCGGAAACAAAAGGCGTTGTATCGAAAATCCCCGGGCTGGAAAGGATGATCGAAACGATTAGCGAGAAGGTCACCCTCTTTGTGATGGGCCTGCTTGCGCCATACGTCAAACCCGTCATCGCAGCAGCGTCCAATGCTCTCAAACAAGGCAGCGGTACTGTTGTGCACGCCAGTGCCCAGCAGCAGTACCTCGTGTGGTCAGATCCGTCGAGCACCGATCCGACACACTCCATGCTCTCGAAGGATCACTTCTCAAATGTGCTCAATCCGCCTGCTGGACAAGTGGCATCCGCGATCCTGCAATACGTCGCTCCCCGCGTCATCTACGGCTGGGACAATCCGGACGTTCCCCAAGAAGAAATCATGCATGACATTTCGCAGGTGTTTCACCATCCCGCTCTGCGCAATCAGAGTTTGGAAATCCATCGTAACATGTTCATGGCCGTGGAGAGGTGGGCGCAAGCAGGGCACGGTCACGACCTGAACGCCACTTTGAGCTCCGAAAGCGTCAAAGCAGGGAGGAATCACCATGTCCAAGACTTGGGCCAGAGTGTGCAAGGGCTGGAACATCAGCTGCAATCACTCGGCTCGTCGAGTCACAGTGCAACTGCTGGCGGACCACTCGCAAGCTTTCTCGGCGGCAGCCAGCGAAGTCAGACGCTGGACTTTGAGCCATCGCAGACGTCGACTGATTATGAGGGATACGGCGCAGCCCCACAGCCTGTTCCGTCCGCATATCAACAGGGGTATGACATGTCACCCAACCAAAATCAGCAATATGGTCAGCCGACGGGAGGCTACCAGCAGAGCGGCTACGAAGGCTATGAACAAAATCAAGGATATGGTCAGGGGGGAGGCTTTGGCCGATATTAAACCCGACCTCCATGCGTCACACTCTCTCCGAGAAATGCACTACACGAAGAACGCCCATTGAGACTATGCTTAGATAGGCCGGTAACGTATGGGCACGACAATAATGTGTGCTGACCTAAAAGTTCATTGTGCCCAACCATCACGGCCAAATTTCGCTCGGGATGCGCATTTTCGCTCGGGATGCATATTTCTTTCATCCCAGATATATCAAGACCACCCATCTCCATGTTTTCTTTGTTCAATTACAACACTACAAAGTCTTCTCATCTTCATACATCGCAAACGCTTTGTGCGTTAAATTGTTGCATCCACAACAAAGAATCTCCACGATGTCAATGGCGATGGCGGGTTCAAGTTATCGTCCGGCTGTTTCCTGCAAGACGCAACATCCGTACAAATCACTCGGTGCAATCATCTTCACCACTGCTACAATCACCTCGACGCACTATTGCAAGTCTACAATCATGGACGATGACCACGATCTGAGCATGTATGATGATGGTTGGGAATCGGCCCCTGAAGCGGCATCCGAATATTCTACGCCGGTAGGAGAAGGGCCACCAGAAGAATGGCCAGCTCAGAGAGACTCCATCCCAACCAGTCGGAACGACACCGAAGAGTCCCGGGTTTCGGACTCCTCATCGGAGACGGAAGATCCTGCTGCAACGACAGCTGCCGCAGTACCTGTCGTCACCGTTGATCCCCCTTCACAATCGCCAACCACAGCAAGTCCAACCCTCACGTGGGAGGACGCACGCAACTTCGGCGCGGGCGCATTTGACGACGATGATGCAGACGCAGCCTTCAACGCAGTCATACGTCGCCAAACGCTTCCTCCGCAAACCGTGGAGCAGATCGAAGCGGAGGAGGCGAGGGGTTTCTTCTACAATCAGCGGCCTCGCTCGCCGGTTTTTGGGTACCCGAAATCGGACGAGGTATACATTCAGAGCAACCGAGTGTATCAGGGCGAGGAGATCGGAACATTTGAGGCCCGAGTAAGCACGAGATATCGCAGAGACGAGTCGCGACCCTCCAGTCCGTTGCGAAAGGTAAGCAGCACCGAGGAGTTATCGCCTGAACAGTCTCCAACTGAAGCTGAAAGGCAATCCACTCCCGAGGCAACGGAACTTGCACATGCATCGACTGAGCACGAGCTCGCCGTCGAGGCTTCATCAGATGACGACGATAAAGAGTTCTTCCAAGAACTGTTCGGATCTGGCGAAGGCGACCCAGAATCCTCCCCTGGAAGTCATCCACAGACTGCAACGGATGAGGCTCACGCGGTGAAAGGGACGCTTCGAGTCTCAACCGACATCGACAACACCAGAAAAGCGCCGTCAGAAGTCCCAGGTGACGATCTCGACAATACTGATCCAGATGATGACTCGAAATCTCCCACGAGTGCCGAAGAACTGGAAATGCTGACCAAGACGTCGATCAACGACGGCATCCAGGGGCTCCGGAATGCATACCACGCGCTCGCTCAACGCAGTCTTGATGACCACGCCAAAACGCTGCGGCTCAAACGCCAGATGCTCGCATTCTATACCAAGCACAAGAAGCTCAATGTGCTGGACGACGATCTCCTGGAAGAAGCATGCGAGTTGGGTGCCAAGGCCGCAGCTCACTTGTATCGTAGCCAGCGAGATGAGTTTCGAGGGGAGCGCGACGAGGCGAGGGACGAAGTGATCAGTTTAGTCGACGAACGTGACAAGCTGGTCAAGGAACTTCGGTGGATGGAAACTCAAGGCGAGGACGCCAATGAACGCCAACATCAGCTTGCCAAAGCCGAGAAAGATCTGAAGCACGAGAAGGAGAAGTCGATGGCATGGAAAGCGGCTTACGAGAAGCTGCACCCGTTGGCGATGGTTGAGATTCAGCGTAGGGAGAGGAGGGAGGATTCTTGCAGTGTTGCTACTCAGACAGAGGAGGGACAAGCTGTCTCCAACGTCGCCACTCAAAGAGAGGCAGAAGAAAGGGATACTTCCACAGCGACTGTACCGGGGAGTGGAGCTTCTCCTAGGCCTGTGGCTCAGGCAAGTCAGGCCAGAGTGGAGGCCCCATCTGCTCTACCCTCTTGGAATACCACCGTGGACCTGGTTGGGACGGTTGCGAGCGGACCCGACATCTCCACCTTTATTGGCAAGCATTCGTACGGCGCGCAGACGAACGAGAGGTGGAGGGCCAGAGAAGAGGAGATCCAGAACACGGCAGGGTGGAAGCGAAACTACGCCGCGATACTGCAACGGCTACAGGCGGGCGGGATAGGTAGTGCGTCAGCCATCGAGGTTAGATGACAAGGCAATGCAGATTCGATTCTCCAGTAATCCCACCGCCTAGCGTGAGGTGTGGCATGTCTTCGACACCCAAGGATGGACGAGGGGGCATCCCTCATTCCATCCAACAGGCAGACTCATAGCTCACTCTTGCCCTCTTCATCCTTTGCAGACTGCTGCACGCCAAAAGTTTCTCCCGTCCGCATATACTCGGCTTCCTCATCCGTATTTGCCCTCCCCAGAGCCGCATTGCGGTGAGGATACCTCCCAAACTTTCGTAGAGGCACCTGATGCATTTCTTCAAATGCGACCGTTCTGGCGATATGGTGGACGGCATCTTGGTCGCCCGCGGCTTCTACTTCTTTTCTCGCGCTTTCGCTCAGAGCCATGTAAAGATCGTGGGAGGGTATGTGCTCGGAGTGCATGAGTGGCAGTAGGAGATATTGTCGGATGACTGGGCGAAGCACGTAGGGCGGATAGTTGACCGGGTTTGGGGAGAGGCGGAGGCTGGCGTGAATGAGGGCGAGAGCGATGCGATCGTAGTGTCCGTAGACCAAGCGTAGACCGGCCTCGTCGCGGAAGACATTTCTGGTGATCTGATCGAACAGCACCGACAATGCGATCAACGTGTCTGCCGCTTCCTGCTCACCCTTGTTCGCAGCATCTTTGACCTCCTGTAAGAAAGGGTGCGAGATTGCCGCCGCGTCCTCGACATCCTGAGCAGCGCTGTGGAATGGAGGCAGGGGGTATTCATCCGGCCCAACTGCTTGCAGGGCATGGACGAAATTGCCCCTGCACTCTTTGTCAAAGGCTTCTTTGTCTGCTTGACTTTGACCTATTCCCCACCACTTTGCGTCGACTTCGGCGTTGCTTACTGAGGCTCCTGGTGTAAGACCAGCATACCAGAAATCATGAAGACGGGTGTAGAGGGTGCCGTTGAAGATGTTGCGATCTAGTGTGAAGCTGGATGGAGTGGTGGCGGAGGCGGCGGCAAAGGAGCGGGCGTTGAGGCCGTTGGCCGCGGCAGCGAGGGTCATGCCTAGAGTGGTCGTCGGGCGACGGAGCAGTCGGTAGAGCATGGTGGAAGATGAGGTGCATGGCGCGGAGTGAAATGGGAAGTCGAGGAGGAGCTAGTCTCGTAGCCTCCCGCCGGCTTCATCTTGGCAAAGGCCAGGCAGCAGCAGCCTTGTCCTGTACCTATCTTAACCAGGCACGCGACCTACCTAGGTATGGACACATTGTGACGAGAGTGAGCAGCTTGCTATCAAAGCCTGCCAAATGCAATACATGTCGTTGAAAAGATGGACTGTAGTTGGTTACTGCCGGATCGGGAATGCAGGTGCGGGTGAATCAGCATCATGCAGGGCGGAAGATGGATGCAAATGCGCAAAGACGACAATGAGAATGAACGTCGCAAGATCTTCTGCTTTTATTGTATACCGAGGACCCTTGGGCCATCTGACCGTCTCTGCTTGAGCCGAGCCCGCTAGCTATGCAGTAATTGTGCAGCAGTGGAGGGCGAGTGAGCACGTCGCAGCAGAGCATCCAGATTGAGGACACTTGAGCTCGAGGTGGGAATGGGAGTGCTGCCTCCGAGGCAACTTACTCCACCTCCTCGATCTTTGGGGGCGCACCGCCGGCCTTTGCATCATCGTCCTCGAGATCCGGCATGTCCTCGTCATCTTCGCCCTCGTCCTCCTCATCACCTCCCATACCACCCATGCCGCCCATGCCTGCGCCGCCGAGTTTGCTGAAGTCGATGCCACCAAAGCCCCCATCGCCGCCCATGCCCATGCCGCCCATGCGCGACATGTAGTCGTCATCATCGGCGACCGCGTCCTGTTCATCCTCGTCGACCCACTAGCAGTCAGATGTGTTAGTATTCATCAACGTTTCTCACAAAAGTCCTGCATAGCCCACCTTGTCAAAGTCCGTCTTCAAGAAATGCACCTTGTTCTTGTCCTTCAGCAGTCGAGGCCAGAAATGCTCGTCTAGCTCTTTCTTCTGCAGCACCAGCTCAATGTCTCGTGGGGTGTGTCGATTCTTGGTCGCAGCGGGGTCGATTTCGGCGTAGAACTCGAGCTTCACGGCATACGTGCCCTTTTTGGACTCAGAGTAGCCCTGGAAGTTGAGGTGCGTGGGTTGGATGTCGAGCTTGATCTTGTCCTTTGAGACGTCGGGCACGGAGATGGTGAGGAAGACATGGTTCTTTTCCCTGTCCGTTGCGGAGCTGCGTTGGGCCCAGGTCACTGTGAGGGTATGTTTAGTGTCGTGTCTTCGGTCGCGGGTCTATCACCTAGGCACATACCTTCCGGGGTGATGAGATTGCCGTGTAACGCCTCCATTTCTTTCATGTCCTGCGTTGATGTCGTCAGCGATTGGGGGCGGTTGGCTCACGCGCAGAATAGACTCACGGTGGTGTCTTTGAGCGCGGTCGACATTTTGGTGAACTGGGTATGAGGTGTTGAGTGGTTTGATTATCGTTCGCGGGTTTTCAGGACCAATAGAGGCAGTGAAGTCGTTTTGAGGGCGCGTAGAAACAACCCGAAACGAATGGAAAAGAGGGCGGAGTTGAAACGTTTGGCACCGATGAAGGGGAGAAGTTGATGTTTGCTGGCGCGGGGTTGTAGAAAGCAGGGTCAATGTGTTCAACCGGGCGTTCAGAAGGCTGCAATGCTTTTCTGATGGTGCGAGGATTGAGATGAAGAAGTAGTGAGGCAACGTAGCGGCAGCATGTCCTGCGGAAGCTTCACGTTAGGTTTGCAAAAATTCCCCCACTGCAGCTGCCTGACGTTTCGCCGCACGGACCACGTTCGCGGTCCGCCAAAACGTCACCTGGGATGGCAGGTGCGCGTACAGTAAAGGTATCTTGCCGTTGTCCACCTCCTCGCCTTTTACCCTCTCCACCGGCACCATGAATGTGACTTGCACCATCCTTCAACCCGCTGGATCATGAACATTGTCATACTCGTCGATCCGCGGCTTCCCTGGCGATGACAACACTGCTGTCCTCCTCACGCACCTTGGAATCATGAATGCAACCCGCCGATTCTTCTACGGCCCTTCGCCTGAAGAACAGGTAATTTACGCAGAAGTGGCAAACATGGACGATGACATGTGACGCTGACGTCTACGGGCAGAAACAAAAATGTATGTCTCTCGTGCGGTCCAACGACCGCAAGCTCGACCGCGACATCGCCAACCTCAAAGCCCTCGAGACGAAGACGCGCAACTTCATCTTGCAGGCCAACAAGCGAGCCCAGCGCAACCCCGCCCGATCCCAGCAAGCCGCGCAAGAGATGCGCACGTTCGCCAAAGAGTTGGTGCGGGTACGGAAACAAAAGGCGCGTGTTGTGACCAGCAAGGCCACTCTCGCCAGCGTCGGTATGCAGGTCCAAGAGGCCTTTGCCATGCAGAAGATCGCGGGAAGCATTAAATCTGGCGTGGGCATTATGAAAGATGTGAACACCCTTGTGAAACTACCCGAGCTTTCCGGCACCATGCGGGAGTTGAGCCAGGAATTGGTGAGGGCGGGCATCGTCGAGGAGATGGTGAGCGATTCATTGCCCACCGATGAATTACTAGAGGGCGAGGACGACGAAGCGGAGGCGGAAGTCGACAAGGTATTGGGGGAGATCCTGAAGGACAAGGTGCAAGGTGCACAAGTTCCGCTGGAGCCTGTGCAGCCCGCAGAAGCGCAAGCAAACGAGGAGGAAGAGGAGGCGGATGCGGAAGAGATGCTGGCGCAAATGAGAGGCAGATTGGAAGCGCTGAAGAGTTAGGCAGTGCTGTGTGGAGGGTTTGGCTGTAGATCAAGGCCTGGATGGCGTTGGCGTTTTCGATGGAAGACTAGATGATCGTTTCACTGCATACTACTTCCATATGCAAGCCTTTTCGTGTGCATATCGGGGTTACGGACGCAAGGTCTCGCTGCCATTCATCCTGTGCTCCGATCTCAGGGCAGGCATGCGATGCCTCAGGCGTGGATGCGGGAGCAAACATTCGGCTGCGAGCGTTAGCGCGCGGCTAGCGGGCGGGCGCAGCCGAAGTCGTGGCAGGGCTTTCTTTATTACTCCTGTCCCAGCCATGACTTGTCTCTCACTCATTCAAACAACGCATCCCCCATCCTCATCATCCACATCATCCTCGTCGCTGTGTCTTCCGCAGGGACACGTCGTTAATCTTCCTCCACTCAGATCACTAGTCCTCGCCGACGCCACAAAGTGTCCGCCGCGATCAACCGCGACATCAGTCACCCAGCGTGACGCCTGCCTTCACTCATCCACACCTTGACTGCAACCGAGACCTCCCAGTCCGTCTTCGCTCGCACAAACCACCGCGAACACCAACCACCACCCTCACCTCAAACACACCTCCACCGCAAAGCATAACCACCTTCCAACACCACTCAACATGTCGGGCAAGCTAGACCAATCCCTCGACCAGATCATGCACGACGGCAAGCCCGCCGGCGCCGCTCGTCGCGGTGGCCGCATCGGCCGTCGACCTGCCCGCTCCGCCAAATCCAAGGCCAAGGCCGCCATCGCTGCTCCGGCTGGTGGTGTGCAGAAGAAGAGCGCCCGCGCGCCCGCTCCCTCGGCTCTGACAGCCCCTTCTACTGGCGACAGCAAGATCATCGTCAGCAATCTGCCCGAGGACGTCACTGAGACGCTGATCAAGGTACGTGGACCGGGATGACGAAGTCCAAGACGCGACGCCTTTCTTTTCTGCGACGATGTCGATATCGTTCCGCCACTTTCCTCTCCTACGGTCCTCCTTTCGAAGTGTAAGGTCGACGAGCTCCAAGAGCTCGCGAAGTCAACCGCTGGAAGAACTGCTACCAAAGGCATGGACAGCGACTTCATCTACCCTTCTTGCAGCACCCATCAGTGTTCGATGCCTGCCTGGCAAGCAGATGCGTCACCTGATATGCAGACGACAACGAAGCTACACCGGTCGGGGCCAGTGAGCGAAGCGCAACGCGTTGGGTTCATACCATGGGATAGCAGTGCGCGGTGCAATCTTTGGCAGAAATACCGGGAGTTGCCCGCACAGATGGACATGCGCTGTTGAGATACAGCAAGGGGTGAGCAACATGCTCTTGAGCAACACAGCTCTGCGGCTGCGGACGCCGTATACCCCAAGATGATGTCCATCGTCAACTTGAGGGTGCAAAAGGTCAAGGCTTTGTGGTGGCCAAGACCGTCTCTCATCCGACCGCTTCCACACTGCTCTCAGTATACCGCGCGCGAAAGCGCCACGTCAATTCTGAGCGGAGGTTGCCAAAGTTGGAAACAACTGTCCTCCCGACGGTGCTCGAAAGGGTACCACAGGCAGTGTCATGTCCCTTCACCGCTCGCTCACTGGTTCCCGTATCGCGAACACGCAGACCACCTTGCCGCAGCGACGTCAACGCACGAGATGGGCAAACCGACCGTTGTCCTATGATTTGATTTCTGCAATCTCTTTGGCTCGAACTCGATTTCTCATGGCACTATTCCAGCAGCCCACTGACATTCCATTCACATCAGGACTACTTTGGCAAGACAATCTCCCGGGTCAAATACGTCAACCTTACCTATGGGCCGACTGGAAAGAGCCGTGGCATTGCCACCATTGTGTTCGCCGACCCTGCCGCCGGACCCAAAGCAGCGCGCGACCTCGACGGCGTCAAAGTCGACAACAGGGCTATGAAGGTATGTGTGACCGTGCTCACGGCCGAGGTGTGGACTTATACTAACACCTTCTCAGATCGAAGTCGTGCTCGGGGCGAAACACGCACCTGCGCCTCCGGTCCCCAAGGGTCTGGCGGATCGCATGTCGTAAGTATAGCTCCAGCTCTTTTGAGATGGCTGGCATCTAACAGTCATTGCAGGCAGCCAAAGGGCGCAGCAGCAAAGAACAAACCGAAATCGGCGGCGGCAAAGACGAATGGAGCGGCTGCTACCAACGGAGCTGACAAGGGCAAGCCTGGTCGCGCTCGCAAGGCCGGCCGTGCTGGACGTCCGAAGAAGAAGACTGCGGAGGAGCTGGACGCGGAGATGCAGGACTACTTTGGAGACTCGGGCGCGGCCAACGGCGCTGCCCCCGCAGTTGCTGCTCCTGCTGCCAATGCCGACGCCGGTATGGTGGATGAGGTGTTGTAGAGGGGGAGATATTGTGGATCACCGGGCAAGATGCATTCGATGGCGGGACGGAGCTCAATAAGACTGATGGCCTCGGGCTAGGCAAGAAATTGAATCGGCGTTGGGACAGGCCACAGACACAGCAGATGTATCAGTAGAACTTCGAGAATGCACACTCATGGCGTTGCGCGCTGGCTACCTTGATGTATAATACCGTGGTGGATGCATCGTGCCAGCATCGATTATCGCTCGGCCCACTTTCCTGACCTCATTGGTGGGGTAGAGGTGTACACGGAAGTGGTTCCGATGTGGAAGTGGCAACAATCTTTGCCCTGCGTCCCCCCGGAGCTAACTGCGGCACTTCACCCCTCCGCGCTCACAAATCCATTTGCGCCTCCTGCTGCTACGATCCACAGCATCGGATCCAGACTTCTTGGCACTCATTCCACTGGATGTGCGGGTGGCGGTTGACGAGTGGCGGTACGTACCTCTCAAACAGCCGAGCTCTCTGGGATGATGCGATGTCTGGCCTACCACACCGTCCCGATGGCTACGGGAAGGACAGTCCGGGCAGCTTTATTGGACCCTGAGCCCCCTGCGCTTGATAGGTGGTGCATCTCTGGTGAACTCTCGGTGGCGGTTCAAGCGGTCTCAGTCCATCCACTTGCCACTCTGACGTTGCTTCGGCTAACTTGCTTCTTCCCCCGGCCTGAGATGAGGGGCATGAGAGGTGTCTCTTTTGCATCGCCCGCCAGCATTCATCGCACCACCGACGTTCCCGAGGGGCAGAGGCCGCCTGGCAACGAGGAGACACCAACTGGCCTTCTCCTGCACCACTTGTGTCGATCCGCAACATCCCCTAGCGCCGGTTCTAGACGCGTTTCCATGACATCGCCCCGACGAGAAAAGTCGGGCTCGCCCACGAAATAGTGGGGTATGTTTGGGGCATGACCCCGCAGCAGACCTGCCCCAGTTCCAGCGTCCCGTCGCCCCGAGAGCCATTCACAGCGCGCGCTGCCGGCCCTCGATTGCCAGATGCAGCAATCCTTGTGTGCGGGAGGGCATGGACGAGTGGATGCGGGTTGGTAGATCGGGGCCCGTCGCCCCAGCAGAGTTTTAATCCCGCCGCAGGCCATAGCTCCCTCCTTTATATAACCCCTCACCTGCTGCGCCGTAGTAATCTTTCTCCTCCCCTCCCATCCCCCATCGCCGAGCGATTTACTACAACCCTTTCCCTACTCTCAGATACCCCCTAGATTCATCAAAAGTTCATCATGTCTGGTCTCACCACCACCCTCGAGACGCCCACTGGCGGCAAGTACGAGCAGCCCACCGGCCTGTAAGTGATCCCAATGCCCATGCCCTGCGGTGGCAAAAAAAGGCTGTCTGGCCCGAGCTAACCCCGCACGCAGCTTCATCAACAACGAATGGGTGAAGGGTGTCGACGGCAAGGAGTTTGAGGTCTACAACCCGGCCAACGAGTCCGTCACCTGCAAGGTCTCCGAGGCCACCGAGAAGGATGTCGACATCGCCGTCGCCGCCGCCCGCAAGGCCTTTGAGGGCCCGTGGCGAAAGGAGACGCCCGAGAACCGCGGCAAGCTCCTCGTCAAGCTCTCCGAGCTCTTCGAGAAGAACCTCGACCTCCTCGCGTCCGTCGAGGCTCTCGACAACGGCAAGGCCTACAACATGGCCAAGGTCGACATCAGCATGTGCGCCGGCACCCTGAGATATTACGGCGGCTGGGCCGACAAGATCGAGGGCCGTGTCACCGACACCACCCCCGACACCTTCAACTACATCAAGAAGGAGCCCGTCGGTGTCTGCGCGCAGATCATCCCATGGAACTTCCCCCTTCTCATGTTCGCGTGGAAGATTGCCCCCGCCATTGCCTGCGGCTGCACCGTCGTCATCAAGACCGCCGAGCAGACTCCTCTTGGTGGCCTCGTCGCCGCCAACCTCATCAAGGAGGCCGGCTTCCCCCCGGGTGTCATCAACGTCATCTCTGGTTTCGGTAAGACCGCCGGTGCCGCCCTCGCCTCCCACATGGACGTCGACAAGGTTGCCTTCACCGGCTCCACCGTCACCGGCCGCTCCATCCTCAAGGCCGCCGCCGGCTCCAACTTGAAGAAGGTCACCCTCGAGCTCGGTGGCAAGTCCCCCAACATCGTCTTCGCCGATGCCGACATTGACAACGCCATCTCATGGGTCAACTTTGGTATCTTCTTCAACCACGGCCAGTGCTGCTGCGCCGGCTCGCGTATCTACGTCCAAGACACCATCTACGACAAGTTCGTCGAGAAGTTCAAGGAGCGAGCGCAGAAGAACGTCGTTGGCGACCCATTCGCCAAGGACACCTTCCAGGGACCCCAGGTCTCCCAGCTCCAGTTCGACCGTATCATGAAGTGAGTTCCATCTTACACACTGCGTGCTTTTCGCATGCTAACATGTCCACAGCTACATCAAGGCCGGCAAGGAGGCTGGTGCCAAGGTCGAGATCGGCGGCAACCGCAAGGGTGACAAGGGCTACTTCATCGAGCCCACCATCTTCTCCAACGTCACCGAGGACATGAAGATCATGCAAGAGGAGATCTTCGGCCCCGTGTGCGCCATCTCCAAGTTCTCCACCCAGGAGGAGGCCATCCGCGTTGGTAACGCCACCACCTACGGTCTCGCCGCCGCCGTCCACACCAAGAACCTCAACACCGCCATCGAAGTCTCCAACGCCCTCAAGGCCGGTACCGTCTGGGTCAACACCTACAACACCCTTCACCACCAGATGCCGTTCGGTGGCTACAAGGAGTCCGGTATTGGACGTGAATTGGGCGAGGACGCCCTCTCAAACTACTTGCGTATTTCAGCCCTTCTCCATGTCTATCACTACCAGCGCATGCTAACCATGTTACAGAGACCAAGACCGTCTCCATCCGCCTGGGAGATGCCCTTTTCGGTTAAACGCAGTGTGTTGTCATGTTCAGCAAGAGGATTACGTAGCGCTACAACGAAAATGGAATGTTGTGAACCTCAGCTCAGTGTTCAGTTGTCTTCTCCCATCTACATGTTCCACCGTCGTCGTCTTGTGGTTAGGTGAAGTGAAGCTGCAAGTCACGTGGGAAGTCCGAGCGTGGCGGCTGGACGGCTTAGTAAGCATCGCTCGCTCTCAGCCTCGCGCACGACAGGTCTTCACTCGCTGTCTATGCGTAAGGCACCTTCCTTCTACACAACTGGGAAGAGAAGCGCCGGACTCGACACTCCGAAGCCATCATGTGGCAGGCTACATCTACTTCACATGCGTCCGTTGTTCAACCTATCACACCGACTCATTCACGTCCTGGCCCTACACATGCCCTGTGATTCAAAGCCTGAATAATGTCAGATGCATGGCTACTCCAGCAGCTGACACTCTCATCTATCACCGCTAATTACAGACAGATGCGTGCCTACGATTACCTGCTGACTCTGTCATTAGATGTACCTCCGGATCTTTCGTCGCACGGTCGTCAGATGCACGGCTACTCTAGCAGCTGGCAGACCCGTCTATCACGACTAATCACTGGCATATACGTGCTTACAATCACCTGCTGACGGCCTCACGAGATGTTCATTAGGATGTTTCAGCGCATGTTCGTCCTGTGTGTGCCAGGTCCCGGGCCATCCGCGTGAAGAAGTCATCCTCACCGACCGTCGGCTCCATTCCTTGCTCCTCCTGCATTCTCCTGATATTCTTCTCGTACATCAAGAGCCTTTGCGCCTCCACCTTCGTCACATCCAACTGCATGTTGTACTGGTTCACCGCCTGCTTCAGCTGCGGCTCGTTCAAGTCGTCCCGATTCGGGGTCTCAACCGCTAGCAAGCCATTCTCACCTGGCTTACAATACAAGCCGCCAGACGCTTCCCGCATTGCTTGCAATTCTTCCAGGCTGTTCAGTGCTGCCGCCTTCGGCAAATTCGTCTTCTTGTTGCAGATGAGCCAATGTTGGCACCCCCAGCAGATCACCTTGGCGGAGAACTAGTCCACCATGGTTCTGAGGGGGTTTGATCCGAGAGATTGCCCGGTGCTCTCGTTTCGATACGTCTCCAGGTCGACGAAATCGATGGGACAGATCCAGTCCTGCTCGTCCGCCTCAACCAAAAGTCGAGCTCGCTTCTGGTTGACAGCTTTTGCACCCGACGCCGAGTATCCGGCTGCGACTGGATGGGCACGATTGAGTCGGCCACTGTACAGGTACGAGCGTGCAGTCGGCGCCATTGATTTCGAAAACGCCAGCATGTCGAGATGACTGATGTCACGGACAGCCACCGTTACCGCCGAATCACTCCCGCACAGAAGCTGGAGGTAGTCGACAAACACGCCCTCACGGTATCGAACCCCTCTGTTGAGCTTTCCGTTGATGCTCTCAGGGATTACTGACAAGCAGATCATGCGGAGATGAACAGCTTTGACATCATCCATGTTGAGGTCGACGTGCTGGGCGAGACCGGCTTCTCTAAGTGGAGCATCCTATTGTAGCGTACTACAACGGTTTCTCGTAGGCTTCAAAGGGCCGACTACCGCTTCCGTCTTGAGCGGTGCTGCTCCCAACATACGGCTGGATGTCGCCATTGTTGTACACGATCCATGTCCATATCTATCCCCGTTGTCCTAGAGGCAGTGACACAACCGACGATGACAATCGACGAGCAGGGTAGAGTCGACAAACAGGAGCTGGTTGACGAGCAGGAGACATCATAGCGTGCATATGATAGTTGACAGACAGGAGAACTCGGCGCAAAGCAGATGATAGTCAAACTCAATGCAGTGATAGTCGCACGAACAGGATAGTCCTCAAACAGATGCAAGTTAGCAAGCGAATGACCGTCCGAGATTCAATGAAGGTCGACGGATACGGGAATTTGAAGAACAGTGACAATGGAACAGAGAAGTAATAACCAACGAACATAACGAACGGACGATAGTCGAGGAACAGGTGATAGTCGACCATCAGAAGTTCGGCATGAAGTTGTCCAATCTCTGTAGGACTGGCCTTAGGTTGACTCTCGGCGTTTCGTAGAGCGATGTACCCGTTCGTGTCGACTTTTAGAACGGCTTGCTTCGTTTTGGGACGACTTAGGAGAAGCGTCTCATCGTCTGAGCCGTACTTCAAGCCAGGTTGGCTACGCTCTGGACGATCGGCAGCCCTGGGCACGATCTCATCATCGGAGTCGAGAATGGTGGTCGTGATTCGTCTCCGCTTGGAGATGTAGGCCGGCGGGGGAGTGGCGATTTCATCATCCGAGTCGACTGCAGTGGGGATTGCTCGATGCTCATCACCAGCTCCCCGTGAGAGTACAATCTCGTCACCCGAGTCGAGTTCAGGGAGGAAATGCTTGGACCTCGCCACGCTCGCAGGAAGGGGAACGGTAACCTCGTCGTCCGAGTCAAAAATCGTGCGAAGTGCACGACGACGGATGTGGAGTGAGAGCGGTATTGGAGTGGGAGTTGCATTGGAGTGGCTATCTACCAGCTCTGGACGACGAAATTGTGGGAGTTGACGTGCACGTGATAGACAAGTTCAACAAGCAGCCGATCAACAAATTGATCGGCGTCAAAACCAGGCAGAAATCCACAAACGTACTGACAATCAAGGGATGCTAGAAACCGATGATAGTCAGACAATCAAGGGTTGCTAAAATGATAGTCAGACGCACAGGTGATGGTCCAACGAACACGTGAGTCGATAATGATTCCAGCTTGCTTGGCCGTGGGACGACTCTCAGCCTTTGGAAGAGCAATGAAGCCGTTTAGATTGATCGCAAGGACGGCTTGCCTCGTCTTGGGATGACTGAGAAGCGGCGTTCCGTCGTCTAAGTCGGCTGAGTGAACTTCGCTTGCGCTCCGGGCGAACGGCAGGCTTGGGAAGGGCAATGTTGCTGTTCGTGTCTACGGAGGGGGACTCGCTTGCTGACAGCCTTGATGCGAGGGTGACTTCGTACTTGGAGGACAGGCATATTCCTGCCCACCTAGCATGCTCCCAGTTTTTATACAATACATCGAGGCACTGCCGAACCTTCTCAGGCTATTGCCCTATGAGAATGCGAGCAGAGATGCGCCGCTCAGTCATCGCCCGTGCCTGCAACACTGCCACCCCTACTTCCCCGCGCCCTGATTGAAATTCATCGAGTAGCCACCCGTCTTCTCGTCCTTGACAAACTGAAAGTTCTGCGTACTCAGCCCGAACGGCTTCAAGATGGTATTGCCCAGCCCCTTTAGCTTGTCCATCATCTCCGCCATCTCCCTCTCCTTGGCCTCGTTGAGCTTGGGGGTCAGTCGCTGCGCCGCATCGATAATCTGCCGTCGGTCGGTAGGAGACAGGAATGAGACCATATTGGGTGAGACAAGAACTCTGTAGTCTTCGTCCGCGCCTTGAAGGCTCGCCCAGCCACCCTGCTCCGCTCGGCCTTTGGCGCGGCGAGTGAGGAGTTTGATTTGAAGTTTCCGCACCTCGTCCAGCGTTCGACCGGACTTCCGGAGGTTCTCGATGCGCTGAGCGACGGCCTCGTCGACCTCTTCTACCCCGTCATCCTCGTCTCCATCTTCTTCCGCAGCTTCGGCTGACTCGACCTGCTTTGACTGGCCACTAGCTTCCGCCTTCTGCTTCTTTCCCTTGATTGTGGGTAGCGGTTCCAAGCGCTCCAGACATTCCACTCCTTTTGTCGCGCTCTCCACGGCCTCCTTCCACTCTTGTAACTTCAGATGACAGGCGGCGACATTGCTTCGTAGGACGGCAATTTCGTAGTCCAGGTAATTTGGGCAGGAGGACAGGGCGCGGTCGTAGGTTTGAATGGCATTCTCAAATGATCCGTTGCCGAAGAGCTGGTTGCCCGAGCCTTTCAGTGAGTTTGACTCGGCGAGCAAGACTGCTTCTTCTTCTGGGGAGAATCGGTCTTCTGCTGGTTGTGCGGTTTCGGCCTTGCCTTTTGCTCGTTGTTCGCTGTGAGGTGGCGCGGGCTCTCTGTCATCGAAGGAGTGGAATGAGTCCGTGTCGGAGTCGCTGTCGTGGTAGTTTGTGACCATCTTGTCGAGAAGACGCGTCTGTTGATGGAGCAAAGAGAAGGTGTGAAGTTGAGGTTGCATGCGGAAGCAATTCCGGACAGTTTCACTTTCCTGTGCTCTCCAAACTTTTTTGACCGACTTCCCCCACGACAACCTCTCCCACGAAGAACGTCGCCAGAACATGGCAGACACCCCAGACTCGAACTCGCCCTCGCGCACCTCCACCCCGAACCCGCGCTTCACCTCACAAGCTCCAACAGCCGAAGATCTGTTGAAGGAGCAGACCGTTGGACTCGTCCATCTCTCCGACTTCCGCAAGAGGCGCGCCGAAGCTCTTGACCTGGTATCGCGGGATGTCACACCTGCTGCGAGTGGGGCTACAACGCCAGATGGACGGTAAGGAAGAGCATCCCACGCCCACTTGACCGGGTGCTGACCGCCAAAGTGCAGTGAGTCCGTAGCCAAAGCCGTCTTCAAGAAACGCAAGAAAAAGATTAGGAAAGGTGGATTGTCGTTTGGCGGTGACGAAGAGGAGGGAGATGGCGGCACTAGCTCTACGGCGCCCTCGCGATCAGAGACACCAGCTGCAGACGATGCCACTGCGGCCATCAAGAAGCGCTTGAAGCCCAACAGCTCCGTTGCTTTCCAACCCAAGGCTCAGACCAAGTCGGCCCTCCAACGCGAAGCGCATCTCAAAGATGCCTTGCGCAAGGAATACGCCCAGATTCAAGAGGCTGTCAAGCAGACTGAGTTTTGCTTACCCTTTGTCTTTTACGACGGCAAGAATGCTCCGGGAGGAATGTGTAGGATGAAAAAGGGAGACTTCGTCTGGCTCTTCCTCGAACGAGCGAGAAAAGTCGGCGCGGAAAAGGCGGCGACTGGCGATGGACGAGGCATGAAAGACTGGGCACGCATCAGTGTCGACGACTTGATGCTGGTTCGAGGGGATTTGATCATTCCGCATGTAAGTATTCGCGATGATGTAACTCATCACTTCGATCGGATGCTAACGTTGACAGCATTACGACTTTCATTACTTCATGGTGAACAATTCCGTCGGCTACAAAAACGTCACCATCTTCCACCACTCCGCCGAGCCTACTGCGGCAACGCCCAATCACCTCTTGCCGACATCCACCGCTTCGACCGATGATGCGCCTGTTGGTCCTACCCCCAAACCACCCGCATCCAAGCATCTCACCACAGCCGCCGACCGTCAGTCGTTTGCAGAGGCTGTATTGGTCACCCGTCTCCCGGACTCCGAGCTCGAAGGCCATCTCGACGATCCAGCGGCAACGAAGGTGGTTGATCGGCGTTGGTATGAGCGCAACAAGCACATCTATCCCGCCAGCACGTGGGAGGAATTCGATTCGACTCGGGATTATTCCAAGGGGACGCGCAAGGATGGCGAAGGTAACGCGTACTTTTTCTCGCGATGATCATGAGCTTCGCATCGTTTGACTCATGGCACCCCGGAGCGACTCATCAGCCACCATATCAATCCCAAGAAGGCCAGAAATAGGCACATGGGGTTGAGGAAGAACAGGGCAAATGGCGTCGGCCCCAGCAGACCCATGACCACGTTCGTCGCGCATCGTCCCAGCCAGATGTCGATTCTCCTCGATAGAGTGCCGAGTCGAACGGTAAAGTCCTCGAGGGTGGGCTGGTCGTCGACATCGTACCACTTGGCGCTGTCCCAGCTCGGTTTCCGAGAGTTCGAGGGGCGGATGGTGGATATGGATGAGCTGCTGCTGCTTCTGCTGATTGGCGCCGAATGGATGGTCGTGGTCATTGTTGTAGTAGCCATTTAAGTGGCGAGAAAAGCAGTTGATGCTGAGTCTCTCGTGAACAAGAAGTCTCGCAGCAAGTTACTGAGGACTCAAGCAAGGACGAGGAACATGCGGTTACTGATGCACATGATATACATATCGCCACTTTCAACAACCCAGCCGCACAACACTTCCTACCCCGACAACCATACCGTCAATCCTCCGGAGCGTTCATCCAGACCCGTGTGCAGAGAAGCTCGACCCTCATTCGTCTGTGGTCCTGCCTAATGCGGAAAATGTCGGCCAATCAGGGAGAGGCAACAAGCCATGAGGTGGGATCAAGGGTCCTGGGGCGAAGGACGTCTCGCACCCACTTTCACCCACTTCAGCATACATTCCGAGTTGTGCCGACTGTCAGTCGTCTCGTCATGCATAAGATGGAAGCCCAAAAGTCACAGTGGAGATGCTCCGGGACGTTGAAGCCAGTGTGGCCTGGTGGGTCGGGTGATTGTCGTCTGACACGGTGCTGCACCCCGAAATCACGAGCATCTTCACTGTATCGTGCACACCACACGATGGAAGCTCGACGTCCTCTGCAAAGCTGCGGGACCTGCATACTGACGATGACAAAAAGGATGGAGTTGGGTGTCTCCCTCACCAGCCGCTGCAGGTACGCTTCATCTTGTGCTGGCCCTGACTCAGCATGAGTAACCTGATGGTGACACCTCTGTCTGGACGGCTTGTCAACGAGGCGAGGCTGGATCATAGCAAGTGGCTTCTCTGGTCACATGTAGGTGGAAGTGGGATTACTCAGGCCTTTCGTGGGAGACTTTCAATGGAGCGTCTTGATGCTCAACAGCACTTTGGAGCCCTCTCTCTACTCAAGGTACACACAGTACATCCGCTGCAGACCCCGCATTGTTATCGACGCTTATAAGCTGCTTCCAACATGGTTTCTGACAAATCAGTTGGGTCAGCATGGTCGAGGCCATCATGTTGCTCATTCACACTGTCAATGTCTACCCTTGGCTCGTCTGGTCTACTGCGCTTCAGTCCCACTCATCGATGCGGAGGCAAAGACGATGCAGCAGGCGAAAAGAAAGCGAGTCGTGCTCTGGAAGCCTACATCCGATTATTGCAAGACATGCCGGTCAGTGCGAAACCATGCAGAGCGAATACGAGATGCCCACGACTAACCGAATCCAGCAAACGGAAGATCAAGTGCGACGGGCTGCGGCCATATTGTCAGAAATGTCTGCGCTCCGGCATCACTTGCGAGGGATATAGTAGCTGGGAAGTGGCATTTCGAGACAATCACAGCGACAAGGCTCTCGTCCGAACGACCGCCGAACCCCAGCCCGAAGCCATGATCACTGCAGAAGCCGTTCACCGTGCCCAAATGCTCGCCGCTTTTATTCAAGATCGCTACCCGGCACATAAGGAGTCTCTCGGGCCGTACGCGCCTCATACCAACGAGTCTTCGCTACTGCACGTCTGCGCTCGGGTTGATATCAATTCACCGCCACTCCTCCTGCAGGCCATTGACACGATCTGCTTGGCCCATTTGGCAGGACGGTCGCAAGAATCTCGGACAATCTACGCCGCGTCTCTTTCGCGAGGACGGCTGCTGGCCACGCTACGATCAGCCGTGCTGGCCTATCAGCCATCTCGACCCCTACCCATTCGTGGCCCCCGTGCGCCACCTAGCAATGCGCAAAGTATCATGATGGCCATTGTGTTGATGAGCATCACGCCATCCTTGCCGGGCGAATCCACACAGCGCCAATCCACCGTGCATCTTCAGGGCATGCTGCAGTTCCTCATCAAGTACGGACCCTCGTTCCTCACGGGCCACCCGGAGGTCGACACAGCCCTGATTCGACAACTTCAGATTCAAGGCAACGTCCTCGGAATCGCCCGCCGCAGAAGCGTGGAATATCAGAATCCAGAGTGGGCGCGCGTGCCGCGTGTTTTTATGCAGGAAGACCAAGCAATCTATCGCGAAACAGGCTACCTCGCCAGCGACAACGTTACCACTTCTCGTTGGCGCCAGCCTACTTCAGTTGCCGCACCATCCACAGTCGATCGTAACCTAGTCAGGGATTTGATTGTGCCGACCCCTAAGCTGCTGGAGTCTGCCGACAACTTCTCCAAAGGACACGGACCTCATTCTAAGCATGCTCTTGATGCCATGTCCTCCGAAATCCGTCGTGCTCACGACGTTCCAGCGTTCAGTGTAGAGCCATCGTTCCGAGACGCCGAGAGGCTATCCCACGGCCCGGCGGTCAACTGTCTGAATATCGACGAGTTCGATACGAACATTGAAGAGCATGTCTATCTCTTCATTGCCCCGACAATCATCACTGAGCACTATCGTTTCACCTCGCCCAAGTACAGCTATCCTAGCATGGCTTTACGCTTTGCTAGCATTCTCACCGACTGCGCCATCCTTCAAGTCATCCGGTGCGGCGTAGAGCGCGACGGACTTGCGCCAGATTGGGCAGGAGTCGATGGGAAGGAAGTGGAGCGACGAGCTCGGCGGATTGCGCTTCAGATCTGCCAGCATGTTCACTACAAGAGCCAACGAGCGACGCTCACGGCTGCACGATTCCTCCGCGCCTACATCACCGCAGCCAAGAATTTGTTCGAGTCTGCGGAAGCGGAGGAGGAATTGGAGTGGTGTAAGGGCTGTCTGGTGGCGACCTCAGCACGCATCACACGCCTCGCAATGGCCTCCAATGCCTCTTCGATCTGTCCCATGACCGAGACGTACGAATTGATGGCTGAGGGCTGTCGGTATGTGAGGCGCGGTTTTTGAAGCACGCCTGCATCTCGAAACATTGCGACAAGAGGATGCAGGTCCAAGGGATTTCCGATGCAAACTACAGATGCCGGAAGACCTACTCCCCAACCAGAGACAATACATTCCTGCGCAGGCCATGAGGGGACCGCACTCACGGCCGACGCAGGTAATACTTGGTGTACGCCCACCATCCCCAAACACCCACCCCAACCGGAACCAGCAGCTTGGTTGCTTGCTTGGCCACGATCTGCAAACCTCGTACATTAATCCACTTGTACCTGGCCCGCACAGTGGCGCGGTCATGCAGAGATGGGAACGGCGTCTCGGGCGCCTCCTTTTCAAGAAACTCGCACAATGGCGCCCACCCACTCCCCAGCTTGTACACGAGCAGGCGATCGGCAGGAACAACCGCACGCACGAGACGATTGTGCTCGCGAAACATGGTTCGAGCCTTGGCGCTCATCTCGGCCTCGGTCTTGCACTTCCACCACAGACGCACCCACGCCTGCTGCATGTCGCGCACCGGGCCTACGACGTCCGGGTCGATGTTGCTGACAAAGTGCATGTCCCACCGAAACAAGGCGTGCTGCGTCGTAGCAGCGTACGAGTTGTACCAGGCGTCTTCGTCGCGCTCGACGAGGATGATTTTGGCGTTGGGGTAGGAGGCGACGAGTTCCTCGACAAATGCAAAGGCTGGGGGATCGGCAGAGACGGCATTGTAGCCTTGGAAGAGGACGTCGAAGTCGGCGCGGGTAGGAGGCGTGTTGTTTGCGTATTTGCCTTCCATCGCCGCACCCCAGCGGCGACATTGGGCGTTGTCGCCGAAGCATAGCGTTGAGTGCCAGCATTTGTAGCCTAGCTGATCGAGCGCCGCTTGCATGGCTGTGTATCATTCCAGGAGCATTAGTCGATTTTACATTTCCCGTCAGTGGGAGAAGGCGTACACATCGTTCCGCATCTTGGAAAGCTGAGGTTGAAGACTTGAACTTCGCCAGCCTTGTTGCTGTCGGGGAGTGACATCTTTATTCGGCTTGGAATGTGATGCTGATGGGGGCAGATGTCGAGGTGTTGTTACCACTGTGATGGCTTGTTTAAGTAATTTGATCATTCACTCAGGTCGCAGCTCTGAAGTTGAGGTCGACAACCAGGGCGACGTAAGGTGAGATTTTAGCGCGAGTGACTGTCGTAAACCAGTGATCTGCAGGATGAGTCTGTTTCTGGTGACAGCCTCGACGTAAGCACCGTCTTCATTCCACCAGGCGCGCAGTGATTGTCTTTCTGTCATCTCATTCTGACATTAGTCCTACCACCTCTATTCATATAATCTAAACGGCCTGATGACGGACGTGCAAATGGCACAGACTCTGTACATAGCTGATGACCGATGCCAGACCTGACTCGTCGACTATAACCGTCCGTCTTCTTTTCTACTGTGCCATGTTAGCAACAAGCCCATCAACGAGGTGCCCATTTTCAAAACACTCACATATTAATGCCATAATCTTGGTAGGGAAAATCCTCCAGAGAAGGCAGGAATTTCGCCCACCCGTCGTTCAACTCTCCCGGCGCACCCTTCTTCCTTTCCGAGCCGTCGGCGGCGACTACGCCAATCTCCTCATTCTTCTCTTGCACCTCTTTGTGCTCTCCCGTCAACCCAGCAAGGACCTCCGCCTCCCGCCCTTTGTATTCGTTGAGTAGTCCCGGGTGAGGACACCACACCACTTGCATGCCTGCTCTTCGTCCCGACTCCACGCCCGGCACACTATCCTCGAAGACCAAGCACTCCGCCGGCGTAATTTCCTTCCCACCCTCCTTCCTCAACCGTGCATTTATCGTCTCCAGTGCCACCAGATAGATGTCCGGCGCCGGCTTGCCCCTCCCCTTCCCAATCCTCTCGTCGTCTCCCAACACCCGGTTCTCGTCCGCAAAGACAGCAAACAACTCCTCCAAATGGCCCGTCTTGAGTTTGAAATTCATCGTCTGACTACTCGTCGCCAACGCAATCTTGACATCCGTCTGCTTGCCCAATATGCGCAACAGCTCTGGCACGCCCGCCAGCGGTTTGCAAGTGGGGAAGTGCGTTTTCTGCAATGCCTGGACTTTGGTGTAAAACTCTTCTCGCGAGAGGGGCAGCTTCGCCCATTCCCAGAAGATGCCACCGGCTTGTGGCGCCGGACGGCCTTGCAGTTGTGCTTTTATGTTCCACGGAACGCCGGGTCGGCCGTATTCGCGCAGGACTTCGTTTGTGCAGATGGTGTATTTGTCTTCGGAGTCGATGAGGAGGCCGTCCATGTCGAAGAGGCAGGCGCGGATGGGTGGGAGGGGTCTTTGCTGTGGGGTTAGCTGTGAGCGAGAGTGGTTTGGGCTGATGCTTGGATTTGGGCATACGGTTTGGAAGCCATGGTTGCGGGATGTTCCAGTTGGTTTCGTGGAAAAGAGGCTGCGAGTCTCGAAGGACTGGGGAGACTGTACTTGATCAATGCCTCGTGGATTATGCCTCCCGATATGCGACAAGATGGGAGCTCGGTGTATGAAGTTGGGAAAAGTCGGGTGACGTGAATCAATGTTGCTTAGTCATGACGATGCGGCCGAAGACGGCAGGCCTGGAGAATGAAGTAGAGTCGGGATCATGAGTCTATTATTTACTTGAATTAGAAGAAGTATTAACTCTAACATCCGTAGTCCCAATCATGAACGCCGCATTCGCGATGGTGTAAAAAATCAAGGCCTGAATCAATCAATCTCGATCAGCGCCGGGCCAAAGAGCGTAACGGCAGCGACATCATCGGCGCTGGAGAAAGGCCCGGCAATATCGGTGATCACGGCCAGGGTGAGCCCATTCATGATGTTCTCCTCATATGGCAGAGACACGTCAAAGGTGACGGTGTTGCCACTCGTCCGGATGTTTCTTGGCTTCTCGACAATCGGCAGGTTTTGCTGGTTCTGGTAGACCAAGCTCATAGAGCTCGTGTCTGTTCCGTTGTTGGTGAAGGAGAAAGTAAGGGTCTGGTCTTTTGCTTCGACATTGGGAGTCTCGAGCTTGAGAGGGCCCAAGATGGGAAGGTCGATGATGTGGGCGTTGGGACACGAGCCCGGGACGATGAAGTTCTGGTTGAGAGCGAAATATGCCCAGGGGCCGGTAGAGCGAGTAAGGAATGGCAGCTCCGAAGGGACAAGGTCGAGAAGTGACCTATAGTACCCGGTTTGTTCACCCTCTGGCTGCAAGTCAGCTTACGGGAGCCAATTGACTGAGACTCTGGCCACTCACCTTGGCCAATGATGGCACCGATCAATCCGACATACTCATCGTCGCCATTGACAGCCAGGCCATTCTGCGCATCTTGCAGCGTACCCATCACCACATCGGTGAAAGTCCGCGCCAAGCTGATCGCCGAGTCAAAGTTGTCGCTGGGAAAGATGTATTCACAAGGCTGGATCGCCTCGGCGCCCGCGGCAGTGAGAATGGCATTTGCACCGAGCGCATGTAGCTGTTCCTGTGCATGAACCGCCCGCAGTGCCTTCACCACGGATTTCTGCACCTCTGGGCTCCCCACGCCGAAGCCTGCGACGTTGGAGGTGATGTTCCTCAGGAGAGAGGAGAAGAAGGCCACTTCGAAGATCTCGTTGAAAGCGATGAGTTGGAAGCTGGTAACGTCGGCCGGGGCTAGTTTGCTTGCCAGCGGAGTGTTGGGGAGCGTGCCATGAGCGGCCTTCTCGATCGTGGTGAGTTTTGTGCTTGGAATTTGGATGTTCGGGAAACCGTTGGGCAGCGGGAACTTGAACGGAGTCTGAGATGCCGACGCCGGGGATGTTGCGGTCGAATACCAGCCCGGTCCGCCATGAGCAGCTGGGAGAGCGAGGGCCAATTGAGAGCCCAACAAGGCTGCTGAGAGAATGGTGGAAAGCATGGTGCAGTTCTTGATGCGCGGACGATGTGAATGAGGTGGGATGGAAGAAGCAGTATGAGATGGAAGTGCGAGCGGTATTTAATACCCCGTCATCGCTGTGCGACAGCATACCTTTGTGCATTTTTGGTAAATGGTGATCCAACAGAGTCGTACGTAGTGACAAGGGATGACGGAGGCTATGCTTGGCTGAACATTCTTAAGATGACGATTCCAGACGATCGGCGGCTGAGCGAGGTGCCGTGGAATGCATGTGCACTGCTCGTCGACAACAACGTCTTTTCCAGAATATCGATGGCGGAGGATGAGCAGAGGCTGAGATTTGGCTGCAGTCAGCCCAAGCATCGGAATAGAGTCGAGGGTTAACTTAGGGTGTCGGCGTGCGTGGTCCAGGGTGAGATCGATTCTGATTCGCCGACTGGCGCTTGCCCCTGCCGCTGGCGGTCTATATGCGGAAACCGGGGTGGCTTAGCGCAAAGAACTACATCCGCGGATTGTGTTATATCGACCATGGACCTCACTGGAATCAGAGGTGGAATTCCAGAATAGCGCTGACACGGAAGACGTGACTTCCGACAGGGCTGTCAGTCGTGAGAACAGAGACATCACTGTACGCAAGCATCTGCCTGGTATGCTGGGCAAGCACCACTCGGTCACATCAACTTTTTCATCACCTCGACTCCAATCCGCATGAATTCCCGGTCCTTCGACTTCTTCATCGCTGTCGTCAGCATGTCTTTCCCATTGTGCTGCTTGACAGTCTCGACGCCGCGTTGGCCGACATCCCCCGGCGCATTAACAACATTGCCTAGACAGGCAATCCCCCGATGACTGACTTCATCACTCTCGTCCGTGCACATCCTCAGCAATGCTTTGACGCCATTCGGCCCTGTATCTTTGTCCTGATCGAGGATGGCTGTGACCGCCGCATCCCATTCCGTCAGCATGGCAAGGGCGCCACCAGCCGCACGGCGAGTTGCCATATCCGTAGCATCGGTTAGGGCAAGGAGGATCTGCACACGCGTCGCCTCTCGCTTTGATCCGTCGCCTACAAACTTGGCCGCGCAAGATGGCGAGTTCATGAGGTTGCAGATGAGCTCTACGCTGGCCCGTTGGACGAGAGTGTTTGGCGACAGAAGCAGCTGATCCTCGAGAGGTGTCCACACAAGACGAATCTCCAGATCTCGCACATTCTCATCGTCCATTGACGCCAAGTTTGTGAGCGCAAGGAGTGCTTCGAAGGTGGGCAAGAGATCTCTTTGTTCCTCGTCCGAGTTCAACGTAAGCAGCGGAGACAGAGCGCTGACGGCATTCGATGCGGGTAAGCCAGACGAAAATGTGTGATCGGGGTTCAGAGAGATCAGCAGCCGAGCGAGGGCGTGGGCAGAGGTTGTCCGAATACTCGTCGCTTCCGCGTCACTGTCCTTGAGTCTGCTCGTTCGCTCATGGATCTGTAGAAGAATCTTCACTGCGCCTTGTTGTGCCATCTTGCTTCGGTGTTTCTGCTCTCTTGCAAGGGCAAGCAAGATACCGGTGATGAGCGCCAAGATGTTCGGCGAGGATGCGTGCCTGCAGCATTCCCCCAAAGCGGGTACGACATCTGCTTCGAGGACCATTCGACATCGTCCCGTCACGTGTGCATTATCGTCTAGAGGATCCTCGGGCGCCGGTTTGGAAGAGTTGGCGTAGGCTTTGAGCTGCGAAATCTTCTTCTGCTCCTCCGTCAAATTCCGCCGATATAATGTCAAGTTTGTAAACACCGTCAGGCATCCAAACGTCGCTGTCGATCGAGTGCGCAAAGTCATGGCCAGCTTTTTGAGCAGCTGTTTGTTGTTTGCAATCTCCTCTTTGACGCTGGGACGCAAAGAAGTAAACGCAAGACCTTCGACCGCTTGATCAGACTCGCGGTCGTCAGCAAGGACAAGTCCCTCAAGCTTTGCAGTAACATCGTCCTCCGGGTCGTTGCTAATCTTTGCCAGAACGAGAGCCGCAAGTGCTTTATGTCCACCTTCACGTTCGTCCATGAGCGTGTGGAGCCACTGCGAGCAGTACCTCTGAATTGCCTCTCGACACGCACCGTCCACGCATGCGGCACTGAGAAGCTCGAGGGCGGCGGATTCCAGGGTATTGCTCTTACTGCGATCATATCAGTCGTCTAATGTCTTAAATCTAAACGAAAGGTCTCTCGGGCCCGACTGACCCCTGCCCAGCTTGCCCATGTGCCGAGTTTCTTTCCAAATTCGGCGCAAGTCGTTGCACGAAGCCGTCAGTCAGGAACAAGCGCGCGGCAACTGGAGTTATGATGGGGAAGACGGCGGCGGCGGCAGAAAAGACAACGATGAGGTCTTCATTCGTGCCTTTTGCCGCTCGGCCGGTGATGAAGTCTGAAAACAAGGCTTCCCCTTGGTCGCCAGTGGTTTGGAGGAGTTTGGAAGTTGCAAGCGTTGCTTGACTTCGAAGGGCAACGGGCAAGCGATAATCGAGGCATGAGAGGACGGCATCCACTACGTCCTCATCGATGATGGGAGCGAGATTCTCCGCAGCCATTGACAGAAATCGGGCCATGGCTCGCATCACCCAGTCCAAGCGTTCCCCTCCAGCCTCGATCAAGGTGGCGACACAGAGACGAAAGACGTCTTGCTGCGCTGCTGCTTGACTTTGCTTGCTCGACCAAAGGGCATCTTCTAGCGGGGTTGAGGTCAAGGCATCAAACGTTGCCTCGCCGGCTCTGAAGAAGCATTCGAAAGTTTCCGTGGCCTTGGCTGACAGTCTCTCGGCGACAACCTTCCGCGCGTCGATGTTACGTGACAGTAACGTGCTTGTCAGGGTATCCGAAAGGAGAGCATCTTGTCCTGCCCGCAGAAGGATATCGATGGCCGATGAGGCATCGTGGGAGGGCATGGACCTCGACCTCAAGGCCTGTAACGCCTTTTGGCCACCGGACGAATCATTGCTGGCAACATACACTCGCAACAGGTCAAGCGTGTTCCCATTCTGTCCGTCGTGATTTTGGAGGGCCAGCCATTTGGCCTTGACGTCTGGATTCTTCCCATCAAGACGAGACGCCTCCTGCAGAGCCTCGGCGGCGTGCTGAAGTTGATTGGCGCGAATGAACTCCTCGGCTTTGGAGAGCAACTCGGAGACTCGGGTGGGAAGAGTGTCTGTCGACATGACCAGCCATATTACCACGCAGTCTGGTCATTCTAAGATGGGCGAGGAGAGTCGCGTGCGTGTTTGACGGACACATGGCGATTCCATGATGTTTCGAGGTGGGGCTGGCGCGGGCCACGTGCAGTCTTCGTCATCGGCGTCGGCGGGCATTACCTAATCCGGCCGGAGCATGCCACGCGATCACATCATGCCAGCCACTCCGGCATGACACCAGCCTGGGATCAGGCATCACTTCTACCTACATCCTACACCTCCACGATTCGATCCTGTGTGCGACAGCAGCATCGCCGCATCCCTCCTCCAGCGACATCATGCTCAGATAGCCCCAACCACCTCGTATCTTGGAGAGCGAGGCGCAAGCCGATAGGGTGGACATGTCCTCCCGGCCCACGAGCAGCCGCAGCTCCCGCGGGAAACTGCAGACGCACGATAGCGACAACATCGAAAGGCTCGACTACAAGCCCGGCGGCCGCCTTCTCGTCCCTGATCCCGCCCACACCGCAAGAGGTCGGAGTGAAGAGCGCAGTATCGCCGGCAGCTTCTTTTCGGAGGTTGCAGAGGGCATCGCCCAGCAAGATCGGGCAAAGATGAAGAAGCAGACCATGCGATACATCAGCTTCGCATGGGCTCTGTTCGCCGCCCTTGGCGCCGGCGGCATCACCGCATTCTCCCTGTACGGGCCCTTGTTCCAGCAACGCCTACACTATTCTCAGCTGCAGGTCAACGGCGTCTCCATTACCGCCGAACTCGCCCTGTACCTGCCCGTTCCGCTGTGGGGTGCTCTATGTGACCGAGTCGGCCCGGGCATACCTTCCTTGATTTCAGGAGTATTCTTCGCCGTTGGGTATCTTCTTGCCGCATTTGCATACAAGAGCGGGCCGCCGCCTGGGCAGGGAGGCGATGGCTGGCCATACTGGGTGATGGCTTTTGCTTTCATCCCCATTGGTACCGGCACCAGCTGCATGTACTTGTCTGCTGTGACCACGTGCGCCAAGAATTTTGGTCGTGGGAAATACAAGGGCATAGCGCTGGCGATGCCGATTGCATGTTTTGGACTGAGCGGCATGTGGCAGTCTCAGGTCGGCAGTCACTTCATCTACGAAACCAACCCGGATGGAAGCAAGGGTGAGCTTGATGTCCACCGCTACTTCCTCTTCCTTGGAATCTTCCTACTCGCCATCGGTATTGGCGGCTTCTTCGCCCTACAGATCGTGGACGAGGCAGATCTCATCGACGAAGCAATGGACGAGCTGGAGAACAGCGGGCTACTCGAAGACAGCGAAGTCTTCCAACGCCTCACCAGCAGTCGCCATCTTGGCTATGGAACGGATAGCAATGGAGATCGCCGACTCAGTGTGGAAGAGATCACCGAGCTCCGGCGCAAGGCGGAAGAAGAGGAGGCGCGGCAACTGGAGCAGAAGCTGAGAAAGACATGGCTGCTGAATGAAGAGACGCGACGCTTTCTTGCAGACAGCACGATGTGGTGGCTTGCAGCGGGATTCTTTCTCGTCACTGGACCAGGCGAGGCGTTCATCAACAACATGGGGACGATAATTGGCACGCTGTACCCGCCGCCAGATAGCCTGTCAGGCCCCAGCGCCATGAAGCAGACCAGCGCGGCGACGCACGTCTCCATCGTGGCCATCACCAGCACGCTTGCTCGTATCCTTACTGGCACGCTCACCGATCTCATCGCGCCGAGTTCTGACCCACATCAACACCGCCGTGGACCCAACAGCCTAGGGAATAGTCTGGCTTCTTTGCCGCATTCCACGTCGACTGAACGGACCGGCCGCTTTCAGCTGTCTCGAGTGGTGGTACTAATCACCTTTGCAATCATCATGTCCATCGGCCAAGTCATCCTCGCCAGTGGGGCGCTGCAAGGCCATGGGGATAAATTCTGGCTGGTCTCTGCATTCATCGGCTCCGGGTATGGCGCGGCATTCAGTCTCACGCCAATCTGCATCAGCGTGATTTGGGGGGTGGAGAACTTTGGGACGAATTGGGGAGTGGTGGCCACTGTCCCAGCGATAGGCGCCACGATCTGGGGACTGATCTATTCGTGGGTGTATCAATGGGCGGCGGAGAGGAGGACGGCGACATTGGACACGCCGACCGATGACATTCTGTGCTACGGCGCCATGTGCTACGCGCCTACCTTTTGGACAATGGCAATATGCATTTGGATGGCGTGTGGGTTCTGGATCTGGGCATGGAGGGGACCGAATGGATGGTATAGAAGGGGCATAGCGGTGTAGAGAGACAGCGGCATAATGATCAGTGTAATAATATGTGATGAGACCTGTGCCTGGTGTCACTGCATCCTCGATGTCGGGGTGGGCGGGACAAGGTTTCGGCTACGGCAGCCGCGAAGGCCAATCCCGAGACAGGCAGGCACGCACGGGGCTCCGCCCATCCCACCACTGGCCGCCTTTTCTTTGCAACGTGCTCTGCCTCCTCTCCGCTAGCCTCACCACGCCGCGACTCCCCATCCTCCTCTGCCGCCCTGCATCCTCTCTGATTCGATCCCGGACCCGCTAGCGAACTAGCCGACGCCCAGACAACGTGACTGGATCCCGCGCAACCCCCGGCACCGGCTCGTGCGTTCCGCGGCGCGGGAGCGACCTTGCACTGCGTCAGCCATTCGCTTTGCTCGCTGCCAGGGCGTGGCCGCTGAACTGGGCCCAATGTCCTCATGCCAGCTTCTTCTGTCCCTGTCCGACCTTCTCCCCGACTCCGACACGATGAGGCGAAAGCGGTGGAGGGTGCAACTGCGGTGAGACGAGCAAAGGGCACACAAAAGGCACGAGCGAAGCCTGCTCCTTCCTCTCTATCTCCCCATCTCCCCGAGCACAATGTCGCCGCCTCCCCGCCGTCGGGGCCCGATCTCTCCCTCTCCACCCTCTCCGCTGGCGACTCCATGACTTTGTCGCCACCCGCTCATTCACTCGACTCGATCAACGAGGCTGCGGATCAAGACCCTGCGGGCATGGAGGTGTCGGCACCACCGTTGCGGAGTTCGAGTGAGCCTCACAATGAAATACTAAAGGGCGCGAGCCCACCGCTATCCTCTCAGATGCTGGTAAATCAGCAAAGCCCGGCCGGGCAAATACTTGGCAAGAGATCGAGCATGTCACAACACTCCCATCGCCGCTCTCTCGTCGATCTGTCGGGACTGCCCGTCGCCGACCTGCTGCGCGACATCAGTCTCCAAGAAGTCCTCGATCTGCCTTCTACGCCAAAAGCTGGGCCGGTAAGATTTGACGATGAACACACCGAAGCGCTCAGCGCGGAACGAGAGCAGTATCGATCATGGCGATTGGGAAAGGCGAAGATTAATGGTCTATCGATTGCGGACTCTCAACGGCGCAAGAGTCGATTCGAGCTGGGTGTGGCCAAGATTATTGATGCGCAGCTGCCCAAAGCCGAGCCATCGATAGCGAATGTGCGGAGTCGCAAAACGAGCCATTATCTGGGTTTGTTTAGAGATCCGGAGCAAGAGGAGCGCAGCAACGATGGCAATATACCTGTCGCATTGACTCCAGCAATGGGCGAGACGACCCCTACCGAAAATCGCGCAGCCAAGCCAGTCCGCAGTGAGGGACAAATCGCCCCAGCTACGGCAGAGACCCCCACAGCCACTTCGCGTCCCGCCCACAACCTCCCATTGGATCTCTTGGAAGATATTCGAAATCATCATCACCTGGTACCAGGAGTTGCTCGTAGCACTGCATACCACAAGACTGTCCCCGAACACGATAGCGAGCACCGTCGGAAGCAAGAGCTCAAGTTCAAGCTGGACCAAGATGAAGAGTCGGATCGTGAACACATCTCCTCCGCCACCTACTTCCCCCATCAAGGTGTTGCGATTGATGATTCTCCGCGAGATGATCAAATGGTGCAACACAAAGTCATCGAGGACGTCCCGACAACCTTCCGACGAGAGTCCAGCTCGGACGTTGACATTGCTCTGCGTTCCGAGCGCGCTCAGGATTATCTACATGGCGACATGTCCATGTCTCGTGCGCCGTCTCTCGCAGATTTTGAAGAGCTCCCAAAGCCTTTGATCGACAATGATCGGATGTTCTCAGACTCTGAATACGAGTCCATGTCGGAAGGTTACGAGACTGCGGTGTCGGAGCATGAAGAGACGACACCCACCGCGACGCCTCAAACACACATGGGCATTGCGATCCGCTCTCCAGAACAACGGAAATCACAACACCCTCCACCTCCAATCGGAGCCGTGGAACTCAAACCCTATAAACACCAAGTCGGTGGCCACACGACTGTGTATCGCTTTTCTCGCCGTGCAGTGTGCAAACAGCTCAACAGCAAGGAAAACATCTTCTACGAGACCGTCGAGAAGAACCATCCGGAACTGCTGGGGTTCATGCCCAAATACATTGGCGTTTTGAACGTGACGTATCGCAAGGAGCAGAAGAAGCGCCGGCCTACTGCAGTGGAGCAGGCAGACGTGAGCTCAGCTTTGCAGAAAGACGTAGCTGAGCATGGCGGGGGTGATGGCACAAACCCCATTGAAGATAGAGCCAACTACCCGCGCATCTTCAGTCATTCTCATCAGACCCCATCCGCGATTCCACAAGTCATTCTCGAGAATAACAGGCATCTGATCCCGGAAAGTCTGTTTGGTCTACCGCGTCGATCGCTGACTCCGGATCTACACCGAGCAAGTTCATCTCCTCCCCAGCGACTGGGCGGTCAAAGCGACGATGAGTCGTCTGGCAGAGGCTTCCGCCCGCATCTGCGAGCCAAGTCGAGCTGGGGCTACACCACCGTCAACGAAGGCTTGCGCGACAGGGTGTTGCGGGAGGTCTTCACGCCACCCGTCATCCACCGGCATGATCGCCGACACCGGGCACATCCGTCCCGACCTTTTCGCAAGTTTAATAAATCCATCCAGGACGATATGCCGTCTCTGGAGCGATACAATACCGCCGATTCTGCATCGATGCTACGTGAGGAATCCCACCACGCCATCAAGAAGAAAGAGCCACTGCACCGACATTTGGAGCGCGCTCGCTCGGAGAATGTAGATCTCGATACGTTCCGTCGGGATGGAGCATCTGGACTTAGCAGGAGCGTACACGAGATCACCGGCGAGCAATTGCAACCCATTACAACCACCACCAGCAACAAATCACACCGACGGCGGCATTCCGGAAGCGGCCTCCTCCGTAAACCGAGAAGCGTCGAAGGCAGCAGAGGCGATCTGCAATACCACGAAGACGAAGCGTATCGCGCGGATGGGGAGGGAGAAGAGATGTTTGAGATTGAAGATGTCAATCGAGGCCCAACCCAAGCCAACTCAGAGCTGCTGATCAATGTTGAAAAGGCGATGGCAAAGGGCGAAGAGCCAGTCAAGGTCGATTCGGCAGCTTTGGAGCCTGCCTTTGAGTTTGCTGCGGATCCCGAGCCTCGCAATCCCGAGACATCCCTCGTTCAGCATGATGAGCGAGTGGAGCATTTCCTCCTCCTCGAAGACTTGACGGCTGGGATGCAGAAGCCGTGCGTGTTGGACTTGAAGATGGGCACTAGGCAGTACGGTGTGGAAGCCACCACACAGAAACAGGCATCTCAACGGCAAAAGTGCCAGACGACCACCTCCCGTGAGCTGGGCGTGCGCATCTGCGGCATGCAAGTCTACAACGTCAGGCAGCAGACGTACGAGTTCCAGGACAAGTACTATGGACGTGATGTTGTTGCCGGTAACGGGTTCAAGCACGCCTTGAAGAGCTTCTTCTTCGACGGCATCGGGCATGCACAAGCGCTCAAGCACATTCCCATGATTCTCGACAAGATCATGGCGCTGGACCGCATCATCCGGGCGCTCCCCGGCTACCGACTATACGCGAGCAGTCTACTCATGATTTACGACCGTGGAGATGCAGATGTGCATGGCAAATACCGCAGCAGTCTACGCCATCAGACGCATCACCATGACAAGGCGGCCCCGTATCCCGACATCAAGCTGAAGATTGTCGACTTTGCCAATTGCGTCACCGCCGAGGATGAAGAGGTGGTCAAGCGCAAGCCGTGTCCGCCTCATCATCCGGAGGACGTGGATCGAGGATATCTCCGGGGGCTGAAGACGCTACGCACGTATTTACAGAAGATATGGGAGGAGTTGAACCAGCAGCGCATTGCAAGGAATGGAGAGGAGGTGGATGGGGTGGTTTTGAGTGTTGCGAGTGTGCTGCAGGGGCGGGAGGATGACATGTTTGTCGATCCGGGGGAAGTGAGCGTGTGAGAAGGCTTCGAGCTTTTCCATTCCTTGCTGATTAGCCTGGCGTTGGCGGCCGCTTAGCCTTACAGTCTTTATTCAATTTTGCTTCTCACATCCGACTCGATGCCGATTATGCAAGCTTGCCGGGTACAAATGGATGGCCAGCTGAGAGGCCTCCACATACGGGGATAGCCTGGCCGTTTACCTGAGAGCCGTTAGTACGAATCATGAGTGTGAGGTGGAGAAAAACTCACATAGCTGGCCTCATCCGATGCCAAAAACAGCGCAACCCGGGCAACCTCATCCGACAACCCGCCCCTCATAAGCGGATTCAACTGCCCAATCTTCCTCTCGGAGCCCTTTGCGCGCGCAGCCTCGTACACCTTGATCGTCATGCCCGTCTCGATGATGCCGGGGCAGATTGCGTTGCAGCGTATACCCGTGCCCGCGAGCTGGTACGAGGAGGTCTGCATGACGCTGATGACGGCCGCTTTGGAGGCGGAGTAGTCAGTTGCACCAGCGTTGGAGCGTAGGCCGGCGACGGATGCGGTGCCGAGGATGGAGCCGCTGGGGTAAGGCTTTTCGTCGGAGGTGACGAGCATGCCGCGGGCGCCATGCTTGACGGCGAGGAAGACGCTTGAGGAGTATTAGAGGGTGGAGTTCGGTTCGTGTGGGGATTTACTCACCTCAAGGCATTGGTCTTCATCGTCTGCATAAACTTCTCCGCCGAGCCGTCGAGCACTCTCTCCGTAGTGATGCTGATGCCGCCATTGGCATAGAAGACGTCGAGCCGGCCGTACTTTTCGAGCGCGAGGTTGACCACGCCCTCCACGTCCGCTTCTTCGCCGACGTCTACTTTCTGCGGGTGGATGGCGACGTCCGGGTAGAGGGAGTTGAGCTCGCGCTTATGCGTTTCGAGGTGCTGGGTGTTGAGATCGCAGAGGAAGACGGCTTTGGCGCCATTCTGGGCGAAGAGATGCGCGGCTGCCCGTCCGATTCCAATGGGTGAGTTGGTGCCGGTGACGATGATGACTTTGCCTTTGAGTCGGCTGCGGTGTGGTCAGCGAGTGTGCTTGCAAGGGGTGGGCAGAATGCTTACGGCCCGGTGGAATCGCCAGCTATCCGCGGGATCTTGGGGATGTCTTCGAACTTGCCCGGGTCCTGACGGGGCACGGCGAGTTGTTCGCTCAACTGCTGCACACGGGCCTTTGAAGCGGAAGACATGCTCTATATAGGCGTGATGTTGCGGTGAAGAGGTGCTAAACGGGGTGCAATGCATGACGGGTGAGGTCTGATCGAGCCCGTCGTCGAAATGGGCCGAGGCTATTTTGGAGGCACTCGAAGCTGGCCAGTCGACCTTGAACATCACTCCAACGACATGCCACCCACTTGTTCCGTACTGGCAAAGTCGGTGTACTTGTTTCTCGGGTGGAAGGAGCAGAGATCATCTGGGTCACGCGACGAGAGCAGCTGCAGTTACGAGCTCATGACGATGACAGGGCCTTATGAAGGGAGAAGCCCTCAACGGCGTTGCCCTGGAGCTGACATTGGCTGCCGATATCATCGACCCTGCGCGGATGTCATACGCTAATCAACTGTACCCGTTTCCAATGGCAGACTCGTCTCCTTAATGGGCCCCTCGCGAGCAGGACAGCCGCTGCTGTGACAGCTCCGAGGAATGCCGCCAGAATACAGCGTCGAGTGCCGAGCGAAGGTATCGTCATGACAAAGAACCATCAATCCGGTCCAGTGCACACGCGCACGAGTTCCGACGCACGACTGAGGACGAGCATTGTTGGAATGCACGTGCTGCTCTTTGGCCGTGCGTGAGCGTCTCCATGTCAGCCCGAGATCTTTCGGCCGACATTTCTCGGCCCAGGTTTGGTAAGCGGCTCGCATTGGTAAGGTGCGATCACGTGACATGCAGCCTCGCCCACTACAGATAGGTATAAATGCCCTTCTGGACTACAAGTCGATCTGGCGCACTCAATCTTCAATGCTTTGCGTGCCCCATTGCTTCCAATCGACCATTGTTCTATTCCCTCGACTCCTCCAGACGCACGACACCGCCTTCATTTCGAGCTGCTCCCGCAAGCATGTCCGACTTCATCCGCAACACGACTCTCGGGGTGATTATCCGCTTCGTCACTCGCAACACACACCTGCAGTATCCGGAGGAACGACGGGATTTTGAGCTCCCCGAGTCCTACGTCAAAGCTGTCGAAGCCGCGCAACAACGCTTCCCGGCGGCGCGAGATGCATCGCTGGATCGTGCCTCACTCAAAACCTCTGCCAGCACCGGACCCACTTTCGACCCGGCCATACAAGAGAGGAAGATCGTGCAATTGGAAGTGCCCGATGTCATAAACCACCAGACGCAGCCGACCCTGCTGGCCGATGGCACGATTCTCGTCGACTGGTACAACCCGACAGATCCCGCCAACCCCCAAAATTGGACCTCTAGGAAAAAAGCACTGGTATCAGCACTAATTCTTTGCTATACCTTGGCGGTCTACGTGGGCTCGGCCATTTGCACGCCAGGGTATGGTCAAGTCATGGAGCTTTTTGGTGTCTCGCGCCAGCTCGTCTCGCTCACACTCTCCATGTACGTCCTCGCCTACGGCATCGGCCCCATGCTCTGGTCACCTTTGTCAGAGATTCCTTCGATCGGACGAAACCCGCCCTATATATTCACTTTCGCAATTTTTGTCATTCTGACAATCCCTACTGCGCTTGCCGACAATTTCGCTGGCCTCGTTGTCCTACGATTCCTCCTTGGTTTTTTTGGAAGCCCATGCCTAGCTACTGGTCCCGCGACTCTAGGGGATCTGTATCCTTTGGTCAAACTCCCCTATGCTTTATCACTCTGGGCCTTCGCTGCAACAAGCGGACCCGCGATTGCCCCTCTGATATCGGGATTCAGCGTCCCGGCTGAGGGGTGGCGCTGGGCTTACTGGGAGATGCTGTGGCTCTCGGGTCCAATCTTGATTGCAATGTTCCTCCTCCTCCCGGAAACCTCTTCGGCCACGATTCTTCTCCGCCGCGCGCAGCGTCTACGCGCTCTTACCGGCAACCCCTCCTTCAAGAGCCAATCAGAGATTGACCAATCGACTCTTCAAATCCGCGACGTTGTGATCGAATCTCTCTGGCGTCCGATGCAGATGATGTTGCTTGACCCCTCGATTGCTTTCACCGCGCTTTACAGCGCCCTCATCTACGGCATCTTCTACTCCTTCTTTGAATGCTTTCCCCTGGTCTACATCGGTATGCATCGCTTCAATCTCGGCGAGGAAGGCATTGTGTTTTTGTCCGTCAACGTCGGCGCTGCCATTGCAATCGTCATGTACTGGAGCTACATCTACCGGGTCTTCGAGCCTGCCGTACGCGCTCATACCCTCGGTCCACCCGAGCGTCTGCTTCGTCCCGCCCTACCCGCCTCATTTCTTTTCCCAATCGGCTTGTTCATCTTTGCATGGACCTCATCGCCGGAGATTCCCTGGATAGCCCCCACGATCGGCATTGCAGTTGTCCTCACCGGCATCTTCATCGTCCTGCAGTGCATCTTCCTCTACCTCCCGCTGTCGTACCCGCGATACGCCGCCTCGCTATTCGCCGGCAACGATCTCGCGCGTTCGTCTCTCGCTGCCGCCACGATTCACTTTTCACAGCCGCTGTATGATAACCTGGGCGTCAGCAGAGGTGTCACACTACTGGCAGGGTTGACGGTGGGCTGCATTGCGGGAATCTTTGCGCTGTGGCATTACGGAGACAAGTTGAGGGCGAGATCCAGATTTGCACAAAAGTGAGGACGTCGCAGGCCTACTTGCGACTTCGTCGTTCCACAGTTTTGTGGAGGGCATAGAGTATTGTGATTATAGACTGATCCTTTCGCGCTCCTGTCCTTTTATCGCGTATCTTATGCGTCATTCTACGATGCTGCTCGATAGTCTAGCTGCAAGGGAACCCAATGTACTGGCTCCCACCTTGGCCATGTTGCTGACTTCGGCGAGCATATCGAGACGCGTGTTAGCCTGCTTCACCGCCTGGCGGCATTGAATCCGCGTCAAGAGAGCCACCGTCTCTCCAAGTGGATCAATACCCAGCGGACGTAGTGGCGCGTCTGCGCTTGAGGTTGTGCCCGGGAAGTTGACGTCCATAAGTAGCCTCATCAGGACAACGGCGGCCTCGAACGTGGGCATGATGATGGTTGGTAGGCGAGTGTGGGAGTTGCCTAGCATGGTGTGTAGCTTGGCAACTCCGTCCAGCACCATCACAGCCGCCGCGGCCAACGCCCTCTTCTGCGATGCAACCAACATCGGCTGCTCTGCCGATCCACCCAGCAGCACCGGGCGAAAGTTGTAGCGTAGAGATTCGAATATAGCCACGTGCAAGATCTGCCTCTGCAATCGAAGCCGGGGGAATCGTTCGTCCCACTCTATGCTAGGCTCGAGTGCGAATGCGGGCGGCAACTGCGGCAGGTACTCGCTGCAAAACTTTCCGTAGCGGTCCGCGGCCAGTATTGGTTCGTACTCTGAGTCCTGCCTCGGGGCAACGCCTCTCCAGAAGCTTGCCAGACGGGCCTGTAGCGCGCGTTCGGAGTAGCCGTCGGGGGCATCATCGTTCGGCGAAGAATGAGTATACGGCAGGTGTTCAGAGGTTATGTTGGGTGACAGGAAGGGCGGACAGTCGAGCTGTCTCGAAAGGACACTGTGGCGGGCTGAGTTAGAGAGACTCCCAGCACAGCAGCTTCTGCAGCACTCCGTACCTGTCCCTGACGAAGAGATTGCAGAACACTCGGCAACGTATCTCCATGTCGGCGTCAGTCAAGCCATGATCCCAGGCCGCACGCCCTCGATGTAGTCCACTCCTGTGCGCCACCCGAGCCGCATCGCCGAGGGCCTCCCGGAAGGCATGCATCCGTCCTTCGCATTGTCGTTGCAGTCCCAAGATCAACAAGTGCTGCACGCGAATGAGCGCACCCCTCGCATCAGCCCGTGCGCCAATTGCCGCCAAATCGTCAGCGACATTGTCGCATGCGTGGCGCACGTCGTCCAAGGGCATGCCGCGAATTCGATCGATGGTATGCGAGGGCGAAGGAAGGAACTGTGATGCGTAGGAACATACTCGTAGGAAGAGCACGGCGAACTCCACGTGGAAAACTGTGTATCGTCGCTCCTGGTTCCACCATTGCTCGTATTGGCCCAGAAACCAAGGCAGAAAAATCACCTGCTCCATCCTGTGTATGCGTTTGGTCAGTGGAAGGAACGCAAAGACCGAAGGCGGCTGGGGGTTCTGCTTGCCAATGGACTTCTTTCACGAAGTACTGCATGAGAACGTCAAGGGTCTCTCGGTCCGGCAGCTTTCTCATGCTCTTCTCGATCTCATCCATGGTCTCCCCGGAGAATGACTGGCTGCTCATCGGGCTTTCGTCCTCCTCCAGACCCAACTACACGCGGGCGATGATTAGAGACAGGGGCTAGCTTCTTGCTCCAGGAAGCATGCTACATGGAAGGGTACACGGCACTCACCCTGCGCACCAGCGCCATGGTGTTGGTTGTGCTATGCTGAACATATCCGTACAGCTCGGCGATGGAGTTACTCCCCTGGCCGAGCGTGGACGTGCCGGCGCGACCATCGCTGCCATTTGCAACTGGCCGCTGGGCATCATCGCCCGCCGGAAGGCCTTCGCGCGACCCATTTGCCGCCTGCGGAGTCTGCGATGCTGAAGCGGGAACATAGATGCAATCCTCGGGCCGCCGGCGGTGGACGCAATGATTACAAGGCTGACGACGATTGCACTACGCAGCGGGCCAAAGCAGGCGGCGTCAGCCATGACTGTGTTGCATAATCCGGCGGGCGCTCAACACATCCGATCCCTACGGCATAATCAGACACATAAGTACGTACCTTTTGCTTCTTCGTGTAACACGGGATACACGATGATACTACGCGTTTTCGCGCACGGCTCTGCATCGTCGGTATTCATGAGACGGACTGGGCTGGCGTCGTTGCGCATCTGCTGGAGTGTACGGCATTGCAGTTGACGTTGGCAGAGACGAAGCTTTGTAAGCCGCTTCATCTTCGGCCAAACTACGAGGACGCTGTGAAGACGCAAGGAGCCGGCCTCACGTCAGATCGGTCGATGTCCTCGAGTCCTCCGTGCAACCACCTCATCGATGCTCTGTGCCGTGTTGTCCGGATATCCACGTGGCGGCTCGTTTTGGATGCACTCACTGCATCACCCGTGCAGCACTGCTCTGGGCGGCCGGCGGCGGGATCAACACATCCACCGCCCGACGATGTACGGCCGAAAAGGATCTATTTGCAGTGCATGCGACTGCTCCCCGTTGGCTGACGGATGCTGCTTGGCAGAGAGAAGGCGGCGACACGCGCTGGTCTTATGATCAAAAGACGGCCTTGTGAGGGTTGCGTGTCTGCATCAGGCTATCGATTCCTGGGCCTCGGCCAAAGACTAACGTCCCGGCGCCGCCGCCGCCTACGTACATGGCTGATGACTGCCTTGCCACGCCACAATCTGGGGCACCGCGCGCTGCCTACACACCCCCCGAAGCACCGAGTTCGCTGATTTGACGAATCGCGCGCTTTCGGTGTACGTACGGTCGTGGCGATTTTGCCTGCCGCATGACCTGGGGACAGCCTCTCGGCAGATCTGTTGACGCGTCTGAAACCTGTGGTCGATGGTCAGCAACACAAGAGGACCCTGACAGGAAAGAGCTCGTTCTTGATGGTGCTAAAATCCAGGACTGGTAAGCTGGATTCCTCTCGCTTTCGCGCGAACGCAGATCAAATCGCACCATAGTGGTGTAGAATTGTCCAGGTCGCTGGGTGTGCAGGCGAGTTGGGAAAGGATGGGAAGGGGGGCAGGGCAGGGCGAGCCGATGCTAAGCAAATTAGCTGGCCTTGGTGGTAACCGAACGGGAACTCATTTGGCCCCGACCCGCCACGACCCATGCAGGGTCACGAGCTAGCCGGCGCGGATCCGCGCGTCTGGTCGGTCGCTTGCCAAGTACTCGCGTGTAGGCCTCCAGCGGTGTGTGGTATATAGCGTGGCGAGCGTCTCACCCTCTGCACTGTTTCAGTCGCGTTTCGCTGGATTGTATAAAGATATACTCCTGCGTCCCTCGCCCTCCAATCTTCATCGCATCTGTCCACCACACGAACACAACACACACCGCCAACATGCCCATCTCCAAGTTTGTCGAGATCCTCGACAGCGCCGACGCGCCCTACTCGCACGAGAACGTCAGCCTAGAGGATGTGCTGGAGGACAAGCGCCATCGCTCGCCGTCGTCGGGCAGCACGAGCAGCGCCAGCAGCACTTCTTCCGCGAACGAACGCCCCAAGATCAAGAGTCGAGTGCGATCCTTCTCCACCAAGAAGAGCAAGTCTTGAACGGTGAGTTGAGTTGACTCGACTCGACGACAACGGCACAATCAGATGATATGATTCCCATTCTCAACTCTGCACCATCCGCGCGATGTTTCGACGAATTCACCGCCCTCCTCGACACGCACACGCACGCATCCGACCGACGGACACCCCCGACCAGCAATTGCCAGCAGTGGGTCGCATGCAATCAACAACCGCCCCGCCAAATTTGCAGCCGCTATCGAATACGGTGGAGGGGGTGCGCGCACGCCCACTATCCCCCTAATCAAACCCATGCACATCGAGGTACGCGGTCGGTGGGGTGGGAACAAGGAGATTGATGAGCCAGTCTAGGCTTTTGTGGGGGGCGAACCTGAGGCGCAAGTCAAAATCTCGGCAGATTCCGGGGTGGAGCACACGGCGATGCGCGGGTCTTGTCGATTGCTTTAGGCAAGGATGTGCAAGGCCGTGACTTCGCAGTGCATGCATGCAGACGGAGCAGCAATGTCTTGTTCTGTCATTCGAACTATTTTTGTAGATCAAATCAAATATTCTGCATGCACTCGAAAACATTTCACAATTCTGTGCAACAGTGTTGTTTGAATCGAGTGACTTTGTCGACGGCCAGATGGAAGCTCAAGATGGACAAGTCTAGGGGTTCGCGAGGAGGCTAGTGCCTTTCTCTCCCACGCTTCACTTGTCACTCTCCCTTTTTGAAACACTTTCGACACGGTGTACCTGAGTACCCAGCATGTCGCCAGTTGCTCAGGGGACGATCTCCGCGGCTTGAGGAGTATCGTGGCATTTACTGTGTGCTGTATCTGGTGATGTCACGTGGCCAGGCGACTACGCCCGAAATAGAAGCCGTGTCTCAGGCCGCCAGCCTCCTCTCCTTCATCGCTTCTTCAGTATCGCAACACTCTCCACATGACTGGTCTGCGGGAAGAAGTCAAAGCCTCTCACGCTCTCAATCTCGTACATGCCCTTCCTCGGCAAACCCTCCTCATCCTCCCCACCTCCCACCAGCTTCCCAATGTCTCGCGCTTGGGTGTGCACGTTGCAACTGACGTAGCACAGCCTCTCTGCCCCAAAGTCCATGAGCTGGCGGAGGAAGTTGTCGTCGCATCCTTTTCGCGACGGGTCCAGGACGACTGCGGTTTGCGCGGGTATGAAGCGCGTCTTGTCTAGCGAGTCAAAGAGCTGGTTTGCGTCTGCCGCAATGAATTGCGTTGAATCTGGGGCGAGATTGTTGAGTTTGGCGTTGGCAGAGGCGTAAGTGATGGATTGCGGGCTGATGTCGATGCCGATGCATTTATTAAACAGAGATGACAGTGTGACAGTGAAGAAGCCTGAGCCGCAGTAGGCGTCAATCAGGTTGGTGATTGGCGGTTGATCGTTCGATGTCGGACCCAGTATGTTGTCGCGCACATATTGTGTAACGACGGGTAAAATGGAGTTGTTGTTTTGGAAGAACGAGCCCGCCGGGTTGTCGAAGCGAAAGTCGTCCACGTATTCTGTCGATGTTGCGTTGTGATCCGTGATGCAAGTCTTCTCATCAACGTATGACTTTTCCTCGTCCGTCTTTGTCTCGCGCGTCGTACTTTCTCGTAACAACAAAGTAGCTCCGCGCTGATATTCATCAATGTGTTCCGCCACTCGTACTCTCTCTTTCTTCAAACCCTCACGCACCGCATCCGTCCCAATCGGACAATCTTCAATATCCAGCGTCTTCCTCGTGCCTTTTTGCATGTACCCGATGGGCGGCACTTCCGGCCATGTGACCTTCTGCCCACTTCTACGATCTCGCCTCCCACTCGGCGGACCATCGAAATGAGGCGTGAGCTTGGTCCGATAGCCGTATTGCAGCGGAGAGGCGATCGTGTCGCCGACCTCAGGGACAGCTGACGCTGGCAGATTGGAGAAATTCTCATACGCCTTCTCGACCACTCTGCGCTTATGAGCAAGCTGGTAGGCGTATGGGAGATGTTGGAATTGGCAGCCCGAGCAGCGGGAGAAGTACGGGCATTTGGGGGTCTCCGTGCGGTGTTGCGATGCGGAGGTAATTTTCACCAGGTCGGTGAGGGAATAAGAGTCTTCTTGGTATGCTTTGTAGACTTTTGCGAGCACTGTGTCTCCCGGCGCAGTGAAGGGAACAACGTATACTTGGCCGTCTTCGATCGCGAGTCCGTCGCCGGTTGAAGAGAGCTCGGAGATGGTGAGGTCCACTTCGGCAAACGGCTCAGGAGCGGGAGGTGCTGAGTCTCGTATTTTCACATCCCGTAGTACTCTTTGAACATCGAGAAGAAGCACTTCCTCATTTGACCCATCTCCTGCACCGCTCGACTTTTTCTGCTTCTTGCTCTTCTTGAAATGCTTTCCGCCGTGGTTGAATGGTCGCTTCTGCGCCATGGTGGCTATCGACCACGTAGTGGCATGGAGGAAGGGCTGGCTGAGGACCGTGTGGCGGCAGAGGAGCATCAAATCGGTCGATCCGGCGTGTCGCGACAAAATCTCGAGTCCCTCGAACCAAAAGTTGTCTCGATCAAGCGAGAGCGGCGCGCAAGGGCCGGGCCTCGGCAGTTTCCGGGCAGCATCCGTTGTGCTGCCCAATACGGTTAGTGCAAAAAGTCCAGGGCATTCACTCCCTCGTGGCGTTACCCAGAGTTAAGTAACTGCTTCCTACCTACGTGTACCTGATAGGTTTAGCACTGTCACAACACCTATTTTCCGTCTCGATGAGAGACTTGCTGAGTGCGGCTACGTAAAATCCTTTCTTGCTTAGTGATGACGCCGTCCGTGAGCAAATGCTTCCGTAGTATCTAATGAGTTTCCGGTCTGCAACCTCTGTGTATCCTTCCTTCCTATTTGTGAGCACAGAATCGGCCTGGAACTCAGTCCTACGGCAGAAAGGCAGTCCGAGAAAGTGAGGTCGGTGCTCTAGATTCTGGTGCGCGAGGAGCTGCCCGCTTGGTCCGAGGTAGACTGGGCGAATGCTCGAGCCGGCGCAAGCTGAAGAAGTGACTGGGCAGAGGGTTATGTGGCAGAGAAAGTTCGGGCACGGTGAAACGAGAACGCGGACGAGTATGACATGCCTTCACCGCCTCGAAAAAGTCTCAGAACATACCTGTTGATCTCGCCGCGCCACGTTGCTTCCGACGCAGCCGCATGCAGACTTACTCTTGGGACAGGATGAATTGATTAACTCCCACGATCCGGATCCTGGAATCGGAGAACGGGATCGCAGAGGCATGGAAAACACGGAGGCAGCGACATCCGTAACGCCATGCGCCAGCAATTCCCGTGGGACAAGGTAGCGCCGAGATATCCTCCACAGGCCAGGCTCACAACCCAACAGGTATCTCGGCACACCCGCTTCTCGCTTTCGATGGCGACAAAAGCTTTGTGAGTGAGGACGGCAGTTCTAGACCAGACCTACCATGGCCCGAAGGCCTCGGGGCTGCTGAATCGTGGCTGAGATGTCGAATGATCGGGACGCGGAATACGATTCACCGGCGGTTGCCCTAAGCCGACAGTTGTAGCACAGGGCTTATCAAGCAAGAGCCACCGGTACTCGTTGATGGATCTGATCACATCGTTCCATGTGGCGGTGGCTGCGCCGAACGCTGAAAAAGAATTGCTGGGCACGTGCATTGACATTGCGACACGTGGTGATCCTCCGAATAACTTCCGGTTCGGCAGATTTTCGCGGTACACTAAGCCCAAAGCGCACAAAGGCGGACATGCTGCGGACGGACGTGCGGACACGCCGATTGCCATGTGGCAGCCACCTCACGGTCTCGACTGCAGTACTCATGGATAACGCTATTCGGAGGATTGCGGACGGAACCTTACCATGGGTGCGGGATGTCACAGTAAGCTTATCAGCAAAGACGTGGCTAGCCCAGACAAACTACGCCATGTCGAGCACGCACTTCTTCCCCGCTGCACGTCACTCGCGTTCGACAATCAGTTTCCTAGTCCTGCACACGCTGCAATTGCAGGCCGCTCGATCTAAATATCACTCAGTTACGTCCCGCGAGCTATGCGTTAGGCTTTGGTGAGTCACGGTAAGATTTCCAACTCGACAAAACAAAGTTCGGTACTGACTGCACGCCACAACCTTCAAAACATGGATTTTCGGGCCTTCACGAAGGATGTTGAAAGTTCGGGGATATCTGGATCTGTTTCGCCGTAGCCATCAAGGGAAGTCAGCCTTGCTTTCACGAACTCTGGAATCAACACGGCCATCGCCTTCTGTCAGATCTAGACCATGGATGGCATCAGGTGTCGGACGGCCATATGGCATTGGAATTGTCGATGGTCGAGGTATAAATACACCGGTCACGCCCATGTCGAGGAACTCATCTCCATCATCCAAAAGCCTCTGAAACGCATACAACACTACAAAGCAAGCCCTCTCAGCCATATTGTCGCTACCTCTCATTGCTTCGTCGAACCACTTCATTCAAACACCTCACTACTCGTTTCCCATTACATTCAATCTTAACACCAATCAAAATGGTCCAAACCATCAGCCTCGGACTCCTTGCGTTCTGCGCCTTGAGCCAGATTGCCTCTGCGGCACCCGCTCCAGTCCCAAATTATACAACTGTAATCACCAAGACAGTCACCTTCCTGGGCACACACCATCAGAAACCCCACACCAAGACTGAAACCGTCAATTCTGTCGTCAAGACGACTTCCAAGACTAGCCCGACCGAGTCCGCCAAGACCAAGTCCACCAAGACGAAGACGTCGAGCACTACGACCGCTTCGCCATCGCCTACTACCGGCACCTGCGCCTCGATCGGCAGTGGCTCATACACCGACAGCGACGGCGTTTCGTACACGGTCGCTTGCGGCACCGACTTCTATGGCGGTGATTTGACGCATGTCGAAGGCGCCTCCTTCGAAAGCTGCTTCGCCGCCTGCGATAATACTTCAGGCTGTGTGGCCTTCTCTTGGGTGGGCCAGAATGGCACCCATGTCGGCCCAGGCGACTGCTACTTGAAGTCGACCCTTGAGCAAGGAGACTCGAACTCCGCCGTTGATGGTGCCTACAAGAACCAATAAACGTGGTGCACTCTCCTATCTTTATAGTTTTGTACTAGCTACTTAGGCTTATACTTCATATCGCTAAAGACTTGCTATCCAGTCTTGATGTGCTTTCTGAATTGAAGGGCTTCGCGCTAGTAAACAGTGACTACCTTAGTGAGAGTGTTTGCTTACGTAGTAACTATTGATTAAGTAGCAGTGACTTCAGCTCTTCTACTGGATAGAGAGCGCGCTTGGATGACGCTACGATAAGTCCCACGCCGTCTTGCTGCGTCTGGCGCCTGCTTAAATCCACATGCAGATGGCGAGCAGGGCGCCCGAAATCTGAATTCCTAACCAGCTCCACGGCCTATGATCGTCGAAAAGACGGTGCCGTGATACTCCAGTAGGCGAGATGTTGGCATTTGGCTGTCGCATGATCCGGCTTCTATCCTCTTCGTATGATCTCGACGGGATCCACTTCTCCAGCCGCTTTGTCTCTACAGGATCTAGGCGCGCGGCAGTATTGTATCGGAAGCTACACCAGTCTTTGTGGCGCCAAACTGCACGACTGCAGGCTCGCATGCGATAGCGCGGACGTACCACGGCGAGATTATTGCGCGGATAGCAATGCCGGAATCACAAGACGGAGGCAGACTTGGCTAGAAATCTGGCAGTTCTCTTGTCAAACCTGAGGGGGTGCGCGGCTGGTTCGACTTCGCTAGAGATCTTCAACACAGACAACAACTCAAATCGCGTACGTCAAGGACTGCTAGGGGATGATGCTTTTGATTGATCGAATAGAAGAAACAAAGCCAAATTAATTCCGAATATGTCTTACTGCACTTCGTTTCCGCGCATGCTCGACGCTTTGGTCTTCTCACCATGTCCTTTTTGTCCCGCTTTCTCGAGTCTGACACCTCTAATGTGCCCGTCCTCCATCTTCCCCTCGCAGCACCGGCACGATGCAGGAGCAATCACGATGAGAAGATGCAGAGCCGTTTGACTCTGCATTTCAAGCACATCTCCAATAGTTTAGAAGAGGACGGCAAGAACGGAAAGGAAATCAGGTGGCCAAATCCAGCTACAATAGGTACAAAGTGGGCAAGTACAGGCTTGATGACAACCAGGTGAGGATCCAGATGATCTGCATGCAGTAAGCTACATGATTTGGGTGGGTTGAAGGCCATAAGGTCATTGAAGAACGCCACAGTGGGATGACCATGCAAGATGCTGTAGGGATGCACCAGGGTCGAACCTCGCGAAATTACTTACCGGATATGGAAGGGTGTCGACGAATTAGAAAGTGTGGGGGTGGACAGGCTAGACCAAATCCAGCTAGAGCCACGGCCTTGCAGCAGAAGTGGAGTTGAATCTACCGTTGAATACCCCGCGGAGATTGGCAGCACACGCAGGGGAAGCATGATGCGTACCGTGCATGTATTTGATCGCTCATTCAAACGCACAGCGCGCCATCCCTTCACTCGACTGCTGCTCGTCCTGCAAAGCGTCCTTTCTACTATCTCTTGTAATATCGAGCCCACGGGTTCTGCCACTCATTTGACACTTCGACTGCAACATGCATTTCTCTTCGCTCTTCTGTGGCGCCTCCCTGGCCGCTCTCGCGCTTGCCGCCCCGTCACCTGGCAGAGGACATGTGAGTGTGGCGTGTCCGCGAGCACGAGGTGGAGAACGTGCTAAACCGTCGTGTCCAGTTCCATCCTGGTCCCCATCACTACCCAACAACGGCTTACAAGCATCATCCCACGACAACGTCTACAGCGCATCCAACGACGACCAACTACAATTGCGGCTCTATCACCCGAGCCTACGCCACTGAAGTTGTCAAGCAGTTCGTCATCGACCAAATCGTTCCCGACCTGATTGAGTTGAACACCCTGGGTACTCCAAGCGTCGTCGTCAATGTGACCTACGGCAGCAAAGATGTCAATCTCGGCACCTACTTCACCACCACGGGTATGTCTTCATACCCGGCTTGCAAATGCGAAGCAGCAATGTCTGACTGTGGCCGCAGAAACCTTAGATCAACCCACCGCCTTTTCCTTCACGGCGGAGGAGGGCTACGATCCCTACACAACCTTGTACATGGTCTTCTTGATCGATCCTGATGTACCGCAAGAGGGTTCTCCCACGCAAGTGAACTACGCCCATTGGATCTTCTACAACGCGCAGCCCCAGTGCGTCACCAACCAGGCCATCACCACCGTTGACACATATCAAAGCCCCACGCCCGCGAGCACGACGCAGCACCGATACACCTTTTTGGTCTACCGCCAGCCGCCCGGGTTCACAGTCAGCGCTACTGAAGCCGCGGCGTTGAACATTCGCACCCCCTTTGACTTGAATGACTACACTGAGGCCAATGGGTTGGTGCTAGTGGGCGGCAACTACTTCAACGAGGCCATTGGCAATGGAATCCAGGGTTCTTGAACGAACGATTTCAGATTTGTGCCGGCGAGCATGTCGTTTATTTCGTGGAAAGCTGCACGGCGCGTCGGGGGCCCATGACTTCGCATTCATCTGACTCGATATTTTGAGCGAACATCTAAACCTGCTCGTCTCGTACGGCTTTTACGCGCGTCGCGAAGCTATGCCTTCCTTTTCCTGGGTCAGCAGCAGCGACGCAACGGACGGGGGGACGCCTCCAACGAACTCAAGACAATTGAAATGGGCTTGGGTTCGAGTGGAAAAGATTGCCTAGCATGCATCCACCCACATAAAGAGCTGCGAAACGCCTCGCCCGCAGAATAAGGCAGTACTGTAGCTTCGCAAGCTGAACTCTGCCTTCAACGTTTTGAGATCAGCGTGTAGATCGAAAGTATGGTTGCTAATTAAACAAGCTTCGTGCCAGCGCTCTTTTTGGCATGACAGCCAGTCGCTCGCGCCGCATCGGGACATGTCCCTCATTTGAGCCCCGAACTTCCAATCTCCGCGGGCGAGAAGGGCGTTTTGTGGCTGATGACTGAGTTACGGAGTAGCTGACGGGCAGCTGGCCACGGCGTTCAGGATGGTCACATATAATAATGCAGTTTCCGGGAACTGCTTCTGACTGTTTCGACTTGTTCGACTGTCTCTAATTCCTTCGTTCATTTACCCATCGCACAATCCGCCCCAAACGCAGCGCTTCCACTCGGTTTCAACATGCGTACTACTACATTCGTTTTCGCCTTGCTCGCTGCTTTGGCCGCCGCCTCACCCGGCCGCAGGCCACATCACCACCAGCCTCCTCCCCACCCGTGGGAATCGGTTTGCACCGTCACAAAATACACGTCGTAAGTATCCTCCTCGTCAAACATCTGCCCCCTCTTCGCAGTCCTTCTGACGTGCCACCAAGGACCAAGACACACAGTGTCACTTCGACCGCGACGGCCACCGTTACTACGACTACTACGTCCACGACGCTGCCGACAATCAGCAACTGCGTCGCTCCTGAAGTCAAAATCAGCAAACGTGACAAGCCCAAGTACAAGCCGACATCTCATGGGTGCTGGGAGACCATCACCATATCCCGCGTTTCCACGTTGACAACTACGGTGAGTGCGGGGAGCCTGCGAATGGACGCGGCCATGCAAGGGTTGAAAGAGTCGCACGCTAACAACAACACGTCCTAGGTCGCTTCTACCACAATCACTACCACAGCTACCAGCACGGCAACATCCGTCGCCGCCTTCGGCCCTTTCAGTATCTACGACGCCATTTCGGGAAACTCGTTCAGCGTGCAGATATCCAGCGCGGATGGCGAAGATGTATTCGTCGCTCCACAGCTGCTGGCCGTAGACCCAAGCGAGTTTACGCTCGCGTTGGGAGCCATCACCGTTTCCGCAGCAATCTCCGGGGAAGGCAGCATGCTCTATGCCGATCCAAGCTATGCTGTGGACAGCGTCAACGCACCCCAGGATACCGTGTTCGCCTTCGGATTGGGCGAAGTGTCATCCGGGGCGTCGCTGTTGTCGTGTTCTGTCTCCCAGAACGAGGATGGCACGTGCCCGTTGACTTGCACGGGTAATGGTGGCACCAATTTCTACTACTGCTCAGCCACCAGCGAGCCAATTGTGCAGATCGGGGATCTCACGGCCGACAGCGAGGGGGAGTGTAGCGGATACGGCAGCGCTGTAACCGTTTCTGCGTACGCTGTGACGCCGGATCTGGACTGCGCGACTTGTTAGTGGAGATGGGGAAGGCCGGGCCGGACGGGAACTGTGAGTGGTTGTAATCTGTAATGCAGGGAGAAGGAGCTCTTGAGCGGCCAGCGATCGGATTCAAGTAGAGCCTCGGTCAAGGCAATGCAAGTCTCGTCGGATGGTTAGGGGCCGAAGACCTCAGCGCTTCCACTCGTTTTCACCATGCGTATTTAGATGTAAAAGCCAAGACGAACGGAGCAAGGGAAGGAGGAAGTAGTATTGAAGCTATCAGAGTTTAATGTGTTGCCTGATGCACCGAAGTCCATAATCAGCGCCAACGGGCGTTGTCGATGATATTTCCCTTCACAACGGCGGTGTTGGTATGGCCCATAATTTCATGGTAAGTCTTGCGCTGGTCAGGTTAAGAATTGTCGAATACTCCACAGTCCGCATTTCCAACGGTGATTTGACCGAAGCCCTGGTCTGAAGTAATTACTCCGTTGCTATTTGTCGACTGGCCGGCGCTGCAGGTCGTGCCGAAATAAATATCGCACTGTGACGACCTCGGCACGAAAACAAATATTTTGGCCGAGGTATCAAGGAGTGCAGCCACGCAGCCTACGGTTGAGTACGTCAAGGGTTAGCCTGCATTCAATGGGCTGACAGATCCATTTCCCTTGCGTATGCAAGTCGACAGTTCCGCTTAGGTTGTTGCTTTGACTTACAATCGTATGCTGTGTCGGAAGTAGTTGTATCTACTTCGGCGTAACCGCCGTAGATGTCTCCGATGATTTCCCCGTAATACTCGTCGGCTAGGTTATTTGTAGCACAGGCTGCATAGAGTGTTGTAGTTGACACTACCGAGGTTGCTGTAGCTGTGGACGTTGAGGTAGCAGTCATCTGCTCTTGCATTAGTGTGGTCCCGAGATTGAAGCAGCGCTGAACAACTGGCAACGTACTGTGGCTGTAGTAGTCGATGTCAAGGTTGTAGTAGTCGTGGTGACAGCCTGAAAAACAACACTGTCAGCGTTCATGATGGCTTTGCAGACAGCTCATCTCCATTTTGCACCCTCGTCCTAGCGCTATCGCCTAGAGAGATGTTGGCTGGAGTGGATCATGCACACGTACCGATGGATAGATAATGACAGTATACGTGGAAGTAGAGGTAGTTGTCGTAGTCAGTTGGGTGCGTTTAGTCGACGTGACCGTGGCCGTGGTCGTCGAGCACGTGGAATGAGTCCACCTGTTGCAGGTCACACATGTTGGGTAAAGCTGCCATGAGATGCCTGGATTTATGTCTTTTGGTTTTGAGGGGCTCGTCCGCTTCCCGCCGCCTGTTTTCGCCCGCTCGAAGGTTGCGCCCAGGAGTGCGCGTTTCGCGACGGGATCCGCACCCCCTGTTCCAGAGTACGTAGAACCTGGGAGAGATGTTTGAACCGGAGTGAACCTATCCGGGTGGGAGATTAGAGAACGCGTTGGACGGCTCTAGTGGTTGAATGGGAACGTACGTTGCCGCAGCTGGAATGGTGGTCGTCGCAGTCGTTGGAGAGGTTGTCGTAGTCGTAGTAACAGACGTCTGTGCAAGTTGAAGAACTTAGCCTTCGCTCTGTTCCTTCACGTATCGACGATGCAGATGATTCCTCCTTTGAGAGCATTGCAGGCAAACACCCACAACATGCCTGACGCGTCACTTACCGAAACCGTCGTGTCTGTCGCCGTTACAACAATAGTAGCGGTGGCCGTCGATACTGACGTTGGAGCAGTGGAAGTCGTTGTCGTCCCGACCACCACCGTCCTGGTGCTTTCGCTCTTTGTTGAGGTGATTGTCTTTGTCGATGTCAAGGTCGTCTTGCACGATGTGTACGACGTATGCCATTTGGTGGAGTAAGGGGCTGGATGTCTGCCCATTTGCGTATAGCACAAAGTGCTCGAATAACCCGGCGACTCATTGAGGGCCTCGTCGTAGGCAGGGGCACCAGGGGCAGCAAGTGTCAGAGTAACAAAAGTCGCCAGAACGGCTAGCAGTGAGTTGACATGCATGAGGGGAGGTATATCGTAACGAACGGATGAGTGCGAGAGGCGAAGACTGTACAGACGGCGAGCGAGCGGATCTATGTACCGCGCACTGCTCTAGGCGCAAGAGGCTCGTCGGATGATTCGGGACGATTTGCTCCTTTTGGCGCGCCAAGGGGCATGGGGGCCCTGCGTACTGTAATGAGGCTCAACTGGCTGATTTCAGCGATCGCAGGACAAGCTTTAAACACGAATCAAGACCCCTGGCTGCAGGTCCGGGGTAACTGGGGTAGGAGCGCCTCTTCGCGCTGCTGCACGTTTGGCCAGCGTAGAGCCTGGCTGGCTGGCGGATTCCAGACTCGCATACTATCTCCTCGTCCAACAACTCCGTCGTGGCCATCTCTACCGTTTCACGACCTCGTACGACCATATGCACCTGCCCGCTTGCGCCAGACTGGTCAGCGAGCAGAGCCGCGAATCGATTTTTGTCCCGGCCGCCCCGCATGCATGGCGTTCGCGGACGAGCCCATCTAACCGCCACTCGAGACATCTTCTCCTCGTGGCGCCTTGCCTCGCTTCGTCTGGCTGGTCTTCAGTCTTTTTCAGGAATAGGTATTGCCCACAAAGGCACAGGTATTCATCACACGACGGCAGCCCATCTGCGCCAAGAGCACGAATGTCAGGTCCAGGCGCCAGCAGATGCTCCGACCACCCACCTGGCTGACTTTGACTTTGCGCGGCAGACGACTTCCAGAAAGCTTAAATACTAGTGAGAGCTGATCAGGGACGACCCGGCCACGCAGCTGCTTCGCACTACTGCCCGTTTGGCGAACGCCACAGCAGGGCGTGCGTAACAATAGAAGTAGGAAGCAATTCGATACGAGGAGCCGATCCGGCAGACGATCAAATGCCACATTCCACTTGGCAGCTTGGCCAGACTTCGTCTTCCCTACAGCTTTGGTCATGACGCGGAAGGGGGGTAATTAGCACACAACACCACGTTTTTCCACGGGACTTTCTGTGCTGCGCCTGGGCCCACGAACTTTTCAACATGAGTACATCATGGCCGGCTCGCAATCCGGACAAACGCATAGCTCCTTCCCCCTCTCTTCGCCATCACTATGCCCGCTTTCTCGGCTTTCTTCTTGCTCAGCGCTCTTGCAACGACAAGCCTAGCAGCAGTGTCTTGTCCTGCTCCAGCTAGCTGTAACGGCCTAGTCGGTGATGTCGCGTCGGCTCTACAAGGTTTCCCTCCCGCCTCAGCTTTCTGCTCAAGCAAGTTCCCACTGGCTCGTCAGACTTGCACATCTGTCGCTCCTACCTCGACGATCACCAGTACTGTAACAACAATCACCGTGACGAGCATTGTGGCGACCGGGATGACAATGTGAGTTGCTACGCTCAGCACTATGTCGTGACCCATCTCACCATCTATTATAGCGCTACCGGCATCGCAATCACGAGCACTTCTATGACAACTACGACTCCCATCATCACTTCTACAATTACTGAGACAGACACCGAGACGGTAGGTCAGACATGGATTTAAGTGGTCGCTGCGACACCTCCGGCTTTTCCTTGCTTCGCCTCAAGCTACAAACAACTCTGTGCTAATGATTGTAGCTGTATCCTACCGCACCAACTGTTTCCACCACCCAGGCCTCGCAGAAGAGACGCGATACGCTCGGTAGAAGGGCTGCCGACCCTAGATCGTTGAGGCTCGAGATCCTTCAGTCGGAGGCAGCATCTTTTATCAGCGCTGTATGCTCATGCCTCGAGACCCCGATAACTACTACCACTACACCGAGCACTATTACCCAAGTGAAGGCTACTGTAATTTTGAGCGTCACTCAGACGGAAACAAGGTAAGCAGTCTCACGCTGCAACGTCTTGAGGAGTTAGCTGACCTTTCGGGTGCAGCACTGTGACGCCCACCACAACAGCCATATCCACTGCCGTCGCAGCTGCCTCCACCTCCCTGACCACAACGACTACCACCAGTGGTGTTGCCGTTCCAACGTGCACCCCCGGAATGGCTTTTTACCCTATCAGCTGCGGGGACGGCACGACATGTAATGCACCGGCATACGCTTGCGTCATCGCTCCTGGGCAATGCGAAGCACTGTGTAACGAGGGCTGTGTAGCCCGCGGCTACAATGTCCTCACCGGTGCATGCACCCTATTTGCCTCCTGCTGTCCGGATAGTTCGTAGGCGGTCGCCCGGGAACCACTTCAGGGATGACGTTTGGACTGAAACAGATAACGGATACAATATCATGATGCAAGGGAAAGCAGGTTCCAAGGGCGAAGTTTGCACGTATCACGCAGTGCAGGGCTTAGAGCTTTGATCGCCGAGCAAGTTCATCTATCCCCAAAAGACCACGAACTCCACGAACTCCGGATATCACTTCTCGTTTCGTTGTAGGGCCGCGAGGAATGCTGAGTTGTCATTCCGACACCATCATTGGATCTCCTGCGCTGTCGCGCCGCTCTGTTCAAGTCTACTGTGAGAGCTCGATGTTACATGTAGTAATCGTCTACGCTGAGTCCCGGAGAATGCTGCAATGCCATCATACACGCAACTTGGAATCAGGAGAGCCGCGATATGTTGCGATGACACGTGTATGTTGTCCCAGCCAAGACGTGCAGTCCGTGGGGTTGCAAGCCTCGCGCCCGGAAACGACAGCCTTGGGATGGTGCGGGGCCCCGCATTGGACAGAGCTGGCGTGTAATTATTATGACGCTGCATCACGTGTTGCTTGCCTCATTAACAGTAGTTCCCATGACGTCGCCACCAGCGCAAACCATCGACTAATCACCGAGCGCAAATGTCGAAAGCAGCAGCTTAGCAATCAGAAATTGCCGCGCGACATGCATAGAAAAAGTGAGTGTTTGGCGATTTTACTTAAGGCTTAGTAAACGTGACTTTCGGCTATCACTTTTCCGAGGACCCTTTACTTGTAAATGATCTTGACCCGCACGTCACTTCTACATATTCACGTACAAAGACTGTCAGCCTCTTGTTTAAGACGAGCACGACCGAAACCATGGCTCCGTCGAAGCTGGAAACCACCCAGCTGTCTGCCCGCCCGCTCCACGACACATTTGGCGCCGAAGTGGAAGGGGTAGATTGGAGCGAGAGTCCGATTTCAGCCGGGATCATTGCGGAAATTAAGGCGCTGGCAAGTGAGAACGGCGTGCTCGTGTTCCGCAATGCAAATCTCGACAACGACCAGCACATTGCATTTGCCCGTCAGCTCGGCAAGGAGCTGTACGACGTCAAAGCCCACATCAAAGCTGGGCGCGCCATGCGCTTCCCCGAGCAGCCCGAGATCTTCGATGTGTCGAACCTTGATGACAAGGGAAACATCGTTACCGATATGGACCCAATGCGGAAGGAAGGCAACAAGGGCAACTTCTTGTGGCATGCGGACATGACGTACAACCCTCATCGCGCGCTGTACTCCATCCTCCGTGCCGTCCAGCTCCCCCCGAAAGGTACCGGTGGCGAGACGCAGTATCTTGACTCGCGGACCGCTTGTGAGGAACTGCCGCCAGCTTTGCGCGCGGAGCTGGAGGAGGCGCTTGGGTGCAAGTTGGAGCAAGTCGTTACTCACAATTCCCTGATGCACAATCGCAAGCTGGGCTCGCCCGACTACTTCCGGAGTATCGAGCCCTTGGACCAGCCGGTGAGTGCAAACCAAGGTTTTATAAATATGCAAAAGCTGACTCCTAAAAGATGGCCAAATATAAACTCGTTACCCCTGTGAGTGCCTGCGCGCGAAAATCAATGGAGAATGAACACTGACCCGTAGCATGCAGCATGAGAAGAGCAACCGGGACAATTTGTACATGACGAGCTATGCACATCATTTTGACGGTGAGCGGCTCCTCCAACCCAGCTTCTGTTCTCACCTTGCACTTTACTGATGTGCAGCGTTCTAGGAAAATCGTGGGAGGAGAGCAAACCACTGTTCGATAAGCTTTGGGACCACCTCACGCAGGACAAATACATCCTGACCGTATACTGGGAGAATGACGGTGATATGGTAAGTCCTACAGTTTCAAAAGCGCTGGCACACACTGATGAGCACGGCACAGGTCTTGTGGGACAACACCGCCGTCCTGCACCGCGCGACCGATTCAGGCTCGTACGGCTCAAAGTACGTCCGTGATATGAGACGAACGACCACAAAGGACGACAGTTCCTATGCGTTTGGTGAGAATGAAGATCATACCTGGGAAGCTGGCATCTCCAAAGTCAAGACCTAGTTAGATGGAACGGCAGGTTTTGTGGTACATCTCCCGATAGTCTCGGTATTTCAATAGTCGTGTAGCCAGTCTATTACGAGGACATCTATCCAGAGGGGAAATCGCCCGCGACAAATGTTGCCCATTGATGCCATCCTCATCACTCAGGCTCACAGCCGTAGACGAATTTACCCCGCGGGGAAGTACATTTTCCGAATGGAAGAGCGAGCCGGTCGCGGATCGTTGTGAGCCTCGAGCGGAGCATATATCCGCACTAGCAATGTACGTCAGCCGCAACGCTCAATAGCACAGTGTACACAGCGCACATCAATGCCGCCGTGCAGACCTTGTACATTGTCGGCGTGGCTCGCTCAATTCTCGCCATGGCCGAAGCAGGCGCCCCTCCTCAGCCGATGAACGGCACGTCAAACGATACAAAGGCTCCGTCCGCGACACACATCCCCTTTGAGGATCGTCCGGGGCTCTATGGATGGAAGACACGCAATGATCGCGGCTACGAGATTCGCGAGAGACCTTCTGGTGAGCCCAGGCGCATGAGGGTGATTGGCGTTGGTGCGGGTGCCTCGGGCATCAATCTCGCCAAAGCGTTGCGTGACGATGCTGAGAATATTGAGGTGGCGATCTACGACAAGAACCCGGTACGTGTTGTAATTCGCATGGTAGGAGAGGAGAATTTTCATTTACAATGAATACGACAGGAAGTCGGCGGAACGTGGTGGGAAAATCGCTATCCGTAAGTCCGTCCAGCATGCCCGAGTCCTTCTCTTGCTAACGACGTAGACAGAGGCGTCCGGTGCGACATTCCTTCGGTTGTGTATCAGTACACATGGAACCCCAAAGTATGGAATGAATACTACTCTGGAGGCGCGGAGATCCTGCAATATCTAAAAGACACCGTGGAAAGCTTCCAGCTGACTAGCATGCTACATCTCCGTCACCTCGTCACAGAAGCTCGTTGGTACGACGATGTGGGCAAGTGGAAGGTGAGTGTGACGAACTTGGAGGATGGCAGGCAATTTGAGGATGAGTGTGATGTCTTTGTCAATGCAATGGGGTTTTTGAAGTCGGTCCTCTTCATGGCTGCATGGCACACACCCACGCTGACCAAAAGTAAACATAGTAATTGGCGCTGGCCCGACATTTCCGGCTTAAAAGACTTCAAAGGCACTCTCGCCCACTCAGCGGACTTTCCAGAGGGTCTTGTGCTCAAAGATAAACGCGTGGCCGTCGTTGGGAATGGATCGAGCGGGATTCAGCTCGTCGCCGCGCTACAACCGCAGGTCTCTCATCTCTTCACCTGGATCCGCTCGCCCACCTGGATGACGGCCGGATTTGCTGGAAAGTACGCGGGGCCCGACGGGGCCAACTTCCGATACTCGGAAGAGCAGAAGCGCCTGCTCGAGAAGAATCCGGACTACTACCTGCAATATCGCAAGGCGGTCGAAACCGAGATGGTGTCGGGCTTTGCCCGCTACCACCGCAACACACCCGAATCCAAGGCGGCACACGACTTCGCGAGCAAAGATATGAAGACGCGGCTTGCGAGCGCGCCCAAACTCATCGACACTTTGATCCCCCGCACGTTTCCGGTGGGATGCAAGAGGCCGACGCCGGGGAACGGCTATCTTGAGGCTCTCGTGCAGGACAATGTCACCGTCTTCACGGATTCCGGCCTCGAAAAAATCACAGAGAAGGGGGTGCTGGGTCCTGACGGGAAGGAGCACGAGCTAGACGCAATCCTTCTCGCCACTGGCTTCGACACCTCCTGGGTCCCCCGTTTCCCCATTATCGCGCACGGTACGAATCTGCAAGACGTCTACAAGGAGCGACCGGTGGGCTACCTCGGCGTCGCTGCACCGGGAATGCCCAATTATTTCTCCGTCTACGGACCGTATGGACCCCTCGCCTCCGGAAGCGCCATGCCCATGATCACAGCCTACGTCAACTACATCGTCCAGATGGTAAAGCACATTCAGCGAGAAGACGTCAAGAGCGTCACCCCTCAGCAGCAAGCGATCGAACAGTACGCCGAGCACACGGCGCTCTTCACGGACCGCACAGTGTGGAATGCACCCTGCCGATCCTGGTTCAAGGGCAACAAAGTCGACGGTCGCATTTTGCTGCACCCGGGCTCGAGGAACCAATTTCTTGAGATGATGGCGCGGCCGCGACTGCAAGACTACGACTTTGTCTACCGCACGAAAAATATGTGGGCGTGGTTGGGCAATGGCTTCTCCACGCGCGATTTTGATGGAAAGGATTTGACATGGTGAGTGTGAGGGACGTTCTGCACGCTGAACCACAAACTGACCACACCACGCTTCTCAGGTACTTTGGCTTGGTCGACGGGGAAGATAGGCAGAAGCAGTATGATGTGCATGAGATGTACTATGACGGTGGGAGCAAAACGGTGTAAAAAGAAGCTTCCTCATCGACGGCACGACCAATCCTCGTGCTAGGTATGAAAACCCTCGGGTTCCGCCGATCATCTTCATACGGGAGACGTTCTTGCTCTGCCTTCCAGGCGTGAACCAGGAAAGTGTGCAGCTTGGATGCGCTTCAAACGCAACGCACGTCAAGGCCGCATTGGCGTCTTCGAGGTTACAGATTTCGAATGGCCGCGGCAAGAAGCTCCCCACGGATGCTCGTACCTCATTACGCTCGTGAGGCGATTGAATCGGTGCTGTCGCTGAATATGCCCTCGTTTTCGCGTTGAGGAGGCTGGACGACGAGGGGCGATTCATCAAACACTGCTGGTCCGAGAACAGAAAGGAGGGCAAACTGTCAATTCCTCTTTCGGAATCCCGTGCTCTTGAGTAGTGCTTGTGTGCGCAGCACATTATCATTCGCGGTCTGACCCAACCATAAGTGCCTTGTTCTGTCGAGTCCTTCCTCGATATCCCAGCAGAGGCCACCTTCCACGTAGAACGAGCGACCAGTCATGCCGGTTGTCTGGTCCACATGGTCCCAATCCATGCCACCGCTGCTCGGAAGATCATGAACGTTGATCGCCACTACCTCTTCACGCTGTAACATGCTCGCAGCAGTCGATCTGTCGGCTGCCGCCAGCGCAGCAATAGCTTTTGCCAAGTCCTCCGGCTCATTCACGGGCAACCCTGCCCCTTCCCACTTCCCAGCGAGGTCTTGCGTCATTCCCGTCCGGACGAAAGACGGGCACAGCGCGTTGACCCTGATCCCCTTCATGCTCTCGGGAAACGACAAACGAGCGGTTTTCAGGAGCCCAAGCACTCCATGCTTGCTCGCTTGGTACATGTACAAGTCTCGACTCTCGAGGAAGCCCGCGGCCGAGCTCATCAGCGTTAAACTTTTGTCTTGATCACTCGATTTGTGGTGGCTCATGAATACACTGGCCACTCTCGCGAAATAGGCGAGACCCTTGAGGTTGATGTCCAGTGCTGACGTGTCGGGCTCCTCGGCCACGCTATCGATCGTGAGGTTTGCGTCGAACCACTGACCGCGCTCAACGATTCCGGCGTTGGCAACGGCGTGGTCGATGACGCCGTGCCTTTCAAAGGCGTAGCGGAAAAGGCCCACAACATCCTGGTATTTGCGAACATCGCAGGGGTGAAAAGCGACCTTGTCGCTCCCAATCGAAGCGAGGAGAGCGCGACTCGTTGTTTCGTTCACATCTCCAAAGACAACCTTGGCGCCCAAGGAGCTGAGATGTCGGACTGCTGCTGCTCCAATGCCGCTGCCACCACCTGCATTTGTGTCAGTCCACAAAGGGTTGCAACAATAGGAGAACAGGCGGAGCAGAATTACCGGATATTACGAATACTTTGTCACTCAGGTTAGTGGCATTGAACGTCCTCGCATCGAAGAAAGTCATTGCGTGGTCCTGAGGGGAACGACAGGCTCATTTGGCATTCCGAAGTGGGTTTACGGCGCAGGAAGTACACTGAGCAGGTCGACACCTTCGATAGCCGAGGGCATCTGAATAACGTCCTCCCGTGGCGGTCGTTGTAAGATTCAGGGCACGTTGAAGCTCCATCTCGATTCCGGAAATGTAACAGCCGGGGTTGACCGTCAGCCGGGCTTGCAAGCCTGGCGCACGGAACGACAACCTTCTTGCGCATTGGCCAACGCTTATTATCACGACTGCCCACTTCACCCTTCAAGTCCACGTGTATCGGGACATCCAGAGACTGACGCCGGCCTCTTATGCGCTCGACTGGAACACTGTCAGTTGCGTCTTCTCTTCCTATGCGGAACGCATCAGCGCACAGCAGAGATGACCGTCCGCTCGTCTGGGGCGCGCGGCCTGCATGAGACACTGCTTGTACCCAGGTATAATGTATGCGAGCGGTGGCCAAGTTTCGGGGCAAACATGCATGCCAAGCACCCCCGGCATCCCATCGTCTCTGCTTCATTCATCTCGGAAGAAGATCTACGCCTTCTACCCTCAATCGGCGAAATACCTCTGGCGACCACGGAGCATCGCACGAATGGCATTGCGTTGCAAACATCTCTCCCGCACTCCATGCAGCCACGCATGCACGTATCATGCACGTCGCCAGAAAGGCGGGCGACATCACACCCCCGCTCACGTCCGCAAATTACTGCAACGGCCGCCCAATTAGCATGGTCTGTTGGCCAGCCACGATGACACATCGCTCCAATCAGCGCGCATTATCCTTAACCCCTAACATTCTGAGCGTTGTTCTTCGTGGCGTGACCTCTTATTGCCCTGGTATGACTCTCTCACGGTATGATTATCCCGCCGCGACAGCTCGTATTCGAAGCCATGAAGCTGTGTCGACCGTGGCTGTCTCGGGCCGAATCACAAGCATCATGCGATGCAACCAGGTGAACAGCATGCATAAATGTGCCCTCTCTTCTCATTTTCTGCCTTCTGTGCCCCATCTACTTCCTGGATTCCCACTGTACCCTGACCTCTTCATCAACTTGCGTACCACCCGCATACCTCTAGATTTGCAACGCAAAATCGAAGATGAGTTCCCCCCTCCAATCGAAACACCTGCCGCCCGCCGACCCCGCACCTGCCTTGAAAGATACGCCGGATCCACCCAAGATTGCGCATGCTCCCCTCTATATCGGCGTTGACCCGACGGTAGTCGGCCTAGCACCTCATCAGGCTCGTTTTGGCGTCGAGCTTGAATGTCTGATTTCTCCACCCGGCAACTTCCCCTTTGCCAAAGATCGGCGACGCGACTTCAATGTCGCACAGTGGATGGCGATATGCTGGCTTGGATGGGCCAATAAGAGAGTTCCGAAGCCGCCGTCAATATTGCTCTGTGAGCACCCCGTCATACAAGGGACTCTCGCGAAACGTGCGCAAAGCGTCACCAGTTGGAATATCACGCAGGACCCCTCAGTGGAGGGCGGAGATGAGACAAAATGTAAGTGCACATGCCATCTGGAACAGCTTTGGATAACCACCTATCTCGCTCTTTCCATTCCCCCACGTTCAAGCTCTTCGCCGACTCAAGCAATGCTCTAGTTTCGTACGAGTTCGTCTCGCCGATAATCACCACGCGCGCGAAAACGCAGTACGACAGTGCATACTCCACGCTCAAGGACTTTTTTGACTTTATGGGTGACCATGGGTGCACCATTGTGAACAACTCTAGCTGCAGTATGCACGTTCACATCAGCCCGGTGACCTCCGAGTTGTGGAATATTGAGTTCATCAAGCGGATTGCATCTGCAGCTTATTACTTCGAACCGGTCATTCGCGCTCTTCTGCCGGAAGATAGGCAGCTGGTGCCTGGCTTTGCGGCGGAGTTTCGAAGCCCTCAGCTGGCATTCATGTTTCCCAGGCCAGCAGTGTCGGCTAAGGCATTGCCACCAACCCGGACCTGGTCGAAGTTGGGCAATAAGCCGACGCTCGGATCGAAAGAGATCGTTGACAAGACGATCTATGTCGTCAATCTGTCGGAGCAAGATGTGATAGACAACCTTCGCCACATCATGGACGGACAATGCGACAGCATCTGGAAAATTCAAAGCTTTGTCCATGCTTACTTGAGCCCCGATAAATACGGGGCATGGAACTTTGTGAACATGAGCAAATACGACTATTCCACCATCGAGTTCCGCAAGCCACCTCCGGCAGATGATTATGACACCGCGATGGCCTGGGCCGACTTTGCAATCGCTTTCGTTCTCGCCGCAACTCAGCTCGCCCAGCCAAGCCTGCAAGTAGCTGCACCCACGGATAGTACTGCACAGGGGACGTCAAACTCGAATGACAGCACTGCTCAAACGAAAGCAGCTCAGATCAGCGATGGAGCTCCGAAAAGAAGCCGCCCGAAAGCCCTGGAATCTGAGGATGTCATCGGCAAGTTGCTGGGATACGAGCTCAGCATAGACGGGTTGAAAAAGTTCATATCGGCTTCTCGGCCCGCTTCTGAGGCTGGGAGGTCAGACGCTCTGGACAAGCTCTTCGCCGACCATACGCAGGCCCAGATTTTCACGTTTCCGCCTCTCGACCCCAAAGCACCCAAACCTGAAGGTTGGGACTCATGGCAGGTGGGCGCAGAGGCTCAGAGTAAAACGGCGAAAGAGAACTCATTGATGAACGAAGATGTGGCATTAACGCTTTCAGAGGAGTTATGGGCGGAACTGAAGAAACGATATCCCGGATACTTCGGCACGCTGTGGCGGCTGCTGGTGGAGAAAGAGATCAAGGCGAGACCATCCATGGACGACAGAGCAAAAACGAGCTACAGGGCTTCGCGCCAACGGGATCAGCAAAACAGCCAGGCACAATTAGCTGGGATCAGGCCAGAGAAATGGGGCTTCCCCAACATCCCCTGGGATAACTCGTACATCGACGAGATCATCAAAGATGGAGATACGGCAAGAGCAGCTGCCAGTATCACTACTCCAACCCCTGCTCCAACCTCCTCCGCGCCTCCCGCTCCTCCCGGCCCCACTGCTCCCACCGTCTCTATCGCCCCTCTTGCGCCTAGCTCTACCAGCACCGTTGGCGCGAAGGGCACCACAGCGGTGTTCGTAACGAAGACGGACGAAAATTGGAAGATAATGCAGGCAGCATACCCCAACTACCTTGATACACTGTGGCGGCTGCAGGTGGAGAAGCATATCAAGTTGATGAAGCTGGTCGACAAAGACGATGGAAACCGGTATAGAAAGTTTTGCGAACAGAGGCGGAATACCAACGGCGACATCCGCTTTGCCAAATCGCCCTCGGAGCTTGGATGGGACGACTCCTGTATCGATGAAATCAAAAAAGCCGGCCCCAGCAGTCAAACCTCCGCTCCCGGGAGCAACTCCAACACCACCTCTGCCAATTCAAACACTCCCGCTGCCCATATCGCCAGTAGCAACACTCCTGCTGCTCATACCACTATTCCACCCGCCAACACCGCCCACCCCAATTAACAACTCCTCTGCACCGCGCGGCGGATCGATGGAGTTCAATGACTTGGCTGCATGGGCGAGAGCTATGCGGGCTGGATGACAAGGGCGGAGCAAGCAGGGCTTCTTCACCTCCCTGCCGACACGCAGACTTTGATGTAATTTGCCTTTCAACGAGTGCAAGAGCACGCACGATCTCCTCATCTGGCGACGGCGATGCTACGAAAGAGGGTTTCTCTCAAGACTTTGTCATGGTGTGCGGGATCTTGAGGCGTCGTTTACAGACCGAACCATCAGATTGTGGACAATGACGATAGCCTCGTATGGATTGGAAAGGAGTTGGGCGGCCAGGTTTCATATTGATCGTAGCCATTGGTCTCGGTATTGACTGGGGTCTCGTCTCTCAATTATCTATCGTTCGAATTAAGACCACATCATTCTCCTCAAAGTTCTGCGGCGTACACCTCGCGCAGCAGGATATTGAACCTGGTGTCCGTCGTCAAGAGAGCCTCCGGGGTTAATTTGGATAGGTAGTCCAAGCCACCGCCCGACCCGTGCCAACCAAGCTGATTCTCATACATGGCACCACCGTACCGGCTCATGTTTCCCTTGAGCTCGACGACCTCGTTGGCAGAGATGGGGTCGTGCATGTAATGCGTATGTGTCTTTGCCCAGGTGGGCCAGTAGAAGACGGTGGGCGAGAGGGTGCAGACGAGGTCGGGGTGGGAGATGGCGATGCGTTTGGGGATGAGCACCGAATGGTCGTTCCAGATGCGGTCGTTGAATGAAGCGTACGTTGCCCACCACTTGAGGAGGAAGGCACTGCTGGGGCGGGTGAGGATGACGGCGTTGCCGAGGCCGTAGCGGTTGCCGCCTTCGTGGCCGAGGACAGCATCGCGTGGGTTTGAGAGAAGGTCGGAAAAGGGTTTCAGAGGGAACATGTCCATGTCGAGGTAGACGCCGCCTTCGAGGCGCAGAATGTCGAGGCGGAGGAAATCGGATTGGTGCGGCAGGAGGAAGCTGCTGATGTTGATGTTCTTGGGGCCGTGCAGCGCGAAGCGATCGTGCGGAACGAGAGTTACATGATTCTCGAGCTGCTTCCACCATACGTTGTGCGTGTTGAGGGTGTATGTGTGCAGCTTGACCTCCGTCGCGTTCATGCGCACCAAGGCGGATTTGATGGCGAGGAAGCCGCTGAAAGAGAGCTCCGCCTGCTCGCCCTCTTTCGCCAGGAGAACGAAGTGGGCAACATTGGGGATGGGCACCTTGGAAGGCGCGAGATCATGACGTGCCCTGCACATAACCTCTTCGGGCCTGTCCTTCCAGTCCCACCATTGTATGCGTCGTTCGACTTCGATTGATAGTTGGTTTAGTCGCACCAGACTCATTTCAAGGCCGGGGAAGAATTGAAAGTAGACTACCAGACTCACGAGGACGGCGGTAGCAAGATAGACGAAGCGCCAACGCGCCCGAGTCGCTGGCAACCGAGCCATGGATGGGGACTTTGGCCACGGAAGGGCAGCGTCATGAAGGCAGAGTGTCTCGTCCAGTCGACGAGGAGGAATGTGGACGGGTTGGCCATACCTGGTCAATTCAGGCCCCCTGTGTTGGCTCGCTCTTTTAGTCTAGGCAGCACGTAACCGTTATTGTGGAGAGCGAGGCCCGATAGATTGCCGCCACTTGTCGCTTAACCGTGAGTAGTCTAGTTCGACCGATCGCTGGTGCAAGTATACGAGAAATCGGCTAGCAAGAAGATGGTCGTAATTGATTAGCGCTCAATTAACGGGAACTAGTACAGTTGCGACCACCTCTAGAATGGAGGGCATGCTGGAAAGCACACCCTGATTGGCCAACCCTTACATGGCTGCCTAGCCTTATGTCTTGATAATAATTTACTCCACGGACTTTCGGCCCTGTGGTCGAGGTGAAGTGGTCCCAAGATGCATGACGATGCTCAGTTACTGCAACATCACGATACGCGATCTATTCGAGAGTGCCGCCCAAACGGTACACTCGCTGGAGTCCATTCTAGATACTCCTCTCAAGGCTCACAGTTGGGCTTGGCCAATGATCGCCCAAATGATTGACCAGCCACTTCGCGAGCGCTGCATTCACCTCGTGAGGCTTCTCAAGCTGTAACCAATGTCCAGCCTCCACGATTACTTCGGTGAGCGAAGAGCAGAGCTTTCTCTGTTGCTCAGCGATACTGGTAGTATGCACGGCGCATACAGTGTCGTATTTGGCTTCGATGAACAGCACGGGAAAATCCAGCCGGGCGTTGTTGACAGCCTGGGTCGTATTATATTCTCGATTGCGGTCGTGATTCATGTACAGTGCGTTCGTGCCGTAGAAGCCGGTCTTCTTGAAAGCTTCTCCGTAAGCCGCCAGCTTGTCGCCATCAAGAAGGCTCTGGGGGATGCTCGTTGCAGCGGGAGGTTTCGGCAGCTTGCTCGGGCCTCCACCAGGGCCTCCGTCTTCTGCAGTCCTGGCGGTGTGGGATGGGAGATAGAGGTTGCCTGCATCGCCTGGCCGATGACAGAGCTTAAGCCAGCCCTCCGGCTCCGAATCGTAGAAGGCGGTGATGGATTCGAATGCTCGCTGGTAGTGCACTTGATACGACCACTGTCCAAACGGATATTTGTCCGCAGGATAAATGTCGCGGTTGACCGTCGTCAGAAGCTCCTGCAGTCCCATCTCGATTGTGCGATACGGCACCGCCATGAAGACCGCCCCTCGCACCATAGCCGGGCTCGTGGCACACAGCGTTCCTATCGTGCCGCAGCCCCAGTCATGCGCGATCCAAATGGCATCGCTCCGTCCGGTATCAGCAAGCACGGCCTTCATGCTGAGGACAATCTTTTCCTGGGAGTAGTCCTCGAACACGCGATTCGCGGTCGAACGGCCGTGGCCGGGGAGATCGGGCGCCACTACACGGAATCCCAACGACGCGAAACATTCGAGCTGATGGCTCCAGAGTAGTGAGATGTCCGGCCAACCGTGTACGAATATCAGCAGCGGGCCTTTTTCCGGGCCGGAAGCAAGGTAGAAAATCGTCTTCTGGCCATTTTCGTATTGGACAAAGTGCTCTTCGAAGGGCATTGTAGATGTGTGGTGGCTGAAGTGAGCAAGCGGGTAGCTTGAGCGTAGGCACTGGCCGTGTCTTTTCCAGAGAAAGCTGAGGCAGAAGCGTTGATTTTATGAACGTCTGCCCGAAGATTGGCCCGAGGAGAGGCACGGCTGCAGAGGAGCTTAACTTAACAGTCACCTAATTTGTAAGCGAATGGATTATGCATCTTGCAAGAAGATAAAAGTCAAGCGCCGCATCTATCCCCAAAAATCAAGCCAATTCGTTTGCATATCTTATTTCGAGTAAACAATGGTATCAAAACAGAAAGTTCTGTTGATCGGGGCCACCGGGAATACTGGCAAGGACATCCTCGAAGGACTCGTCGGAGCCGGAAACCTTGCAAGGCATCTCTTCATTCCAAGCAGTATCGTCAGGCTAATCTCGTTCATATAGGAGGTGATCATCTTCTCGAGATCTCAGTCAGCGTCAAGCGACAAAGTGCAACAACTCAGAGACCGCGGCCTGAAAGTAATCGATGCTCCCTCCGACGCAACAGCGAGGGATCTCGCCGCCATTCTCCAAGCAATCGACGTGGTCGTCAGTGCCGTCGGACCTCAAGACCAACTCGACCAGTTCAAGTGGATCGACGCCGCCAAAGAAGCCGGAGTCAAACGTTTTGTGCCTTGCGGATTCACAACCATCTGTCCGCGTGGGGATGTCATGCTTATCCACGACGAGAAGGAAGCAGTCCACGACTACCTATTCAAGGAAAAGCTACCGTACACCATCATCGATGTCGGCTACTGGTATCAGATTTCCTTTCCCAAACTCCCTTCTGGCAAGGTGGATTACGCTGTTGCTGTACCGCTCGACGAAGTATATGCTGGAGGCGATGCTCCCAACCTTCTGGTGGACAAACGGGACATTGGCAAATACGTCGCGAGGATTATCGGTGACCCTCGAACTTTGAACAAGAGAGTTATTGCGTATGGCGAAGAACTTTCTCAGAATCAGATTACCGAGATTATCGAGAAACTGAGTGGTGAGAAACTGTCTCTCAAACCTGTAAGCTTTGAATCTCCTCGGGATGCCCGCCATGAACTACCTAACATGCCTCTCAGGTCTCTGCAGAAGAACTTAGACAACGCACGAAAGAAGCCGTCGACAGTCTTAGGAAAGCAGAAGTCAAAGACTTTGGATCTCGCGTGGGCGTCTACATCAATCAGTACAAGGTTTCCAAATTCGTCCGCGCCGACAACACCCTTCAGAATGCCAGCTACCTTGGTTACATGGATGCTCATGAGCTTTATCATGACTTCAAACCTACTACATTCGAGCACTTCTTCCAGGAGACGCTTGATCAGAAAGGTCAGAATCCATTTGCATAGTCAGCGAGTTGATTCTAGAGCATTATACCCGCCGGTTGAGGCTCGAGTGGCATGCTATTCAGCTCCTCACATGTCGAAAGGTGTCTCTCACTTCCTGAACGAAGATTTCAGGCACCTCCCATGCAGCAAAGTGGCCGCCCTTTTCTGCGTCTCTCCAGTGGATGATACGGGAGTAATATTTCTCAGCCTATGAACGTGTCAGTCGTGCCATATCTTCGTCGAGAGCCGCCCAACTCACCCAGCTTCGAGGTACATATGAAGCGTCGCCGGGGAACAGGGTCACTCCAATGGGTATCTCAATTCGGGTACCCATGGTCCAATCGTGATTCTGCTGCGTGTATAGCCTGGCCGAAGTCGAGCCGGTGTTGGTCAACCAATAGATCATGATATTGTCGAGGATTTCATCCTTTGTCAAGATCTCATACACGTCACCCCGATGGTGACTCCAGCCGTGGATCTTCTCCAGGATCCAAGCAGCTTGGCCAACGGGTGAATCGGCCAGAGAGTACCCAATGGTTTGCGGTCGCGTGGCTTGCAGCATTAGATACGCATCCTCCGTTCCGTCCCATGCTTCCATTTGGCGCACCGCACGCTGCTCGCCTGGCGAAAGATCCTTCCTGCCGCCGACTTCTTTGGGCACATTGAAGAAGATGGTGTTGAGGTGAACACCGACCAGAGACGCGGGCGGATTTTCGCTCGCCAAAATGGCCACGAGATCCCCGCCCCAATCACCGCCTTGTGCAACCCACTGATCATAGCCCAATTTAACCATGAGCGCAACAAACGCTTTGTTGATACGCCTGTGGCTCCATTCACTCTTTGCCGTCGACCAGCCGTAGCCAGGTAACGAAGGGATGACCAGATGAAAGGCGTCCTCGGCCTTGCCTCCGTATTGTGTAGGATCAGTCAGAGGGCCTACAGCCTTGCGAAACTCCAAGATGGATCCCGGCCAGCCATGCACTAATAACATAGGCATCGCCTCAGCATGTTTCGACTTGATGTGCAGGAAGTAGATCTCCTCGCCTTCGTAAGATGCGAGAAACTGCTCGTGGCTGTTGAGCCAGGCTTCACATTTCCGCCAGTCATATTTCTCGATCCAGTAGTTCGTCAATTCCCGCATAGCTTGTAGAGGCACACCATGGCTCCAGCCCGAGGTTATCTCTGCGGCAGGGTATCGAGTGGATTGGAGTCTGGATTTGAGGTCGGAAAGTTCGCTGTCAGGTACCTGAACGGAGAAGGGAGCGATTTTGGTAATGGTCGAAGCCATGTTGGGTCAGATGCTGCGGTCAAAGCGGAGGGATATATCAGTTCGAGGACAGGCGACAGGGATGGAAAGCTAACAGATAAATTATTAGCCTGGACTCATGAGTCAAGTCTATGGCGTTATCGAGGTTTGGATGCGACGGTGCAAAGTACGGTACGCGGCTGGGAAGCTGAAACCTTGCCACACTTCACGGCCGTCCCATTTTGACTACGCCGACAAAACCAGACGTGAACGATGATGTCCGTCCACGAGAGACGATTCTCGTTAAATCAAATTGAAGATTCAGCAACAAGTTATGAAACGCAAGGCCTGCCAGCAAGTATCAGACATTCCCTCGCCTAGCTGTGATTGCCCGAAGCGGCGGGTTTTTGATAACCAGCAAAACCTCCTGTCTCTTGAAGCAGCAAAGGCACCTCCTCCGCCTCGAAGGCTTGCCTGATCCCCAATTCTTTCGGCTCCCAACCTAACCCTCTTACGCGGCGAGCACGGCTACGAGAATTGGCGCCGACGACTACGACAGAGTACGGGCCAAACAGATCCTCGTACTCCTGCGTAGGAATCTCTCTTGGCTGTGGCTCATCGACCCTTCCGGCCGCGTGCAGGTGTGTTCCAGTCATCGCAGCAATCTCGCGCCAGGAGATCTCTTCGCCGTTTTCGCAGAAGAAGTAAGGGTTTCCCGTCGCGGCAGCGTCCGGTGCAGCTTGCGCCCATTGTAGCACAAGCAGGTATGCTCGAGCCAGGTCGCTCACATGAACTGTTGACCACACCGCCTCACCCTTCCCCACATGGCCTGCGTATCTATGCTTCATAGCGAAGCGCGTCAGGGTTGGGACTTGGATTGAAAGCTTGCCGTCGGTTTTCGAAACGCCGTAGATGAGCGGAGGCAAGATGGTGAACATGCGCGCCATGGGCCCGATTTCGGCTCTCGCTCGGATGATCTCAAGATCAATCAATCGGTGAGAGGCGGAGTCTGGCAGCGCGTCTAGGTCCTCGGGCTTGTCATCGCGGAATATCTTTTCGGACCGGTACGCAGACTTCGAGTCGTCGCTCAAGAACGATGTCCCACTAGTGTGGATATACGTGGTCTTGAGATTTCTCGTGGCTCTCCGCCGGATGCCATCAAGCACCGCTTTGACAGATGGCATGTCATCGGCCGTGGCAGTGTGGAGGACGATGTCGCTGGCCTCGGTCTGCTTGGAGATGAGATCGTGGTCGTCTAGCTTGCCCATGACGGTTTTGACACCCCTCTGGGCCAGCTCGTCGGCGGCTTCTTGACGACGCACGAGCGCCGTGACGTTGTATCCATTTTTAAGCAAGTTCTCCAGTACGGCGAGGCCGATATATCCCGGGCCGATGAGGAACAATTTCTTGCTGGAGGACATTTTGGTTGGCGACGATCAAAGAGCACGGGCGTGGTTTGATCGATGAGGATTGTGCTCTTCAGCTCCGCATGTGGGGACGCAGGTGTTTCAGCAGGCGGTAGTCTTAGTCAAGTCACGGACAATCTAATCCGTGTCGATTGCCGTTGCCGTGATGCGGTGGAAGACGATCCCCGCATGCGGGGAAATTCTAGACATCTTCCGGCTCTCAGCTCTGCTCCATCTCAGGTGAACGGAGGACCGCTCGCGCTGCCCAACGGCCGCAGCGTATAGCGACGATGCTTGCTCCATCTCTCCCTCCGCGTCCGTGCCGAAGAAGTCTACTAAGACCAGGAGCCTGCTGTTCGGTTGTTTCAAGGTGCCTGATCCGCTTAGTAGTCCTGTGCGGTTGTGCCGTACACCTAGACACGATGGCTCCGATGCGGAGTCGCCAAGCTGACGAGAAGAAAGACATATCACGACGAAACGGGAACCTTTCTTTCATGACGCTTTTCAATCGGCCATAACCCTTCTCAAAGCGGAACAAGATTGCAAATGCATGCAAGCATGCTGGCCGCGTGCGGCACAACGATCGGCCGAAAGGCAGTCAGCCTCGCAGCCTATGAGAAGTGCAGCACACTGCGGTATACAAAAGAAGTACCTCCAACGTACATAAAGCGCACCACTTCGCCTCATCATCATCCGGAGCAAAGTTCCACGAGCTCCAACAATGTCCCTCTACCTCTACGCCATCGTCGCCTCCATCGGCCTGGTTGCGGTAAGGCTTTACTATAATGCATATGCCTCACCAGTCCTCCGCAGCATCCCGGGACCCCGCATCGCTGCATTCACCAAATACTGGTGACTCTTGAATGTCTACCGCGGCCAAGCTCATCTCGATCTAATTGACCTGCACCGCAAGCATGGCCCGCTCGTTCGTACGGCACCGCACGTCGTCAGCGTTGCCGATTCAGCAATGATACCGCTGATTTACGGCGCAACGGAGAAATTCAAAAAGCCTGCTTTCTATCCTATCCAATGCATTAGCTGGCGGAAGCAACCGGCAATGAACCTGTTCTCCACTCGGGATCCCGAACAGCACCGAGTCGAGAAACGCAAGGTCGGCGCCGCGTATAGTCTAGGCAACCTGCTGGCCATGGAAGACCAGATCGATTCGTGCACTCGACTGTTTTGCGATCGGATGGAGGAAGCGAACAAGTCGCCAATCGATCTTGGAGCATGGCTGCAATACTACGCCTTCAACGTGGTAGGAGAACCCACATTCTCCCAGAAGCTTGGCTTTCTCGAAGGCGGCCAGGATGTCGACGGAATGATGAAGGCTATCGAGGGGATGCTAGCATACGCATCAATGTGCGGCCAAGTACCGTGGTGGTAGGCCGACAAGAAGCACCCCGATAACAGGTTCGTTAGCTGACTGACCGTTCCCAGGCATAACGTTCTATTGGGCAATCCATTATTGACGAAGCTCGCACCCGCCATGGAGCATTGGAATCAAGTCTTGATCTTCACCCTCAAAGCCATCAACTCTCGCACCGAGCTCCAACGCGACGGAGAGCTGAATGATGCTGCAGAGCAAGGTGCCGACATGCTCAGCCGCTGGCACAATGTCAAATCGACGGATCCGTTGAAGATGACGACTCGCGATATCATCGTACATCTCAGCACCAACGTTTTTGCGAGATCCGACACAACTGCAATCGCCCTTCGTTGAGTTGTGTACAACTTGTGCAAGAATCACGAGGCAATGGCCAAGATGCGGGCGGAAATTGACGAGGCCGATGGCAAGGGATTGCTTACCCATCCCATCCGATACAAAGAGGTCACAGCCCATCTGCCATACTTTTGTGCTGTCTTGAAGGAAGCTATGCGACTTAACCCGTCTGTTGGCCTCATAATGGAAAGGCACGTTCCCCCACAAGGAGCAAATATCTGCGGCAAAGAAATCCCAGGCGGCACAATCGTCGGAATCAATCCGTGGGTCCTGAATTACGACGAGTCATTGTTCGAACGGCCGGAATCATTTGAGCCGTCACGTTGGATCGACGGGACGAAAGAAGAGCTGCAAGGACGAGAGCATATTCTTAGCCTCAACTTTGGAGCGGGCGCTCGGGGCTGCATTGGCAAACACACCTCCCTCATTGAGATGCACAAGATCCTGCCGGAGATGTACAGGCGATTCGACGTCAAGCTCGTGCGTCCAGACGAGCCTTGGAAAACGACGAATCACTGGTTTGTGCAGCAAGAAGGCTTGATTTGCACGCTCGCACCACGAGCCCAACATTGATCGGGAACAATGACGACCGTTTCGGTCAAACACAAAAATATGGGTCCTTGGGGAACATCGCTGACTTCGGGGCCTGACGAAATATGAGAAGATACCCAGGCCTTGCAACACAGTTAGGGCATGAACATTAGTTACGAAGGCCATGGATTGATTGGAGTGCGAAGTTCCCAATGCCTCGACCCGAACCCCGAGGCTAGCGAGAACGATTGCTGCTATACGCTTGAAGCTCAGTGCAGTTAACGCAATTCCATATTCAGCAAGTTTGACCTGCCAAAAATGGCCGTGCTCGTTGCTGGGCTTGACGGGGTCGGTAGAGAGGCGCGTTTGGAATCATGTCCAAACTGAAATTCGGCTCGTCTGTCTTCGCATTCGGCAGGCAGCACACCTCATTGGGCAACTCATTGACATGGCTCGCGCGTGTCTATTGCCGCGTGAGCATCAAGACATTCAACACGTTGATTGTGGAGCAACGCGGTTATTGCCCCACTACAAGCCAATGGAACTCCGTATACGACGGATACCACAAGGCCTGCGTGGGTGGAGTCAATGGACATATAAAATGCTCAGGGAAACCACGATTTCCAAGGCCAGGCCGTATCAGAATTCCTTCGTCTAAACTATCACCATGCAGCTTTTCGTTCTGTTATCTCTGGCGGTCGCCGTTGCGGCCTCGCCTTTGGACGCGGCCAAAAGGACCACGACGATCACGTCCACTGTTACTCCAACTTGTGGGCTTCCAGCAGACACAACTAGAACCACGACCTCTGCCACCAAGGTCAACGACGACGACTCCGTCTCGACAATCACCAAAGTCGTCACCGGCGCCTTCTCCACTCCAAGTCTATTCAATATCTATGCCACCATCAACGACCGCTACGCCATCCATACAGTCGAGGCGCTCGGTCTCACGGGCACGACGGGTTACGACCCGCCGCGCTTCGCCATGGCCTCTGGAAATCGTCTGCGCTACGGGAAGAACCAGTTTGCCGAGCAGGACAACACGACGGATCCCGAGGACTTCTTCTTCAACACTCCTGCATCGATCAAGAAGTCGAATGAGGGATACATCACGTGCGACATCACCTACGCTGGAGACGGCATCTGCCCGCTCAACTGCGTGTCGCCCTACGGGAACGGTACCGTGTCGAGTATGGGGTATGGCAACGTCTGGTACCTCGGGACAACGGCGATTGCGTATGGCGAGCCGGGCGACGACTTCCAGATTTTTACCGCTATTGTGGTGTCGTAGGCATTGTGCTCGCCCCTACATCCAGTTGGCTATGCGCGTGCAATCGGATTGGTGACATCGGAGAGTTTCAGTATAGAGACAATGCAATCATACCGTCGCTTACATGGACATCTCTTTGCACAAGATCGGTCATGCACTCCGATATCCCTTCATTGCCACAGACAGCAGATTCTCAAAACCATCGCTTGGCTGCGAGTCAATGATGCCTCGCAGCATAACGCTTGGGAGGAAGACGACATCCACCTGCGAACATTTTCATCGATGAACGTTCATCCTAGCCGCGAGCTCAATCTGCAAGCTTGACATATCTCTCCAAGCCCTCGACGCGCCCCACCCACCGCTCGATAGCAGGCCACTTGGAGATATCCAACCCACTCTCATCCAGGCAATGCGTATAAGCGAACAAGACGACATCGGCCAGACTGACATGATTCGCGACAAACCACTCTCGTCCAGTAAGATGGTGCTCCATGACGTCCAACACCTCCGCTGCCTGCTTTTCTTTCCCAGGAATTTGTGCCTTCTGTGTCTCGGTCAGGTTGTCCACGCCCACCATCGTCCGCCAGAATCTCAAGACGGCAATGCATGGCTCGTGAGAGTACTGCTCGAAAAACATCCACTGCAGCATGCGCGCGTGCTCCAGCCGGTCTCGGGGGATTAAATTTGCTTTGCTGTCGGGGTCGTCGGCCAAGTAGTAGCATGCAGCATTGCTTTCCGGGAGGAAGGTGTCGTTGCCGACTTGCAGCACGGGAAGACGTCCGTTGGCGTTGACTCGGGCGAGGTATTCTGGCGTCCGTGTCTCTTGTTTCAGAACGTTGTAATCGATGAGCTTGTGAATTCTGATACCCAGCAGCGAGGCAGTGAGTCGGACCTTGTAGGAGTTGCCAGATAGGTGCGCTTCGTGCAAGGTCAGCTGCTCCTGCTGAGAAGCCATGTTGTCCGACGTTCGAACCCTTGCTCGACGTTGGGGCACAAGGCGACGACACAGTGGAGAGAACATAAGGGACAAAACGATACGGATACAGAGGATCGCACAAGCCACCGTATCGAGCGTATGTAAGCTGATCCCTCGACAATTTTGCGGCTGAGGACCTGGACCACATCATTAATCAAAGCCCTGCTAGAATCCTACACGTGTTCGTGCCCTCAGTTCTTCCACGTAATCGTCTTGAGCCTCACCCATTCTTTCAATCCCTCCTCGCCATTGAAACGGCCAAAGCCACCTATTCGAAAAATGTTAGCGCCAGTGGAAGTCGTCCAACAAGATGCAAGACGCACTCTTCTTCGCTCCACCATGCGGCAGCGCACTCTCATCATGCACACTCATTGAATTGATGTGCACCGCACCCGTCTCAATCTGTTTCGCAATCTTGAAGCCGCGCTGCAGGTTCTCCGTAAAGACCGCTGAGGCAAGGCCATAGTCGGTGTCGTTTGCAATCTTGATGGCTTCTTCGTCGCTTTCCACCACGAACAGGCTGACCGTTGGACCAAAGGACTCGGTGTAGTACAGGTCCATGCCTTTTTGGACACCCTCGATGACGACAGGTCGCATGGCGGTGGCCAAGTCACGCTTGTCGCCGATGTCTCCGTAGAGTGCCTTTGCGCCTTTGCCAACCGCGTCCTGTAGCAACGCAGCATTCTTCGAGACGGGAGTCTTGTCGATCAGGACAAGTCCATTCTTATCCGGGAAGACAGCATCGATGGTACCGGAAAGTACCTCGCGGAACTTGTCCGCGATCTTCGCATTGACGAGGATACGTTCAGTAGCCATGCAAATCTGTCCGGAATACAGGAATGCTCCAAGGGTGCACTGCAGCGCCGCAACGGAAAGATCGGCATCTTCGCACACGATCGCTGGCGCCTTGCCTCCCAACTCCATCAGAACAGGCTTGAGATTCTTACCGGCAAGAGCAGCGATATTGGATCCGATTGCGGTGCTGCCGGTGAAGTTGATTTTTTTCACGGCCGGCGCGGCAATTAGCGTCTGCGTGATCTCGCCGCCGTCTTGTGGGCTGTGGATGATTGTGTTCAGACAGCCAGGAGGTAGGCCAGCCTTGTGGAAGATGTCGACCAGAGTGAAGTAGCAACCGGGTGCGCGTTCCGGACCTTTGACCACTACTGTATTTCCCACTGCAATGCGATTGGTGTCAGCAAGCAGGCATCAACTCCAATCCCCATTTTGATACTGCTTACTTGCAAGCGGTCCGAGGAAGGATCGCAATCCCAAGATGCAGGGCGCATTCCACGGAGCAATACTGACGACCACGCCGTATGGCTCTCTCACGACCATCGCGCTCCTATCTTCAGCGAGGATAGTTGGAACAGAGCCCGTCTGAACATTCGAGATCAACCCGGCGCAGCTCTTCAAGCTTTCCAGAGCATCATTGAAATCAAAGTCAAAGTAAGGCTCCGTACTTCCCGTCTCGGTGGAGCAGAAATGCCAGAGATCATCCTTCCTCTTCACCAATTCGTCAGCCGCTTTGAGCAATAGATCCCGTCGGAAGCTGGGCTTCGTCTGACTCCAGGCGGGGAAGGCTGCTTCAGCAGCGGCAACGGCTGCCAATGCATCTTCTGACGACGCCGCTGAGGATTTGTATAGCTTTTCGTAGGTCAGGGGGGAAACGATGTCTTGCGTCTTGACTGTGTGGACTTGTTCGCCATTGCGCCAGAGCGGAACAGTCCAGTCAGGGCTGCCTCGAGAGCTCGTGGAGCCGCCGTTTGTCTGTGCCATTGTTCGATGTACAGTGTTGTTTTTGCAACGTGTGTGGGTTAACTGTCAATGCACACAGCAAGCTTTGTAGCATCTGTAAGAGGAGGTGCGGTGCCTCTCTACTCGGACCAAGATGCGGCACATCAACACGGCTATCTTAGCTTTGGAGATCGTCTGCGGGGCTGGATACCGCGAGCTTCCCCAGATTCAACTGCGGGTCGGATTTCCGGATGTCGGAAACGTCGGACCTGCGGATCTGTGCCGTACTCCAATCCTCCGGAGCCTTGCATCATCCAGATTGCAAAGTTGATGCATTTGCCTCGATCAAGGCAAGATGAAGACTTCTTCCAGCGGCATCAAAAGCTGTCTGTGTAGGCTCGTACACGGCCGTCCAAGCTAGGCTCGCGGACACAGTACACCATCCGAGTGGGAGCCATGCGAGTAGAAAGGATGCCCGAAGAGCTTGCTAGTTCATTGCGCGGCTCTGACAGCATTGCAACTTCCAGCAGCCGTGCATGTTCAGGCAGTCTACGATCGTCACTCTGGTCCAGATAGATTCCCGCACGTTCGTTCTCAATCTCGATCACGCGTTCCAAGTGAGCCGCAAGGTAATCGATGTCCTGGAGGTTGATGGTACGGAGCACCGCAAGACACCGTTGTCGAATGCTGAGCACGCGGCACTTGATTATAATCAAGCGCAAGCAACTGACGAACCCCGAACCAAGACTCATAGCAGGCAAGGTCTGAGGCTTGGATGTCCCGGTGAGCGGTACTAAGCCAGCCTGAGCAACTCTCTCTACAATGTCGGCCATGTGAGCGAACTGCTGGTCGAAACGGTCGCACATCATCTCGGTGGAGTCTTGCCACGTGCAAGCCACGAACCAGGTGTAGAACAAGTAGAGTTGCGTGAGCATGTACTCCACCTCGGTCTCCGTGGAAAAGCGCACGGCTGCGAAAGCGGCGCTCCAAGCACTCAGATCAAGGCGGGTCGCCTCCATCTCTTCCACCAACTCGGGTTCTAGTTTGAGGTTCGAAGTTCTGGCAAGAGCGCGAAGGAGACAATATCGCACCTGACCGGCCACATCCATCTCGGTATTATCATCCGACTCGTCGTTGTAATATTCCAACTCGTCGCTGGTGTCTGAGGCCAATCGCTTCGCAAGGTACGCTGCGTCTACTATGCACTCTTTCAATGACTCGACTTTGGTTGCGAGTACGTCCAGATGAACGTTGGCTTCTTCCAGCGAGAAGAATGACTTGGGCAGAGGCTCGTCACATAGCGGATGAAGATAGCTTGGTAAAGTCAGATCGCGCGTGACAATATCGTGACAGGGGGCGTGCTTACGGGTCCGCTTGATCTGAGACGTCAAAATCCTGGTCCATACGGATGAAGGTGTTGAGGAGAGTGTCCACGCCATTTGCTGGTCGTACTTTGAGACAGACCGTGCGTCGACCTTCACAAGCCAAGCCGTTGGAAGGGCAGCTCCTCCGCTCGTACAGCATCTCCAGAGCGCTCTTCAGATGGGCAGAGGCCTCTAAGCGGTTACCGGCATAGAGGGCGAAGTAGAAGAGGAGCAGGGACAGCATCAGTGCCACGACAATCTCATCCTCCCTGACGATAGCGGGAAGACTCGAAATATATCGCCGAGCATGCGACATGGCGGCAGTATACTGTTGGATTGCCAGGTCACGGTGGTCTACCATCGAGTGACCATCTCCTCGCTCATTCGGGGCGATCAATACCCTATGCATCGAGCCGAGCGCGGCGCAACCAAAGGCAAGGAAGGGCTTCTGCGCGGCCAAGTCGACTGCTATATGCTGCCACGATGAGCTCTCGGGCAGCTTTTTTATAGTCCAGGCGTAGAAGAATTCGAGGCCAACGATGTCGACACTCCGAAGGGATCCGTTGGCGGGCATGGGCGTGATCGGGGCCAAGATCACATCGTGTATTGGAGTTTCGCGGGCGCTGTGCAGGAGCGATCCAGAAGGCTCGCAATACCGACGGGATCTTCGGCTGTTTCCACAGGATGGTTTCTGCTCGTCGCATTTGATTCTACGCTGCCTAACTCGTTTCTGTCAGTGCGGGAGTGCGGAGGAATTGACTTCGTACGTCTTACCGGCACGTTAAACAGCCAGTGCGTGTCTTGGGGCGTTTAGCACGCTTTCTGATGATAGGCACCGTCATGGAGGTGGCGAAAGGCGTCAACAGAGGGAAGATAAGGTGAGAAGTGCGCGGTGCATTGAGCGAGAGATCGCAATTAAGGACCCTGCCAGATGTCCTGTTGGGGCTCCCGCGGCTGGCGCATAAGAGACGGCAGGCTGACGACTGGCGTGCATGCCCACGGCTTCATAGAGCGCCAGATTCAATGTTTTTCTGAGCGCTACTCCGAGGATTGCAAAGTACGTTCTCTGATGCCTAAATCAATTGACGATACGAAGTCAGCTGACTAAGCTCGTTTAGTCGCGTGCCCGCGGCTCGGGGTCTCGATCTTGGCAAGGCTGTGCTCGTTCAGTAGTGCGCTTTGACTTTATTTGGGCTTCGTCACCCTCTTTGCTTCTTTGTCTTTGGATCGCCACTCATGGCAAGACAGATTTTACGACTGCTTCACACGAAAGAAATCGAAATGGCTGTGCAAAGATGTGCGTACTCTTCGTTTAGTACCTGCGTGATGCCGACCAATCATCTCAACACAGATCTTGCCTCCGTCGCATATATCTAGAGGCCTGCTGCTGTGTCGATTTCTCGCCTTCTTGCATTCATCAGCTACCAACAATCCTACCATCTGTTGTGAATGGCATATATGCGTACACTTTGGGCGTTACTCGTCCTCAAAATCTCCCTGGCCATGTCTTCTGCAGCCGAAGGACGACCAAATCGATACCATCTCCCCGCCGAGAGCTCGCAGCACGCTGGCACCATCATGACCTGGCCGACGGCGCACTCCATCTTCACGCCCTCCTGGTCCTATTCCGCGGCTAATGTCACCGCCACACGACTTGAGCTGGCCAATCTCATTACATCCATCGCCCAGTACGAGCCTGTGCAAGTTTTTGTTCGGGACCCGGCATCATACTCCAACAATGTCAACGATGCCTGCGGATACGAGTCCGCTCATCGTTTGCTCAAAGGCCATCCCAACGTCACTCTTCATACCAGCACCAATGTCGACTCGCTGTGGTCCCGAGACAACGGAGCGCTCTTCGCGTACACAGTGAATGGGCAAAAAGTGAACAACACGTGGTATAGCCACGACGACCCTGGTGTTGGCTTCGAGCGAACCGACACGTCAAGCTCGGTAGTCGGGCTGGTCCTGAGTTTCGATCAGTGGGGGAGGAAGTTACCGCCCAGTCCTGAGAGCTATATGGCGGCGGACGAGACGCAGAGGATGGGCTTGTCTTCCGGTGTGTGCTGACCATACATGTCTACAAACAACATGACTGGCACTAACGATATGTTGCAACAGTGCTTGCACCCTTTGTCGGAGAGGGCGGCGCAATTGAAGTCGATGGCGAAGGCACGCTCATCGCCACCGAATCCTCGCTTCTCAATCCCAACCGCAACCCAGGCGTCACCAAGGCGCGGATGGAAGGGTATTTCTTCGAAATGTTTGGCGTGGCGAAGACGATCTGGATCCCGGGGTTTCGAGGGTACGACATCACCGACGACCATATCGACGGCCTTGTTCGATTTGGCGGGCTCACCGCGGACGGAAAGCGGACGGTGTTTGTCGACCGGCCGTATGTTGCCCCCAATGCTACACGAAAAGAGCGAGAAAACGCGCTGTCCGATTATAATCCCTGCATGCGGATCTTGGGCGCGAGTACCGATGCAAAGGGGCGAGAGTTCAACATTGTCGTCTGTAAGGCTCGCTCCCCGTTCTACCCATCCATGAATCCAGGCTAACTCATCTCAACGCCAGTGCAAGAGCCCGACCCAAAAATAGTCCTCGGCAAGAACTACGACCCTGCCTCTGGCCCGTCGGTGGCGTACGTCAACTTCCACGTGGTCAATGGCGCGGTTATGTTATCCAAGTTCGGAGACGCCCAGGCGGACAACGAAGCTGCCAGGCTGGTGGCAGAGAACATGCCAGGACGTACGGTTGTGCAAGTCTACACGCATCAGCTGGCTATTCAAGGGGGTGGCATTCATTGTTCCACTCAGCAATATTATTTGTAGTCTGGGTAGGTTCGACGCTATAATGGCTGCAATACTCTCTGTGCAACCTCCTCATCACTAATCTGCACGTTCCATTTATTCCTCTCCACATCCATTCCATCTTCCCCAAAAATTCGGAAGTACCCCTCTGGATTCTCATTGATACCCTCGTCGCCGTCTTTGGGCTTCGCAATCAAGTCTGCGCCCCACGTCTCATACTCGTCAATGGACAAGGCATACTCATTCCTCCACGCCACGACCGCATCCCAATTCGCGCACTTCCGGTTGATGCTAAAGTCGTGCATGAGGCCATTGCCGAGGCGTAGCCAGTACGCCGGGACGAGATCGCCGTTGGCGTTGCACTTGAGGTCTTGGAACAGCATGGAGACACAGTGTGCTTTGTGCTGCCAATGAAGGCGAGTGCGGTTCTCGTACCGCGGGCCCCAGTATTGCTCAAAAGTGCCTTTGCGCAGCTCGTTCAGGCAGTGTAACTTGTGGAAGACGTCCAGCTGGCCGAAGTAGCGCGGGTCGTTCTCCGTATCCGCTGGGACGCCACGTGTTGGATGATCGTATGGTTTGAGTTTGGCGTACATTGAGGGATCTTTTCCCATTGCCCGGATCTCTTCCGCTTTGAGAGGGACGTAGCGATTGTACACTGCTGATTATCAGCCATCTGAAGACCCTCCAGGACGAGCTAACGAGGACATGTACTTACGTATGTCGTCCCACAGACGGTCGGTGGACGGGCCAGGCTCCATGCGACAGATGTCGGGGTCATCTGGGGTAAAGAGGCTGCCGTTCATTTGGACGGTGTGTGTTGAGATGTAGGCTGTACTGTACATTGGTGCTGACGATCGGTTAGGATGATCCGAGCCCATTGGAGACTGTCTTGAGACTCACAAAACGTAGACCTGAGTTTGACAAGGTATGGTGCTTTCTCCGGCCGTAGATGTAGACCAACTGAGAATGTGAAGAGCGCGATGTTGAACAGCGTCAGCCATAGCATTGTTCGCGAGCTCCTCGGTCGAGCAAGCGTCGTTGAAGGGTAGTCGTCTATGTCATCAGAAAGTAGTCTCTGCTTGCTTTCGCCGTGTTCCTCGTCAAGGTATTTGTTGCCCATCTTGGAGAGAGTCGCTCAATAGTTGTCCGACGACGAGACAGTTGTTCGATTGATCACGGTCGCGAGAAGATAAGAAGATGCATTCGACGACCGAGTGGTGGAGAAAAGGTTCGGAGCCGTCGAGTACTAGCTTTACGGCGTGGATTGCGTGACCCTGTTGCACCAGACCTTCCAAAATATCGAGCACTCGCTCGATAGTGTAACGTTACAATGCGTCTCTAGCCTACCCATAGTTTGCATCGTCACTGCTCTTATCTTGGTCGTGTGCCTCGCCAACGTGTCCACCGCCGATCTTCTACGCTCTTCATACGCTCTAAATACCTGCGCTGTAACGTCACGTGCGTGGTGGCGTGTTTCTGGATACGAGAGTCCAATCAACGACCGGCAGATAGTTGTATAAGTGCGGATTTCCCCGCGGATCAGCAAGTAATTCTATGGGTCCAGCAAGTAGTTCAATACCCTAAGCCTTCGAGGGTCTAGTTGAGCTAGACGGTCAATGGCACCATAGGGTGCTCGAGTAACGACGTCCCTTCTTATCCATCCAGTGTACGCAGCCGATCCCCACGCCGTTTGAGGAGGGGTACAGGAGAGGGGATATAAGGCGATCGCGATGGCCCTTCCCTCCTCTCACTGAACAGCAAGGCATACGTACGTCCATCACATCGCTACAGTATCTTTTCAGCACAATCAACCATGCGTACTTCCTCGCTGCTCCTCAGCCTTGTGGCTTGCGCCAACCTGGGTCTCGCCTTTCCCCTGGGTAAGATGCCCTGATACATGCCCTGTTTCACCTGTTCACGTTAGCTGAGATCTATGCAGAAGGCCGTGCACTCGAGGAGGCGAAGCGTGCTGCAATTGCAGAGCCCGCCACTGCGTACACCGTGAGGGGTATCAACAAGCGCGAGGCCGAAACGGAGGAGAAGCGTGAGCCTGCCACGGCCTACTTCATCCATTCCGTTGACAAGCGCGAGGCGGAGGCAGAGGAGAAGCGTGAGCCCGAGACTGCGTACACGGTTCGCGGCTTGAACAAGCGTGAGGCGGAGGCAG